CTATTAGTTGGAGTAGATGCTAATTTGCTAGGTTAGGAAAAGGTTGACACATTCTCAGGAATACGAATTTGTCTTGTTGAGTTTGATGATCTGGCCATCACATTGGCTTCTGACCCTTCAGTTCTTATAGGTTATTCTTCAAACTAATCCTAAATCTGTTTCCTATGTGAATTCTGAATAGCAATTCTATGCAAGTCAATGTGCTTCTCTGATTCTGTTTTTTGTAATTATGTTGTCGGGATATCTAATCATCATTTTGAATAAATTACCAGATATATCCCTGGATCCTAATCTGTTTCATTTACAACTGTATTAACTAAATTTGGAAGCACCAACTACAGAAGGAGCTTTCATTTCGATTTTGGCAAATGAATTATTGGACACACATGAGATTGATTCAATTGAATTTAAATTTCCTGTAAAGGCTGGTTATCTCTATTCTAAATTCAGATCGATAGATCCCATTCTGACATTATTCTTGTAAAACTAATTATAATCATTCAAATTTTGTTAATAATTCTCTTATTTAACTTATTGTTCTTTTGCCAATTCCTTAAAATATGGATGTCTCAAACACTGTAATAATTTTTTAAATTTTACTTCACTTGAATTCAATCTGTCTTGGGGCTTTTTCAACAACATAGCTCTTATTAAATCTTAAAGTTGTATTGGCGCAGATTTAAATAAAGAATCTTCAAAATCGATGAAACAATCTTTGTTGGCCTTCAAGATGGCTTTTTAATCTTTACCTGAAAATGGTTAATCACCAGTCTAAAATAAATAAATAATTTACAATTAGTAAGTACAAGATGATTCCAGCACTAAAAACATCACATTTTTCATCATAGATTTAATGTCCATCGATATATTCCAAGATTTCTGGAGCAACAAACCCAGGAGTACCACATCTTTTAAATAAAATATTATTATCCTGTAATAATGCTGCCAATCCAAAATCTGCTAATACAATATCGTGATTGTTTTCATAAGATTTCAGTAGTAGATTTTCAGGTTTAAGATCTCTGTGAGCTATATTGAATTGATGCATGTGATTCAGTGCTGATAATAGGTTAAAGGCTAGTCTCTACAAGGTTTCAGCAGGTAAAAATCCTAAATAATTTTGATGTAACAATATACCTGTTTCTCTCACTCTTTAAAGTAGTTCACCTCCGGCCACAATATCAACTACGAAATAAACAGAGTTAGCTGTTTCATGTACTTCATGTAATCTTACAATATTTGAGTGGTTTAATCTTCTCATTACTTTCATTTCATTCAAGAGGCTTTCAATACCTTTGTGCTATTGCATCATAAAAGACTTGCTAAATGCCTTGACAGCATATTAAATATTGCTATCTTTTCTGGTGGCAAGATAAACTTTTGCAAAACTCCCCTTTCCAATTAATTTAGAAACCATATAAGCCTCATGAAAATTCTCTAATAAACAAGCTTTTCTGAGGTGGATTTTCCATTGATCATAACAAGACTTGTCAGATAGAAAAATCTCTAAGGTTTTTGTTTGGTATTATAATCTGAACCCATACTACTGCTCATCAGAATTTAATTGCACTAGATGATCAGCTCCTGGTTCTATGTAAGTCAAATGAGTCGTAATGAGAGGTGCACATTTCAATTTGTCTAAAGTGACTTTATAAATGTATTCTAATCCAAGTACAATCAAGACTTATTTGACACTAACTTTTCCTGCAGTCAAAAATTCTTATTCAACTAAAAATGTTTAGGACTTAATATTCAATGAAATAAGTTACATCCAATACAGACTTATCACATGTTTACCAAAATTTATTCCTGGTTTTTCCAAAATCAAAGATAGAAATTACTTTTTATTCAGTCATTAATCTATACTACTGACACAAAAATAATAATTTATTAAATAAGTTTTAATTCTCAACATCTTTGAAACATTTCATTTTTATCAAATTTATTTATTTACAGAATCTTAACTAAGAATTATCATCCATTAATTAATTAAACACTTGCTTTCTAGTTTATCATTTATTTATATGTCCTTCTCCATTATGACTTGATCATGAATTAAATCAAACATAATTCTGCTCTATTATAGTCAAGCTATATATATGTAGAACTAAGCAATGAAATATACAAAAATTTGAATAGTAATTATGTATATATTAACTGCTAAATTCTGATCTTTGGTTAACTCAATATTTTATATTTGTCAATAGGATTTGAAAATATTAGGTATATTTTGTATAAAGAAGTAAGATTTTTAATTATTTATTCAAAAATTATAAAACCAAAATAAAATTTAGATGACCCTAAAATTCTATATCTTAATAAAACCAAGATAAAATCTTTTAGTTATCATAAATTTTATCATAGTACAATTCTAATTTCTCAAGATGTTTTGCAGGTTCTTTGTATTTACAAACACCTTGATTTCATTATACTCTTTCCATAAATTGTGCTTGATTCTCCTAATGCACTTTTCTCCTTCTCTTCTGAGATTTTGAAACTTAAATCAATCATAATTTTTAAATGTATATTTCCTCAATTTAATTTTACATTGCTTCTGAGTTCTTAGTTATTCAATCTTTCATTTATCAATATTGACTTATGAAAGATATTGGTATTAGAGAGAGAATCAATAATTAATTCCCTTTTATAAATTTTTATAATCTAATCTAAATTTTCTTTACAAAAACAAACCTAATAACCTCCTTAATTACTCTACTTAATTAACCGAGCTTAAAATCAAAAGAAACTGCGAAGTCTATAAGATTATAAAATTATCCGTTTGAAAAAATACTATCTGTTATTTGGGTTTCTTATAAATATTAACAATTCAATGTATATATATATAAAATTACATCAATCAAAATTGCAAATATTTCCCATTATATAATTATCCATTAAACATAACTTGACTTGATATTTGATACAAATTTAACACAATTTGGAATCTAACATATAATTTTTGAGGATTGAATAGAAACATTTTTAAATTTTTATATATCATCGTTTTATATCATCATTAGCAATCTTAGATTAAATTGATTTCTTTCCAGCAACTAAACTATTTTGCTTTTAAGGATCGAATTTCTAATGATGAGATCGGCATTAACTCGCAGATCTAGATTTGATGAGATCAGACATTTTTTTAAATATTTATTTCATTTTCTTCTAATCTGAATCTGACATAATCACTTTATTGTCATCGATAAACTATTAATATAGTCTGTGCTCTTTATTAGTCCAATGACCTAAAGAATAAAAGTCTAAGATGTACCTTTCTTAAAATTTTTGCTTTTTTTAGATTTTTTCTTTTTCTTTTTGTTCAAAATTATTATAGTTTCTGGCTTTTTGGAAAGGGGAGATTATTGATTGTCAACAATAGAGGGCGTATCGATTTGTTCATTTTATAAGGATCCGTGTAAGGTTTCGGAGCACTTTTCGGTAATTGATGTCTTTTTGATTATGTTTTGCTGGTAGTGAATCTAAGGCTATTGAAAGCAGTTGTTTATTCTGTGAAATTCAGAGAAATAGCTGGGGGTGATGTTTACATATTGATAATACGGGTTAAACCATGGAAATGAATATGAAGGTTGACAAAAGTTGAAAGAACCTAAGGAATGACAGTATTTTGTACTTTATGAGTCCTAAGGAATATAAGCAAAAGGTAACATTTTGAAGATGTTGAGTTGTAAATAAAAAATAATTATTGTCTTTAAGGATTCATCATCAGGTTTAATTTAGGATCTACATTATATTAATGATAAATAGTGCGAAAAAGAGTATTAATTTAGGAATTCACAATGATAACAATAATATACATTATTATTGATATAGTATTTTACAATCATCCTCCTTCTACTCATTGTATCTTTCTTAACAATTTCTGTTCAAGTATTCAATCATATTTGAAAGTACAGACGTTGTTCAATTTTAATCATTTTTAAACATGCCATCTCATTACAAGGATTTGAAACTATCTATATTCTATAAAAATTTCTTATTGTTTTTTATATTTAATTGAATATTTTTATCTACTATTTTTTTTTTAATTGAATTTATTATTGGTTTTTCAATTAATTAGTTTGTTTACTTAATTGATGAATGAATAGCCTTTAGAATTTTTAATAAATTTAGTTAATTTTATTTTGTTTGTCTTACACATTTTTCTTGTAGACTACTTTTCCACGTTATCATTATTCTTTAAATCAAAATATATTTTGAAAATCGTTCGAGATATGCTAGGCCTAATAAAAGAAATATTTGAATCTAATTAATATTATAATGCTTTATGATACATTAAAATTTATCTTGATACACAATATGATTTTATTTATTGCAGAAAAATGATATATAATTCAAAATCAATTCATTCATGAAAATATATTTAAATGTTATTAAAACCGTTCATATTACGAAATTGTACCTAACTAATTAACTTATATACGAAAAGCATTTATTAAAACAGAATATAAGTACATAAAAGCATATATGTAATTAAAGAATAAATTTTTGTCACGTGTTATTGTAACTATTAAACCATTTTAATTGAGTTGAATATATTGCTATTCTAACTCATAATGAAAAAGATCAATTTCATATTTACAAACCTAACCTTATTTCAATTCCGAGATTGATTTGGATAAATTAATTAATATTTTTTTTGAGGAATAAAGTTTTAACTAAATTTAACTACTTAGATATAAAATTAATATAAATTGTATATTTTTATCTGCTTATATGATAATATCTCATACTATGATTTATCTCGTTTAGTTTCTCCAAGCCTCTCCTATTTATGAAGGTTCCATCTAATCTTACAATTTTCCAAATGAGCAGTTTTTATTAAAGAAATCGGTAATATTAATCATTGTCTTTTATTATTTATCAAGACAGCAAGCAATTAAATCTATTTTCATTCTCTAAGCTTGTGGTAAATTTGCAAACTGGTTTAATGCCTAGGTTGGATATGAATCTCCTCCGTCTGTATAAAAGAATATGACATGTCTAAATTTATTTAAATATGTTACTTATTGAATTATTCGAAGTTTTTTACAGCCGCAATTTTTTGATAAGCTAATTAGAAGGCGCTTTAAAAACTAGTACCTCCTCCATTGCATACAACTGCGTTTTTTATGGTTTGCATATTTATAGTTTGAGAGTCTACAACACATCTTGCATTATCATTGAAGATAATGATTGTCACTCTGATATTCTGATTATCTTTTGCAGATGATAAAGATGAGATTAATCCATTTTAGGCTTGATTAAATCTATCTCCTGACATAGAACCAGAATCATCTAATAAGATGATATAATGAAAAGATGGTTATTAGGCTGCCTAAATTTCAACTTAATTTTCCACAAACTTAAATTCTTTCCCTTCCCTGCTAAATCTATATTGGCAAAATTCTTTGCCATTATTTTTCCAAAATGTAGTAAATTTCTCTTTAGTTTGTTCATTAATATTGTCATCAAAAGCCCAATCTTAGTAAATTTCTTTTAGTTAGCTCATGTTATTTGTTGACTCTTAATTAAATTCCTTAACTAGATAGTGCTATTTTATCTCTTCACATTAATACAAGGAAGGCATATTATTAATAAGAATGCCAGCCATAACTCTTAAAAGATGACCATTCCTACAACGATGACTATGACCATCCACATTATCTTAATCACATTTTCTCTTGCAAGTTGGACAACATTATCTACATCCAATCAAATTCGATCTTATTTTTTGAATCTACAACTCAAATAACTCAATTTCAATTCTCAGATTCTAAATGCTTTTAATTTATTCTTGAATTGTATTGATGAATCCTGAGATGAAATCTGATAGAAGGTAAATTTTTTGATATTTTTGATCTGATAATTCTTTACTGATTTTACAGGTATCATCTGGATTTGAAAAAATGTTCTTAAACTTATCTTGTATATTATTCAATTATCCTTGAGCTAAAGTGCCTCTCAAATATCCCATCATTATTTGATATAACATCTTTGGTGCATCCTCTGGGTTATCTAATTAGATGAAAAATTCAATTGCCTAAGAATTTATTGTGACTTTTTCTGATAGGTTTTGTAACTTCTAATGCAATAGGTTTAAATAGCTCATCTAGGTTTCCTGTAATTTCTAATTATATTATTTTGCAAATTGCTCTCTTATTTTATTTGTTCTTTCATTTACTTCATTCGCAATTAAATTTACAGGATTGTTTATGTAATGTAAAGTTTAATCAAAACTATATTATTTCTGGTTTTTATTAAATAATTTGTTGTCAAGTTCATCAATTAAAGAACAACTTTACATTTTAGGATCTTTTACAGATTAATTCAATTCTTAGCGAGCATCTATTTAAAATTTAACTGAATTTTGCCTAATTGATTAATTAATAATTTCATTAGCAATGATTTTTAGTTTAAAAATGATTACTAGCTTGAATCTTTTTTTATATCAACCAAATACTTATCAAATATCTCTTTTTCAATACACTTAGGTTTTATTCTTATTTTTTGTATTCTAAATATTTTTAATAACATTAAATCCTCCAAATTACAAATATTGCAAAGTTATACAATAATCCTTATCCAATATCTCCTAAAATGGCTCCATATTTAAAAAAGCATTAATTTAATTCATCAATCTTAATTTCTAGATTATCCATGATAATTTGGATAGAGGTTGCATCCAGTGTATGTTTGTTCATATATTCTTAGAACACTATATCGTAGATCTAAGCATAAATATTTTTCCACTCACTCTTAAAATTCACTATCTCATAGAAAAATCCATAATCTAAATCATTATTACAATAGTTCTTGAATTTACTATTGCTAACTTTTTCATTGAAAATAATTTTTTCTGAATGATAAAAATTTGATTCTCCTTGAATTCCTTAATATACTTTTTATATTCATATAGTTTAATAACTTGTTTTTGGGGACTCAAGTTTAATCCAACTAAAAAATTGAATTCGTGAGAAACATTTAAATGGTTTTCATAGTAGGAATTATCCTGATAAGCTAAATAGTCCAATAAAGTTTTTTCTTTTTTTACAAGAACTAAATTTTCAACCTCATCCAATTTTTGAGTATCAAAGCTATAGCCAAAAATTTTAAAAAACTGCTAAAATTATAAAATTGCTTGTGTTTTGTCTTTGTTCTCACAAAATTTTAATAAATCCTTATTTTCTTTAGTGTTAAGGAATTTATCTAAATCTGTTTTTGAGATGTATTCTAATTCCACATCTAAATTAGTAATTTTGCTATATTAGGAAATCGAAATATTATTGGTGAAATTCTTTATTTGAAGATTGATATCTTTAAATTATTCAGAGTATATTTTTTTTTATGTGTCTTACAATGGTTTTTGATTTATTTCCTATTTAGCTGTTTTATCAGTAAATACTAAGTCAAACACATTCTCTTAAACCAAATTCTTAGATGTTATTTCAAAGTATTAATCAAAATCATCTTCTTTAGAAGGCTCCTTTTTAACCAGATTATTTAAAAACTACTCTTTAGACTCCTAATTTCCTGATTTATGAATATATTTTTTGGTTTTATTTTAAATTTTTAGTAATTCTATATTACAATTCTTATTAAATTATACTTCTTATTTTTCTTTCAGATTAATTTCATTTTCACTCCAAAATTCATCAAATTTTTCTTTAAACTTATCGACATCTTCTTAATTCGTTGTTTATATATATTAGTCTAATCTTAAATACACTAAGAAATTATCTTACTTTTAAAATTAAATCTGATGGTTCGGATTATTTTCTTAAATTAAGGCCAAATACTGTGGGAATTTCTCATCTAAGTGTTTGATTACAATCTCCTTATCATCATTATTCTGCTTATCATAAAATTAGTTTATGATCTCTTTTGATTCCATTAGATTGATATGATTAGTATTTATTTTCTAAATCACTTCTTCTAATTATTTAATTGTATTGCTTTATGTTCTAAGCTCATTGGTTTATTACATAGGGTATTTTTAATCTAGTATCTCGAATTTAATATTGCTTTTGCTTTTATCTGTAAATAGTTTTTAAATTATATATTATACAATAATCAATAATCAAGGGACTTAATAGAAATATTTCTATCAAAGTATAATTAGAGGACTGTAGTAGAATGAATTTAATCTAGAAGAATGAAGAAAGAATAGTGATGCTTTATTTGGATTATAGTACATCACTCCTTAACAAATGTTCTATGAATCATTATTAACTAGGATTATCACTTAGTATGAATAATTACTGCCTCAGCATAGAAGACTAGACCAAGTTATTTATAATTTGATTTATATTAAATTTAGAAATAGATGAAAATGAATTATTTTGATGTTAATGTAGTTATAAGTTTTAACCCTATTATTATCAGATGCAGATGATGTTTGATTTACTGGAGTGAGATCAGAATATTCAATTTATTATAGATAATTGGTCGAAATTTTAATTAAAGTTATAATACTTATAAAATCGATTACAATTTAATAATAGAAAAGAGGAGATGAAATAGAATTTTTGTATAAAGATATATAAAATATATACTTTTAATCTCAATAATTGAGTTGATTTAATTACTTTAATGAATATTATGCTTGAATGGAATTGTATTTTGTTATTTAGAGATATAATCTGTTCCTTAATTTAAATGGATATTACTAATCTAAATGATTTTAATTAGATTTGCATTCATTATTCTGATTGAGTCTCTCTTTAATTATATAAATTAAATTAACTGTTAATCTAATTTATTGATTATTAAAGAAGTAGATAAATTATTACAATAACAATGCGATTAGATTAAAATGAAATATCGATATGAGATGCCGTCTATTCAGAAGGAGACACTTTATAATATTTTTTAAATCTTCTATCACAATAGTATTTATTAGTGCATTTAAATAATTGTTATTTTGTCATAATATAAATAAATACACGTCATAATTAAATCAGGTACGTACGAATATTACAACAATATTGTGCCTTTGTATACCTGAGATATTGTATTTAAAATACATATATAATAAATAATGAACTCAAGAAACACACACCTTACAGAATATACAATCAAAGAAATCATCTCTGAGAAATTCACTTCTTGGAAATAGATCAACCCTTCACAAATCAGCATCTCTAGATTGACAGGGTTGACAAATATCACCTACAAAGCCCAGGCTATGATTGACACTACACCTTAAACAATATTGTTTAGAGAGTAATGAGTGTTATCATTTAAAATTAGATTTGGTAATGCGGAAGGCTTCGTGGATTCACAATAAGAAAGAATAATTTTTAAATCAATATCTGATATGGATCTTGGACCTTAGTAATTGGAATGTGGTGACAGGTGGAGAATGGAAGAATATGTTAAGGATGGAGTACATCCAAACAATTAAAAGATGGCTGATGCTAATTTTTAATTTAAGTCTATGGCAGTTTTATAGAAATTCCATTAGATGGAGATTCCGATATCAAATGATGGTTCATCATTGATTTTAAAGAAGACAATCTCTGAGGAAATGAAAGAAAATGTTATTAAGAAGATTGAAAAACGACATTTGTATACAGATGTAGAACTTAAATAGTTGGAATGCTTGGAAAGATTTATAACTAATGAAGAAGAGTTTAATTATTTAAACGAAATGACACAGAAAGAGAATCACGAAGAGGTATTTTTATTAACAATAATTTTTAGTTAAAGTTCTGCCATAATGATCTGAATCAATTAAACATTTTTAACACATCTAACAAGGATAAGGAAATCATCTTCATAGATTATGAATATTGTTCATATAATTATCCCTCTTATGATATTGCCAATTTCCTAAATGAATCTGCAATCAATTACTAACATGAAGAAGCCCCTTACTATGTTCTTGAGGAGGACAATTTCAATAGTGCTCCCATTTAGGCACATTTCCTTGCATTAAGTTATATACTCAATAAGGAATGCACTTAAATGGAAATAGATTAGATCTATAAGTTGATCAATGAATAAACCAATAAAAATAAGGATGAATTAAAAACCTTTATTGGATTAGTTAAATAAATTCTTGAATAAAGATTAAGCGAATAGGAAATTGTGGATTTATTCAAAGCAATCTCTTATTTGAAAAGGAGAATAAGAAGATTTTAAATAATATCCAATTTGAATTGGGTCTGGTGGAGCATTCTTTTGGCTTATGAAAAGAATTCTCTTAGTTTTGAATATATCGATTATGGTTTTTTGAGATTCAAAATGCTTGAGAAACTCTTGGAATTAGAAAAAGCAAGAAAAAGTACTAATTGATTTTTAATTTTTGTAAATATTTGTTTTGTAGAGTCTTATTTATAAATTTTATTCAATAGTATTATATAAAATGTAATCAATAGAGAAAGAAGAAGTAAAATTATAAATTTCTAAATGAGATTCCTTACTTTAAATTTTGTTAGAAACTGGGTGGTGTTAAAATGAAAGATATTTACATTTCACCCACTAAGGCTGCAACATTTCTCCATTTAATAAATAACGTAAGTGTCTCATTTGATTATCAATAGAAATGCCCAAAATAAACAGCAATTCAATTCGCATAAAGGAGGATTTGCAAATGGGACACGACAATCAAAATGGATGGCCCTAGTACATGTCGTATTTTGAAACCAAAAGATAACAAGGAGGTAATGCCAGTATATAACTACTTTAGAAAAGGATTAATGGATGGTAGAATATTGGCTTGGAGATGTATTATGACAATAAGACAACTATTGCTGATAAAAATTAATTGGAGTTAGATTTAGATAACGACGCAATTTAAAAATAAATTGAAAAGAATGAAATGAAACTAAAGAATGATTTTAAAAACAAAATTGCTCATTTGTAATAGTTCTACAAAGATCTTAATCAGAAGTATTGTTTTAAGTCAAGCGATCCTGATTTCAAAAACAAAATTAGTAAAGCCAAACTCGATTTACTAAATAGTAGGAGTTAATCAATCAAATATTTCAAAACCAAAGGAATGAAGTACATAGAAATTTATAATGAATCAAATAAAAAGAGTACTAATAATAATACAACTGAGGGTCTACTCAAACGAATGCGTGTATTCAATTAACTAAAAACAGATTAATATAGAGTAAAGGAGAAATCGATGGCAGATATTTATAAATAAAAGAAAGAAAATCAAAGTCCAACTCACAAAGAACTGCAACATGATATTAACATCTATGATAATATGGAATTATAGAGTGAATAGATGCTGAAGATCATTGACCAAAGCAATGAGTTTTCAATGAAACTTAGAAGGAATGACTTGAAACCAGTAGTATCATAAAAGGCTTTAGTGTTTGCTGATGATTTTAATCGAGCCAAATATTTATTCAATTTGACTAAACAGAATCAGATATAAAAGATGTTTGAAATACCTGAAGTGCCATAACTCGTGATTCCTTAGAGTAGTCAATCAATACGATTGAAAAAGAATCTATCATCTCCAACTAGTTTGGATGAGTAATTCGATAATTGTCTAACTTAATATGCTCGTGAAGTTCTGGAATATTAACAAGAATTTTAAGAAAAAGAGATCTCAACTGATAATATTGAGAAACTGCTGCAAGGGAAAGAGATTTTGAGATGCAGTCAAATGAGAAAGGTATCTAGGACATATCATTCTCCTCAGCCTAGTGTTCGATTAGATTCTAGTCGACAGTTGAGACAATAGCAGTTATCTTCTAGAGATAGGGAATCTACAAAAGCTGGGAATTCCATTCATCAAAAATCAAGAACATATGCTGTTAGTCCGTTTTGTAAATGATTTTATTATTTTTATATATTCACTTATGGAGCAATACTAATTATTTTAATGATTATTTAGCAATATCTACTTTTGCTTGACGGTACTTATGAAATAATATAATGTAATAAAGGGCTCGTTCGTTAATTGCTAGATAATATTACAAAAATAAATATGGTCCATAATTGATAGAGGATGACAATGTTTTGGATGTTCAGATAGGAGATGATAATACGTAATTTGAATATTTACTATACAACTAGATTACAAGCTAGATAAGGGTTGGTAATCACAATAAATTCAGACGATGATGAACCTAAACATAAACATTCCATCTCCAACTTTTCAGAGACTGTTGTTAAAAAATAGGAATGTGCATTGTAAAAATTTGAAGATCGAAACAGTACTTCACAATTGCAACTCACTTTACAATAACAATTATAAACCTAAACTGACATCTTCAAATAGCAATAAAATTATGGTACCAGTTCCCTTGACAGTATGTCACAATTGTAAAAATCACTTTCATAGATTAAAATCTAATAACCTCAACCACCTTCAAATGTGAGTAATTTAAAATAACCTCAATAAGTTAAATAACAATAATAGGTTAGACAGCCTATTACTAAAGGCATTGGAGATTAGAATCAAAAAAATAATGAGAAGTAAAAGCAAAGAGTCATATCAATTCCTGATCAGATTTAAACTAAAATGAATATAGAATCTGATGAAGAGGAAGTACAGATGAATAAGATACCCAGAAAACAAGTTAGGCCAAATGATGATGAGACTCTGCCCTAAATTCATTTCAAAAAGAAACCAGACTTTTTTACATAATTGAAATAGAAGGTATTAGTCCTATTTATAATTTGACAGATCACACAACCGTTAAATGAAAATACAGCTTTGTAGATCTAATATAAATATAAGCAAAGAGATGAACAATCTCCAGAAAATGAAAAACCTCAAAATGTTGCACCTGTCTCTTATTAAGATTTTATTGCCATGAAGAATAGAGAGATCAATGCTGCAAAATAAAGAAAGCAAGATGAGGAATATCGAAAGTAGTTGTTACAATAAAAGAAACAAGAAAAAGTAGCACCTGATAAAATAAGAGAAGGGGAGACTTTGCAATAATATCAATAGAGAATGATAGAGTATTTGCACAAATAGAATAAATACAAGAATAAGAAGAAGTACAAGAGAGGCACTGATTTGGATAATAAAAAAACAGCTGAAGAAAAACAAAAGATTAGCGAATTGATGAAGATGATTGATCCCAATTTTTAATAAGACGATATTGATGAAAAACCATTCAAGCCTGATCTATTAAATTATGATGTCTTACTTAAGAATGGTTTAATCTTGAAATAAGCATTTGTAAAACCACCAGAACCTGACATCAATCCCATGCTCAATGTTTACAAAAGAGGCAGATATGCAACTGAATTCATTTTTAGTGGTGGAATAGATATGGATGATGGTCCTTATGGATAATAATCAAAAAAGAAATCTAAGAAATTGCCATTCCCAAAACATAGATTAAGTTTATCTCCTTGGGAATACTATGGCGTGGGACCTGAGGAATATTTTGCTACCAGAAATCCTAATTTTGAATTCAAGTAGAAATACGTTCCTGTTAAGGATTATTATAATGAAATGCCAAGACCTAAGCAAAATCCTAAATACTTTAGTTATGATGTAGATTAATTATTGGCTAAACGGTACTAATCTATCCATCTAGAATATTAATATTAAACTTCTTTTATTGGTTATAAATAAAGACATTGGACACCTGCCTCTCATTTGAAAGCTGTTTGTCCTAATTTAGTATAAGAGTATGAGAAATACGAAAGAGATAGGTTGTTTTGTTATATTGTTTGTGCTAAGGTATCTAAATATTAACTCATTGAAACTGTTGGCATCTTGACTTCAAAATACACCAAAAACAAAATAGAGAATTTGGTTATGACTTATTGGAAGGGTGATTCTAAAGGAGAGAAAAAAACTATATCGAATTTAGAGAGGCAGGTGCCGTAGGAGTAAATTCAACAAATAGATGAAATGGAGATGTTCCAAGAGGATGATGATGAAGAAAAGGATAAGAAGAAAAGAACAAGTAAAGAGCAAAGACATTTAGAAGATGAATGGGATCCCACAAAAGATGGAAGCAACAGAAAGAGGAAAAAGGAACAAATTAAGAAAAGAAAAGTTTTCAAGAATAGCAGAGGAATTAAAATTAAAACAATAAATTTAACCAGAAAAAAATTAGAAACCGAAAAAGAACGATGCAGAAGGAGATCAAATGGAAGAAGAAAATTAAGCAAAAGATGAAAATTAGCCATCTTAATCAAAAAAGGTATTAAAAAAGTAAAAGAGAACGAAGAAAAAGAAACAAGAATAATCTAAGTAAGTTGTAGAATAAGAAGCAAATCAATTTGAATAGTAATTCTAATAAGAATAACGAAATGACAATGAAGCAAGGTCAAAAGAAGATAGTGAGGAATAAGTATTTTAAGACAATGAAGATTTAGTTTTCAAAGCCAAAATGATCGAATTCAATTAAAAGAGATTCAACTTCACTGGAACTGATGTTGATTTGTAAGAGAGCATGAAATTGGTTTTTCCAAACAATTAGCAATAAAAATTGGATTCAGAGAGATATAAATAATTTATATAGAAATGAATTATCTAATTATCAAATTCAATTTAAAATCATATATGAATCAATTTCCTAGTCCTGTCTATTGGTTACAATGTTAATTTAGACCAAGCTTCACTTTGATCTGCATTTTCATCGATCAAAGTCAACAATTCTTCTCTTTTTAATAATTTACACTAAATCAAATTCTAATGATTTACATCTAAATTAACTATGCAATGCCACATCAATTTAGCATACTTATTTCTCATCTATGGATCTGCTTCCCTCCCCAAACTCTCAATTTTGATTGTAATTTTCTTTGCTTATTCTTCTTCCTATCCCTAACAATTAAACTAATTCTAACATATTCAGACAAACTTTTCTTCTTAATGGTTAATCTGGTATTTCATTTTTCTTTTAGGTTTTTTTCTAATTTACTACATCCTACTTAACTAGTTTAGGTTATTCATTAACAATCTTCTTTTCCTCTATTTTTGCCTCTTCATTTGAGACTTATTCCTTTTTCTGTTGATTAGGTGGATTGTTAATAGTATTATTGTTATTACTATTTTACACAGAGACATTTTCAGGAATTTAAGTGTTGCATTCAACAGTCTATGCTTTTTATTCAGTTTTATCAATCTTTCTTTACCTTTTGGTTTATTCAGTGGATGATTTTTATTGTGGCGCTTACTAAACTGGTGCTTTCTTTTCTATACATGAGATTGATTAAGTACCTCTACTCTGATTAGTGCAAACTTCTGATAGGCTTTAAATAATAGTTGCAGAATTGAAAAACTGATTCAATAGAGAATTCTTTAATTTGCTAATTAAATCATGCAATCTTGTTATTTATTAATGAATATCCCTTTAAAAAAAGTGATCGGGATTTTATTCGCTTTGATGTTTCAATATTAAATAGACAGCATTAAGAATGGAACCTTTCCTTTCGGATAAGACTTCTGTGATAGTACTATTTTGAGTCACTTGTGCTTCGATAGTATCGAGGATTGGTGTCAATTTCTATTTGATTTAATCGTAATTCAATTGAGCTGCTATCAATAGTAATAATAAATCTTAGAATTCTCGGTCTAGATATTGTTTTTTCTATTGCATCTAAGGAGTTTCTTACAATGGAGATTTTTAGGTATTCTCATTAAAATTATACATACATCTTTGTTAGGAGTCTCCGGTTTTTTGGGTTATTTTCGCAAATTTCGTTTATTCATGGTGCCTTTCTTTTTGTCCTCTTATTCAACGTGCTTTATTTTTTTTTCTAATGATGAAAGAACTATACTTTAGAGTTTTTAAGCGGTTTAAATTGCTTCCTTCAATTTTTTATTCTTCTTCACTTTTTCATTGAATTCTTCAAATTTTTCTTAAAAATCATACAGATTATCACTCATCAATATGGAGCTATATATATTGTGAATGTACCCTTACTGTGAATCATCACCAATGAAATTAATGGCATACTAATTTCCATCGAATACTTGGGTAATCTTAATAAGATAAATAAATATTACAATTCCAGGCCACCATGGATCTAAATATATTTATTATAATATTTACGTCCTTTTGTTCTAGCCCAGACTATTTGTTTCTTCTTGAGACTTGACTTCATATTATTAATAAAATATTAAAATATATATATATTTATTGTTATTATTATCAATCAATGCAACAGTCCATGTTTCAATTCCTTTTGATTCATTCTAAACTGCATGCCTCCAACATTCAAATTGATTTTACAACGTCCATTGACGCTAATCGCTGGGTACAATTCCAGATTCTCTCCCATACTCAAAACCAAGGCCTTCCTGGTCTCCTCAATCTCCTTATTCTTATTATTCAAGTCTATAAAATAATTAATTCAATGTGATCACCAATATCAATTTCACTATCTGCATCCTCCTTCTTTTTCTCCTTCTCCATGTCCTCCTAACTCTTGCCCTCACTTGGTGGTGGAGGATTCAAGAATTTCCCATTGTCAACTCAACCACACTCTCCCATCCTTCTATCTAATACCAATTCCTATTGTTTCCCCATAGACAGCTTGAAACTTATGATGTTGATGTAAATTGTTCCCCTAAAACACTTGGCCTGTCAATGAATGGAATCCTACACTGGTCTAGGTACGACCCAAAGAAAACTGCTTCTGATACTCCTTAGATGAACAAAACCCTATTATGATGTCACAGTTTCTTGGATTGTCTTCTATCTCAATCTCAAAATAGGATGTGGCGTCTCTTGCCATTGGCTTGTCTGCTCTTATGGTTAATGTTTCCCCAGGCTTGCACAGGAAGGTCAACTCGATGTACTATCCGTAATAATCTGAAGTTCGCTGCTTCTTATATACTTTCTTTTTGCTGTTACTTCACGAGATCATCATTGGGTTCCTCCTTATTCTCATACAGTTTCCAGAATCGAAATTTGTTTCGTTGAGCAAACCCAATCCTCTCCCTCGGAATTCCACTCTCTGGTCTCTAAGAATATTCCTAATACACCCTATATTATCGATATTTTAAGTAGCCAAAAACCAGGCCAGCTATCCCTACCAAACTGCCTACTATTATTCCAGTGATCAACAACCAATGAGATCCAGATGATGCAGAATTTTCAGCCTCCAAATGGGTTATGTGATTTAAAAATTTATTTTACATAAAATATATATAATTGTAATTAATAATAATTTAAACTATAATTATTGATCCTAACCACCATTTTATTTAATCTGATCTTAAGGCTATCAAATATGCAAGATTAGCAATTCGCTAATCTACTAACCTAAAACACCAAGATGATGATGATGATTGACATTATTTCCAGTAAATGCCCTAACAAAACACAGTTCATTTAGTCAAGCAATACATTCGTATAAGCATTCACTACCTATTCCATATTATATTTAAAAGTCTTTTAGGGTAAATTCTTACTAATCGAAAGATTCTTCTCAATCGTGGAAATGGTATGTTCAACAACTCTTTTTTGAATATCAAATGATATCATATAGTTGGTAACCGAAAGTGTAAATAATTTGACGTAAAAAATATAGGTATTTTATAAGAGAAAAGAAAATTATTTTTTATGGCAAAAATGAGATCAATATAATATATAAAATCCAGTTCAATTTATGACTATTACAAAAATCATGATTCCTAATTATTTAAAAATAAATAAATTAATTATATAAATACATCGAGATTATGTAGTTCAAATCAGACTCATTTGATAGTGAATTAACGGAGTATCTCCAAATAGAACAGGAATTTGAAATTAAATAGTTGTTTAAACAACTGAAAGTTTAAAATTAATAGTTGCCGAATAAAAAGTCTAAAAAAATTAAGAAGTTGAAACTAAACATTCAAACGAATTCAATTATGTAAAGAAGAAATGTAAACGTACAATAAATTTGATATAATTTGTATATAAACTTCTCTATTCTATTTATTAGTGATATCAGTATGATTTTATTATTCCTCTCCCCCTCTTAATTGTTACTTGATTTCCTTATCATTACTAATAGATAAGCAAAATTATTTGTTTCTATTGAAAGCTGAATAAATTTATCGATTGTTGTTCATTTAAATTAACTCAATCATTATATATATATTATGATTCCTGATTAGATGAATTAGTGATTCAAAATATATATATCTTAGTGGAATTTATAGTTATAACTAGACAGCTTGCTTCTACATTTTGAAATATTGTTGTATATTTAATTCAATTACAGTTTTATTTTAGACATAATTCGTATAATCCAACAATATAATATAAACGCATTTTAAAAAGTCTATTTATAATATAAACTTCATATATTTCTCTTTTTTATTTCATAACAACTAATAATAAGCTAGAAATGTAAAGTAAAATGTTCTAAATATCTAATGAAGAATAGGAAATACTCCTATTTCTTGATTTTAAAAATGAATAATTAAATGAGAAATAATTTTACTGGACAATTTATTTTTTTTGTTGTTATTCACTTCAATTCTTATTTTTATGTTCCCTTATTGTAACTATGAAGCCTTTTATAAGAGAATAACTCTTTCTCTTAATAAGATTTGTACATTATCTATATGTACTTGAGAGCACTATTTTATTTATTTAGAAATCAATATATTTTAATTTACAGTATTATGTTTAATATAAAATATTTGAGTATAAAGATTTTGGCAAGTTATAGTATATGAAATCAAAAGCAAATGATAATTATTATATTTAAAAAGAATTTAAATGAATAAGAAATAAATTTGTAAAGAAAAACAAGTCAATTTTGGAATTAAATGAGGAATACTAATTGTAGATCGAACTTTATTTAATAATATATTTTTAAAGAAATAATATATGTTCAAAAAAAAGCAGTAAGCAAATTTAATTAGAAAAATACTTGTTAAGTTGTGCCAAATAAAAGGATATAATCGAATTGACTTCTCAATTTGATCTCTAATAAGAAAAAGAAAACTTGTTATAGGGAAATCTTATGTAGATATATGAAATGAGAGTAATTTGCAAATTTACGAACTACAGAGTTTATATGTATATTAAAATGATTACATTTTATATAAACAGAAATACTTAGCAGAAAGGAAAACTACTTCATAAATGAATAGCTCATTAGATAAGTTATTATCAAATCTTAATTCCACTTTTAATGAGTAATATTCTTGTTAGAAATAATTATTTACCATTTATATTAAATGTCTCACAAGAAATCAAAATAATTCCATTATATTCTAATAAAGTTGAAGGCTATTTTTAAATATTAACACTCCACTCTCTCTATTTAATAGATGGCTCTTCAATAAATTACCTAACTCAATTTATTGATATAGAAAAACATTAAAAATGAATTTAATTAGGTATTATTGTATATCAATATTATAAATGTATATAATGAATGGAAAAACCTTCAACTCAGATTGTTTCTACTTGCAAAGGCTAAATTCTGGCAGTTGAAACGGATTTCTAATTAATCTAATTTTACCATACTTATTAAAATTCCTTTTCAAGTTCTCTCAACAATTTCACCTTGAGAGCATCGTAAAATTTTGCTTACCTTGAAAATTTATGCAAGTGCAATCCCTCAATTAATTATTATTCGTCTACTTCCTAATCTTCGTTAAGCCAAAGCGTTTCATCTATGAGTGGATTATATTTTGAGTATGAGCTGTTATGCTCAAGGCTCCTCATTAAGGTTCCATTCGTTGAATCTTATTTTGCCTCCTTTTTAAAAAACCAACTTGTCAATAAAAATAATGCTATCAACAGAAACGAAAGAAAAATTGAAGTATATAATTAGTATCGAGTATAAATAGAAACTTTCAATACAGCATGAATAATTTGACTTGAACATATTTAAAGCATAATAGAAAAATATATATAAAGTTTAAACATGCGAAATTCTAATTTTAAATCTTTTCTAACTCCATAATTTATAAGCTAATACTTATCGATCCAGTAGATAATCATTAATTCTATGAGAGTAATAGGATAACATATGGGAAATATATACCCATAATAGAAGCATAAATGAATTAAAATATTTGTCTAAGTGTTTTTTACATTGAAATTCATTTTTTTTTAAACTTTTTAGTTAGCTTAAAATTATGTTAAATTTGAATTTGTATTTAAATATTTGTAATATGTAATTTGGATTAATTGCCAAGCATATTTATAGTCTATTATACTCAATATAATAGGAATGAGAGCATTATTCAATATTGTGCTAATAACATCCTCGCTAAATCCACCAGCACACCAAATTGGTGATTTTCTTTCTTTTACATCCTGCTAATTAATACTATTGATAGGAGCAATTATATAATAAGTCAAATTTAGAGTTAATTAAAGAAATTCTGATAAAATTAAAAGAAGGTTATTATAAAAAATTTCTTACATCTCTTTGTGAAAACTTAAATGAAAGTGAAACATAATTTTTATGGTAATAAAAGAAATAGCTGCCACAGATAAGCTAATTAGTGAATTAATATTTGATTGATATCCACTTTTTCCTGAATTTGCTTAAATATATTCATTTTTTGTTTATATAATTTTTAAAAATGGAATCCATAATGCGCTGGCTATTAAAAATTTGAGAAAAGCCTTTTTCAGATTTATTTATCGGAATTATTTTTTTGTTTTCCAATTAACATCTGAAGGCCTTGGACATTCAGTTATTGAACAATTTCTCCTGATTTTGTTTTTAAATTTAATGGCCTAATTCTTAAATTAATGACAAGAGGATTTTTACTTCATTAGAGAGAGTTAGAAAAACTCTACCAGTAAATTGCAAAAATAATTCTCGATTTTGCAGAACAAAAATCTAATCAACAGTTGTTCTTAGAACATCTTTCAAAGAGCTAAAATAATAAATTGAAAAATCAACATATCACTATTTTAAGCAAGAATTTCCCTTATTTTAACTTTTAATTAGTTTTCTAAATGCTCTTAATCATAAATTAAACAACAATCAATAATGTTAAACTACACTCCTTCCCCTTCTAATTACTGGTTTACAAAATAATTCATTATTTGTTTTTTGCTAGATTCGCTTGGAAAAAATAAAATCTCCATAGAGCAGGATTTTATTGCTGATTCATCATCTATTTCGTGATCTAAATTATGATAATCATATTCAGAATATGATAGATATCGAATGAAGGCTAATTGGATAAAAATAGAGACCAAGTATAAACTGTCCAAAAGGTTATCCTGAAAACTTATCATAAGACTGCATATTACTAGTCAGAATCCATCCTATTTAAAATTGATAAATAATTGTTAAGAGTTTTTTTACAGGTTTCATTGTTCATGCATGAATATCCTTTTTAGTTCTAGATCAAATTGTATATTCCAGCAACAATACTATTAATAGTCATTAAAATTACAAATTTATAGTTAGAAGGATAAATTAAATTTGTATCATCAAAAAGTATTTGTAGGCGGTACCATGTGCAATAAATATATCTATATCAGTTGAGAGGGGGTAATTTATAGTTTAAATGGGTTAATTGCAACAAGGACATCTTTTTGAATTTCTTAGAATTTCTTTATGAATAATTTAAGCTTTCTATTTGTAAATAATTTGTAATTTACTCGATGATTCTCTGCGAATTCGAAGTTTGGTGGTGATCTTAACAAATTTACTTACTCATTAAATTCTAATCCATTTGTATCCATTTTTATAATTAAATATTTTAAGTAAATAAAAAGTAGAGAAATAAATATATTCTATTCTACTAAATGAAAAGTTTAAGAACATTAATTTAAGATTCAAGAAAATTGATCCAAACTTATAATGCATCACCTTATAAAGATTTTGGCTCAATATCATATAAAAGCTTGAAAAAAAAAAAGGAAATGATAATTTTACAATTGTGATAAATCTTCATCATTTAATAAATAGTATAAATAATTAACATCTTGAATTATTGATATTTGGATTACATTTAGAAATGGCGCATCAATTTTGGAAGAATTTGAACTTATTTTAATTCTTGAAATCAAACTTAATTAAGATTTATAAGAAATTAGAGAGATTAATTATTTTGATTAAAATTCGATTTTTAGAAATATAACATTTCGCTATAGAAGTAAGTTTGTTAATTCCTTGATCTACCCAATAAATTGATAAAAAGGCAATGGAGTTCCTAAATTGGTGATTTCAGGTGTCGGCAATCTGGTTTCTAGGAGTTGAGGAAAGCCTTAAAAAATTGAGTTAAGTTATAACTTCATTTTAGATAAAATTTAAATACTTAAAAAAGATCTCCTCCGATATTCCCCCAAATTGTCTTATGATTTGTATATGATAGATTTCCAATTATATTTGCAAATCCAACCGTGTATAATGTCATAATTAATAGTAATAATAATAATAATACAATATTTAATCTGGCATAATGGGATTGCAATTTCATCATTATTTTTATTGAAATTTAAAACTATTTATTTAAAATCTTTTATCCTTTTTTCAGATCCTCTAATTATCCTTTCAAAACATTTAATTCTTTTTCATAATCTATCTTCTCCAATTTCTTTTTTATCTATAAAACCCGTTTTTTTTCTCTATTGTTCTCTCGAATTGTAGGATGGGAAAAATAGGCTTTTAGATTTTCTTTTGATTTTATTTTGAATCCATATTTATTGAGTTACCTCATTAGACTTTGGTAATTATTGTGTTTGAAGTTGGAAGTCAGCAATTGTTTCTTAAATTCTTCAACATTCCAAATAACAAACCTATGTTCATCCCATCCTATAATCTAATAATTTTTAGGATTCTAATTTATACATGTAAATCATACATCAAGTATTTCATATAAATGCTTCAAAAATTTTTATCTTTGCTTCTCTCCATTAGTTTCGAATCCCTTCTGAAGTTCCTTCATCAATTAGTAAATTATTTTAGGTATAGGAATTTTTTATTACAATCAATAGATAATATAAATATGTTTAAAAATCAAGATTATGGATCTAACAATTATTAGAATAATTCTCATTATTTTAATAAAGTGCAATTCATGTATGATTTAACGAATAATTGCTGATTTGCAATCAATACTAAAATTAGTAATCCTTCTTTAATAATTCTGATTTCCTAGCTATTTACTAATGTATATTTGTCAAATTCTAATTATAAAATTCTTTTAATAAATAGTTTAAGATATTCTGATATTCTTAAGTCCCTATGTTATTCATTAGGATTGAATATATGATTATATCGATTCTTCTTTTGAAAACTTTGAATATTCTAAAATATTTTAGGTAGCATCGTCCTATTTCTTCGAGCTGTTTGGTTGAAAATCTAATGAATTTACATACTTTTCTTTCTAAAGAATTATGTAGCCATTTATTGTATCCTACACTAAGTAAATAATATTAGATTTAAAATAGATTTAGACTTAATCAAAAAGACCTGTTGGAACATCCAGTTGTCTAAAATAAATATTTGATCACTTAAGTCAAGTTGAATTTATCACTCTATGGTTATATTGAAAATTCTATAATTTCATATTTTATTTTCTAAATTCTAAAATCTCAAAATCATTTTCATGCTGACCCTTACCTCAATATATTAAATTGTTATAAAATTGGGTTTCCTTCTTAATTAATCAATTTCTAAATGATATTTCAAAATATAAGAGAAATCCACATATATATGCTTTATCTATCTTAACATAATATTCAAAAGTAACCAAAACCAAAAGTTGTAATATTTTTAATATGATTTAAAAAATAGAATAGTGTATATTTAAACCCAGTTGATATCTTTCTACATATTTTATGTGTGGCTTTTATTCTTCTAGCACAAGTTGAACTATTAAAGGTATTTGGATTCTGAGGGGGTTTTTGAAAGTAAAATGGATATGACTGAACTTTTAGAATTGATTTAGTTGATTTACTTGGGAAGGTTCAAAAAACACTATATAATTATGTAAATGAGTATTATTAATCATTCTTTGTTGCTACTACTATGAATTGTTTCTAGATTGAGTCGCTTCTAACATTTTTAAGGATTAGAAAATTGATGAAAGTTTTCAACTTGCTTAATAAAGCTAAATAGTAGAAAAACTGAATCTCAGGTAACCTGATTATTATTTGAAAATACACCTGAACTAAGAGAGGTATGATAAGACCTGTTATTTACGATATTTGATTTAATAATAATACACACACATTTAGTCATTATTTCTTGGGTTTTCTCCAGAAATTAGAAATTCAAAGTTGTTCTTCATCCGTCTCTTCATCTATCATATCCAACTAGGATTTAGTTGAGGCTTTGATATTATGAAAATGTTTTTATTTCAAACAAGAGAGGAGGAATTTCGATAGATCTTCAAGTTAAATACTATCATCAGCAGTGATTTCAAGTTTGAGAATTTAACCTTTTAAATATAGCTTCTCTTCCTTTGTTATTAGTTGCAGCTCAAAAAGCCCTTACAAAGTTTAAAAGCATTATTTATAAAAGGTCACGTTGATTAATTACATGATTGCAATTTAATTTTCAATTTATATATTAAATTAAAACTAGAAATTATTACGCCCATATTAGAGCGTTAAATTTGAGTAAATAAACGGGTTCAAATGAATAAAACGATAACATTGATAATCGTAAATTAACCTCTCATAAATTCACTCAATATTAAATATTGATAAAAATGAAATCCACCATTATTAAAATTAAAACATTTAACAGAAGTGCTTTATTTAATTATCAAGTATGAATATAATTATATTTTCTACAATATTGAGTCTGAATATTTGGATTTTGAATTTCAATTCTTCTCCAAAATATATCAATTAATATACAATTTTTATATATATTACAATGTATTAATAATCTTAAACTTTTATTTACAATTTAATAGTTGGGATACTTATTAAAAATGATGGTGTATCAATCAATCTAAATTTATTCTTAGTAGTTGTACTATTAAGAGTAATAAACTGGTACAATAATAATAAAACTATATGTAAATATTAAGAATAATTATATTTATCTTAATATATTTTGTAAATATTGATTTAAAAATTGAAGTTGTAATGTATCTTTTGAGATCGATACTTATTGTTGATCAGCATCTGATCACATCAGACATCAAGGGTGAATAATAAAAGTTGACATTTAGATACTCCTATCTTTTGATTTTGTTCTTGTAGAATTATGTATGAATCTCAATATAATGATATTTAGAACTCTGTAAGCAGAACTTGAGACTTTTATTTTTGAAACTTAAATATTATAATATATACTAACATAGATTGTAATAAATCATAAAATTAGTTGATTTCTTTGATAGAGGATATTGAGAGGTCAATATTAGTGAAAACCTCGATTTTATTATTTATATTTGTTATTTTAATGGAGTGCTTATAAAGAAGTTAATTAAATGGGTTTGATTGATTGAATATTAAATTTATCAAATTATATGAGAAAGAAATTCACTTTGCAGTTTTCGCATCCGACAATAGAACAGGCTTATTAAAAAGATAGGTTATTGAAATATTTGTGGATGAAGAAAATACTGGCAATATTAATCCTGTTGTTTTCGATAGTAGGGTTGATTAGTTCCTTATTTTATGAAAAATAAGAGATTATGTATTGGGAGGTAGGTTTCACAAGTTACAGCATAATTTTGATAATCATCTCTTTCAAGGGATCTCCAGAAAAAGTGAAGGCTATATTTCAATTTACAAACATACTCTTGTGTATTCTCTAGGTACGAGCTAATTATTACTCAACTCCTCAGTGTATTTACTTGAGTGGATAAAACATTATGATTTTCAATATGATAATGTTCTACTTTTCAAGTATCTAGGAAGCACCTATTTAATTAATTTTCTTTCTCGTTTCAAGATGTGTGATAACTGGATTAGTGAATGAGATGTTTATGGGACAAGATCTGATATCAATAATATTGACAACACTTTGTATACTAATTTTTATATATCATAATGATTAAATTCAAAGAGAGCATTTCCTATTGCAATTCTCGGATAAATAATGGGGTATTAATATTATTTAATTACAGAATAAACTTTGCCAATAATTATTTAAAGTCCGTTCGTCATGTTTACATTCGATGAAGAAAGATTGAACTTTAATTTGAAAATTGCCAATGATATGTCTGAAATATGTTGGGATAGTGAAAAAGCACCCTCTGAAAATTTAAGATACTTTCTGAGATCCTTCAAAATGGGAAACGACAATTTAGAATAATATCTCGTCACGAGAAGCAGGACTTGCAGCGATTATAAGAAGATTTATTAATTCCAATTAAGAATTCAAAGAAATGAATAAATCTACGGAACCAAGAAATTCGTTATTAGATTTTCAGATTTCTACTTGCGAGAACAAGTGTTCCTGATCGTCTTTGATCAACACGAGCAACAAATAAGAGTCTTGGAGAAAGTCAAGACCGCTTTAATCTAGGGTATCAATTAACACTAAAATTTAACAATCAATTTCTTGTAAAAACAATAGCAATTACTCTAAAATCTGATTGTATCTAGTAATTCCATCAGCACTATTTATAAAATGAAGATTCATTGCATGTATTTCATAGGAAAATATACTCAATGCAATAGTTTTTAGGAAATCGAACAATAAATAATATAAATTAATCTTACTGATATGATCAAAGGATTGATACACATTTATTGTATGGCGTATAAAACCATATAAATTGAGTTTTCAAGTAGCACCTTTGAGGATGTATATGTTTTTAGTAATGAACAACTTTTGAATATATTTTTAGTCATCATATTTTAGACACTTGTTCGGATATGTTAAAATGGTAAAACAGTGTTCATCCACATTAATGAGGCAGATAAATAATAAGATTTGGAACTGATTAAGATTAGTGTGCTGTTTAATAAGTCAGAGGAACTCAAATAGAAATTAGTATATAACTAACTATTCTACAAATTACAAGTAAGATTAAGTCCAAAGGTGGATATTCTATCTCATGATAATGGTAATCATCTATGAATATTGACTAGCATGCCATTTTGAAATTTATAAGGATTTAAATTTGTTGAATGCAATCCGAATGTTGGAGGAAGATATATCCTGACTCGATCCTTGGCTATTTAATTTATGTTTACTCAATCTTTATAGACAAGAAATAAATATTAATATCATAATCATCTAAATTTATTGCCAAACAAGACCTTGTCCAGTCTTGTAACAGATCATCTACTGCAGACAGTTTTCCTCTGACTCAAGACTAACAACAAATCTTTATCTTATTTATTTGAATTTAATTTAGAAATGCTTTATGACCAACCATTACTAAATGTTATTTCAGTTAAAGTTAATTTGAATAATTTTGCCTATTCTTGAACCAGGAGTGAGCGTAATTATCAAAGATATTTGCCCTTTCTTTTGGGTGATTAACAAATATCAGACTCAAAAGATTTATCAATTCTTTAGAGATTGATTTTTTTGATAAACCTTAATTATATTAAATGATATTTCTATAGGTTTCAGAAGGAATAGTTCCATCGAAAGGGAGTCTCCCAAAACTAGTCCATATATTATGCATCCAACTGCCCAGACATCTTAAGAGGGTGAGACGCCTCTAAATAAAGAGGAGAACTTTAGGGGCCAGATAAGATAGCGTATCTACAACACTTCTGTTGATATTTAGTGTCCAGTATAGGTTGAAATACCGAAGTCAATAATTTAAATCTAATTTTAAATATTAAAAACTATTTCTTTAGAAGAAGGAGATGTTTAGCATGATATTTTCTAACTTCAAATCATAATGGGCAATATTATTTTCATGACAATAAGCTATTGCATCAACTATCTATTTCGAATGTAGTTTAGCATCTCCTTCAGGTAGTTTTGCGATGATAACATATACTTTATTATATACAATTAGCATAGTTGAGGAGTAATCCACCTTTCAAGTATTCCATAATCATTTCAATCTCAATTTGATTCTATGTTACATAACTTTAATGTAATTTAACAATGTTTTTAGGATCAAATGCTTTCATAATTAATTATTCTTATGGAACTCCATCCATTTCCCACCCTGACCATGATTATTAATTAATTATTTTAAAGGCTGTTAATTCCTTTGTGACTTTATGCCTTCCAAGTAATACTATCCCTTGGCCTCTTTCTCCTATTTTATTGATGATATACCCAAAAATTATAGCTTACACTTTCACTCTAATTTAACTTACTTTATCACATCACCTTCAGATAATATTTGGTTTAATATCTTCATTACTCAAGTTCTACATAAAGTTTAGTATCGTTTTTGATGTTTATATACAATTTTAGGAATGCTCATCTATTTAATTATTCATATCAAAAATTCAATATTTTCTGCATCTTGTTTTAATTTCCTATTTATGGAATTATAAAATCAGTCTTTCTCTTAAATCAGGAAATTAGTAAGTCTGTCTAATTAATTTTGTTTCGGTCCTCTTTCTGTATCTTAGCGAGTCAGTTAAGTGTATGAGGTTTTGTAATACTGAAATTAATTTATTATATTATATTTTATGATATTCAGATGAAATGTTTATTAAAATTTTATAATTATAATCAATTATATTCTTGAAATTTATTTAATGACTTCAATTATGACACATCTTTATACAACTAAATTTTGATGCCATTATCACTCAATCTAATTTCAGATTCTGGAGAATGCAATTTTAGATACAGTCTGATAACCAGATTTTTGTTTAAATTTTCCAATAGAATATAAGAATTTAGACAAATAATTTGAACAAATAAAATTTCTGATTTGGTATGCAAAAGTATTCTTGTTTTAGAACTCTAATCTCTTGTTGTCTTTCTTAATGACATTTATAACAATTGAATTATAAAATCCTAAGACATATCTTTGTAATGAACTACATCAAACCTACTATCAGTGCAATCAAATTATATGTTGATACCAGAATAGGCTTTTTCAAAAAGTGATATTATGGCTAGAAAAACATTTTTAAAATCAATATTGACGGTTTCAAAGTATTTGTTTGCTTATGAAAATGAATTTGATATTTTATATTTTCCTGAAAAATACAAATGATGAAGTTTTAATTAATAGAGCAATTGAACCCGAGATGACTCATTCTATAAACTCATGTTTATTAATGATGCCTGCTTTTTTAGGAAATTATGCACTAGTTATTGATGTTACCCAATCAAATTAATTAGGTTATCTTTTGTAGATTCTATATATAAGGCTTTCTATTTTGATTGCTCTAAAACAATCAAGAAGGTGTCATCCAAATGATATAATTCAGCCAAGAGGATGTTGGTTTCTTCAAAATCAACTGAATCATATTGATTTGGTCTGAGTGTAAATTGATTTAGATCAAAAAACTTGGATTGCTTTTCTATTCTGTTCAAAATGAATTATTCGATTGACACTTCAGATATGTGTTGGAGTCTAAAAAATTATTTAAAATTGTCCTCTTGGGAGAGTTCTTAATTACAATATGGAAATCTGTCTATCTTGCTAGAGTTCTTGTATTTAAAACTCATTCTATTGTGATCAAATGAAAAGAGAACAAAGGGATCACTTATCACTGAAGGCAATAATTAATCTAGATAAAAATTATATAATTAGTATACGCCAATCGTTTCCTTGATTGTTACTCAAAAACAGCAATCTTCTTTGTTTGTCAATTGTGGATATTATGGATATAAAACAAAGCGGACATAAAATTGATAATACAACTGAACAAGTATCAGTTTATGTATCAAAGAGCCCTGCTATAAGTAATTTGAAAGTAGTTTAAAAAAAAATGTTGATTACTGCCAATTTATAATCTATAATTAAAAGTATAGTTGTATGTGCAATGGCTAGGTTGGTGCCAAGAATAAATTAATTAGTCCCTTATTAATCATTAATTTAGAGCAAAATAAGCATATTATTTATAAAGGCCATACAGAATATGGCACCAGAGGAACAGAATTTTAGAATTAAAACATACATCAGTATCAAAATGGACAAAATTGATGATGTGATTAATATACCTACAACATTTTCTTAGCGAGCAAAACTTATTAATCTGATTAGTGTTATGATAAAAGATAAGAAAGCTATCTTCCTAAAGGTATCATAGCAATATTACTCCTTTTCCTTTTGATATAGACTTTCTAAATGTTGCTATCTAAAAGTTTGTGTAAATTTATTCATTGTTTTATTAATATCATAATTACATTCATAATGAAATAATAATATAATTAAATGATCAATTCAAATATTCTAATGGATGAGTCTAAATAATAATAGTCAGAGTTGCCATTTTAAATTTAATCCTCACAGTCCTCTTACAGACAATGCCCTCGAAAAGTATTCTCAATAGAAAAGTTTTCTGCAGAAAGCTATAGGTGAAGTTAATCAAAAAATCTGCGAATCTTTGTTAGGATTAATAAAATTAATTCTCATTTAGAAATAAATAAAATTAAATATATTAAAATAAATAATATCTAAATGTCCAGAGTCAAACAATCTTTATGTAAATTTGTATTTTTGAGTCTCTAGATGCACAACAATCACCAAGTACAGGGAGAATTCAGAAGATTTCAGAGAAGCTTTCTACCATCCAGATAGGAGTGGAGAATGAAAGATTTTAGAAATTGGAATAGGCAGAATAACGTATTTAGTAGGCTGAGGATGCATTCAATGAGTTTCAGGAGTAAATCTTTACCAGGCTTAATGGATTGCGGGATTAGGTATGTTATCTATGAAATTGATTAACAGTTGGGTAAATTATAGAAGCAAGTGGAGGATGATAAATAGGCCAAAGAATAAGCCATAGAAGCCAAGAATAGAGACGTTTTGGCTTTGACAAAGAAGTTTGAGAATGCTATAGAGAATGAGCAGCAAACTAAGAAGGAAGGAGAGGCAAAGATTCTTAGATTGACAGAGGACAAATCAGCCTTGCTTAGAACAGAGGTCTAGAAGGAGACTGCCTAAAGAATAGATGCCATAGAGGGAATTCATTAAGGATTACAAAATGATTTGCCAAAGATTCAAGAGGCCATTCGAGAGGAAGCCAATGAAAGGGATGAGTCTGATTAAAATGTAAGGAGTATTGTAATGTAGGTAATGAAATCGATCACAGATGAGTTGGTAAAATTGAGTAATTTGATCAACGTAGAGAAGAGAAATAGAGATGAAAGTGAGTAGTCAATATTTGAAATGCTTAAGGATATCGTGAATAGAGTGAAGGTAGAATTGGATCAAGAGAAAAGAACGAGAGAGTAATCAGAGGAACATTTGCTTAGTTTATTGGAAGACACCTGTAATAAATTAAGCATTGCAGCAAATTTATGAAAAATTTATATTCATATAAGACATTAAGGTTTGATATCAATATATATATATATATGGTTTTAATTCACTACAAGAAAACAGAGTTGAATCAGTTCTTATATGAATGTGCTGCTAATACCCCAACTGATTAAGTCATAAAGGACCTAGTAGAGAGTAATAAAACATGAATATCATTTAGTAAATAACATGAGAATTATTCTTGATCGTTTAGCATGTGCCATGGAGGATTTGGCCACTCATGGTAAATATACCAATACAATTCATTAAATAGGACCCTTGAAACCTGAGGACACAAGAGGATTATCTGAATAATCCCTAATTGATGCAGCAATCGAAACTATGGCACCTGAGAAAAAGCCTTGGGCAGTTACTCCTTAATAATTATTGCCTGGTCAAAGATTGAATCCTGATAAGACAGCTTATCGTACTGGAGTGATCCAGACAGAAGAATTGTCTAAGATGGTCATCGAGAATTGTACCAAAGTCAAACAAGCAATTTCAAAAAACTTAGTTGACTTAAAATAATGTCTGACTACAAAGATCGTCTAAGAACAACTAGATTTGTTGAGGGGCTGTATGATGATTTGTTATCCTGGATACCATGGATTGCCACCTTGGGAACCATCCAGAGAGATCTTGGAGGGTCAGTTTGACACTTAAGCCACATTTACAGAATAATATGATTTTTTGGATGAGAAAAACACATCCTTATGGTGGGCTGGGAAAGAGTTATTGAGAGGCAAATTGTTGTCTGATTTCATTGGGAAGAATGATAAGACCAAAATTGTAATTGCCACTCATTATATTTAATTAGATTGTGAGATTATAAAAGACAGGGGCTGGAGCTCCAGTTAGAGAACCTGCAGTGGATGCTGAAACCTAAAAGAAAATGATGGCATTCTATTATAAGAAATAATAAGAGTAGAAGGTATTTCTGGTTTTATAAGTGTTTAGGAATTAGAAGCAGAGAATGAGGATCAATATCTAAACTCTTAATGGGCCAATCCTAAATAACTGAAATAGCAGTTGATGGGAGCTAGTGATTAAATTTCATGGAAGCCTAAGTGATCTTCACGTTGTGTAATAAGATAAAAATTAATTAATTAATTATTATTGTAAATGAAAAGAAAGACCTTATTGTTGGAAGCTGATATTATTCAACAGATCAAAAGTGCCTTCAATCTCAACCAAATTGAAATCACCGAACTCCTGACTCAAGCTAAACGCTATGATCCCAAGGGCACGGGATATGTGAGTAAAACAGAGGTGGATGATATTATGAGAGGCATGAAACTTATTTAACAATATAGATCTTAAATTGCTTAATAATGAAAAGATGATTGCTAAATTCAAAGAGGAACTTAAACAACAGGATGCAAAAATGCTAGATCTTAAATAAATATGTGATATCTATTGCAAATTGAAAAACTATTAATAATAATTGGAAGACGAAGAGACTATCACATAAGAATACAGTATTGTTATTTAAGTCATCCTAATCTAGTTGATGCTTTTGTGGCTTTGGGAGGCAATCCAGACAGAACTGGTGTTGTTTAAAAATAGACCATTTTTGATATTGTTCAAAGTGAGTTCGAACTTAAGATTGATTTGGAGTCTTTTCTAGGAGATTTCCAAGGGAATCAATTGGAATTTGAAGATTTTTGTCAATTATTTGAGAATGCTGGTGAAGATGCTAAGTCTTTCATTACTGTATAATTAATTTAAACACATTTTAGAGCTTTTCCCAGGCCAAACGCAATAACAATTCTGATTTTACAGTCAGATTTAAAGATTTTGAAAAATGGGAAAAGACTGCTATGTGATTATTGCATTTTAGACTGTGTTTTAATTACAATTATTATTTTAATGATTAATGTGTTTAATAAGATTAAGCTGATCATCTTAGAATTTCTATCTAAACACAACATTATTCTGAAACAAACTGAATCTGTTGCTCTGGATAATTAGATATCAATTGTCACCAAATTGGATTACTAATTTATGACTCCAAAAAAGAAAAATATGAACTAACAATTTACTTCGATCTCCATTTCCAAAAGTGAGTATGTGTCAAGTTAGGAAATGTTTTCAAAGATCGAGGAGAGTTCCAAAAAGTCAATTGAAGAAAACTACACCAACAATCTGATGAGTATGACAAGTAGTGAATTAAAACTTCAATTTGGTGCCGCTGTTCAATTCATCCTAAATCAAAAATGCAAAAACAATTAGTTAAACTTCGTAAGTATTCATCCAATCATATTTTCAATTGTCAATAATTTCTTTGCAAACTGACCAAACACACATATGATTCAAAAATATGAATGATCCATCCCATTATTTTTCTATCAAAAAAATACTATTCACCATTTTATATTTTAAAATATACAATAATATCTACAACACCCTTTAAGAATTCAAATATTTTCGAGTCTTCTTTATTTTTATTGTGTGAAAAAAGTTTTAAAATCTATTTCGATATCTCATACCTATATCTTGGATAGTCTTACTTAAATTTGATATACTTTCTAATCAGTGTTTGTATATGACCCTAACAAGTTGATTTTATCTTCAAATTCACATCATCTATATAAGATGACTTGATCATTACAAAAGGGATTTATTGTTATTATTGTATAATCATTATGATCTCATTTTATGTTTCTATGGTATTATTTTATTTGATTATCATTGAAAATACCCTTGTAGACATGAATAATATCGAATATCTAAGTTTACAAACAATTTAATTATTTGAGCTTTAAAAAGGATTTATTAGATTGCAGTAATCCCACTCTTTACTTTTTAGGGTGTTTTATAAGGCAGATTATGATAATGTCTATTATCGAATTAATTTTACTATTGGGTTTAATCAAAATAAATATTAAACTAATTACCATTAGAATATGAATGAAATGGAAGCAAATAGGAGATCTAATTTTTTTGCTGCTAGTGGAAAAAGGGTTGTCCAAGAATAATAAGAACAAGTAAATTATTTAATTCAAGCAGATGGCGATTAGAGAAGATTAAAAATATAAGTTATAATAATATAATGATGATTAAAAATTAGAAAGACAAGAGCCAGTTCCTTTTTATTTGTAAAGAAATGATCGGCCATAAAAAATAACAGCTGCAGAAAGAAAAGAAATAATTCGAAACATTGAATTAGAAGCGAACAGAAATTCTGATGGGGGGATATTTGCAAAAGTGTATAAACAAAAGGATGCAAAAGATTAATAGTAATAGACATAAAAGCAATAATTCATTGATGAAATATAAAAGTAAATAGAAGAAAAGAAAAGGAGGAAAGAGGAGGAAAGGTAAAAACAAATCGAAGAGGATAGAAAGTATGAAGAGAAATTAAAAAAAGAAAGAGAAAAAATAAGTTAAAATTAGAATAAGGAAGATGACAAGAAACTCATAATTAAAACGATTAAAAATAAACATCTTAGACAATAATAGGATGATTCAAAGTTCATTTTCAACGAATTCGAAGATCACTAGATTAATTTAACTAATAATAATATAGTTCCTAATTATCTCAAAGAAGTTGATGATAAATATGATTAAGAACTTAAACATAAGGTAAATCCTCACACTCCTTTAACGAAATTATAATCTTAAAGAACTTTGCAAGATTAAAATCTAATAAATATTACATATAACCCTCCCAATACAGCTGGTCAAAACCAAAATAGCACGTCATTTAGAAATAATTCATAACATTAATATAATTAACAATTAAATTAGTATGAAATATCTTAAATGTAATCACAATAATAATAGGTATTTCAATAATAATCCTATCTTGATTCCTACTAATAGTCTAACTATCAATATTAACCAATCTAATATAGATCTGTTATGCCATAAATAATTTAGTAGATTTAATAGGAGCAATAGGAATTATTAGAGATAAATAAATTTAAAAGCAGAGAATAAGAATAAGGAATAGAAAAATTGAAAGAAGAAATTGAATTTTAATCTAATAAATGGAATGAAGAGTTGAAAAGGCTAAGGGGAGAGGTTTAAATAAATACTGAAAAAAAAAATAGAGCATTTTATGAATTATACAATCTAAAGGATGAGTTGAAAAAACAATAATTATTTGAGGAGGCTAATTTGAAATTGGTGAAATAATAGGTTGCAAATAGGAGACCTGATAGTTTAGCTAGTTCTGAAAAGAAATTAATCACAGAAAGCGATTACAAAAAGAGTTCACACTAAAGTAGACAACTATCTAATATAGAAGATAATTTATTTCTTGAAACTTTTGTTGATTAAATATGATACTGAATCATATATTAACTAATTTATATTAATTATAAACAATTCAAGATTTTTAAGTTAGTAATTCTACAGTATTTTTCGTTATTATAATTAGAAAAACTAGGTGAATATTCATTATGTGAAGTTAATCAGAGATAATTATTAAATTTGTTGAGTGGATTGCATCAACTCACATTTTGAATACTTTTCTTGGAAATAATTCAAATTATAATCTCTTTTTAGAATTAATAATACATGATAATCTATATTTAAAAAATGCAATTGATACACTACGCTTACCCATAAATAAGTTTCATTTCTTTCTCTCCATTTGATGTGATGTAAAATTATAAGAACTTAAGATGTAATTAAATTAATATATTATGAATTAAAATAAATGTTAATCTGATTCTGGAGGGACTAAAACTAAAGTCCCTGAGGAAGATCATTTTCTACTTGTTATGAACTAAGTCTTGGAAAGACACAAGTCAATTGCAGCTAAAAACAATGAAAGTTAACTACTTCAAAATGCTCTTAAGGCTTTATAATAAGAATTAAATGAAGCAGAATCTAAGAATCCTGGATCTGCTAAGTAAATACTAGATTCCATTTTCAATAATTGATTATTAGAATATTAAATATCAGAATCACTCTACTTTTTGGAATTTACACCATAATGTTCTTAAACTTTTTTTTACATCTTTAGTATATGTAATCAATTTCAAGAATAGTATATGCTGATCGAGAATTTCAGATTAAAACTTCTATAATTTATGACCGATTATAGACCTAGAGATAGTTGACATGAGTCAATGTACATTTCTTTTGTAATTGAAAAACTACCATTTGTATTCTTTTTAAGTAGCATTACCTCTCTTCATTTACTTTCATTTCAATAATTTATTTTTGCAGTTGCCATCTAATATTCGTATTATGGTAATTTGCATTATATTATCATAATTAAGTTTCTTTGTAAATCACCTTATTCTCTTTATACATTGTTTCATAATAAACTTCATAATGACTTTAAAGTATAAATTTACACCTGAATTATATAAATATATTTATTAATCATCTACTCTATAAGATTAATCTAACAGTAGATTTGTTCACTAAATAGAAATTTTGAATTATATGATTCTGATAATCTAATTTCAATCATGAGGTTGCTCACTTCTGCATTTAACAATAACAGCAGTTCTTACCAAACCTTAATAACCCAGATAATATATGATTTCTTTTAACTTGTTCTCTCTTTATAATTAAAATTAGTATTATTTTTCTCTTCTTCATTTTGCCCTGTGAACCATATTATTTTCTTCGTTAACATAATTTGTTCTCCTCTCCTTTTGTTCTGTCAAACGTATAATTCAACTCCCATTCAAAATCGATTGTTTAATATATTATTTAATAAGATAGACACAAGGCCAAAAAAAAAGCCAATTGGGGGAATCGAACCCCCGACCCTTTGCTTACGAGGCAAATGCTCTAACCACTGAGCTAAACCGGCATCGTTAAATACTACATTTATTTATTATATAAATCACAATTCATCGTGCATCTTCTTCACATATTAAATAAATTTATGCTCAAATTGCATAGCTGCAAAATTCAACTGAGTCTCACTGATTGGCTTATAAGTACTTACTCCATTCTCCAAAAGATCAATAAATCTCTCTTATTCACCTTCGTAATCTTCTGCTACGAAAGCTATTTTCAAAGTAGTCCCTAATGAATCATCCATATACTCGCTTACCTTTCTTTACTTCAGGTTTTACAGTCAAAACAACACTCTTATATTAATCTTCATTGATTATGATTTAAGGAACAAAGTTCTAGAGACTTAATCCGACTGCATTTCCATTCATTCCAAATTACAAAAAGAAATCAGTCTCAGGAAATAATTCCTTCAAATCTATTACATTAGTATTCAGCTTTACTTTTGGCCTTAGATCTTTCATGATAGATCACAAATTAATTATATTTCTCTGAATAACACAAAACTCCATCGAATTCTTTGTAATATCCATCCAATACAGTAGCTACTTAAACCTTCACTTTCTGTAATCCTGCTTCCTTTTAATCGCAATAGCCAAAAATGAATAATGCAAACAACACTATTAAACTCATTTTTATTAATCAAATTTTTCCATTAAATTTATTCTTAAATATTATTATCTCTACACGTAAGCATGATTCCAATTTCTTGATTTAATTTAATTTTTTCATTATTCCCACCCCAGAACTCTGAAGTTCAACTGATTAATATATTAATTAGCCTGTTTGATCCAGTATTCAAAAAAGAATAAATAAAGAAAATAGATAAATTTAATCAACTTTTATATTATTTCCACTCATTAAATTTTATAATATTTTAATTTAATTGGAGTATCAACATTCCTTAGAATGTGTATATCATTTTTTAATAAAGTATTAAACTTCTTCCATAAATTTTATATCTAATAGTATTATTATTTGTAAGGAGAAACCAAAAAAGAAAAGATATGCAATATATATCCTAGATAATCAGAAATTTTAATTTTGCCTTGAAGAAATTGTTAAAAAAATAAATTCAGTAAGATTATAAAATTATTATTTATGTTTAACAGAGTTGTTATAAAAAATTTAGATTATTCCTTATAAACTTAATTAGATGCAGGAACTCAAATCATATCAAAAGATATTCTATAATATCATATGTCATAAATATTAATTTATAATCAAATTAATTAGTCTATCTATTTTTTATTTTTCCCAGAAAACGGTATATACGGGTTTATTTCAAAAGACATTTCAATTGCTAGAATATTGAATTATAATTACCATATTTAGTTACTTAGGTTAAAATTACAAATCTACTGAGAGATTCTTAATGAAGTTCAAAAAATGAAAGAACAACAGAAGAATTAAAATGCCCACTAACCACTAACTAAATCGTATCTTCGTCTAATTTAGAGTACCTAAATTTAATCATATAGGTATTTGTATTAGAAAATATCTTAAACAATACTAAACTAAAAATATCTGAATTTGTTTTCAAGTTTATTGTGTTTTTTATATTGATCTATACCATTAAGTCTGGAAAATATTTGGCTTGCTTTGAAATTATATGACAAAGATTAATTTCTTATACTGTTTATTCCCAGCTATTTTATAAGTTATGATATATTTCGATTAACCGAATCCGTTTCATAAACGTAATATAATGTTATTTTTATTTTAGTTTTTTCTTCAAACTCTTTAATAATTAAACAAAGTATTAAAAAAAAACTGGGCTTTCTATTGTTGAGGATGTATTTTATATCCTTAATTTGGGTTTATGAAAAATTAATAAAATAGTTGGCTAGTTTGCGAAAAAGATCGAAAACTCTAATTTTATTAATTCCCTTTATTATTTAACCATGATTTCTTTTTTAAAAAGATCAATTCTGTCTTATTGATGTTGTTTCATCTAATCGTATAGGTAGTTGTTGAGTGATTTCTTTTAGTGCTGAGCTTCTTTTAAAAAATTTTGAATATCTTCCTTATCTTTAAAGCCATTTGAGAAGTTGTGTGCCATAAAATACTCGAACTAAAATGAACTCTCATTGAAGTTTAACATGATATATGATTACTTATGAATCAACTACTCTAATATTCTTTCCCATTATCTATCTTTCTAAATTAACATAAATTGTGCTCTTATTGCCTCATTGTATTTGTACACAAAAAACATTTGACAAATAGATATGAAAACAAGCTTCCTATGGGGTATAAGGTCAAGGATTTAGTTTAATTCAATATGAAAATAATTCTGATAATCGTAATTGATATTGTCTGAAATAATGCTTCTGGAAATTCAGTTCCTATAGTTATGAGAAAACAAGCTCCCATTTAGTTTAAACCTTTCAAATGTGAAGTCGCTGCATCACTGTCTTCATCATATAGATAAAAAAAAATTGTCAATATATGATTTGAAAGCACTGATAGGATTCTCAAACTGATATAGTGTTTGTTTAAAAAAATGTCCACAAAAATTATGAATAACAGCATTATTAGGTTTTGATAAAATCGCATTAACTCACCATTAAGCACATAGGTTAAGCATCTGAAAAAAAAAATAATCATGTAACCTTTTGCAAGCAGATTAAAATGAGTAATTCTAATGTGCTACAGAGATTGAGACTAATAAAGGGCTTCCACTTTTTTGTCGTAGAAGAACAAAGTAAATTTATTCATCTTAATAAAAAATATAGAAATTTTCAATTTTGATACCTTAATCAGTTAATAAAGAGTAAAGAAATGATTAAGATAAATGAATTGTTGAACAACAATATGATTAATTATAACACGTGTTTGGAAATTCTTAAGAATTTCAGAACAGAAATGGTATTAAAGACCCAGACTGAAATAAAATTAAACCTCTTTTTAATTGTCAAATTTTAATATTTCCAGATTACTCAAAATTATGACTTACTTAATTAACTTGAATTTTACATATGCAAAATAATAGCAATATTCAGAATTGTTTTTAAATCCAAAAATACACCATCAACTTCTCATAATAACAGATCTGAGCAAACAGGAATTGTATAACCCATTTGATAAATTATGACAAATGATATTAAAATTCAAATATATAAAAATATGGATGTTTCAACAATCTTAGATAAAAATAGGAGTATTTAATTATTTTGTTTTTTAGATTTGAGCCATAGATTTGATTTACTTTCGATTGATGAGATAGTGATCTTATTTTTACTATTAAGACTGATCTTTCTTTGACTTCTGATACTCTTAAGAATATGCATCTGAAATGATACTTTTTTGAGTTATCTTTAAGCAACTTGATTTTATTTTTCATCTAGATATCTGAATCTTGTTTCCCATGTTATGATTAACTTATGAAATGTTATATTAATATCAGAGCTAGACTGGTATATAGCGAAGCATTATTCTGTGCCAATCCTTTTTGCTCTCAAATCTTGAATTTTAAATATCGCCTTCTTGAGAATTTTATGAGTATAAAATTGAATTATTTATTCAAATAACTAATGGCAATTTTGTATGAAGACAGGTAAACCTTTGAAGAAGATAGAGTGAAAGGATAAAAACTGTGAGTTATGTTATAATTTACCTTTGGCGAATCTTTCTTCTATTCGATTCAATCATAGTCAAATTATTATGGTAATGCCAAATCTAATTCTAAGTTATTTTATTATGGCAATTTTTATGAATTAGTGAAAGAAGGATAGGGTTATGAGTTCTAATCATCCAATTAGCTGTCTTTCAGAATCTCTTAGATTATCATAAAGATTATTGAATTTTTATTTAAGTAGAAGATCAAAGAATAGCATATCTTAGTTTTGTGCAGCATCAAATAATTCAATTTTAAATTTGTTGATGATTTTGATAATTTTGATAATTTTGAGGATTATATTTTATGAATATGGATGATTAGAATCTATTTGAGGGTGAATGGAATGGATAATCCTTAGAGTTTTTGGGTAATTTATTAAAAATATAGGTACAATGTTGTATAGTGATATACTAGCCTAAAATAGCACGAATATGATAGATATTATTTCCACTAAATGCCCTAACCAAAAATAATTGATTGAGTCAAGCAATACTATTCAAGAGAACAATAGAGAAAAAAAACAGGTTTTATAGATAAAATAGAAATTGGAGAAGATAGATTATGAAAAAGAAATAAATTATTTGAAAGGATAATTAGATGACCTGAAAAAGATAAAAGATTTTAAATACATAGTTTTAACTTTCAATAAAAATAATGATGAAATTTCAATCCCATTATGCCAGATTGAATATGGTATTATTATTATTATTACTATTAATTAGTTGACATTATACACGGTTGGATTTGCAAATATATTTGGAAATCTATTATATACAAATCATAAGACAATTTGGGGGAATATCGGAGGAGATCTTTTTTAAGTATTTAAATTTTATCTAAAATGAAGTTATAACTTAACTCAATTTTTTAAGGCTTTCCTCAACTCCTAGAAACCAGATTGCCGACACCTGAAATCACCAATTTAGGAACTCCATTGCCTTTTTATCAATTTATTGGGTAGATCAAGGAATTTACAAACTTACTTCTATAGTGAAATGTTATATTTCTAAAAATCAAATTTTAATCAAAATAATTAATCTTCCTAATTTCTTATAAATCTTAATTAAGTTTGATTTCAAGAATTAAAACAAGTTCAAATTCTTCCAAAAATTAATAATCATAATCCAAATATTAATAATTCAAGAAGTTTGATTATTTATACTATTTATTTAATGATTAATTAGCATTACTATATTATAATTATTCTTTTAATTACCATTTCGTTTTTTTTTAGCCTTTTATTCAAATGAAAAAATCTCTCTAATGATTTTTCCATTCATCCTAAATTTTAATCCTTCTTAATTAATTTATACTATTACTTTTAACTGAGTAGAATAGAAAATATCGATTTTCATATTTTAATATTTACAAACAGAAATATTTATTAATAAAAAATGGATACTAATAAATCAGAATTCATTGACGAAGAAAATTTGTTAAAAGCACCCCCAAATTTCTTATTAGCTGAGAAACATTGCGTAAATAAATATTATTTACAAACAGAAAGCTTAAATCATTCATTAAGAAGTGATAAGTAACTCATAAAGATGTCCTTGTTGCAATTTACATGTTGAAACTATAAAGTATTCCCTCTTAACAGATATAAATACTTTTGTTTAGGAGGGTACCGCATACAAATACCTTTTGTTTATAAAAAATGTATTTATTCTTCTTAGTATAAATTTGTAACTCTCTAATAATTATTAATAGTATTGTATTTGGAATATATAATTTTATTTAGAACTTAAAAGGAGATTCATGCATTATGAATGAAACTTGCAAATAGAATTTGAACAATTATTTATCAATTTTAAATAGGATGGATTCTTACTTGTAATTTAAGATTTTATGATAGTTTTGAAGATAATATTTTGGATATTTTATATTTGACTTCCACTGCTATACAATTAGCCTTCCTAAGATATATATCATATTCTAAAGATGATGATTATAATATAGATAGAGAACTTGATAGCGAGTTTACAATATCAAAATGCTCGTTAAAGATCAAAAATTTGCCTAGTAATTGCAACTAAAAAGAAGGTTTGAGTCTATTTGTAAATAATTTATACAAAAGTGACAATGATCCATTAAACATTATTGATTCTTGTTTAATTTATGATGAAGAATATTTAGAAAATTAATTAAAATTTAAAATTAAAGAAATTCTAACTCAAAATAATGATAGGTTTGTTTTCAATTTATTATTATTAGCTCATTGAGAGATGTTATAGAGAGAACTGTTGATTTGAATTATGTTTTGCAAAATCGAGAATTTTTTTTGAAATATGCTGATAGAGGATTTATAACTTTTGCTAGTGAAGTAATAATAATTTTATCATTTTTAGAGAGAGGCTATCAAATTTAAGGATTTACTAAATAGAAAAAGTGTGATTGATTGTCCAAGGCCTTCTGATGAAAAATGGATTACTAAGAAATAAAAGGTTAATTTAATACTTGAAACTATCCTATTTATAATAGAATGGGTTTGCTTTTATCTAATCTACTTATTCTAAAATATAAAAGATGAATATACTGAAACAAATTCTGGATATTAATTAAATAGTAAAACACTTTTGAGCTTTTCTATGCCTATTTTGTAAAAGATTAGTATTACCTTACAATAAAGAACATATTAAAAAGTACTTTAATATAGTTAATTTACTCAATTGCCTTAATATTATTTTGAAATTTTTTAATTGCTCATAAGTTCATTCAATGTTGTCGCATTTCCTCTTTTAATTTTTGAATAACGAGGCTAATAAGAAAGTAAATTAAAATTTTGGGGTGATGGCGGTTTCAATGAAGATATTATTTTTATCATAGTGATTAGTTCAATTTCATTTATGGGATTAAGTATAATAGATTAAGAATATGCTTGGAAACTATTAAAAACTTTTTATTACAAATATTTAAATCGAAATTCAACTTTAACATAATTTGAAGCTAACTAATTAATCTAAAGAAAATTGGACTTTAATGCTAAATATATTGGATTACTTCATTTAATTTTTTCATGCTCCTATTATGGGTATATTTATCCCATCTGCTACCCTATAACTCTCATAGCTCTATTTATTATCTTTTGGTAAGAAAAATACTAACTTATTAATTATGGAGTTTAGGAGGAATTCAAATTCAAAAAAGACTCATTAAAATTGCCTATATTACTTCTCTTTATTTTTTAAGTTTCATCTCCTCAATTAATTCATAATGTATTTAAAATATCACCAACTACTCGCCCATTTTTTTATATATTCCTTTTTTTGATTTTTTTACTCATTTACTTGTTTTTTTTTTCTGATTTGATTTTTATCAATTAATCTTCAGATTATCAAACGGCCGAAGCCTTAATGAAAAGCCTTGAGCATAACGATTTATACTCAAAATACAATCCTATAATAAATGAAACTCTTTGGCCTAACAAAGAGTATGAAAAAGTATGGAAATAATAAAATTTTAGGGATTACATTAACATAAATTTTCAAGATAAGAGCGATATTACAACACTCTCAAGGTGAAATTGTTGAGAGAGCTTGAAAACGAATTTTAATAGGTAACGTAAAATTAGATTAATTAGAACTCCATTAAAAAAGTCAGCATATAACCTATTTAAGGTGAATAAATGGTAGTAGAAGAATGAAGATCTTAAAATTCATATATATTATAATATAAATTATTTTTCTAAATCCAATTATTTGTATTATATTTCTAATTTTAAATATAAAATATCATAGAACACTATTACAGTATACAAATCTATTAGGAGCACTTGAATATGCCATATTAGATAACTTAAATTCTATCAAATATTAATTTAGATACAAAAAAAGAAATAGAATCCATGAGATTAAGATGATTTTGAAGAAATACTATCTAATTGATCACATTACAACAATAATAGGCAATACCAAATTGAAAAATATAAACATCCAAATAATTTATAGCTATCAAAATATAGGAGTACAATTCAAATGTTAAAAAGAATTATTTTTATTTTTCGCTCAAGTTGGTTAATATTTATTCTAGTAGTTCCTTATTTATTCTAAGATAACTCGAACAAAATTTTAATCATACTAAGGTTTTTATATAGATTTCAATTTATTTTCTTAATTCTTCTGAATTATACTCAGAAATAGTTTGCTTTAGGGTTCAAACTCAGGTTTTCTAAAATTACTTCTCCTTTCATATGATCTACTTGATATTTTTTAAGAATAATTAATAATTTGCTATTTAAGACTATTTTCTTAACTTATTACAAGTTTTTAAAGATTACCCTTCTCTTCTTTCTTACCTTATTATATTAAATGTGGATTTCTCAATTCCAAATATCAGTTATATTTAATTTCACAAAATATTCTAATTTTATTAGATCTACTTATTGCTTTTGAATTTAAACTATTCTACTAAAAAAATACTTGTCTCACTCATCATAACTTTCAATCAACATTCATTTTTAATTCTATTATTATCTTTATCAAATATCATTTGCTTTTGATTTCATATACTATAGCTTGCCAAAATCTTTATAATAAACATAATACTGTAAATTAGAATATATTGATTTCTAAATATATAAAATAGTGCTCTCAAGTACATATAGATAATGTACAAATCTTATTTAGAGAAAGACTTATTCTCTTATAAAAGGCTTCATAGTTACAAATAAGGGAACATAAAAACAAGAATTTAAGTGAATAACAACAAAAAAAATAAATTGTCCAGTAAAATTATTTCTCATTTAATTATTCATTTTCAAAATCAAGAAATAGGAGTATTTCCTATTCTTTATTAGATATTTAGAACATTTTACTTTACATTTCTAGCTTATTATTAGTTGTTATGAAATAAAAAAGAGAAATATATGTAAATAGACTTTTTAAATGCGTTTATATTATATTGTTGGATTATACGAATTAATATACAACAATATTTCAAAATGTAGAAGAAAGCTGTCTAGTTATAACTATAAATTCCACTAAGATATACATATTTTGAATCACTAATTCATCTAATCAGGAATCATAATATATATATAATGGTTGAGTTAATTTAAATGAACAACAATCGATAAATTTATTCAGCTTTCAATAGAAAAAAATAATTTTGCTTATCTATTAGTAATGATAAGGAATTCAAGTAACAATTAAGAAGAGGAGAGGAATAATAAAATCATACTGATATCACTAATAAATAGAATAGAGAAGTTTATATACAAATTATATCAAATTTATTGTACGTTTACATTTCTTCTTTACATAATTGAATTCGTTTGAATGTTTAGTCTCAACTTCTTAATTTTTTTAGACTTTTTATTCGGCAACTACTAATTTTAAACTTTCAATTGTTTAAACAACTATTTAATTTCAAATTCCTGTTCTATTTGAAGATACTCCGTTAATTCACTATCAAATGAGTCTGATTTGAACTACATAATCTCGATGTATTTATATAATTAATTTATTTATTTTTAAATAATTAGGAATCATGATTTTTGTAATAGTCATAAATTGACTGGATTTTATATATTATATTGAATTCTTATTTACAATAAAATAATTTTCTTTCCACTTAAAATATTTGTTTTTAACATCAAATCGTTTACACTTTCAATTACCATCTATATGATCCCATTCGATATTCAAAAAGAGTGTTTTAAACGTACCATTTCCTCGATTGAGAAAAATTTCTCTTTTTTGCAAGAATTTTACCTTTAAATACTATTAAATGTAAAATGGAAAAGGTAGCGATATCTGATTTTCTATTTTTTTTAGCCTTAATATAAATGTACAACTAATTTTGCAGATATCTTTACACACTTTTAACTAACTCTTTTATTAGATCTTTGTGACGGAATCCAAATCTGCAGTTTTACAGAGGATAGTAAACTAGATTTTATTAAACTCAATTTCATTTAAATTTAAAATATGAAATAATAAAGGGTCTGTTAAAGGAAGCCTGATTGTAATAAAATGTTTTTTGTATATGAATTAGTGATATAATTCTAGTTAATTAATAATAAAATCTGTTAAAAATATAGTTGTTAATAATGAAATCAGACTCTTTGGCAGTAAGTGTATTAATTTTTGATTAGGAAGAATTACCAAATCAAGAACCCGATAGGTCGCGGAGCTGGTAGTTTTGTGTGTAAAATTGTCAACCGTCTAAGTAAAGTAGAGATGGCTGCCAAGATCATTCAAAAAACATCATCAAATGCGCAAAAAATATAAAATGAAGTTGCAATACATTTAGAATTGCATCATAAGAATGTAGTACATCTAGCAGACATCTTCGAAGATGCTGATAACAGTTATCTTATTATGGAATTGTGTGATTCGGATATTTATTAGCTGATTAAAAAGGAACAATTCTCTGAATAATAAATACGATATTATGGCAGGTAATTGGCAGAAGGCTTACAATATTTACATTCTCACAATATAATCCACAGAGATATCAAATTGGGTAACTTATTAATCCAGAATGATATTCTAAAAATTGCTGATTTTGGATTGGCTGTAAAATTAAACAATGACGAAGAAGAGAGAAGCACTCTATGTGGAACTCCCAATTATATCAGTCCTGAAATCATAAATCAATAACCATATGGTAAAAAGGTTGATCTTTGGAGTATGGGATGTTGTTTATATGCAATGGCAACAGGTCATGGGCCCTTTGAAGAGAAAAATGCTCCATTGGGGGAGGTGTTGAGAAGAGTCAAAGTTGGCGATTTTGATTTACCCACCAATTTCTCAGAAGCGTTCAAAGATTTGATTATTAATTTATTGAATTTGGATGCTGATTAGAGATATTCCATTGAAAAGATCATCAAACATCCTTTTTTTATTGAACCCATTCCTCCAAGGATTCAAAGTAGGAATCAATCGAGTTCTTAGATCAAGTAACTTCTTGATTTAAGTCCTTTTGTAAAGCATTAACACAGATCTACTTGTTCAATGATTGGATTAGAGAAATAGTAAATAGTAGCATCATTCCTATAGAAACAATAATAATTAGGTGGTAAGAAATTGTTATTTGGCAATACTACAAATTGTAAAGGTGTATTGAAACAAAATTATCATCTTGAGAATGTTCCTCGATTTTTCTTGCCTTAAGAATCTCATTCTAACAATACTAGTTGCAATCATCACAATAAGGAAAATATACACAAAGATAATTGCAATAAAGAAAACATCAGAGACAATAGTGTCAAATTGACAAAATAAAATTCATCAACCATCAATATATACAATGAATCTCCCATTAAATTAGAAGATCTAAAATCATGTAGATTATAAACAAAAAATGGATTATTGCAAATACATGGAGATGGCAGATTTGAAATGGATGTTTGCAATAAGGATTTAAACTTTATAATCTAAACTAATGGATAAGAAGTAATAATCTCATTAATCTTTAGATTCTGGTTCAGAAGAAAGGGCAAAAACCAAAACAATATCGATTAAATGAATTACCATAAAAACTGTAGAAATTCTATACTTATTCAAAATAAGTATGCAATGCTATCAGAGAAAGAAATTAAAAACACAAAATTAACAATGAACATGGGAACTTTGCTCTTAAGAATACAAAATTGGGGTAATGTTTTGAAGGATACATTGCCTAGTCAAAAATAAAAGTATAATTCTATTTTAATGATTAGATTCAATACATTTTGAATTCAGATACAATAAAATTGTAATTGCAAAATGGAACTTTAAAATCTATCAATATTAATGAATTTTAATAGTTATCTACTTAGGCTAGAATGGATCCTAATGAGGTTTATTCAATAAAAATAGCTCTCAAGTATTTACCTTAATGTTAATAATGATTTATTAGTTAATATTTATTTTTATAATATTCACCAACCATAAGTGGCTTTCATCTTGTCCTTCTAATCCTTGAAGTTCTGTTTTCTTGACTCGTAGCCTTCCTGTTTCAGAGCAGCTTAATAATTAAGAGAATCGATGTGATTCTTCTCTCTTTTCAATTAATTCACATCTGTGGGAACCTTCAAGAAAGCTTCTTACTTTTATTTCATCTTCTCTCTTTCCATCTCCCAATACTTCTCATTTGTACCATGCAAATTCATGATTTAAGCATTATCTTCGCCCACTTCATAAGAGACCTTCACAATTCCTTTTTCATTTATAGTTTTTTAATCTTGCATATAGATGTCATCCTAATCAAACTCTTAAATCAAAGCCTGCTCCTCCTTTGTTAATTTTTTAATAGCTGTATTACTTAAAATTTCTGCTTCCTTAAAATTTATACCAGGAGGCATTGGAGGTAGACGCTTTTTCACAAATGTAGTACGTTACTACTCTACTTTGTTCTTTGGTTATGGCAATAAAAGATGTAGTTTGCCATTCTTGATCTCCTGTTGTTGAATTGGAATTTGTTCATTGCCATCGGATTCAGATTGCTGATCTACATTGACCGCAATTTCCTCGTTTGTCTTGATTTTCTTTGACAGTTTGTTAAGATGATCGAGGGTGATCACTTTGTTTAGAGGTTTCTTCGGTTCTGGAGCAGAATCAGAGTTACTTTCAGAATCATAATCGACTAACTTTTAAATCATAACAATTATTCAACTATATATTCAACTAACATACGAGCATTCGATAGTAAGGTAGTACGTGAGGTTATCTATGTAATTAGGTCATCCTTCTCAGCATTTAGAATATTGCTCACTTTCTTCTATTGCTCACACAATGTTTCTAATTATTCTTACGGAACACTTAAATGCTTATAATTTCTAATTCTAAAATAGTAATACTATCCTAATAATTCCCATCTAAAACGCAAATGCTTATAATATCGATTCTTCACCATAGCCAACGTTTTTCCAGGAAAATGTCTATGAATCTTTTAGAATTTAGGTCCATTATTCAACACTAACTACAGAATCAACCGATCTTCCTCCTCAGTGAACTTTAGTCCAGATTTTTTACTATTTGATCCCTCAATCCCCCTTCTCTTCTTTCTGTGATAGTCATACTCATTTTTCTTCTTCTATTTTCTAGATATTCCCAGTTTATTGGCTTAATCATTCTAAGATGATCTATCCTCATTGCTATCCATTCTACTAACAAATACACTATTATTATTAATTATCAATTAATATTTGATACACATAAGGTTTTATTTAAATAACTTATAATGTGCAAAATGGCATTGATTCAACAAAATCTTCTCACTTATTCATATATCTATGATCAGGAAATTGTGTCCAAATAACTTTTAATTTTCTAATCAAAATTGAAATACTCATAAAGTTTTTGACACTTTTTCACATTCTTTCCTTATTATTTCCATAACTAAAACAAATAATAATCAATAGATTAAATTATTAAAATAAATCTATTTTAATTTTTTATTTAGACCCCCTGAATAACATAAGTATATTGGCTTGTTTTAGGAATTATCTCAAATAACCATTAATTAAAGTTATAATTATTTATGAGAAAACAAATACTCTTTAAAAACTTTGAAGAATAATAATGAATGCTCATTCAATAATTATTATAAATTAGGTGATTACTTTTGTTTGTTAATAAATAAGAATTTAGTAATCTTATTTAGTAAAATATCTTATATAAAACAATTTATGATTGTACCTAATACAACAATAAATTGTTTACTTTTAATGCAAATCTAAGTGATATGATATTTCCTTATAACCTATTTGATCTAAAATAGATAAAAAAGTAAATAAATTCATTAATTAATAGTTTCATGAATAAAGGGTATTTTTGTTTATGCTATTTAGTTTGTAAATTCAAATTACCTTAATTTACTTCATTCTGTAATTACATTACATGCATATATTTATGGATTTCTAAGTCTTTTATTTTTTAGATAATATTATTATTGTATTTTAATGAATAAATTAAAAAATAATGTTATTAGAAGCATCCCGAATCTACATCAAGAAATGAAGTTAGAGCAAAGTAAAATACTAAGTGCAATCAAACCTAATGAATTGCAAGAACCAAAAACAGCAAAATACATGGAATTGGATTTAAAGAATAAAATTAATTTTTCAATCAGAGAGAATATTACAAGTTTAAGTTCAGAAAGATAGTAACCAAAAAAAATAAAGAAAATTGATGGAAAAGTGGCAACAATCGTAGAATTAATCAAATAAGACTTACTTCCAATGTTGAATATTCAGAATGATCGAATTGAGAAATTAGAAAGAAGAATTAGGACTAAGAATGAATCAGAGGGTGATTCTGATTTACGGAAATCGTCATTGATTTCAGATAAAAAATCTAATTCAGTTGTTGAAAACGAAGTCTAGAATTTATCCGTTAGTGTAGATGAAATTAAAAAAAATTTATCACATTTAGATAATTTTGTTAAATATCAATTCATAAAACGTAAATGCTAGGGTTCAGAAGTGTAAAATGACACTAAAAATAAAAGTGCTATATCTCAAATATAAGCTAAACTTAATACAGAAATTATTTAATAAAAAATTGAGACTCAATAGACTACTAAATAAATCTAAGAATACATCACAGTGTAATTGTAAGAAATAAAAGAATGGATCAATAAAATATCAATTGAATAATAAAAGGAAATAGAGGTCAAATTAAATTTGATGGAAACTCAATTTTATCAGTTTCTTTATCAACCATTTGAGGTTTTGAGATAAATCCAAACAAATTAAAGCGATGTTTAGAGTAAAATAAAGGAATTCGAGTCTATTATTAATTCTAATATATTCTAGAGCTAAATTTAAAATTCTTAAGAATTTGCGAATTGTTGTAAAGAAAATCATAATAATAAGAGGATTATTAAAATAAATTGTGGGCATTTCTACCACGAGGAATGTTTATAAACACAAATGGAAGAGGATTTAAAAGAGTAAAGAATTATATGTTGCAAAAGAATGTCATAATTAGATTAAGTTAAATAAAATCCATTAAATAAGAGTCTCAAAGGAAATGCAGGATCAAATTTACAAAGAGTAGATAAAATAGTGACTGAGATCATCGAAACTAGATATAATATAATGTTAGAAATGTGGATTTTTGTGCATTAACGATTAATCTTGCCAAGTTCAAGAAACTAATTGCGTATAATGTACTTGATGATTTAGAATAGTCATGATGAATCTATTTCAAAACAACTTTATATTATTTATATTAAAATCCTCTAAATAGAAGAGTAAAAGAAAAAGCAAAATCACATCTAATTATAATAAACAAATTCCAATTTATCATGTTATAGAATGTTACTTCAAGCTTATTTTTTTCATTCCTTATAAACTAATAATTAGTTTGAGATATATAACCTCCTCATAGATTATCATCTATGTAATATATTTTTTGAATATTTTATAAATAATTTAAATATTTTTGATCATATCTGACTCCATCCATAATATTTTAAATGTAAATACCTGTTTTACTTCTATCTTTCTAATAATATTCATAATGTACAAAGTTGTTATATGGAATTTGTTGCAAATTTATTAAAAGTTAATTGTTTTAATGTCCATTTTATGTTGTTCGTAAAGACTTGATCAAACCATAATATCGAAAATGATAGTAAGTTCCGTTCCAAATAAAATTTCAAAATATTATGGATCTAAGGAATTATGCAACCATTCTAGAATAACATTTAAATTATGTGCAATGTGAAAAATTTTATAGAATAATGAATGAATTAATCTGTGGTTTTTTATCGAAATCCTAAATTTATTATATTTAATTGAATATTATTAGAAAATGGGAAATTAGAAAAAATTCTTATAAAAACTTTTTAGTATTCTTGAAGTACTTGCTAGTATAATTATAGTCAAAAGAACATGAAGACTGTATATAATGGAGTTAAGATGGGAATTCGCTTGTAGTTATTTCTGCAGAATTATTTGAGGAGAAGGTAATGCCTTGCTATTTCAATTCTACTAAAATTTCTACTTTTTATAGATAATTGAGTCAGTATGGATTTAAAGTAAAATAAAATGAGATGAGATAAAAGTAATTTTATCATTCTAATTTTTAATAAGGAAATTTGTAATTTTATAATATTTATTCTTGTAGTGAAAATTTATTAAGAATAGAAAGAAGGAAGAAGATACAGGCACAACTAGATCACAATAAATGTATAAGCGAAGAGAATAAGCAGTTGAATAATTAATTAAAGGTCCTTCAGAAATAGCAATTAGCGATCTAGGCTCAATTGAATATTCACACGTAGATTTACATGAGATTTTGCAATTAGATGAAATATGTTTTTGATGTATCAATCGAAATATTTTAGTATTTGAAATAGGATGAAGATTGTGAGGAGGATTACAAGAAATTTTTTGACTCAGTTATATCTGTGTTTAAGGGATTCAATCACGACATCGCCTAAAATATATTTGAAGAACTGAAGCACATAGGAGGTCCATTGAGCCCTTAATTATCACCACTTCTCTTTCCTTATTTAAGGTTGAATTGAATTATTGTCTTCTTTTAAATTGTATAATAAATAGTAAAATTCAACAATTAAAAAATTCATCAAAATTATATATTGGAGTATTTTGAGGGTTTAATCCTACCACTTATGTAGCATGATGAATCAGAAATATTAACGTTGCCCATGTGGCGCAATTGGTAGCGCGACAGCCTTCTAAGCTGTAGGCTGCAGGTTCAATCCCTGCCATGGGTGATTCTTTTTTATTTTTTAATTAATTGTAAATTTAAATTTATATTCAATTAAATTAATCAATTGGTACATGATTCTAATTTGGCAAGGATTTGGGATGGATGATCAACTTTGAGTGTCTTCATAATTTTGAGGATGAGATCAGGATCGTTAAACTGGTTCTATTTAATTTTTTCAATGATTTTAAGTATGTAAATCATGCAGGCTTCACTTTTCATGTTTTCATCTAAGTCTAATAATCGTTTGGCTATTTTAATGAATTATTGAATATCTTATAATAGGATGAAGGTTTAGTTCATTTTGAACATCAAATTGTCACTTGAGTCTATTTTAAATAGGGATTTGATAGTTTAGATGTCGTTATTGGAAGTGTTTTGGAGTGATTTAATGGCATCAATAATTTGGGAATCAGTTGATTATTTCAATGATAAGGTTTATTCTAATTGATTTTTGAAGTTCAAGAAACAGTCGACATATTTGGAATCGAATTTCCATTTTTGAATGATGGGGAATACTTATTCCAAATTGTATTGTTCTTCGTTTTAATCATAAATAATTTCACAGATTTGTCTACAGAATGATTCCAAATGAGCAACACCCAACATGACAGTCTTGATTTTTTCTGCTGTTGTCAACAATTATTCCATGGAATTGACTGAAAATATTTCCATCAACTTATTGATGTCTCTGTCATCATGTTCGAAAGTACCAGTTTTCATTGTTTTATTGATTGTTTAGATGAAATTAAATGATTCTTGTAATTCTTGTTTGGTTTCTTGATACAATTCTTTGAGTTGATTGAGTTGGTCAGTGAGAAAGGTATTGTTGTCAATCAATCGTTGATTCTCCTTTTTGATCCTATTCAATTCTTAGACTAGCAATTGATTTTCATTGATTAATGATTAATAGGTTGAGTTCTCTTTCATCTGATATTCTTGATTCTATTTCTTTAATTGATTGTATTCATTAAGGAATTTGGACAATAGCTCTGTGTTGTCTGTTGACATTCTTTATTCAAATTTAAATTTAATTACATTAATTTATTTCAAATACTTTTATGCTTCAAATACATTGATTGAATCGTATAGATAATAAAGTTATAAATTAGTGAATACTCATTTCTAGAATTTAGTCTTCAATCTTTAATACTTTTATGGATCTATGCTTGTACTGTGATTTCTCAGTTTGCGTAGTTATTCACTCGTAAATTCAAATGAGACTCGTTTACTAGTAGGTCTCATCAAGGGACTGTTGAGACTCTGCATGCTCTATCTACTGCCAATTCTGATGACTTCAAAAGAACTTGATTTCAAAATACCCTTCTGAGTAGAAGCAGAACTACCTTTTTGAGAATTTAAACCATCGTTATTTGCAAGCATCCTCGATATTCTTTGTGGATGTGGAAATGGGAAGCTAGTCAGATCGTTGTGATCATTCACAATTTATGTTACATAAATTTATCTCTTTGGTTTACGAGATGATATTAAATTTGTTTAAAGTGCTTGTGTATTTTGGTGTTATCTGCTTCGAGGGTGCTTATCAATAGAGTTACGGGAGTTCTGTCTCCTCCTAGAATTGGCCAAATGGATTTAGGTCTATTAGATTATATCTAGGGTTTAGTCGATTTTTTATCCACTTTGAGTGTGCATGTTCTGAGTGGATACTTGATTAGTGGACTTAAACCCACACGATTAAACACAGAAATCATCCTTGCATCCCAGAACATCTTTGAACTTGCACATCAATGTATTAATGCCATTCATTCTCTTGTTTACTGAAGTACCTTTATCATCCAATTCATGATGAAAATTCGGAGTCAAGTACTTAAACTCAATAACCTTGATGGCTTCGTCTGAGTTGATTGAGTCTTCTGAATCAAATTCTTAATTCATTTTATTTATTGTCAGATTATGATTTTTGCATTGGTCTCTAACTAATTAGATCACTCTTTAGGGGGTCCTAATGATTGAATTTATAATTTAATACCCCACTCATTAAGATTACCAAAATAGTAGTGAACCTAATTAAACCAAAATGAAATCAAATAAATAAGAAATCATTAATATTTCGTGGAATCTTGAAATTGACAAATGATGTTATTTCAATCAATCAATAAATTTAATTAAATTATATTCAAAACTAATAGGTGCACACACTGCAAAGTTTTAGATTTTCATTATTTTCATCATTGTACCTTCTGAATTTTATGGTTTCCATACTCTTTTGGAATGGAGCCTCTCTTAACATCAATCTGAACGGTTGTATTTTCTAAGTTTTTTATGGATAATTGAGTAAATGCTTCATACTCCTAATTCCATCAACTAGTCTTTTGAAATACAATTTCTAGAGCACCTAATACCCTTTATTGACTTATTTGTGTTCTCTCTATTTAACATACTTCACTAGTTTTAAACCCTGAAAAGCCAAATTCATCAATCTCTTTTTTTGTTGGCGTTACCTTTTTTACTTATTTAGTTCCAAGACTCTTTTCATGGCATAAAATAAACTGGATAAATAGACAACTTGAGGGTAGTCCAAAAACCTAGTATTTTCTTATTCTAAGTTATTGATTCTACCAAAAAACCTTTTCATTCTTCTCCCGAATATCTTTTCTAATGCAACACTTAAAGCCTAAGCTTTTCTCTACCTTAAGATCTCACATTTGACATCAGAGTATATCCGAGTGGTTGTCTTCTGTTCTTCCAGAGGTTAAATTACATCTTCCCTTGGGGACACTTCAGGTTTCTAAGGTTTTAAATTTAATTTTTAGGGGACTGGTTCTTCTGATACTTTCTGTTTCTTACGTAGAGTTCTCACACTCTAAGGGACACTTTGGATAGCAGTTTGTTTTAGATAGGCAACTTGAGAGACCAAGTTTTTGAGTTCAGTTAACTTCAATATGGCTATTTATAGGATGGATTGTATGTATTCTTGTCTAAAGGGAAAGACTGGGAAGTATTGGAAGAACAACTCCTTTTCATAATCTGGGATTGCCCTTTATTTTCTATAAGTATTGGAGATGACTTCTTAACATTTGATTTTATCTTTAAGAAATGTTGGTACTGTCTGAATTATTTTTTGGGGTTGTTCTTGAGGAATGAGATCATCGTCTTTGGGGTAGAGATCAGAGGAAATGTGCAATTAGGGTTTCTGTATATTCAGAAACACTTTATAATAATTAGTTTTATCTCCATCGTTTAATCTGATCAAGTAATCAATGAAGGCAGCATAATGATTGGAAGATTAGAGTTTGATAACATCTTGGAATGTTTCATAGTGTATTTTCTTCATTTCTTTGGTTTGAGCTTAATCAAGTTCTTAATTATATTGGAGTGATTGAAGTAATTTGGACAAATTCTAGAGAGTGGACGAACCGAGGAATGACAGCATTCTATCGATGAATTGCCAATCGATTTGTAATAAGAGGTCATTGGAGACTGTCTTTAATTATGACCTTTGATCAAGCTCTTTGGTTGCATTCCTTAAGGATAATACTTTTTATATGTTTAACATCTAGTTGTTAAGTTAATATATCCATGGAATTAGCCATCTAGATACGACTTCCGCTTGAATTCTTTGTGATTTAACTATTCTCATGTCGACTGCCATTCCATCAAGTCTCTTGAGTTGGCGAAATAGGTGATAACACACATCATGATAATCATAAACGGTGAAGGGATTTGAGTGGATTGACAAGTATTGGAGATTCCTATTGACTTTCTTAAGTTCATTGATATCAACCATTTGATTGTTTGAGAGTGACAAGCTCTTTAACTATTTGAATTATTCAATGCCGTCCAAATTGGATATGTTATTGTGACTAATGTGGAGATGCTATAAATTCAGAAAAGGGGAGTTTTGAACCAATTTTCCTATTCTGGTAATTTATTTCGAGGAAAGATTTAAGCTTTTATTGAACTGACTTGGTAGCAGTTAACATAATTCCATATTAATTAAATATTTATACGAATTATCTGTAATTAAGATGATTAAGCAGACTATGAATTTTTCATTAAAATAAAGGAGAACTCAATCCTTGGAACCCGTACTTGATGAGGAAGTGTTTGGAGAACTGAAGAATGAGCAAGACTTTGAGATGAGATTGCAATAACTGAATGAGATCCAACAAATTCATTAAATGACTCAGAGTTCTGGGATATCAATGTCATCGGGTCGGAGCAAGCCGGCTAAACATTAGATGGTGGAGAGTTATGCCCATTTGATTTAAGAGATGGTTCACAATAAGGAATTACAGTAATTCTGCCACTAATTTGGATTCTCAATACAGGAATTGGAACAATATAGTTCGATTGAGGAGAGACAGAATTTCGTAGTCGTAGCGATGTGCAAACACATAAAGGAATAGATGCAGAGTATGAGTTTAATTAAATAGGTTTTATGACTAAGGTTGAATTGAGAATGCATTAATACAGAGTTGATGAATGGAATGAATTGCAAAAGATGAACAAGCAGAACATTAATATATTCGAGTGGTTGAATGTGAAATCCAAATATGAACATCTACGTAAGAAATTGCAATATGCTCTGATTGACAGCATAACTGCTACTCAAACTAAACAATAATAGGAGAAGAGAAATAGAACATTCAGCCAATCCAATATTTCCTAGATTAGCAGGGCCAGTACAGCATGTGCTACAAGCAGTCGAAAAAGACTGTCCTCAATTCAAGAAGAGGTAACAGTCAACCCAAAGATACAGTTGGTATCTGAATACAAGGATTTTAAGGCATAATGGAATGAGGATTTAGAGAAATAGTATAGATTGAAAGGCAAGTCACATAAGGTGCTCGGATTGTATCCTGTCATCTAGAAGGCTATCTTAGACAATGTCGGGTAGAGTGTTTGGAATCAGTAGAGAGACAGATTGCTCACTAAATACACTGAAGGAGGGTGTTTAACAGAAGAGGAAGTCAAATTCATTGCCACCACATCCTAATTATTGAATAGTTGTACAGATAAGGAGTTTCTATAGAAGATTATCACGCATCTGGATAAAAATATCATAGATGAAATTGAATTCAACATAGCTGAATGTATATTGGCAACCTATACAAATATATCGAATGATGTTAAATCTATTCGGTAGGTGTGGCTTAAAAAGATTAGTGCAAATCTAGAATAGTAAGTCAAGGATACTCATTACAGCGTGATGAAGAAGATGCAATTGCAAAAGAGTTAAAAAGCACTCGAGAAAGTTAAAATGAAGATGGTTACTATCTTCAGAGACTTATAGAAAAGGCACTTGATGAAATTACAACGAGAATTAGACAAGGATCATTATATTTAATAATAGAAGGGAGTCAATAAAGTAATTCTGAAGTTCAAAGATAAACTAATGAAAAGAGTCAAAAAATATAGAAATGAAAAGAACATTGGAATTGCCAATAATTTCATTAACAGAAACATTCCCAGATAAGGGTCTCTGTTGTTTAAAATCAATAAAGAAATGAAATCTACAGAATTTGTTTAACGTTTGTTTCATCCACCCTCAAAATTGATTGTTAAGAATCCTCTGCCTGGCTCTCAAACTGATAGAGCTGTTAAGGAAGAAAAGAAATATAAACTCAGATCTACTAGTACTATAAGATAAACTGATTTTAAAAGGTATCTTAGTGGAGGTCCCTAAACAGAACGATAGTTTGTTTCTAAATCTTTGGCTGATCAAAATCAATAAAGAATTAGTGGCCACAAGAATCCTCATGAATGGATTACCAGTGAAGTCGAAGTCATGGCTATCAACAAAATCAAAGCAGCTATTAGGGCTTATCTCTAAAGAAAAAAATACTAGAAATAGAAACAATTAAAATAAGAGCAGGAAGAATCAAAAAAGAATTTATTGGCATCTCTTGCCAAGAAGAATCCAGAGAGAATCAAAAGAATTGAACTAGAAGTCATCAATGTGATTAAAAGTTTAGCTCTAAATAAATAAAAGAGTTAATCTACTATGTATTCATCCAAATAAAGAATACAATCAGATATGAAATTGAAAACTAGAAAATTGTTCTAAGCTGCCAAAAAGAAATGTCTAAACATTGCTATCTAATCAGGTTTCATGTATACACTTGAAGATGCTAATCAGAAGGATGAATTTGGCAGAACTCCACTATCATACGCTGCTGAAAATGGAGATGAAGCCATTTGCAATTATCTATTAAAAATTGGAGCCAATGTCAATATTCCCAGTTTAGATGGAATGACTCCCATGCATTTTGTTTTTAAGAGCAATTCAGTTTCTCTTATTATGAGATTTATTCATTTAGGGGGCAATTTGAATAAGTTGAATAACGATGGGTTAACGCCAGTAGCCTTTTGCAACCAGGAAACACTAAAGAAGTTAAATCTAACTCAAATGATCTCCTCTTCTCATAAACAAGGATCATTTGATAATCACTCGATCTTGAATAAGAAATACCCTCAACAGTCAGAAATAATAGAAGCACTAGAATTTTCAGGCAATTTCAGTAAATTCTAATGAAAATTAATTTTATATACTATTCAATTTATATTATGACAGTATTTAAGTCATCTAACTATTTGGAATTGGATTTTAAACTGATATCGAATCCCCAAAAAGATGTATTAAATTCTTAGCCTATTAGTAATTTGCCGTTACAGATACCTATAAAAATTGTTCCCTTTAAATGGTAATCACTTTATCTTATATCAAGGAGCTCCTCCTAGATATATGATAAAGTATCTATAAAATACCCATAGAAAAAGTAGATAATTTTATCTAATTTGAAATTGTCTATTTTTTATAAAATTTTCAGCTTTTTGAATGAGTTAAATTTGAAAATTACAAAGAGCACTTCTTATGATTTAATTTACATTCAACAAGAAAAAAGATATTAAATCTAGATCTATATTATTTATAGTTTTTATATAAACATCAATTTTCTTTCACATAAGTTATATATTTAAGGAATTATATGTATTATTCTTCCATTTAATTATAAACCCTTTACCGAGATTATCAGCTATTTACACTCCGTATTTACTTTCCCATTTAATTTATTATTCATTTTTTAAAGAACCTTTTTTGCCTTTAACTTACAGAAAAAACCCAGATAGTTAAGGAGAACTACATTGATAGGCGACAAAATCACTGTTTTCATTAATTATTAGGATAAACTTACCAACTAGTATCATCTATTCAACGCATTTTAAGGCCATCCTTTCCAAGGTTGTAACATCATTAGCCTTATTTTCTACTTTTTATTGAAAAACTTGGGTATTCATATTTTGGAAAGGTACTGTGTTGTTATTTGGTGGATTTCCAAATGGATTCATAAATGGTTATGCTTTTGGGGGTTATTAGTTATTTTGAATTTCGAAGTTGGAAGCAGGAAAGCCTGCATTTTCTGGTATTTTAACTTTATTATTATTAATTAGGTTTTAAGGCTTAGTCTATAATGAAAAAATTGGGAATTAAAATTTTTAATTCTATAGACCAGAGGGTTATAGAGTTCCTTAATTGGCTAGTGGTCGAGGAGGGTTTTATGGGAATGGAAATTGAGGAAAGAATTTCTTTTATTGTAACTAAACTTATGGCACTTGTCCAGTTGTAGTAAAGTGGATTATCAATTGAGGATCCTTATCTTAGGGATTAACTAGTTTGCACATCTGCAACTGTATCATTGATGCCAAGATTTTAGTTTGTTCAAAGTCTGTCACTATAATAGATTGTGGCATTTATACTATTATATCCTTCTATTTGGCTTCTTCCAATACCTAGACATCACAGTTGTATTACTTCTTCGAATGATAAGTCCGAGTTTAATATCACTCCCATATTCAATTCAATTCCATCCTATTTAAACCAGCAAGTCACTTTGGGAAAATAGGACTAGTCGTAAACTCTCTTTGCGTAAATAATGTTTCTCAAACTTGCTTAGCAAAGGCTTAATGATGAGTCAATCTCTTAATTACATTCTTTGTCTAAAAAAAGTTGAACATCGTAATTCAGGTATTCAGCACACTTGGCTAGCAAGTCTTTGAAGTGTTGGAATGCCAAGGTTATTTAGAATGATTTAATCTACTCTGGAGGTAGTGTCTAAACTGTAATGCAATTAAACATAAATTAATAGAATTTGGGTTATAATTTATTATATTATATTCCTATTCTTTTGGAATCTTACTTAGGATGAATACCATTTAGTTATCTCAAGTATACGAGTATTTAATAAAATGATATTTTACTACTTGGATTAATTAATCGAGAGAGTGACAACGGACATTCTAATGATTGACTAATACGTAAATCTGTATATATTCCTATGTGTTTACAATATGAATAAGTTTTTGGATAGGAAATTGATTTCAGTAATTTATTGCATTTTAAAATAAATCTTTATAAAATAATCAACTTCCATTGGCATGACAATTTTAATGGGATAGCAATGAAATGAAAAATACCAATTATTTAACTTGTAATAATAAATTTATGAATTTGATTACATTGAAATTTAAAGATTAAATCCTTGAAAAATAATATTAGGAACTCAAAACAAAATCCATTCGTAAACCAATTTACTTTGGGATCTACTCGTTTTGTTTTTGTCTCAATGCTTTTAAAATTACAAGGGATTTAATCTTGCAAGAGTCATAGCAACTACTATACATAAATTACGTATTTTTGGCATTTATGGTGCTGTCGATAATCTTGATAGTCCAAAATTAGAACTTCGTAAAATAGGCTCTAGTGATATCGAATCTAGTATCTGGACTGCTTCAAATGAACTTTAATGAATAGTAAACCCAGAAACAAGAATACTACTCTTTCGGAAGTAGTTTTGCATAATTGCAGGCAGCGTCGTATTTCGTATCAGATTTTTTGGATGGAATACTTTAAGTTGGGGGTCATTTGATTATGAAAGTCACGATTACATCAATGTCAACTCATAAAATTGATGCACTATGCTCTAGCTTTGCTATAACAGGTTCTGTATTTATTCTCGTTACAATTTACATTTGTGATTGCAGTTCAAGAAAGTAATTTCTCTCAACAGTGTGCGAAGACATATGGGATCAATAATTGCCGCATCTTATATAAAAACCATTCATTAAGCTCAGCTACTCGAATACCATAATAAACATTTTGCAAAGTAGTCTCATTGAGGCATTCCCCAGTTTCACAAACGAATTATGCAATGGATGTAATGGAAGATAATTTTTAAGAGATTGTTAGATTGACAAAATTGCATTGTCACAACGCATTCTTAAACCAAGTGATATTCTAAATAAGACCGTCCAGGCAAATTACAAATGTCACAGGTTCAATTTGAGAGTGTGTAAGTATGGTGTGGAGAACATGAATTTATTAGTAATTTTGGAGAAAATTATTACAACCACTCAAACCAAAGTGTTCCCAACTGAAATCAGAAAGGATCTCAGTAGGCAGATAAGAATCAACCATCAAGACTGCTTGCGTTTCTTTAATTGGGGCTTGTTTTCCCTTGTCCTTCTTAACAATCACGAAATAAAGCAAATTAAATTGTTCCTTATGATTAAAAGACTCAATAAGTGTTATCGCAATTATTTGCTACCAATTTAACTTTTTACAAAATAGAATGAACTTCAACTTAATACGTATGCCAACCTATTGCGGATATATCTTATTCAATTATACCACATTTTGATTGAACTCTATTCCAAGTCCTATCGAACCAGAATTTAAGTTAGAGAATGCGATGAATATATTGAAATGCATATTTTGATAAATTCAAGTATGTTTCATACTCTCTATGAAAACAATGTGTTTATTTAAAATATAGAGAGAGTAATCCTTTATGAACCCATATCAAATGATTTAAGAATACGATTAAGTAAGCAGTTATCTTTTAAATGATTATTATTGGTTGTGTAATGAAATTTATTTCAAAACGAATTTATTTCGATTGTTCTGTAAATATCTACCCTGATTTAATTCTTGCTATAATTAATTTTTATTCTTATCTCTATGCCCAAACCCTCAGCAATTAGCAGGCAAACAATTTAAGGGAAAAGAGTGAGATAAAAAAAGAGTCTCAATATGGATTTTTAACAATTAAATTTGTAGATTAATTTGAAAAGATATAATTTCAGCCTAAAATTGGACTTCTCAATTTCACTATCAACGATTCATTTTATATGAGTTCTTTCATTTATTACTAATTGTGTATCTCTATTGCAAGTTAATATAGATGTAATAATATGATTAAGAATTCAATGGATCCAAAATATTATAATCAAATTAGGTGTATATTTAAATCTTTATTTCATAGAATATATTAAAGTCTAAAATTCAGGTGGATTATAATTGAATTGTTATATTCCTAGTGAATTTAGTATCCTGAGATTTTAGATATATTAAATTGTAATTTAAATATAAGTTAAGTGAGATACTAAAATACTACTGTTAGCAATAATCATACGTAACAAACTAATTTATAGTCGATAAATAAGATGGATTATGAAATTCTTAATTTAAACAATTTAGATTCATTTAGGAAAATAAATAAATTAGAAATTTGCAAAATATTGAGACTGCATTGGAGAACTACATTTTATTAAATTCTTAATTGCATATTGATATATTGGATGTCAACTCTACCATAAATTATGCATATTAGCATAATATCCTAATAAGTGCTTATTAAATTAAAAAATCCTGAACTCTATCCTTTCTTATATATTTTCTTCATTCAATGAGAACTTAAGTTAATTCTCAGAGAGTTTGAATTGAATTTCAATAAATATATCATATATATTATATTGAAATTTTATTAAATGTAATTCTGGGTGAATTTAACGCTTGGTTAAATAGATGCGAATGATAAATGAGTACTGGAGCAATGAGTGGATTAGTACCAAATAATGATAGGAATTAAAGTATTAGCAACTAGAGAGTGGGATGGAACATGTAAATTGAATGCTCATGCAAAATTATATATATTTGTTGTAATGTACTTAAATTATAACCTCATTATTTCTTGGGGGCTGGAGCTTTCTTTTAGGCTTATGGCTTGTCAGCGGCGGCAGCAGCAGCGGCAGCTTTTTAGGCGGCGACAACTTGAGCATTTACAGTGAAGATGTATTATTTAGAGTTTTAATCTCCGGCTGGTACCAACAAACCTGATTTTGCGAAATGTCTAATGCATCTTCTTGCCAATGAACTTTAATAAGGTGTAAGAGACCAATAAATACCCATTAACTTTGAATTTATCTGATACTGTAGAGACTGTGATCAATGCACCCATTTTTGGTAATTGGGTCTCAATTTATTTGTAGGATGTATTGTCCAAAAACACGGCATTGTTTAATTTATCCTTTGCTCTTCCCTTAGTCCATTTCTATGCACGTTATCAAAGAACAATATTACCTTCTTAGTTTAATTACTTCTTTGGGAGGCTGCCTTAGAAATCTAATCCTTGGTTTTCTTTTAACCTTAGGTTGGTTGTTTTCCCTAAACTATAATTGATAATGTATTACCATGATTTTAAATCTTTAATAAAATTTTTGAAATTATTTTAATCTAAATCAATGTAAAATGTCACATATGCAAGTAGTAACAGAAACAAACTAGGATTTGTTATTTCAATTCGAATGTGATAGGTATAGGAATACAGGAATACCAATGATAAATTCAGAAGGAATGATGAAGATTTTAAGATATTAATTTAACTTAATCTAAATATTATGAAAGAATAAGAAGGGATCATGATATGGATATAGATGAAAAATTGTAAGTTGAATCAATAATGAGTATGAGATATTTAATAAATTGTTGAGTATTTATTAGTTATAATATAATTATAAAATCATGGGAAACAAGGAATTGAAGGTGCTCAATTATAATCCCCAAGATCCAGACTTAATTTAATTCAGACAATTGTACATGCGTTATCCGAAGTAAAGCAGTGTCAAGAAGTCATAACTCATTTAAAATACTTAAGAGCTTCTAGAATATGAGATCGTGATTCACAATGAGGCATTTTCTGAAGTGTTTGAGCGTAATCATTACATCAATCTCAAAAAGACTTAGATGAGAGTGGACATTGATTTAACTAGATTCTGCAGTGGTTATCACGGTCAACAGATGAGATTGCTTGGTTACAATACCATATTAAACGAAAAGAAATCCGTAGGCAAATTCATGCGTCTCAAAGACTTCGTTGAATTAGTAACAGAGAATTAAAAGATTCGAATTTTAGATCTAAGTGATCATTCCTTTTAATTTACTCGCAAACTCAATCCAGAAGACAAATTGCAAATAGAATACAGATATATACTTAAACATGAAATACTCTAAAATAATGTCCGAATATTATGCTTATAACTTAATCCAGAATGTCCCTATAAAATATCAATCACTACACCAGAACTTTCATCAGTGTTATCGCCCACTCATAAATTACAAATTAACAACAATCATATCCAATGCAATTTTTATAAGGGAACAGACTCTTCCCTGTTTATTTTACTATTTACAATAAAGCCAGAGTTGATATGCACCAAGATACAATTCGGAGCCCCTGGGTATTCGATCAATTAAAAATATTGCATGTACTTGAATCTTCCATTGCCTACCACATTGTATGATGAAATGATTTATTTTAATTGTGAGGATCCACTGAAAAATTAAGAATAAGAAACCATGGAATCTATGCCATCTTATTCAAGCATCACTCCAGAATCTATAAATTAACATTATTGGCCTTACTTTTTCAACATCACTCCAATTACTCATTAAAGAAACATAACATTCTTCTTGGATCAAAGCAACTCTATGGAGGGAACCAAAATCATGCTGGCTAAATAGGGATTGCAATTGTTCATTCGATCTTTGCCATCAGAATGTTATTTCAATATTTACAGTTTTGGAAGCAAGTGGAGAAAGATATTCTAAACTTATTAAAAGATCTGCGAACCTGTTTTAAAGTAATGCGAAAAAGAAATTAAAATGATGGAAGGCAATATGGGAAGTACATTCTTATTGGGTGCTATGAATGATGCATTGCTCAATTCTGTAAAGTCATCGGATGCTACATGGTTTATATTGACAGATGGCCGAATAGCTGAAATTGAAGAAATATTCGCCTTATTGAAATCTAATCCTCATATTCGAGTGTTCTCCTTGGGATTTGGATTAGAATTCGATTAGGAAATAGTGGAATAATTAGCTAATCAAACCAATGGGAGGTAACATAATATCAATATTGTAGTTGCATCTTCTGTCAAAATGTACAGTCCTTAAACTCTTAAATGATCTAATTATTGCAATTGGCCCTATTGCCAAAGTTTAAAATGAATGTGAAATTTGACAGTCATTTACACATCACTACTATGTATCCAAGTCCAAACAGACCTTAAAGAGAATTACTATGCTACCTGGATAATCAGCAGTTGCAAGACTAATCAGAAATAGAATTAGAAATCAATTTCGGAAATGAGAATGAACCTCAGATTATCTAGCAATACAAATGCAATTTAAGAGATATTCAAACCAATTACTTGTTACATCTCTATGGATACATCTAAATCTTGGAGAAGATCTTGGATGAAATTTGGTATTCAGATAGTATATCCACCATTTTATGCAACCAACTTAAGAATTCATTCGATATTAACAACCCATTACTGTTGCTATTCTTTAATCCACTTAACATCCTTATGATTGACAACTGCGCTGTGATCTGCAACATCAATATAGAGAATCTCTAGAAATTGATTAATGAATAAAAGAAATCTCGGGATTACTTGGGTCTATTGTTGTAATACATAAGTGATCAAACCTATGAGTAAGCAATCAAATGTATTAATGCGAATGAAAAGATCTCCGAGGAATCAGTTTCCATCGAGATGGGCTCCAGTTACACCTAGGCCAATTAAGATTATTTGATTAAGGTCATCCAAACACAATAAATTGATGGATCTTTCATGGATCAGTAGGCTCTTGCTCTAGTTTGTCCCAGCTAATCTATGAATGCTATACTAGCTAAAATGCCAGAATCTAATCAAAGCCAATCTCTTGTTAATGGGAGATAAACCTAATAACTACCTGATTTCATATTAACACAGATCTGGGTGACTGCCCTAGTGATTGCATATTTGAAGAAATACTAAAGACAACAAAGGGGCTAATGGATCATCATCTATATAAAAGCTATTAATTTTATCAAATAATATTTAAAGAATTGGCAATCCCTCTTATACAAGGCCAGAATTGAATTAATAAATGCAGGTCTTAAATGAAGTACAAATATTGATAATAAATAAATTCATCATCTTTGCCTATTATATTTGAACACATAAAATTATGTAATTGTTTATAAAATACCTATTGATAATTTCTTTTTATGCTAAAATGACATCCTTACATTTATTAGTCTAAAGTTGGTGAAAATTAAATAACAGTCCATTGCAGTTCAGAACAAAAAAATAACAAACTTTAATATGAAATCTGAAATACTCTTGATTTTCTACTTTTCTTTTCTTAACTTGTATAAGAACATATCATCAGAAGGCATAATTCAAAACCCATCTCTTGAAATAACTATGAAATTTTAAAAGTAATCCTCTTTAACAATCTTAGTGAACAGAAAATAAATTATTATACAAAGATATAAAGAAGCTATAATATAATAATTTATATGTTTAAAGTTATATTCCTAGTATGAGAATATCTGAATTTGAAACTGGTTGGTCAATTAAAAATGAATTTTAGATCAAATTTTTCTCTTACTTCAAAATGAGAAAAACTTTTCGCTGTTTGACTTATAAAAATGATATAATCAAATGAAAATTGCTTTGATTCATTTAGCCTCATATTAAATTGAAATTTACTACTATTTTTGTAGATTATTCAACTATTTTAATGCTAAGATACTTCGTAATGTTCATTTATTATTCAACGAGAGAGATGTAGTCATTCAGAATAGTTCTAAACTCTATTTAGTCATGAATGACTATCTTATAGAATTGAGATATATTATTCTACTTGAATTTTCTAAACATAATTTTATATATCTTTATTGTTGATAGTCAACAACAAATTATAATAAGAGATATTAAGAATTCTTAATTGAAAATGCACAAATATTTCAACCTTTCAGGGCATTAGTTTCATTTTCAAGATGAGGATCATAACTAAAGTCATCTATAGGTAAGCAATTTAGAGGACTGTTTTAGAGTCTATCCTCGTTTTTAATGGGACTCAAAGACTCTTCCTATTCCACTTTGTTTTTTTAAGCTACAGTCTCAAGAGGAGATTGTAATTGACCTTGAGAGAGTGCTAGAAAATCGATGTTCTAAAAGAAATTGTGACGTTTGAGATCATCAAAGGACTTAGCTCCTAATCTCTCTTTAGGATTGAATCTCAAAAGACTAGAAATTAGGCTACGAGCATTGCTTGAGATTTTTGGAGAATAGATGGGTTTGTTTTGCATAATGAGCTTATAGAATAAAAGAGAAGAATATACATTTTGTATGGTGCATACATTACGATCTTCGCAAGTAAAGGGTGCTTAGCCTGAAAGCATCTCATAGATAAGTATTCCTAAAGTCCAAAAGTCAACTTCATAGGTATGGCCAGATCGAGCAATAATTTCAGGTGCCAAATACTCAGGAGTTCCCGCAATCTAAATATTGATATTAATAATTATACTGTATAAGTGTGTTCATCCTTGATGTAAGTGGCTAATCCAAAATCAGTTAACTTTATGTGTCCAGTTTCTGTAAGTAAAATATTTTCTGGTTTCAGGTCTCTGTATATAATTTTGAGTTGTGTGTGGAGATATTCCAGGGCCAAGATGATCTCTGCAACAAGAAATTTCACTACTTTTTCAGGTAATGCACCATTCTTTTTTAAAACTCTATGTAAATCACCTCCTGATATATAGCTATTTTATATTAAAATAAATTTACTCCATCACGAAGTAACATCTTGAGGATGTCTAAAAGGCATATCTCAATTTGACAATAAATGGGCATTCGCTGCTTTTCAATACAAATCTTTCTAAGAAATTAACTGTTTCTAAATTATGATCTGACAAAGTTTATTTTTTTAATTCCTTCATGGCATATATCTGTCCATTGTCCTTTTTCATTATCTTGTAGACTGACCCAAATGCTCCCTATGTATATTAATAATTTAAACTTTGCCAATTAATCCTAAATTTAGAAAATCATCTCGATTTACTTTCCTCCTTTTAGGTGAGGCACTTTAAATGGTGGGAGATTCATCAAACACAGGACCATTTTCAAATTTATCCAATGAGCTTATCCTGGTTGGTGAACTACTTGCCTCACACATATTCCCCATGATTTTATATTAATTATAATTTGTCGTATTTTATAATAAAAACAAGTATATAAATTTAATAATAAATCATTCATTAGATAACAATTTATAGCTTTGATTCAAATGATGCAATTTATTTATTAATGAATCAATTTTTGAATTATTTTCCTTCATTCTCTCAGATGACAATTTGCTCTCCTACTTTTTTGTTCTAATAAAACTACTCCTATTTAAGTCTCTCTAAAATAGACCACTCAATTCAGTAGTTTGATTTCGATATTATTACATGACATCCTTCATCTGTCTAATTTGACTATCCTCCTCCTCTTTCAGATTGCTGAAATCCATTTCATTCACTTAAGTATGATTAGTCTTTGGGAGAAATGAAGACTCCTGAGACCTAAAACTCTTATCGCCCATTTGCTATTCTATAAAACTATTATGCAAAGTGACTTCTCCCAATTCCCTCACTTTCTCTGAAAATTCTTTCAATTATTATTTGACTTGTTTGCTATCTTGTAAATTCCATTTATCATCTAAACAAACTATTAACTTATTCAATAATTGTAATTAATTATTCATTTGATCATACATCTTTTTTAGTTCCTTACTGTTCATTTACATAGATCCACTCAAATTACTTTTGCTTGACTTCTTAGAATTAAAACAAGATGTCTTTTCTAATTTATGAAAGATGTCTTGCATTACTTCTCTGTCATTGTTAGTTAATTTATCATCTTCAACTTTCATTATAGCTTTCGAAGTAGTCTTAAATAATTTTTATTACTCTAAGATATAGCACAAATATATTAGTACAATTATTAAGATTGTTTAGTATTTGATTTACATGATGATCTCCACGAAAACTAACATTATTACTTTGAGGATATATCACATATGTTTAAGACTATTATGGTTGACTGTTTATAACATATTGTGGTTATTACACCAAAGTGCTTACTGGTACTGAGAAACTTTGATTACTCATGAATTAGTTAGTTTATTATCGAATAGGAGGACAAGAAAGAGCCTGCTGAGTTTGGATTCTGTGTTGGATTGGAGAGTGCTTAGGCTGGAGTTTAAATTGGTTAGTATTAAAGTCATCGAATTTGTTGGGGGATCTGGATACTCGGAATTGTTGAGTTTTATAGGAATAATATTATGACTCGGATTTGTATTGTTATGTAGAGTTGTCATCAAATATTGGTTTCTTGCATATTGGTGCTGAGTGATCTGTGAACTCAATCGTAAGTAATACCTCTTTGTTATTTGAATGGATTGATTTGCTCTAATCTATTCCTTATACCATTGGCTTCACAACATCCCATTATCGTTAATTTAATAATAAAACAGAAATATTAATCAAAATTTTAGTAAATTTATTTCATATTAAATGAGTTACTTTATAATTCTTAGGTTTGTTTAGATTACAGTTTTTTTGTGTCCTTTGATATATTCAAAAGAATAAAATACGATTAATAATTTATTAAGTTTAAATAATAATAATTTTAAAATCCCCTTAGACATGTAATCAAACATGAACGGATCCAATATGAAGAGTCAAATGCGAGTATCCTCAATGTCAGAGAAAGAGGAAGCCCAAGAAACCTTGGAAAGTATAAATAAGTTGTGATTAAGTCATTCATGAGATGTCCCAAATTTTGAATTGCGGATTGGATAGATAATAATTAGCCATTTTAGTTAGCATGATAGAAAATGGTGTGAATCCTGAAGCTTTGGCCTTGGTTGTAAATGAGATGAAAACGGAGCTGAACACATACAAAAAAATTCATAAATAATGATTTTATATTCACTTTTTCACAAAACTAAATATAGTTGATTAAGTTTATTTAAGTGCTTTTTCTATAGATTTTATTGATTACTTCTTTTGAGTAGATTGATCATGTGTTGGTTTGCTTTTTATCTAAAATAATACAAGTAAATACATACTTAACTTAAGCATTATGTGTTTGTAACTTTGGATTTGATAGAGAAGGGATTGAAAAATTCAGATGAACTTTCATTAGACTCAATGTCATCAATATTATTTTATTAAGTGATTTGCACTTACTTTTGCTATAACTTCATGCCTTCCTCATTCTCATCATCTCCTTATACGATCTCCAATTCATCTACATTTTATTGATTGTGCTTTTCCTGTTAATCAAAAATCTCTTCACACAACTTAAATATGCTTAACTCCTCCTTCTATGTCTATGTACGTTTTGCTGGTAAAAATTACTATTCTCTTATAACATTGGCAGGTTTTTCAACAAATTCTGGTAGATTATCAATATCAGCAGTCTATAAAAATTATTAAACTCTTTGCTTAGCTTCAATATCTACAATTTATTATTTCGAATTTTCCAATCTCCTTTCAATCCTTTTGAACAATTAAGTAAAATCTATCTTCATTCTTTCTCTGAAAACCAAAGTCTTAATGTCCAAATCACCATTACAGAATTGAACCTACAGATTCTCTTAGATTCTTTCACCCACCAATTGCTATATCTAATCAAGAGGCAGGAATTTATCTTATTCAAGTGTCTCCAAAAAACCATCATACTTCTCTTGATTCAATTATACCCATTATTTCTTAGTTGGGCAATACACTGTTTAAAATTAGAAGATCAATCTCGTGGCTTTGACTATTTTTTCATACTCCTCAGGGATCTTACCATTAAATTACTTAGCCTTTTTCAATTTACTAATTGTATTACTAATGTCATCGTATTTAGACATATAATCAATCGCTTTTTTTATTCCCATCCCCCTAATAGATGGAACATAATCACATCCACTCATAATGCACACATCAATCAGTTGTTCATTCTTGAAGGCTAAAAACTATCTTATGTCATCGCTTTTAATATGCGCTCTATTTTAGCGAGATTCTCTTAGTTTCTATAACTCCAATTCAAAGCAGGCTCCGTTGCTTTACAATTTAAAAACAATCAACGGACATTGATAACAAATTAAATCACTCTGAAAGACATATAATTAATTAATACATCTTCTGTTATGGCGAAGTCACACTACCCACTTAAACACATATGGGCAATCTAAGCATCAGCCTCATATGGTGCTATTATGTATTATACTTCTAATTCCCTTAACACATCAAATGTAGTGTACATCATTTACTTACGTATTTTCAAACATCTTTGATAGTACCTTTTAGCCTCCTCTGTGTTTCCACTTTCCTACAATTCTTTTGCTTTTAATAAGTTTTGCTGTTTGATTTACTTTCGCATCTATTCAGTCTTCTCTTTAGCTCTCAAATTTCGACCATCAAATATTAATATTGGAGTTATTTCATATTCTTTCAACATTATCAACTAACCATCATCACAAATCTCATTACCATTTTTTACACATAATAGAGATAATCATTTGTCTTGATGTCTTGATTTAATTCATGAGCACACGAATAGCATCCTCGATATAGCCAAGACATAGCATCGATTGCAGCAGTCTTTCCACGGTAAAAAGTAATGCATCGTTCAACTAAAGCTGGTTTTAGAAAATTGAGCAAATTCTCTATTCCCATTTAAATTTAATATAAAATTTATTATCCCGCCTTTTTTCCTATAAATATTTTAAGTCACTTATTGGATGCGATTAATTATCTAAAGCATCCAAATAACTTAAAATATTTTACAAAAGCAGACTCATATAGGTATAGATGAACTAAAAATTGCTTACATATATATTTGAAAGAACAAAATTAATTAATCTTTTTGATATTATGTTAATATTTTAATAATAATAACTTTTTTTTTTAATTAAATTAGTCTAGTTTAATTAGTTATTGATAACTATGCAGTAATTCTCTCACAAAGGTATCATCTATCTTTGTGAGGTAAACATTTTCGAATTAGATTAAGACACTAATTCTCATTTTGCAATTGTGTTACTTTATATAAAAAATCTTGGAGAGGGATTGTATATAACTTCTAAAACTAGGGATAATAATAAATTAAAATAAGATTTAAACTCTATTATTATTTGAGTATTATATAGATCACTTTTTAAAATTAAAAAAGTCTATAGGCAATCCTGCTTTTGCAGTTTTGGGGATTGATGTTTATTTTGTTCTTTTTTCTGATAATTTGATTTTGAGTTCTCTTGTTGAGAGCATAAGCAAATCAAGGATTTTATCTGGTACATCTGTTTTGAGCTTGGTGTTCTTATTTTAATTTTCATTTCTAATGTCCAATTTGAGATTGGTGGTTTCATCTGTCTATTTATATAATGGATAAATTTGTTTGCAAATAGATTTAATTTATTCTTTGGATTGAATTTATTTGGATGTCAGAACAGGAGTTCTATAACAAATGATTCTGTCGCTGCAAATTTATGTGTCAGGTTCAGTTTTTATAACAGTTTTATCTTTATTAAAGCTTTGGTAGTCAATAATTTATTATTGCTTGGGAGATTGATAGGAATTAGAATTTAGTTATTGTTTAACCATGTAGCCATTAATAACTTTGGATTGTTTGGGTGGTTATTTAATAGCTTAATTGATTGATTATTGGATTGTTTCGACGTCTTGGGATTTTTGTCTTCGAGAAGAGTGTAATTTGGTTGAGGTAATGTTTTTCTGGCTTTTGAATTTGTGTTAGTTAATATGGGGATCCTTGTTAGTGTGCAGGGATTGATTTACATGTTTTTTGGATTTAAGTAATTTTAATCTGATGATTATATATAAATTTATACTAATCAGCAATATTGTCAGCATTTCTGTTTAGACATGCTTACTATGAAATATGGTAACTAATTTGGTGGGAAGGTACATAATATGCATGATTCATGATATTCGAAAATATTAAAAAAATTAATCAATGTAAAATTGAATTCGGTAAAAGTGCATCAAAAAAATCTGTTGTGAATTTAGTTATTGCCCCCTTTTGGTATTAGTAATTTGTTGGGTTGACTTATATTACTTTTAGAGTTTGGAGTTTTGTTTAATTCTGTGAATATCCTTTTTAATCTTGAGTTGAAAGAAATAACAAGTCTAAAGTTTCTCTTTTTGGTTTATAATTGTATTGATGATCATTTAATATGTTTTGGTTGGTATCTTGGAGAAATTGATAATCCTGATCTAGCTAAATGAAAATTTGCTCATCTTACTTACCCCCTCATCAAATAACTGTAAGGACTTGAGTCTCACCCTTCGAATACAAAGCAGAACCATTAGCAGTTGGAAAATATGGATTAGTTTTTCTATTTTTTTATGCATTTTATTTTATTATACAAAGTCTTTTACCAAAGTAATAAGCCATCTCGACACTTGATTCAATTCTAATAGTCACCAAAGCTGATATAAATTCATCAATAGAACATTCTGGTATTTCCCTTTAATTATTACCACGGATACATCATTGATAACTGTAATAATTTCTGATTTCGTATTTTGAAATGTCATTCCTTTCACCATAAAACTGGGTTTTGAAATGGGAGATCAGAAAACAATAAAGCAGGAGATACCCAAGCAATGCAGCCATCTTAGGATCATAAAAAAGAGTTGTGCATGATATCCGAATTTCTACTTCAGTAAAATCTGAGAGAATAATAGTCTTTTTTGCCTATCTAGCCTGTGTGCAATAAAAATCTCTCTTTCACTCAGCTTAGTTTCGCGTTTTATGAAAACCACCCCAATATTTTTCCAAGAAGCATAAAATTGGTATTGATACTTCACCTGCAACGGCGAAAAACCCTATATCTTTGTCCAATTTAGAGCAAGCTACCATTCAAAACACCGTTGTATCTCGTATTTTACCACTACAGAGGAGTCAGGTTGTGTAGTTAGAGCTCTTGTTTTCAGTTGCACCTAAATTGGGCAATAAAAAGGAATTTTTGAAGTATCTAATGACATCCAGTTTTTCTTGGAGTTACACTCTACTTTACAGCCTCTGAGTAGAATTTGATAAAATCACTTACGTATATACCTAAATCCTTTGTCAGTTCTCTAATGTGAGTGGAAGACTTGTTTTTAAGGTATTGGAATAGCCTTGTATATAAATTAACTAACATCACAAAACTTCTATGACTGCTAAAGTCATTTTTGGTCATGTGTAAGTGCTCAATTTAAACTCTATATTTTAGGAGTAAAAAGGGACATGGTTTCTCTTTTGGATTTGTGAATTTAGCTTTCTCTCTCAAGAGCCTTGTTGTTCGACTCCTTCTAGTACTACAGATACTTGCTTCAGCTCTTTATATTGCTGTATTTGATTTTGTTTTGTTTCTGCTGCCTTTTTATTCTTCCATTTTATCTAACAATAAGGTTTGAGCATAACGAATACTTAAGTTACTGTTTTCAATACAATAATTATATCAGTACCACTATAAAAACCACCATAGATATTAAGATAGTTTTATGAAAAATCCTCTATATGCTATTTGTTTTTGCAATTTCGAAAGAATTTATGTTTTTTAAAGTGTTTTTCTCTGAATCTAATTGGGAGTTTTCAATTGTTAACGATATATCTCAAATGAATGATAATTTAATTTATATTTAAACTTAGATTTCCAATCAAACCTTACTTTAGTTAGTTTTGTTGAATAAATATGTTTTCAAGAAATTTTCTTTAAAACGATTATGTATAGTATCTGGTGAAAGCTTGAGAACATCTTTCTGGCTCATGAATATTGCTATATTGCTATATTGCTCCATACACTTATTACTTTGAGCACTAATTTTCTATTTTATGGTAAAGAAAAATAACACTATCAAAAAGAGTAATTGCTTCTACAATGATGTGGTGCGTAGGGATATCTTAATGTAATATGAGCACATCTCGTTATACTCAATTCCCCTTTTAGAGTATTTCCTCCATAAAGAGAATCTTTGTTCTTTTGACGTTTTCATGATCTTTAGTTTAATATTAACCTATCAATTAAGCCCATATTTGGTTATAATCTGTATCCAAATTATCAAAGAGTTTTGTAAATTGTTGAAGATGATTTATCTTTCATCATTTAATTGACATTTCTCTTACATAATTTCTTTTTAGTTTAATTGTATTTTTTTATATTTAAATAAAATTAACTATACTTTAAATGATTAACGAAATAATTCAGAATGATTAAGGTATGATTTATCAATCTTTCATCTTATTACTATGATTAATTCTGATATTATTGTTAATTACTTCAGTTAGCTGCATTGATTTACAATTTATTAATTTAAACCTAATTTATTCTCTATTGCAAAATGAAAGATAATTTAATATCTTGAAAGATATCATTTAAAATAATTAAAATAATATGGTTCCCAAGAGTTTTAAAAGTGTTGATATTAACCGTCAATTTGATTGTAGCATGTTTGATCACATTTTTCAATAATCTAAATTGTTTACACCAGCAGTATTAACATCGGGTACCTAATTTATTAATATAGATTTAGAATTCTTTGAAATCTGAGTTTCTAACAAATCCAGAAGTTACATTGATGTATTAATCTTACAGGAGACATGTTTTAAATAGTGGTAGAATTTAACTATGAATGATGTTTATTAATGCTGCTTGTTAGTTTTTAATAATCTTTACCTTGATTGAATAATAGATTTAATTATTAATTTGATTTTATGCAATAATTGAGTAATAATTAGTGCATAAATAGCAAATATTTGTATAAAATAAAGTGATAATTTATTAAATGAATATTGAAGAGCTGAAGGATTCTATATAGAAGTTAGGGTCGCAATCACAGGAGTAAGATAAAATACATTATTAAAGTTGCCAGAAGGAATTGGAGATAGTATGGTAATAGATCTAACATTAAGTGGGTTTGGATTTGATATATCAAAGTGGAAAGGCAGTGATTGAATTGAGATCGTAGGCAACTGGTTGGAAAGTAAGTTATACTGTTATTGAGGATAGTAAGCAAATAAAATCTTGTCGCATATAGTGAAGGTGTGTTTAAATAATAAGGAATAATTAAAGGCATGGGAAACATTGAAGATTGTGATGGATCCAGACAAGCAAATATATAAATGCCATGAGTTGCATTAGATTGATGTAAATTAGGTATCAGTAACAAAATGATGAGATAGTTTTCACATCATGAATTCACATAATATGAGTTTTGTGCAGAATTGCAAGAAGGTTAATAAGTGGATGCATTGTATGAAGATGAGAAGGGAAATGTGATAGGTTGGTGCAGAGCGACGATTGACAAGTTGAATGAGAAATTTGTGTGGGTCAAATGGCATGAGAATGACGATAAGAGGAAGATAGTCAGATACTCCATGGATTTGGCACCATTCAAAAGCAAAGTCACTGATGAAGAGTGGCAATGGAGACATTCCTTGTAACCTGGAGACCTAATTGATTGTTTTGAAAACAGACATTGGCAGAATGCAACTATTATTGCAGCCTTGAAGGATGAAGAGGTCGAGTATATTGTAGGCTTTAGAGTGTATGATGAGAAGGGCAATCTCTATGATTCGATGGGCAAGAGATACATCGGTTGGAATTCTCAAAACGACGAAAGGATTCGAGCAGTTAATCCCAGAATCCAAAAGAGAAATACTTTTTCTAAAGGTCAATATCCTAATCCTTATTGTCAGGAGGATATAATTATGGATTGCAACGATTTCTTATACCCAGACACCCACTATGCCATACCTCGCTTTACTACCAAGCAAACTGGTCGTTCGATCGTTCTTACTTAGATGATCAACGATTTTGGGACTTAAGGGTTATTTCATTATATTTTAGAATAAATCTAAGCTAAATGTACAATAGACTTCCTTCACTTTTATATGCAGGTTCTAAATAACATCCATGAAATGTTGAATAAATAATTCGTTACTAGTTATGTTCCAACTCTGGAGATCGCTGTTTAAAATAATATTCTATAATCTCCAGATAACAATCTGCGTAATTTCTCTGCTTAGAAAATAACAGACATTTTGTAATCATTAGCAAATTTGTTGAAAAGAGTCTACACCTTATAAAGAAGATAAGAAATCATTGATAAATTTGATTTCGATATAGCATTTAAATGTTTCACCAGTGATTTCTTGGAGAGAAAAATCCAAGGACTCAAGGCAATTCAGGAATTGATTAAGCGAACCAAAGACCAATATAATTAATATGGAATTCAAGAATACTAGAAACAGGCTGCTATCTAAACGATATTGGAATGGTTGAATGAAAAGAAGATATTTGAATCATTATATGTTGGATCAGGTAATTCCCATCTTGTTTAGAGAAGTGGAGAATTCTTTAAATTTCTTGTTGAGGAAAAGATGATCGGAATACAGAATCTAAAGGAGATCTTGAGTAGTTTAGATAAAGCAGAATATGAACATAAACTAGCCATTCATAAGTTGTTCAAGGATGTATCTAATTCTCTGGACAAAGAGTGGCTGGATTTCTTAACTGATGAAATTTGCAACAAAGATCCAAAAGAAGTGAGCAAAGATGATTTGGATTTATTATTAGATATTGTCAAATCAAATCATAAGTATAAAGAAGATTACATTTAAAAATGTTGCAATTGCTATTGGAATGTCTTAAAGGATGGACAATTGAATTAAACTCTTTTTGAGTAGTATCTAGCACAGTATATTGAATAAGTGACTTCTTTTGAAATGAGACCACATAAGGGAGGACAAGTTAACATGATTGGAGAAAGCATTGTAAAATTGTAATCCCCTCTTATTGGGTTGAAAGTACTAACTAAATTAATTGAAAAGTTGGACATCACAGTTGCTGTCTGGGAATAATATACTCGTAACACAGCTTTGACTGATTTACAATAGAACTATTAAATCATAGAAGACGTTATCTTTTAAATTAAAAATGCCAAATAGTAAAATGAAAACTTTGAAGAAATCAAAGTGAGGATGAACTTTATATAGATTTTTTATTAGAACATCACTACATATGATTATCGATTACAATTCAAAGTTATATCTACTCTATGGGAATTATTGGTTTGCAAATCTGACTGCTAATAAGAGAAAGAACTAGTTTATAAATGGTTTAATGCATTAAATAATTTGGATGGACAGTCTTAATTGGCATCAATGGTTACAAGCTAAGAATTAAAGAAGTTTTTTAGTGAGAAGATGACAGCTGATCTTGCTCACTTGACTGAAGAAGGATTTAATTGTTTAAAGACTGTTTTATTGACAATTAATAAAAGTGAGTCCTTTGGAATTGATGTCTTATGGTAAATAATACTAGAAGGAGAGAATGAGAAGGTCTCATAGATGGCGATTGAATATTGTCATTTATTTGAATCAAGTGTGGATAGATTGTTTCAAAAAATATAGGAAAATAGGGAATCAAATTAAAAGTTGCTCAGATGTTTATTAGTATTAGAAGATTTCATAGATTAAAGTGAAGTAAATGGAGTTGGAAACTTAAAGAGTTTGAATGCTCTCTCTTAAGGAGAAGAATTGTTAATTTAAATTTAGTATGATAATAGTCAGCAAAGAAGATTTACAATTCAAATTAATGATAATCAAACTATTGTTGAATTGAGAGTAGCAATCAGCAAGGTGATTAAGATATAATGGGATGCTTTAGGTTTGAATAGTCTAAAAGGGGAAATTAAGTTTACAGAGAATGGAAAGATGATCAAGGATCTGAGATTAAAGAAAGATGAGATAATTATAGTTTTTAAAAAGTAAATTAAGGAAGTCCCAGAAGCTCAACTATTAGAAGGGGATAACCTATCCGAATAGGCTAAGGTTGTATTTACTGAAATCTTCAGCGAATATTCAACCGATGGCAAAATGACGAAAGAGGATTGCACTAGATTTGTAACTGGATGCACTGGTAATCCATGCAGTATTGATGATGCTAACATTCAAAGAACATTTGAGTAATATGATAAAGACAAAGATCAAATCTTAACTTTATAGGATTTCTTTGAGTTTTATACAGATTCAGCTAGAACTAAGAAATCAACTGTTTGGTTGAATTTGCAAACATTACACTATAGAAATGATCTAATAAGAGGTGATAGAGTGCCTTTGCCTCAAATCAATCCCTAGTAATTACCAAGAGGTTAGATAGTGTAAAATTAGGAATATTTAGATTTGCTATTTGAATTCCTCTCAAGTTCTAGTATTGATGTGTAAGAAAAAACTTGGTATTTATTGAGAAGATTGCCACCTTCACCTTAATTGATCAAATAAATGTTAACATTTGAAAATATTACTAAACCAACAGATTGGGATTCAATTTTAGTGAGCAACCATTATAGATTGCTATACAGTTTGTATATTATAGAATTTCTGATGAATCAATAGGATTCGAATAATTTACAAGCTCTGATAGAGGATCAAGATATCCTAAATTTAAAAGATAAATGGATGAGTAAATTCTTGTAATATGGCGGTTTCGATAGATTATTATAGTTCTTCAAAGAATATCAGGACAAGAGTGTTAGTACTTTATCATAAATTGAAAAAGAGATCTTATCATTTTTATTAAACACATTCTAAAATTATGTGATTGCTGCTTGTGCTGTTCAGATTCCAAATTTATTTAAGGCTTCAAGAGGAATTCAAATAATTAGACCATTAGATCAAGTGCTATTAGATATAAGATAATCTGAAGAGCCCAAGGAATTTTAATTGTTGGTTTAAAAGTTGAAGGAAAGTAGATTAGGGGATAACATAATAGAAAAGATAGAGAACTTCATCTCTGTTCTAATCAATCTGATATAGGAATTGTTAAAATGTAATGAATTGGAATAGGAGGATAGATAAATTATCGAACATAGCATAATAATTATAATAGTAATCCTGTTACATAATCAAGAATTGTTAGTGAAAAGTATTGAAAACATCGAATTTATTAACATATTTTTCAGTGGCATCTTTACTGGTAATTCTGATACTTTGCGTAATCTGTTTAGTAGAGCCATTCTTGTACTTTGTCATGAAAGTTAAAAGAAAAACAATTAACCAACAAGAATCATTTTACAATAGTTGATAGCCATGGAAAATTCTCAGGGTAGTTCTGCTCAATATTATGAATTATTGAGTCAGTTAATAGATAGTGCATTTGAATCTGAAGAATCCTAACAATTCATTGATTATTAATAACTCAGTTAATAAGTATTGCAGAATTTAATGAATTATTAAAGTTAGGAAACTAGATCCAAAAATACTTCAACTGACAAAATATTGGTTGGCTTATTGAATCTCTTGACCAAACTATATAGATTCATTAAGCAACCAATTGTTGACATTATCTTCAATGATTGTTTATTTAGTATGCAAGAAGAGAAGGAGATCAAATGCAAGTCTGCTGATAGTAGAAAAGTAGCATTTAACCTACTCAATAAATTAGCTTAGTAATAGAACATGAATACCATCATAGCAAACCTCTAATTGTTAAGTTAGAAAATACCAAATATCAATAGATGGAACTATATACCTACAAGTGAAATCAGAAGTACTCTGGGCTATTGTGGTATAAAAAATCTAAGATGCATTTGTTACATGAATGCAATGTTACAACAATTTTATATGATAAAACCCTTTAGATATGGTATACTACAGGCTAATGATCAAAAAGAGGTAGACTTACAAATTAGTAAGACAGGATTTACTTATGATGATAATGTGCTACATCAATTGCAATAAATGTTTAGTTATTTAGAACTATCAGATCGCGTTGATTATAATCCTTAAGAGTTTTGTGCAGCTTTTAAAGATTATGCTGGTGAGCCAGTCAACATATTTATATAATAAGATGCATAAGAATTTTTAAATATGATATTTGATAAATTGGAGAATATGTTAAAGGAAACCGTCTATAAAAACATTATGGATGGAGTATTTGGTGGAAAGACTTGCACATAGATTTAATGTCAAAATTGTAAAGCAACAAAATCAAAGGATGAAATATTTTACAATTTATCTTTACCGATCAAGAATTTAAAGAATTTGTAGGAGTGTTTTGATAAATTTGTTTAAGGAGAGATTATTTCAGATTTCAAATGTGAAAGTTGTAATTAGAAAGTGGATGTGAACAAATGTTAACTTTTGGCTCAATTACCAAATATATTGATTTTGCATCTTTAGAGAATTGTATTTAATTTGGACACTTTTATGAATGAGAAGATTAATACAAGATTGGAATTCCCAATTAATTTAGATTTGCAATAATACACGATTAACAAGGATTAATGCACATCATATAAATTAGTTGGAGTAGTTGTTCATGTTGGTACTGCAGATGTTGGACATTATTTCAGTTACATAGATATCAAAAATCAGGATTAATGGTTAGAGTTTAATGATCATAAAATAAAAGAATTTAAATTGAAGTAGATGCAATAAGAATGTTTTGGTGGATCAGGTAATATGGATTATAATGAGAATGACGTATGGGGATCAGGATTTAGAGAGAATTCTTAAAGTGCTTACATGCTTGTCTATGAAAAGGTTTAGAAAGATCAAATATCTCTTGTATTCAATAGTGAGCAAGAACTATAAAATAATTTACACTAATTTGAGAATTACACAATAGACCCCAATTAAAAAAATTGCCTATTGGTTGACTATAATTCATAGAAACCTTATATTCCAAAAGAGTATTAAAGCAAAGTGAATTGTGATAATCAACAATTCCTATTAGAACGTAATCTGTTTAGTCAAGATTTCTTGAAATTCATCCTAGATGCAAGTGAATTTGTGAATGAAGAGAATGCCAATAAGATGATTGATGTATTAATCAAGTTTAATTATGATCTGTTGTCAAGATCATATGAAAATTCATTAATGGAGTAATTCAATACCAAAATCTTACAATTAATTTAATAATATCCAAATATCAATTACCTTGATTTGGTTTACTTTGGCAAATTAAACAAAGTGGTGGATTTATTATTAGTGTGTCCTGAGGCGAGAACACGCAAACACTTTAGCAAATTGTTATCAACCCTATTTAATTAAGCAATCTAGATTTAAGGAGAAATCACAGAAAAATTCAATGAAGGATTAGATCAATTATTCTTGATGATTCAAGATCAAGTCCCTAAGAATTGGACTAGATATGAATTTTATTTTCAATTTTGGTTAGACTTTTTGTAAGAAGGCAAACCCTAATAAGAATACTTGAAGAAGAAAAATATGTTCCTATATATGATAGATTTTATATTAGATAGAAGCAGTCCATTACAATTGTATGAAAAAAAGGTGTAAATGGGGAATGCCTATGTCGCTATGAATATCCAAATTTAAGTTTAAATAGTATCTACACTATTGAACCTAGATCAATAATTAAGTTTGAATGAGAAGAAATTATTGTATTAACCTAAGTTATACGATAAAATACTGAAAACTAAAGTAGATGACATTTTACCTTTGATATAAAAATTATCTTATAAGAACAAGTACTTCTCAGAGATCATTTCAGGATGTATTATGCGTGGTATGTCGAATGGTGAGGTTGATGAATTCAAGAATTATTTATAAGTAGCTTAATCCTTCTTATTGATTGATGACAATCTCTAAATTGAAAGGCTAGAATGGTTAATCGGCATTCCATCATCCAAACAAAAGGACTCAACAAAAATCTATGATAATCAAATAAATGAAATCCCATCATTTGGATTGTTTGGACTATCGAGTTTGGAAGAAGATTACTGGACATTTGCCAGTCCATTAGGGTGGTCAAATTGTTTATTTGATTATTTCTGTTCTCACAGAGGAATCAAAAATTATGATACCCAATGTTTATTAATACTCAAGTGTCTCCTTCAAATAAGTGTCTAAAATCAAACATGCTTCAACTACATTTCCAATCTGCCATGCGTTAATTATCAATACGTAATTATTTTATCTATTTGTAGAAATATAATGAAGACATCTTCAAGACCTTTATAGACATTTACATTTTAGATACTAAGCGATTCTATTCATTGAATAATCGTAAATAGGAATCTGAAGAAACTAAACTTCTACTTGAAGAATACCTAAAAAAATTAGAGTAGACACGTGACCCCTCTAAACCATAGTATGATTATATCATTGGAAAATCTGTTGAAGTCATTAAAAAAACTAAGCTGTTTTATCTATTCAATCCTGTTACTAAAGAGGAATTAACAGTTAACGAAGAATCTTCAAACTTTAAATAAATCAAATAACAAATTGATGATGGATCACTTCAAAAAATTATAACTTTAGAAGTAAATAATCTTATTATCTTAGGAAAAAGTCTTCATTACACATGTTTGTGACAATCTACCAACTGGGTAAACAAATGAAGCCTTGCCTGAATAATATGTAAAGGGAACCTAAATACATCATTTTTCAGTTGATCCAAATTCAGAAGCAGCTAATTTCATATAATCTAAAGCTTGGAATGTTGAGAGCAATGATAAAGCAGTAGTATCTAATCCAAGATAGGCTGAAACTGTGAGGTAGATATAATTGCAGAATAATACAAATCGAAATCTCCAAGTAATCCTTGAAATCAAAGGACCGTAAAATGCTTGTCATTACATTCCTACTTCTAAAATTTAATCCCTCATGAATCCAAAAATTATTGCTACAATGCTTACAACTATCAAGATGAAAAGCCAAGATGAATTTCCAAAGTTAGATTTATTTTTGTAATACAAAAAACAAGAACCTAAGTCAGAATCTTATCTGTATATATCAGATTAAAATGAAATGAATTTGGAGTTGTTATGATCAAGTGAAGTATATCTAAAATTATTATAAATAAATTTCGTTTGTTTAATTTAACAATGGTTGGGGGTCTTTCGACCTCTAAAAATTTCTGTAAGTCACCGGTATGAGCCCAACCCACGGTAATCTTTAGTAAAAGGCGAAAAATTAGCACGTAATAGGTTGAGCTCGGTGATGAATAAATTAAATGTAATTCTAATTCACTTTATATATTTAATTAAATTTTTAGATTTTATGGGTTTAAGTATATCTATTATTTAATATGTCCTTCAGTGCATTGCTTACCTAGCTACAAAAATAACGTTAAACAACAAACATAGCAATAAATCTATAAGCTAGGGAAATGCAGTAAATCATTTTTTTTAGATGAAGGAATAATTAAAATAAAATGCTGAAATGCTAAAATTTTGAGATATTTTCATGTGAATGGAATCAGTACTAGCTTTATCAATTAAATATAACAATAATAATGGTAAGAGCATAGTCAACAAAATTCAAAGAATAGATAGACAAGGGAATTTACAATTATTAGTCCACTAAAGAGCTATATATATCATTCGCATCTATTATGATTCTTCCCTTCTACAATTATATATTTATTCTTTCCAATCATTACTTAAATTATAATATATTAATTATAATAAAATAAATGAGTGAAAGCGAGAGTGAAAAGTAAGATGGTTAAATGGATTTTTACAAAGAAGCTGTGAAATTATATTACTATAATTGTATCTTGTACAATCATGTAAGGAATATAATAAATGGAGTTGGAAAAAGTAATGACAGAGAGGAATGATCTAAAAACTAAAGTGCTGAAATATGAACTACTAGGAGGGGAATTAGCATAATTGGATGACGATGAAATTATGAATTAATTAGAAGATAGAAAGAAAAAGAGCAGAAGAACCGCGGCAGATATTGATCGTCAATTTTTTTGCACCTTTAATAATTGCAAAAAAGCCTATGGTACCGAAGCCTCACTTATATAACATCAAAGATTAAAGCATGGAGTAAATAGTGGCATGGATGCTTATTTTAGAATTTGATATTATTTGAGGACAATTAATATTAACTTTAATTTATGATCAAATTGCATTCTTAAAGAAGAATAATAATCATCATACAAAACATATTGATGATAATATTCTATAATTAATTCATAAAAAAATCCTTTACATCTTATTTGATGATATAATAAATAAAATTCAAAAAAGATCAAAATGCACAATCTATTTCTTATTAACCAGTTATTATTAAGTATACTGATAATACTTCAGTCTTAATCAAGACTCAAATAACATGATGATATTCGACAAAATATCTAACAACAAATTAATTCTGTAACATCAACAGATATTAATTTACACTTAAAAAATAGGAAATCCATTTAGGGATTATCACTATAATTGAATAAATTAATTACTCAAAATTAATTTTCGGTTATTTTCTTATATTTTTTGCAAGACTAAAAGTTGAATATATGAAGAATATTCATAGTTTGTAATATGTAGCATTTTATATACATTATGGAATTTTTCTGAGATTTTCAAAATCATAAATTTAGAAGATTTATCTAAAGTTATCAAATTATATTAGATATATTAATTATGTCCTATGTATTCCAATATTATTTGTTTGTTTAATTGTTATCACAAATTAATAATTATTTATTTTGACTTACACTATATCTATCTCACATTCTTATAGTCGATGTTAAATCGTTCAGATTATAGAAAAAATGGATAAGTGATATTTACATATATTACTACTTCATTTTACAGAAATGTTATAGATTCATTCTTATTTAATTAAATTTCTAATTTTGTAATTATGGACTTTGTAAATGAAAAGTACGCTGTTATCCCGAAATCTTTGAAGGTAAAAGTAATTCTTTAAGTGAGAGTGATGAAGAAATTTAAAAAAATATGGCCCCGGAATGTAATTCATTCGTTGAAAGAGCTAAATTTTTGTTGGTAAATGGATAAATTTTCTAAAAAATATTTGTTACAAAGAATATTGGAGATTCTTTATCTGATCCAATTGGGGCATCATAATTATTAGAAATAATTGCAAATTAATTACAATCTTTGCATGATGAAGCCTTAATAAAAGAATACATTAAAGCAGTGAGTGAAATATTCAATAAAATCGAAGTATTATGAATTAACATTTTTAGATCACCAATTAACTAAAATAGTCTTATAGTGACATTTGCTTCAATATTTTTACAAAACAATATCAATAGTACGATATCATTAATTCTTGCTCAGAGATATTAAAATACTTAGATGACCTTGATATTTATAAAGAGGGGTTATATTTAGAAACGGACAATCAAATGTATTAAATCCTAAAGATAATCGAAATATATTATCATAAATTCACGCCTGAATTAAAAAAATAGGCTCATCTTCAAATAAAATCGAGTATGAAGCACAAAGACGAAAGAGTTCGTAAGACTATTTCAGAAATATTACTGAGTAATCAATTATTATTAAAATCCATATTACGAGAATTCGATTGGATTGATAAATTTACAACTTTAATTTATGACTCATCTAAAGATGTTAGAACGAGCTCAGCAAAGTTATTTTTAGTTACTTATGAACTCAATGAAGAGATTCATAAATCTAGATTGCTACTTTTGTTAGAAAATATTATTAAATAATTAGATTCATCTTAATTTGAGTTTTGTCAATCAATCTCATAATATGTAATATTAACTATATTATTTAGAGCTTAAATTAAGATAACTTGCAATCACTTTTAATTGAAAAAATAACAGAAATCATAAACCATAATAATGAAAATACCTTTTTATTTTTGGAATCTATCCATAAGTATTACTCAATAATAAAATAATTTAATGAGAAGCACTCTAATTCAATTGATGATTTATTGATAAATTCTATAGAAGTACTTTCAGAAGATATGAGAAGTTACGACATATTTAAGTGCTTATCAAATTTATACTCTAATTTATCTTAGGATATGTAATTTAAAGTAATTTAAAAATTATTTCTTAATTTTGAATTAAATTAGCTAATGTTTATTCCATATTTATCTGAAATTATTGAGAAGGCAGCTCTAATAAATAAAAATAAAATTTGGCTTTAGTAACTTCAGATGATATATGAAATGTTTAAAAGAAATGTTTTTCAATTTGAATCAAAAGGTTTGTGGAATGAGATATCAAATATGATCGATATTATGATCATGATATCTAAAATCTTATTCTTGTAGAAGGATTTTCTTCAGTAATGTTTAAAAATGAGCCAAATTGGTTCTAAATCTATTAGAGATAAAATTATGAATTTTCTAATTGAGAAAATTATTGAATTAGACTCTCTCGAAAGTCGAGATTAAATAATTCAAAATTATTTAGGACTTATAAATCATTCAAATTACTAATTACGATAATTATCTATTGAGTTTATTATCAAATTATGCTAATAAAGATCTAGGAAGTTCTTCATTTCAAACAACTTGATAAATATCTTATAATTGTAGTATGATTCAGTTGCTTTGGTAAGAGCAAAAATTCCAAAATTGTTATTCCAAATAAAGTTATTATTTTGGAATGACGAAAAGGAAATTCTTAGTAGAATTGTTTAAATCTTTTAAAACCTGATGAGCGATAAGAAATTATACATTTAACAAGTACATTCTTATATAATAAGATTTCCAAAGACTTTTGGGCTGAACTAGCAAATATTTAATTTTCAAATGCAGAAAACACAATTGAACAAAATTAGTTAATGGATGAAAGGGAACAATAAGAATATGCAAATTTAAAAGTATATACAAATAATATTAGATGATTAAATAATAATTGTTGCTTAATCCTAAAAATATTAAAAATGATGTCAGCAAATCCAGAAATCAAACTCCTACATCAAGACTGCCTCCATCAAATAAAAGATAAAATAATTTCTTATAAGTTCCCAAAGGCACACAGCCAAGAAAAACATCTGCCCAAAGAGTTATTTAATCAAAGTCTCCACAACCCTTTAAATGATTTATTATATATTTTAAAATGTTCACATTTAGAACAATTTACAAATTTACAGCCAAAGCAGTTGATACAGAGGCGCTTTTAAAGAAACTTTAGACAAAATCTTTAATCACCTTAACGAGGGACAATTATTAACTGAATATGGGTTTATTGATCCAAAGAGATACAATATTTCTTCATTACACAGAAGAGGAAATGAAACTTAGAAAATTCAGATATCAATTAGGTATTCATTAAGGGTGAATCTTTTATAGAAAAAAGAAACAATTATATTCCGAAATTGCCAAAAGAATTGCATGAGTACACTCATTTCACAGGTGATTAGAATGTTTTTGGAGACGAAACACCAACTCATGTGAGATTGGTAGGGGATGTCCGTAGTGTATTTTTAGAAAACAGCAAATTCTTTAAGCATTGTGGTATTCATGCAATTTAATTCTTAGATCCAAATGAAAAGAATAATAAGTTGATTTAGTACAATTCATTGCACACAGTTTACTTATTGGTTAAACAAAATGGAATTTGGAGTTTTCCAAATATCAATATCGAAGAGAAAGAAACTTTTCAAGAAACATAAACAAAATTATTCGAAAAGATGACTTAAAATAAGTGGCAAGTATTATTTTTACATCAATTAGGTATACTACTTTACCAGAAGCCCAAGATTAGTGACTGTTGATCCTAACCCAGATGAAAATGCAAAAATAAAAGGAGTCAAGACCATCTATTTTTAGGCCAAACACTTAAATGGAAAAGTTTAGATTTTTGGATATGATGATTGGGCTTGGGCTTCTAGATTAGAAATGAATAAATATTTAACAGAAAGTGCTTATAACAAAGTTATCCATGCTCTAGATTTGTGAGTTTATATTTTAAAGTATATTAAGAGAATTTTACATTTTCTGTAGATAAAGTAATTAACCAATGATATGAATCATATTTTAAACTTAGGTTTTAAAGACTTTTTTTTAGGAAATATTTCTCTATTCTCTTTATCACAACTAGGTTCTTGTAATGAATAGCTTATATTTCTTAATGGTTGTTTTGTAATTAGTTGAATTGAATAATTATGCCTTTTCTTTAAAGGAGAACTTGATAAAAAGTCACCATTTATATTATTTGAGATCTATTTCAATTTATTTTTCAAATCCTAATTTGTAGAACTTAATTTATGAATTGTAACTTAATTTTCTTATTGAACTAACTTCAATGCCTAAATTTCTTATGTATAACCATCCAATTTTTTTGCTAAAAACATTTCAAACTAATATAATTGCTTATTTAAATTGCTAATCATCTAATTATGATCTTTTTTCAAATTCATCTCCTTAATTACCCATGCGCAAAGCTATTTGTACTCCATTAAAACACTTTCTATAAAATTAGTGTTTGTACACGATTTTTTTGATAAACAATTTTATTGTGATCCCCCACTAAAATGAAATTAAGACTAATTACTTGTAAGGTACTCTTAAAGGAGTTATTGATTATTCTGATTTACAGGAGGCTCTATAATTGTGAGAAACGTTTGAATTTATGCTAATCATTGTCTTCATATTATTCGTTAAAATAATAATCAAAATAATAAATATGCAAAATTTACAATTTATCTAGATTTCTAAATTTTATTATCTGTAAATTTTTAGATTTATCAAAGTATATCTATGATTAATTTAATTAATTCAGTTTCCTATTTTTTGAAACATTAAAAGTAACAAGATCAAAGGAAATTATAAATTTTAAATTAAATTACTTGAGTGAAATCAAATTTCGAATTGCTACATAAGAAACCAATCGATGATGTTATGTTGTTGAAGTTTAAATTGCAAAATACTTGAGAAATTTACATATGTTTTTTGTGATCTATTTAAATCCAATATTAATTCATTTAAAATTGTATCATAAATTTGGACAAAGATTCATATTTCTAGGCTTATGTTTGGCAAATAAATCATCTTTATAAAATGTAGACTTAAATTGAAATTTCATTATAATTTATGAGACAATTTAAAAACTTCACATCAAAAATTAGATTATTAGGGAAACAAATTCATTTGTTATTATATCTAATAACTTTAATTAAGCGTCTCATAACCTAATCATTAAATTCAGTTAATTGACACATAAACCTTCAAGAATAAAGGAATTCTGAATGAAGGAGAATTTGTTTGAAAGGTAAAAACCCAGCATAAATACATACTCAAAAAGACTCTTTAGGAATAAATCACACTAAATTAAAGTGCAAGAGAAATAAATCAACAACAGAATAATAATTTACATTTAATATACATTAAAGACTAAATTCATTAAAAATTTAGGAATCAAAATATAATATAGTAATTACTAAATTATGGTTAGTTTCTTAAATTTTAAGATTAGAATAAAATTTTATAGTATTTTATACATATTTAGAATTTTAATGATTATCCTATGTATTGTTTCTTATATTTATAGAATTTAGAGATTTCAAAAAATTAGATAGATATGTATGTCAAATATTTTTAATAGTAAACCCATTCATTATTCTATTAAAACAAAATCCCAATTCAAGTATGGAAAATCTATAAAGGAATAGTTAACTTTACTTAATAGAATCATTAACAAAAACAGATAAATATATTATGTAAAATATTAGTAATCTTATAATATCTTCACGAAATCTTATTGATATAATAATAATCTATGTCATTATATATCTCTTCTGAAATTAGATCATAACTTTTATCGATTTTTTTTCTGGAGTGAGATAATATGTCTGCATCATCCTCATTTAAGGCATAATTATTTTCATAAGATTTTTCTGACTTTGGAGAGAAAACAATTTCACTCTCTTTTTACTAAAGCAAGTTGATCTTTATTCCTATTTAATGAGATTTCTGAAATTCATTTCTAAATTTTGATGATCTCATAACAAAATATAACCTAGATATTTCATACAATAAATTCAAATAACTAAACTTTTATCGCATCTAATTTGAAACTTTCTCATAAAATCTTTCATAATTATTGATATCTATTTTCAACTTATTTAAACGAACTTCAACTATTTTCCCCCTCCAATTCTTTGTAATTTCTATTTTCTTAAATTCTGGGTAGTAAAAACTCATAAGCTCATTTAATACCTTTTGATTTAAAAAATATTCATTGAATAACATAATGATGTATTTCATCATAAAGAGTATGGATACAATAGATCCGATATTTGCTAATAGATCTCCTACACGTGGATACTCTAAAATTATTTTTTCTTGGGTTCCTTTCATTCCAAGATACACTATTGCAAGTGCTTCATTTTAATATATTTTTTAGCAATATTCTAATGAATTTGTTTAGGTTTGTATTTATAAGTCGACAATATACTCTTTGTATTGAGATGATCCAAATAAAATATAATTTTAGAGCTCAAATAAGGTTGTCTTAAAAAAAGATTGCATTGAATAGCAATAGTGTTATTCTATTTATAAATAGTATTCTTAGAATCCACGTTATTTTTTTCCATCCCGAGGATCTATTGTTGTTGAATAAAATTCAATTATAACGACATTTCCTATTTAGGCAAAGAATTGTTCTTTAAGTTCTTGCGATGCGCATTTTTCACCAGGTTTTAAATATTTTTCTGAACATAACACTATTTCAATGTACATTTCATTCGAAGTATATATATAATCGTCAAAATTAGAAAAACCAAACTTCATATTAGGTACATAAAAATCTCCAGAAGAAGTAGGTGTATAATTTTGTATTATCTAAGCGTCTGTTAAAAAATTGTTATCAGCATAAACCACTAATGGCAATAAAATTTTTTATTCAAATGGATCTATTATGCCTTCTTCGTATTTCCAATAGGATACTCTTACTACTTCTTCACTCAAGTCTAGCAAAGAATAGTCAGATATGTAATTTTAACGAGATACCTTTGGACTCATCTAATTAGTTTACCAAAGATAGCCAATCCAAAATACATAAGCTAAACTTACTATAAAGATTGTAATCGTTATTATTCCCCCAAATATACTTTTATATTTTGCTTAATCATGATCTATATTTTATACAATTGGCACTCCAAAGAAATCTGCCTTTTTTAGAATTTTCATGAATTAATTTGAATTAATATCTATATATCAAGCTTAATTGATAGGTCAAAAGAAAGATTTTTTGGTAATCATCCAATAAATTATGCCAAAAACTACGCCAAACAATTCAAAATTCTCATATATTCATAAAATACTATATATCCTTAAGAATTTAGCACTGTATTATTGAATATGATTTTTAATATAACCTGCTAAGTTTATTATGATTATTTATTAATAATAGAAATATAAATAAAATGGCCGATTGGACAGCAACCAAAAATGATTATATTAGTGAAAGAAATTAAAACGAGAAATTAAAAGCTAAAGTTGAATCGTAAAATGAAGAATTAAAGAAATTACAAGAATAGATTGGTTAAGCTAGAACTTAAGTTGAGGGATTATTGCTGCAAAGAGGAAAAAAATAAGAAGTAATTTGAAATTAAATTATGATTAGGTATTAGATAATCTTGAATACGTAAAATAAGTCTAAGTAACAACAGGTTAAAATAAATTGGAAGAATTAAACAGATAATTAGAAAGGGCATTAGCTGAATAAAAAGCACTTTAACATGAATAAAATGTTGTTTAAGTACCTGAAGTAGCTGAATTAGTGATCAAATCTAAGGTATTCTTTGATTTTCCAATATGATTAGTAAAGTGAGGTTGACAATGGAAAATTAAAAGTAGAATTTGAATTAAAGGAAAACTCTTCTCAAATTGAAGTTCAAGAATAATTATTGGCCAATAAAAAGTCTGTATAATTGAAGGGTTATGCAATTCTTGATTCAACTTTATATTATTTTGACAAGGTTATAGAATTATGGAAGTAAGTTTAAGAGAGAGAATCTATCGAATTAAATGGACATGTATTGACAATAATATATAAATGATAAATATTAATACGATTTCAACCTTAAGTATTTTCTAAACAAGGTGATCCTCTACATCCGTATTCTATAAAGTTCTAAATAGGGAAAGTAACTATTACTAAAAATAATGATGGTAGAAAATCATTCTCAAGCTGGGTACTAAGTGTGATAGGATGCATCCTTAATTAGCAGCGATATTAGAGCTACAGGAGCAGTATTACAATCAGAATTATAAGAGAATTTCTATTAAGATTATTCGGATAGTAAATTCTACTTCAGGATTTGCTCGAAGATTCAGATAAGTCAGAGACCTTCTTTACTTATTAGCATGTAAAAGAGTCAACCAGATTTGAAATAAAATAAGGAGAAGAGAAGCTGGATTATCGAATTTGATAGTTAAAATTATTTATTTTAAATGAGAAAATAAGCAGAATATGAACTATATAAACGTCTTAAATTACTAGGCGAGGGATCATTTGGGAAGGCGTATTTGGTGGAATGTCTGTAGGACAAGTAGATAATGCTTTTAATTCTTAGGTCTCTGTGGGTCACCAAATACATGGATTTAGCTGCAATGACTCCTTAGGAGAAAGACGAAACCTTGAGAGAATCTAAAATTCTTGAATTTCTATCCCATCCCAATATTGTGAAGTTTAGAGAAGTTTATAAAACAAAAAAGGCGAGATTGTGTATCGTTATGGAGTATGCCGATGGTAAATATAATATTAATTCTTAGGTGGTGATTTGGCATAAAAAATCAAGGAGGCTAAAGGCAAATACTTTCCTGAAACACAAATTTTAGATTGGTTTACTTAATTATGCTTGGCCATTAAACATGTTCACGATAGGAAGATTATTCATAGAGATTTAAAAGGACAAAACATTTTCCTGACCAAAGAAGGCCAAATTAAATTAGGAGATTTTGGAATAGCAAAGATTTTGAAAAAAACAGTTGAGAAGGCTAAGACAATGGTTGGGACACCTTATTATATAAGTCCTGAAATAATAGAAGGCAAACCTTATACATTTATGACTGATATATGGTCAATAGGAGTTATACTATATGAACTGTGTGCATTGTAACCGCCTTTCAATGCTGAATCGCTACATTTTCTAGCCTTGAATATCGTTAAAGGACAATACAAGCCTATTCCTTCACATTATTCTAAAGAATTGAAATAGCTTGTCTAATCGTTATTGCAAGTTGATTATCGAAGAAGACCTACAATCTAAGAAATTTTAAGTACTGATTATATCTTATTCATAGAAATGCCAGTTATTACAAATAGAATTAAAAGCTTTTTAAGTGAAACCATCTAGAAGTAAGAATTTTCACACACTGTTTTCCACAATAAAGTTTTTGAAGTCAAAGGAAGTTTAAATTAAGTGAATTTAATATTGAATGAATAACCATGTCCTCCTTAGTATTTAGAACAAAATGCCAAGAATTTGTAAGAGTTTCCCAACATAGCTAAAAAACCTTCCATTCAAGAATTCGATGCTGTTCGACCTCCCTAACTATCAAAATAATAATAACAACCCTCATCTAGGCAATCTGATCCCTAAAAAGATACACCAAAAATAATATAATAAGAATAATAAAAACCATAGGAATTACCAAAATAAATTGATGTTCCTAGAAAAATAGATCCCATCACAAAGAATTCACCTTTAGTATAAAAAAAAGATGTTTAAAAAGGAACTCCACCATAGAAGGAAATCAAAAAGCAATCACCATTATAAAAATATAATTCAAGACCCAGTAGTGATTAAGAAAAATAATAAAGAAGCGAGCCCTGTAAATTTGATGCCTAGGAGTAAAAGAAGCATTCAAACAGCAATGAATAACCAAAACATTAATAAAAAATTGAATAGCCAAGGTTAAATTATATTTAATTCATTTAGACCTCCAACTGCTCCAAAAGAAAAGCCAAAACCTCAAGTAGTCCAGTAAAGACCCTTAAGTTCAAAGCCACAAGTTTAAGAGTAAAAAGTAGTTTAGAAAGTGAATGTTGAAAAGAAAAGACCCACAAGTGTGGATAAAGTTTCACCTGCCCAACAATAATAATAAAAGCAATCCCAATCAGAATAGTAACGTCAGGAAGAAAGAATTCGTTTGCTAAAATAAAAATAACAATAGGAGTAGTAAGAGAAAGAAAAGAAAGAAAAGAAGGAGAAAGAATAACAAATTTAATAAGAATAATTGCTAGAGAAATAGAGACAATATGAAAAATAATAATAGTTGGAAAAGTAATAAAAAGAAAAATAACAATAACAATAATTGGAAAAGTAATAACAATTAGAGAGACAAAAAGAATAAGATAGAATTAGGTAAGAAGAAAAACAGAAAATTGCGTAAAATTAATAAGTTTCTAAAGTGGATGTTAATAAGTAAGATTAATAAAAACAAAATTTGGAAAGATAACCATCATAGAAATAATCTCAAATGGATAGCAAATAAAATGAATCAAAGGCATAGTTGAAATCAAAAGCAGACTAACTCCAAAAGATAGAATAGAATGGCTAAGACTTTGCTCTTATGCTTAAAGAATTAGAAAGCTTGGTATACATTAAATTTAATTAAGATTAACAACGTTAATAGTGCTATTGATAAATTTCCAAATATGGGTGGCAAAGAAAATTACTTTGACTTTAATTCTATTTTGACTATGTAGATGGAAGATAGAGAGGATGATGAAGACGAACCAACTAATTAATTCGAGAAGAAAACAAAAGGTGGTCTAAAATTAATATCAAAAGAAGAGGAGGAATGTTTAGAGATGTTAAATAAGCAAGAGTCAAGACCCTCTAGTTTAAAAATAAAATTAGAAAGTGTTCTTGGAGTAGAAAAGATGAACAAAGCAAAAAACATTCTGAAATAAACTGTAATGTTATTATTTATGAATAGCTAGAGAAACTGGATTTAGAAACTATGGAATAAGAATACGGACCGAATTATGAGAAATTATTACCATTTTTAACTTTTGAAGAAAGGAAAAAATACGCACCACTCTTATTTACTTATATTATATGCGGATGATAGAATTGATTAGTTATTAAATAATATTAAATGTATTTATCATATTGTAATCTTTAAAAAGGAAGTATTATAAAAAAATATGTAATATAATAAATAATGAAATATTGGACCAATCTTATATTATTATCTTTATAATTTAAGATATTAATGTCAGTTTCTTAAAATATCCATCAAATAATTAATTTTTATATCGAGATAAACTAATAAACTGTTAATTGAAATCAGTTGTTAGATAGTAATGTAAAACATTGATTATAATGATTTCTCAAGCTACTTTCTTTTAATAACAGTGTATGAATTTAGCATAACAGGAATATTTTTATAAATATTTCAGATTATCTAAACCTCAGAATACTTATTGTAGAATATAGAGAGAAAAGTAATGAATAAATAGACATGATTTGTCTTTATATATAGTTTTATTTATAAAGAATCAGGGAATTGTAATCTTTTAGGGCTCATAGTCTTATTTAGAGACTTGCCATAATATTCTCATCACAATCAATTTTTTAATTAAATTATTTAAACCCCAGTATGACAGATTTTGCTTTGACAACTTTTAGCAGTAAAGGCAAGTTATTACAAATTGAATATGCTTTAAATGCTGTAGCAAAGGGAGATACAGCTATTGGAATCAAGGCTAAAAATGGTGTAGTTTTGGTGGTGGAGAAGAAATAGTCATCAATTTTGATTGAAGAGTCAAGTGTTCAGAAAATAGCTTCGTTGACAGATAACATAGCAGCTACATATGCCGGTTTAGGACCAGATTTTAGAGTGTTATCATAATAAGCAAGAAAATTAGTGAAGAAATATGATTTGAAATATCAAGAGGAAATTTTCGTATAAACATTAAGTAGAGAATTGGCAGAAGTAGATTTATAGAATAAAATTAGGATGTATAAATAGCTACTTAGAGAGGTGGAATAAGACCATTTGGTGTATCCATTCTTATAGCAGGCTATGATGAGGAGGGTCCTCATTTGGTGTAACTCGATCCAAGTGGCGCTTATTATAGTTGGAAAGCAACAGCAATTGGCAAATAAGCTAAGAATGCCAAAGCATTTTTAGAAAAGAGATATAATGCTGATATGGAAATTGAAGATGCCATCAATACAGCCTTATTAACATTAAAAGAAGGTTTTGAAGGTATATCAGTAAATATCTATCAAAGGATAAATAACACCTACTAACATTGAAGTTGGAGTGATTAGAGACGATCACGTGTTCAGAGTATTGCCACCATCTTAAGTAAAGGACTATTTGGAAGAATTAGAATGATAATTGATAATGAGATATTTATGAAATATAAATTAATCCTAATGTAATTCATTTCTTTATAAACATTGAAAATATTCCTAAAAAGTAGAAAATACAACTAATTGTTGGTAATATTTTGAAGGAATGATGTAATAATAATACTAGTAATTAAATTCCAATTATTGCATTTTCAGCCATCTCATTTGGTAATTTCACTTCTTATGGTAACCATTAGAAAAATGTGTAAGTTATTAATACTGGAAATGATGCTATATAAACTAAAAAGGAGTTTTCAATTTTGTCTGAATAGAATCCAAAGTTGAATAAAGACATCATTATCATAAATGCTCCTTTGTATAATTGTAGGTTTTGGTTATGAAATCTATAGCGTTATTGAATAATCCCAGATCCAGTTTGACATGCTTATCCAAAAACCAAAGCCCACACAGCTAAGATTCTATCATTACTCATTAGATTCAAAGTGAATCCAAACAAAAACAAAATTGAACTCAAGTTATTTTGGAATTGGATGCTGTGAACAAATAAAGTTTTAAAATTGAAAACCAGCATAATCACTAATAAATCTATTTTTCGTAGTGCTGCAAATAAGGTGAAATACCCAATGGCATCTTGGATATATAATATTGTTACTTAATCCTCCTATCACAGCCATCATCAAAGCATCATACTGAGATTCATAAACGTATTGTGATCTCTGAGAGTCAAGTAGCAGAATAAATCCATATTAAATTGACAATGTCACATAATTTGGTTCTAATTCTTTTAATATGACCATTATGCCCAAACAACCTATAGCATTAATTGCCATCAATAGTTTTGAAGAATTATTCTGTCCAATTAATGAGTCAAGGTAGTCTATACTTAACATTTATATAATTTAATTAAATCAATGAGGCTTAGGTTTGTGACCATCAACATAGAAATTCCTTGTAGCTTTTGGTAATTATATTATAACATTCTCAAATTTCTCGTCAACCTTTACTTAACATCCCAGTCTGGATGTTTCTGTCAATCCATATGCTAGATCCAAGAGATCTTCCTCCTCAGGTACAGGCTATGGCAATTTATCATACAATTATTCTATATCAAATTCATGTATGTTACTTGGTAAGATAACATGGCAAGTTGAGCATGCTAGTGATTATTCACATGCACCTTCTAAATCAACTTCGTTTTTATGTGCGATTTATAATAAATTCTATCCAATTGGTGTTGTTACTTTTGTTAAGGAATTATCTTTATTTTTAAAATAGAATGTCACCATTTTTGATGAAGAAGCACTGTATTTACTAAAAAGTCTGATCATCAAAATTAATAATTATGGTAATTATTACATTAGATTAATTGATTTATAACACATTTTCAAACAATTTTAAATTCCCAATGTGGATTATTGTATACTTACATAGCAACATAAACAATACTTTTCAAATGATTATCAAACACTAATCCTAAAGGAATTATATTTTAAGAATTTAAATTATTGTTCAAAAAAGGACTGGTATTTATAAAGAGAATCCTGTTATTTAGGTTTAATCAGTATTTCTATGTATCTTATTATATTAACGTTTTGAATTTGTAATAATAAAACAAGGGAAACCAATTTATATCTTCCGAATAATAAACTAAATTCAAAGAAAATACCAATATGAAAATAACAATATTAAAGGTTTTTTTATTAGTCTTATGTTGAAAATGAATAAAATTTAAGTATAATGAATAGAACTCCTAAATATTTGTTATTTATGAAATTTTGTTTAAACTTGAAATATTTAATTTTCTAAAGTTAGATATAAATTGATTTATTAAATGTAATTTAATTGATTTATAGATCATCAATTCACATAAAATAACTTAGAGCTAAAGTACAAAGTTATCAACATTAGTTTTAGCAAATAATTTGATTTAAGTTTACTCTCAAGAACTTTTGGATTTCGGAATGTAGAGTTTAATCAAGATCTAAAAATATAAATGGAAAAATTCTGGTATTTCCAAGTATGTAATTATTAGAATATGATTTGTTCAAGGTGATTAATCGTTCAATTATAGAATTTGAGAAGACACAGTTTCAGAAACTTCATAAATGGATACATAATTGAATTCAAAGAATTTTACAGAAGGAAGAGTAAGCATGAGAGGAATCTAAGTAAAATTTAATAATCATTTTAGTGATGCAAATGTTTTGATTTCATTGCTCAAAAAAATGAAATCGATTATATATACAAAATATGAAAGAGGGTTTTTTAATTAATGGTAAGTTCAAAGATCAAAATATCGTTGGTGATTAAAACACTCATCATATGGTATAAAATTCTAATACATTTTGATTCTCTTCTTATTTTTGTCTATAATAATATTACTAATTATTTTAATTATTAGATGACCCAGAAAACAAAATAGTTTGGAATAATGTTTGGGATTATTGTCATATTGGATATAATCAATTGTACTTTGATTAAAGAAATGCCGATTATAATTTGCAATTCTTTGATTTTGTTGTTTTGCATAAGTAAATTTGTCCATTTATGTAAAAAGCTCATTATATTATGAAAATTAAGTACAATAAATATGAAGAGCTCTTATTGTTTTCTTTGTTCTTTCATAATGCAGTATAGATATACTATTATGGAATGAAGTCATTGTGGTTTTTAATTTATCTTTTACAAATATTCAAATATGAAAAACATAATAAACTACTTAAATATTGTAAATTTATTTAATTAGCTATCAGCATAATTATATATTCTATTTAATATGATGGTTGGTTGGATTATGCTTATTTTTAGCAACTCAATAATTTTATTGCTATTTTTATTTATCAAATTTTCAATTAACATAAATAAGATTCAAAAATAGAGGTAACAGAAAATTTCATTATTTAAGAAATGAAGAAATTAATAATTTTTAAAATATTTGATCAACAATTTAATGAGCTTTCTAAGACTACCTCCAATAATTATGTTCTCGCGACTTCTACTCTACAGGATGAAAATCAAACCTTCCAAATTAAGGCTTATCAAGATAAAGAATTAGCCTATACTCCTTAGCATTAATGTGATTGGAAACCCAACTTAATATTTAATGACTATTAAAGTTTTATTGAACATATTCACAATCTAGAAAATTTAGATTCTTAAATGTGTTATCATTATGTTGCTATATAAACTGATTTAGTGAAGAAAATGAAAACAAAGTATAAAGTATTATATAAACAACTTGGGAAATAAGACATTATTATAATCGCACTAGTTAGAATTGATAATTTTACAGAGAAGCAAATGATTTTTAAGTTCAAAAAGTTTAAAAAATACTTCTACGATATTTTTGCTCACAAATTAAAAACGCCTTTAAATGCTTCGTTAGGCTTTCTATCATCTGCTTACAATTACACTGAAATGGACAATACCATCAAATAAAATTATATTAAACCAGCATACATAAACTCTAAATTGTAATACTTCTAAATTTCAGATCTTTTGGAATTCCTAAATCCTTAATGTGATTAAACCAGATTGTAATATTGTAAAATTAACATGAAATCATTCTTGTACACACTTAATGAATTAATTGAATCCTAATGTTAAAACAAGAAAATTCCATTCTAGATTTATGTAGAGAGAGTTCCTTTAAATAGTATCGAGAAGTAAATTCTTAAAATTATTAATTTTATAGATTTTACATTTCAACTGATCTACTGAAATTAGAGAGAATTCTATATAACTTGTTGAATCTAACTTATAGATACACTCCATAAAATGGCTAAATTAATTTACATATATTCTTCGACTAAGCGAATTCTTAGATTATATTTATTATAAATGGTAGTGGGAAATTATTTAATGATGAGGAATTATTAAAAATAAATTAATGGATTAAATCTCAAACTGAATTTTAATATAAAAAAAAGTAGATTCCACTTAAAAAGGAGATTAAATTATCCTTAGAAATAACTAATCATTTGATTAATACTTTAAGTGACTATGAATAACATCTCGAAATTTCCTCTTCTTATATAGGTACTGAATTCAAATTCAGATTAATTCTGAAAGATAATAAAACAACAGAAGGATCATAGGAATAGTTCACAATTGGGTTTATGTTAAAGCAAAAGAGTAACAAAAGTTTTAAAACAGGTACTACTAAATAAAAATCTCATAAATCGATGATCATTGAACTTGCATCAACATCTCCTCTGAATTCTTACAGAAGCATCAATGAACCATAAGCAAACACTCCGATTGCTACTCCAATTAATTAGACTAAAGTAAACAAAAGTTCTGCTACTTTAAAAAGAATAAGATCATCTTTTACTAATAGAGGGGTGATTGATTTTGATAAGAAAATCTTGATTGTGGACGACGAACCATTTAATCATGATATTTTGATTCTTATGATGAGGAATATGGGGTATAATCAATTCTTAAAAGCATTTAATGGACAATAAGCTATTGATTTGGTTAAAGAGAGAGAGGAGGATATATCAATTATAATAATGGATTTAGATATGCCTATAATGGGAGGAATTGAAGTATTTATTATTCAGATTATAAAGGCTACAAAAGTCTTAGTAGATATGATGTTTGAATAAAGCCTTGTATATATACCAATAATAGGTTGCACTGCTCACGATGATAAGGAAACAATTGATAAATGCATATAAGTTGGGATGCTCTATGTAGTTGTAAAGCCAGTATTTGTGAAAAGCCTTATAGATGCTTTCAAAAAAATAACCAACACTGATGATACTAGAAAACGATCATTTTTGTGTGTCACTTCTTAATTACAAATTTGATTTAAATATTATTATTATTTACAATACTAAAATGCTAAAGGAGATAGAACATAATGTGATACTCATATTTCTATTACAGTTAGTTTCAATTCCATTTTCAATTATTGAACAGAATATTATTTGTTAATTTTGAATTTGAATGAAGTTTCGTTGATTATAGGTATAGACTTAATTTATGTTATGTAAATGTAATCACTATAAAATTAGACTTTCTTAAAAATCATTCAAAATGATCTAATGTTGTTTCTTTTAGTGGGATCCTTAACAATCTTTGGATACACAGAATATTGGATGCACATCTACAACTGAAATTTAAAAAAACATAATTTTCATTCAATTTGCAGTTATCTCTGTTCAAATTACTAGAAATAAGATTTAAGATTATATCTTAAGATATCATAAGATGGACGGTTTGTTGTACTTTAAATTAATTGGATCAAATAAACGATTTAGGCAACATTTATCTTACATTTTCTCTCACAAACTCAAAACTCTATTAAATTAAGCATTGGCAAAGATTACATCAATGCTTACTGATACGAATATGCTTCCATATCATAAGTTGATGCCCTCGTAGATCTACATTTGTCAAAAAGTCAATTGTAAAGCATTTTGGATTTTTTTTGGATTATGTTAATTCAGATTCAATAATTTTCCAAACTTCTCGAGTTGCATTAAATTATTTATAATGTGAAGGATATGATTAGAGAATAGTGCAAAGCAAAATCAATTGAATTGAATATTATTGTAGAAAAAGCGCAATTCAAAGAATATAAAGGGTACGTATGCATCATTTTTAATGTGAATTCATTTCTTAAATAGTTTAGTTTTAAGGAGAGTGGAGCAGACTCAAATCAAGACTAAATAGTGGAGAATGATTAATTTATTATGATAGTTGATGATGACCCATTCAATCATGATAAATTGGTTATGATTTTTATGAGAATTGGATATATATAGTTTCATTAATGCTTATGATAGTAGAGAATGTATGAACAAGAATTAAAAACCCATTCAAAATAAAGTTGATTTCCTGGATTTTAATATGCCCAATTTGAATGGATTTAGGTAAAGATAAATATCAATTCAGAGCCGCAAATGTACTCAATGAACTAATGAACACTAAATGAATTAAAATATTCCCATAATAGCACGCACTGCTCATGATGATTTTGAGACTGAGACAAAATGCAAAGCTAAGAGAATGTGAATATCATCATTAAACCAGTATTTATAAAATAACTCTAAACTGTAAATTAAAATTCCTAAGACTTTTTGACTATTCTCATAATAATACAAAATAGAATTTTTATTTATAAATAATATACTTCCAAGCATTCAAATATCATTTACATTTAACATATATTGGACTGCTTGTTGGTTATTTGATACCTACTACAAAATGTTTTAATTATATTGAATTGCACAATTCTTCATCAATTTCGGACCCTTCGGATGTACCATCTTCGAAACTAATCTTTCTGCTTGAATTAACTCCTTTAGATGGAGAACGAACACTCCTCCTTTAAGTTAAAATTGATCTTAACTTTATTATTGGTTTAGAAGAATAATTATGAGAAATCACACGACTGCTTTTTTCCGCTTGTTAAAAGAGAGAGATCATATAATCATAATCAGGATCTTCTTCAAATTGCAAGTCCTTAACATAATCCATAAATATTGACAATTAAATTGGTAATCCAAACAAAGTGTCTAATTTTAAAGACTTTTTCATTTTCTTTATCTTAGAATATCTAATTTCTTTGTCTTGATTATAAATATTCGACCAAGGCAAATCGCCTTAATGTAAATAGATGAGCATATAGCCTAAAGATTCGAGATCATCCCTTCTTGATTACTCAATACCTTTCAAGGCATTAATAGATGCATATCGAGCAGTGCCAATCATTCCCTTATTTTCTCTGTAATTTATATGACTCCCATTAATTATATATTTCTTTGATAACCCAAAATCAATTAAATTTACTCTCCCTTGGTGCATCACAAAGTTCTCTGGCTTAATATCTCTATGAATTACTCCTTCCGAATGGAGCTCTTTCAAAAGCTACAATATTTCTAATCCAATTGGTAAGATCTTATTGAAATTGCCTTTGCTTTAACGAATTTATTCTAAGTTTTCTCCCATCAAATTCATTACAAAATACGTATTATTTAAATCCGAACCTGATGCAAATAATTACGTAAAACCTAGAATAATAATATTGCTAAACCATACCTTTCTTGCCTTTTAGCTAATATAAAATCTATATTTCCCTAAGTAACAACTTTTTTTCCTTTCTCATCTAATTTTTGACAAGTTTACAGGCATATATCTATCCACTCGAAATATGTCTGACTTTCCAAATGTAACCAAAAGCCCTATTTTAGTTTATAATTATTACCCTTAACCTAATTTATCGAGAAATTGGTAGGAAGAAGAAGCTGGCTCCTTAAATGATTTTTGAATGGAAATCATTTATTTGATATCTATTATTTTAAAAACTATTATAAATTAAATTTTCTTCACTATTATATATGATGATTATTATTATATTAAGACTTTGAATAATCTTCCAAAATCCTTTTATGGCAATAGCATTCAAAGTTAGTTCCTTGCTTATAATTATGAAACAAATGAGAAGCCAAGAAATTGCAAACGTGAAGCCATGATTTCTAGAAGAACAAAAGAATAAACAACTAAAATCGTATTGATAATATGTATCAAAGGGAAAATTTGATTTTGTTCTCTTCTTATCCATCTTCCGAAAAAAATAATTGTCTCTTTATTGTATTTAATTCTGAATCATTAAAGTTATAGGAGCAATTCCTCTTTTTCTTTGGTGCTTATGGCAATATTAGCTATTTCTGCTTTTTCTCTGGAGTTCTTTAATTCATGATAAAAATTAATAAATATAATGAATTTATAATTTTTGCATATCCATAATTTTGATTTGCTTAGAGTAAAATCTTGCTCCTAATTTTGAACATCTGCTATTTAGAATTATCTAATATTTTTGGATAAATTGATATCTAAAGCCATAATCTTGAAATTATAGGCAATAATGTTAAATTCTCAAGTTAGCTAACTGGCTAGTAAATATAAAACAATTATTAATAAAAAACTTTATTATTAAAACAATAAGATTCATGAAAAATCCCTGATTCCCATTTTCCATTTGAATTTTATAATATCATTTTTAATCCACATTAAGTATTATACCTCCTATATATGCTGATTCATGATTACTGCTTGAGCCTATCTTGTATTAAAACCATAAATATTAGTTCAATAGGAACTCTCCCTTTGACCGTATTGTTGTAAATTGTTTTTAGTTTTAAAATAAGGATATGTGATTCCGATTCAATTAAGAAGTCTAAATATCAGAGAAAATGATATTTGATATCTGATATTTATCCCTTTTATTTTTTAGAGAACAATATTAAGGATTTTTAAGTTACATAGAGCAAGTAAGTAATTTGAATCTATTTAATTCTTTATATATGATTCTAGATATTCTACAATTCAGATTTAAACAAATGAGCAATTTAAACTAGAAGATCGTAAAGAAAATGACCATTTATATGTCTGCAAACTAATTGACATTAGATTACAATTATGAAATACAGATTTTATAGAATATATGAATTAAAAAACTTTATTAATTTTGGATTAATCAATTATCAAATAAATCCTAATGATCGGGATTGTCGTTAATTACTTTTTAGATAGATATAAATATATACCTTCTTTTTTCTCGCTTGCTTAGTGTTAAATTTAATCTTCAAAATCAATTTAATCATTATCTAATGGTTATTTTACAGCTGATTCAATAACCTATTATGGTAATGGTTCTTATTCGATGGTTTGAGGTACTGCTACTACTTCTTATTTTGGTTGAGGCTACATACTTATATATTCCATACCTCTGGTGGGATTAATTCTTAGGCAACATGGTATTGGCCTGATCTTTCGTAAATAATTCCACTTTCTTCTGCTTAAGCCAAAAAATTGTGAACAGTTTATTCTTCAACAGCATTTGTGTAGAATAAACTGAGGTTGTTGGTAATTTCTTTGAGAGCTGCAGATGCTCCAAATGAGGCTATCACATTAATGACATTTTGTTGCAATTGATCAGGGAATTAGGAACTGGGTGCTTCAGGGTAATAGAGTTTATCTAGACTAGAATAATGAAGTACTGAATCTGTCTTTTGTGGCCTTTGGTTTTTTATCTTATGCTTGCTTTTTTCCTTTTTTAACAGGAGATTGAGGAGGGGATGCAGGTTAATCAGCTGGTTCATCATTAGTTATTCTTCAGCCTTTTTAATTTTCTTATCAACAACTTCTACTTATTTTGCTTGTTCTTATTTGGTTTACTTTCCCTTTGCCATGAAACTTTTCTTGATGATATAATTTAAATATAAACTAAAAGCGGCAAATATTTGTATAGATTATAATCTTATTTATTATTGAATTGGCCAATAATATTGTAGATAATGTGTGATAAGAAAAATAATAACACACCCTCAAATAACGGTCAAACAGATGATCCCAATTATGCTTTGCAAATGTAGATTATAGCATTTTAAGATTGAACCATCAATAATTTAAAAAATATTCTTATTGAAAAGGATTCTGAACTTTAAGTATGATCCACATTCTAATAGAAAAAAAATCAAGAAAATGCTTAATTGAGATAGTAGATCCAAATGTTGGAAAAGCAATATTCTCAATAACAAATATCATAATAATAAGAAAATTCAAATATTTCAAATTTATAATCTCAGCATCAGAAAGTCTAAGATGAACTCAAGATATTAAAAGTGATTTTCAATTAGAATTCGAATCCAGATTTGGTTTTGGAATCACTTTAAATTAAGTAATCATAAATTTGATATATATCTATATAGAGAACAGTTGGTAGTCATTTAACAATAAAAAATAAATTTGAAATAAAACTAAAAGTAAGATTAATGCAAATACAACATATTAGGAGGCATAAACTAGACTGATTTAATCTCAAGAAGTTATTTAAGAACTCTAAAGAGAAAACGATCAATAAAAGTCTTTTTCAATGCCTTCCTTCTCTAATTCTCCCCCTTTTCAATAGGCCTCAATTAGTTAGTAAAATTCTTATAATAGCCATATCTAATAACTAAGTTTGATTAATTGTATCATTAAGTTAAAACAGAGAAGTGAATTAAAGAAATTTAAGAAATATGCAATTAAAAAATGAATTAATATAGATTCCTACTCAAAGTAGAACATAGCCTTAGTAAAGAAGAATCCAAATAATAGAGGATGAATTGAATTACTAAGAATACTTTTGAGATCGTAGGGACTAATTCATATTTGAATATATTGTTATATATATGTATTAATCAGAATATTTAGTTTTTATTTTATTAAATAAAATGAGCAATGATTATAATTACATGTTTAAGTACATAGTTGTAGGCGATACAAGTAAAGAAATGAATAAACCTATTAAAGATGTTGGAAAATCGTGTTTATTGTTGCAATTTACAGAAAACAAATTTTGTGATCATACTGAGAGTACAGTGGGAGTGGAGTTCGGCTATAAAACCATAAAGATAAATGATTAATAGATAAAGCTGCAGATTTGGGATACAGTATTATATATTGAAGAGAATTGATAGGCAGGACAAGATTCATTCAAATCGATCACAAGATCATATTACAGAGGGGCCATTGGAGGATTACTTGTATTTGATTTCAGTAGAAGATCAACGTTTGAAGACATTAAAAAGTGGTTAAAAGAAATAAAGACATTTTCTTGTGATAAGATTGAATTAGTACTTGTTGGCAACAAATCAGATATTCCTAAAAAGGATGTGACAATTGAGGAAGTCGAAGAATATGCATAATAAGAGAAGTTAGATTTTTATGAAACTTCAGCCAAAACAGGGAAGAATGTAGATGTTGTCTTCGAGAGTGTAGCTAATAAAATTTTAAGAAAAATCGAAACAAAATAAATTAATTTAGATGATTAGGTACATTTATTCCATAAAAATAGATGTTAGGAATTAAGGTTAATTTCAATGGAAAAATGAGAAAAAAAAGTAAATCTCAAAGTAATCAATCTCCATATTACAATATAACACTAAATGGCAAATAAAGTGATTAAGAGAAAAATGAAAAGAAAAGTTGTTGTTGACTTTTTCTTAATTTTGTGATTTTTTTGATATTTATTTTGTATTATATACAATGTGAGAATATTAATTATGTAAAACTATCGATGATTTGAAATAATAGCAATTCGATTGATCTCATACAATTAAAGACTTCTGATTATTTATATATTTTCTTAATTCTTATTCCATAATATAATTGATAACCTAAGTAAATTCTTTGGATTTGATTTTTATAATGAAGGAATTCAACTAAACCAATCTAACTACTCTATTTATCGAATATTGTGTAATATTTTCTCATTAATGGACTGCTTAAAATCATTAACTGGTCATTGTGAGATCGAATATTAGAGATCAGGATGTAACTAATAGGTTCATTATATTATTGGTGTGAATATAAAATTGAGGTTCCAAAGGGAATTCCTGATTATCCAGAATAATTTTGATTGATGGAAATTCAGAAATTTCATTTGTTGGACAAGAGCATTGATGATATCTGTCCAACCAGAGTTTTAAACACATTCTGTAAATCAATTAAGATAGTTTTAGGAAAGATTAAGAGAGAACTTCCAGAATCAATCATTGCATAATTATCAACTCTAAAAACTCCATTCATGTCTATTAATTATGATGGGATGATCAATTGTTCATAAAAAATTGACAAATCTTATCTCTTTATTGAATAAACCCTCATCATAACCTCCAAATGTGATTTGATGATTATCGAATAGAGTTTTCAAAATTATACACTTAATGTAGTTTATTAATTGATTCAGAAATGATACAATTTAATGTAAATTAATGAAAATCATACATAATTTAGTATAATGAAAACTGATTGGTTTTAATTTATCCTCTATTCGTTTATGGTAAGAATGGTTTCTCTAAGGGTTTGTTGAACTTCAGCAGTGTTGGTCAAAGCTGGATTAAAATTATTCTTGGAGCTGCTCTTGCTTTCACACTTTTTGGATGAACTACAAACTCCCATTAAAGTAATTAAACAATATTAATTTAATTCAAAACAGTATATTTGAATTTATTTTTATACATATATATATCTCCTAAACAAAATATTTATTGAGTGGCTATGTAAAAAATATATTCAATTCTGATTGAGTGTATAATTCTTAACTTTTAAATGAAATGATCAATTATTTGTATAATATTTGTTTACACATAAGGATATCCTTAGATAAGAAATAATATTATAAATATCATTTTAAATTTTTATTTATTTGATGTCAAAAGTATTTCTATAATTTTTTACTATTACATTAATATAAATATTAGATTAATATTCAACAAATATAATAAAAATTACAAATTATGTAATAATTAATAAATAAATAGTATGATCCTAATTTATATTATTCTACTAAATAAATATATAATTTATATCTTAGTTAAACGAACCATTCCATAATATTTATTTTTGAATATTACCTTAGTCCCTAATTTTAGCTAAAATTTATTCATTGATCTTTTCTGAATTTTATTGGTATTTGTCATTTAATAAATCTTTCATAATTTACTCTTATCATTCATAAATTCTTAATAAAGATTAAATTTGTAAATAAAGTATTTATTAATAGTTATTTGATTATTAAGTTCTTATCACTTGCTGTTCTATTTATCATAATTAAAATATTCATTGTATCTTTAAATATGTCTCATTTGTAGTTCAGAAAATTATTGTTATTTTTTGAATTATGGGAAATTTATTTTAAATAAAAATAAATTTATTACATGAATTAAAATAATTCAATGAATAATAATATTTACAGAGATGATTTAAACTAAAATTTATTCATAAGTTGTTATAGGGAGTTTACCAATATTGTATGATTTCTATTCATATGAACTGGAGATTATATTTGTGATAATTTTGAATATTCCAAATAAATGTATTGTATTTTTTCAAAATCACTAATTTTGAGGCTTGAAATTTAAATTAGAAAGGGATGACTAATTCCTTATTAATCAGAAATATCGAAAATAGTCATCAATTCTATGATTTACGATAAATTAGAAATAAATATTTCTATTATAAAGAAAATTATTTTTAATAATGCCTATGTTTCAATCAATTGTTTTACCTAAAGATAAAATTCATTTACCTTAAAAAGAAAATCAAATCCTCTGTTTGATAATTTTGAAATTTATGAAATTTATGTTATGGAAACATTATGATATAAGCCTTTTTCTTTAAATAGTAAATATATATTAAAAATAAGTTTTTCAAAAAATGTTCTTAAATATTATAGACAAAACAGATGCTTCCAAAACCTTAAGAAAACTTTTTCCTAATAAAATTTTTATAACTTTTTAAATTCTAACTTCTTTAAAACAGTTTTGGTTCATGATTATTTATTTTCGTACTTATACTGCTTTTTATTTTGAAATGCATCGATTTTATTATTCTAAGTCCTTATGTTGTCACAAGCAATCTTAAGATAGTCCCAATAGTCTTATTGAAGATAAATCAAATTTTCTATCTGAAATGCACTTTATTCAAGAACAAACGTTATTTTGATTATTGTATTAACCAAGCCTCTCGCTTCCTTTTATTATTGTTTTTTTTTGGTCGATCTTGGGAACAAAAAACAATAATTTGAAAAGCCTGCAAATTCTTTTCTCTTTTTATTCATTTTGGAAGTATAAAAGATAAAATTAAATAAAATTTGTCTTATTCTATTCCACGCTTAAAAATTGAGTTTTTTGGCGATTATCCTTTCATAAATAATTTAGATGATGTTTAGATATTAGATGAAAAATTGATCTTTTTCTCTTTAATTAATAAATTATAAAAAATAATTTTACATTAAGATATCAGCTCTAATATTCCAAAACGAAATCATCTAATGATACAAACTACACTGCAATTTCTCTCAAACACTTTCTTCAGCCTCTTTTTCTAAGAGAAAGATTTTTGCCTTAACTTTTTTCTAACTCTAATAGTTTAATTAAATCACCTTTTAATATAACGATAGAATTTGAAATCATTTCTTTATTTATCCTGATTAAAAATAAAAAATCTGATCAATAGGGCATCATGTGATTTCCTCAAAATATCTTTTTTTAGACCTATCAAATCTATCATTATTATTTAGATATTAATTTATGAAAATTCTAAAATAGGCAGATTGCTTTGGGGTTCCATTTGTATAAAATATAGATGATTCATAAACAAAATACAGAAGTACACTTGGAGGAATAATAACGATTACAATCTTTACAGCAAGTTTAGCATATATATTTTGGGTTGGTTACCTCTGGTAAACTCATCAGATTAGCCCAAAAATATCTCGTTAAAATTACATATCTGACTATTCTTTGCTAGATTTGAGTGAAGAAGTAGTAAGAGTATACTATTGGTAAGATCAAGAAGGAAAAATTGACCCATTTACAAATAATATTTTATTGCCATTAATAGTATACACAGTTAACAATTCATTGACAGAGCCTTAATTAATAACAAATCATAGCGCTACACCATTTGGAGAAGTTTATGTACCAGAAATGTAATTTGATTTCTCTTATTACGATGGGTACATATATGCAACAGGAGATATGTATATATAAATAGTAATGTGTTCAGAAATTTATTTAAAACCTGGTGAAAAATGTGCATCACCAGAACTTAAACAAAAGTTCTTTGCATAATCAAACAATGTAGTTTAGCTTGAATTTTTTACAACATCAATAGATCCACGAGATGGAACGAAATAACGTGGATACCAAGAATTCACTATTTAAATAGAAGAAAAATATTGTTATTCTGTGCAATCTTATTTTAAAACAACCTTATTTGAGCTCTAAAACTATTTTTTATTTGGCTACCCTCAATACAAGGAATATATTGTAGATGTGTTATTACAAACCTAAACGAATTCTTTAGAATTTTGTTAAAAAGCGTATGAAACTGAGGCAATTGGAATAGTTTACCTTGGAATGACAGGAACTCAAGAAAAAACCACATTAGAATATCCACGTATAGGAGATCTATTAGCAAATGTTGGATCAATTGTATCACTACTATTTATGATCAAATACTTCATTATTTTCTTAAATGAATATTTTTTAAATCAAAAGGTATTAAAAGAAATCATAAGTTTTTATTACCCAGAATTTAAAAATATACAAATAAAAAAGAATTGGAGAGGTAGGATAGTTGAAGCTAATTTAAATAAGATAAAACTAGATATTAATAATTATACGAAATTTTATGAGAAGGTTTCGCACTAGATGAGAAAAAAGTTTAGTTATTTGAACTTATTATATGAAATATCTAGGCTGTATTTTGTTATGAGATCATCAAAATTTAGAAATGAATTTCATAAATCTCATTAAATAGGGATAAAGATAAACATGCTTTAGTAAAAAGATAGTGAAATTATTTTTACTCCAAAGTCAGAAAAGTTTTAAGAAAATAATTATATCTTAAACGATGATGATGCAGACATATTATCCTACTCCAGAAGAAAACCTGATAAAAATTATGATCTAATTTCAGAAGAGATATATAATGAAATAGACTATTATTATGCAAATAAGATTTTGTGAAATATAAATTCATAATAATTTAATTACATTATAAATTTATCTGTGTCTGTGTTGTGTGAGATAATAATGTTACATTTATTACTGAATCCTGCCTATCATAATATTGTCTCCTCAAATAATTTTGAGTTATTTAAATAGGATTTAATGTTATGAAGTGAAGGTATAAACTAAAATATGGATAGTAAGTATTTTAATTTTTCAATATCAAAATGACCCAAATTACCTATTTTTTATATAATTATTTTAAGAACGATTAGGAGAAATAATTGTAAATCTATTCATTTTTAGCTAACATTTAAATTTAAATATAAAATACAATACTTTTTTCAACGAAGTTCTTATACACAAATAAAGAATGAGGAACTGATTATATAGACATAATGATATCTTGTCTCAATATGGATATCTTAAAATATAAATTTACAATTTATATATTTTTTCGATATATTGCCTTAACGGAAGTTTCTATTATATTTATTATCAAGCTTTATGCATTCTAAAAACAATTTCTGCAAAGTTCAAGAAAATAAAGTTTAGTTGAAATTGAAATATAAGTCAGTATGGCCATTCTATTAAAGAATGATTAGATTATTATTATAGTCCCACGACGCCTTAATAGATTGCTCCTTCCATTCCAGTTAGTTCATATACCAAAATAAACTGCGATTCATCAAAGTTCTCATTTATTCAGAAGATGCCTAGATATTTAACTCCTATTAATGCCCCAACATGATATTTTATTGATGCTTGTTCTTGAGATGGAATGCAGGTTGGTTAATCACAGGCAATTCCAATTGAATTTTTTTTACATCTCTAAAAATTAACACTTGGTAGCTACATTTATGATGAACCTGTTTCAAACATCACTTTTAAGCTTTTATCTTATAATGTGTTACTTTTATGTTGACTCTTTAGGGAGAACTCTAATTCTACATAAATATTAATGATTATGTAATTGCAGGGTGTTGTTTTATTCCAACTGAGTTGAGTTGATATCAATTGGGAAGGAACCTTCCTACACTTGTTTAGTGTCTAAAAATATTGTATGTTTAGCTAAAACAAAGTGAATACACACTAATTAACAATTAAACTATTATCATATATAAATTATATACAAATCATTATAACATTCCGTACTAGGTTTAAGCTTTAGAAATTAGTAACAATAAACTTAATTTAAATCTTCTATTCTTGTCCAATTTAACGAATGTTCTTCTTCTTTCATTCGCTGTCACATCCTTCAAAAATTCCAATTAAAATTTACTCATTCTTTCCATCAATATTACATATTGCATTTTGTAATCAGGGATTCTTGTATTATTTTTAAGATTTCATACTTATTTTAGTTAAACATTTCGATCACATAATTGCTTTAAAAGAATCGAGTAGCTTATGGTGTAGTTGGCTATTTGAACAATTTTAATTCAGGAATCCTAGATTCTCGAGCAAATAGAGGCAGTTTATTTTAGAGACTGTTGTTCTTTCTGTGTAATCTCAGAGAGACCTGATTGTGTTTTGAGTTGAACTAGAAAGATTATTTAAATTCGCTTTAACTAGCTAATAAAGTAGATTAAATTAATTCTGTATTTTCAGGAGTGCCTCCCAAAAGATTCTTTAATTTTAGCCTTGTGGCAGGTAGTTAATTCTCATACAAACTACTTGTGTTTGAAATTGAGTTCTTGCTCAGAAAGTGATGACTGCTTTTTGGAGAATTAAAGATACTGGATGCATCACTTTTTCTTTTTCTATGATAAGATTCACTTGATATTAGTCTACCCATGCTATCCCTTTCATTGATGAAGGGCACAAATGTTTGTTTTTTTTCGATCAACTGATTGAGAGGATGTTCATGGTTTGTTATTGAATCCATGATCAAGGCTCTTTTAACTGCCTCAGTTTTATGTAAAGCTGGAAGTTATCTGTCTTTGTAATACACACAATAATCTAATAAATTTTCAGAAGGATGCTTTTTCATTATTTATATTTTGTAATTAATAATGACTTACGAAGCCTGTGATTTATAATTAGATTCCAGATCAAAAACAAATGTCTTTGAATTAACTAAATGAAGACGCTGCTTGATTAGAATTTAACAGAATTAATATAACACCCCTTAATTTAGATAACTTGAGGGGAGTTCATTGGTCAATAGAAGGGCCAAAGTCTAACCAGGAAGTCATTCCAAATGAGGTGGAGTAAGAGTTGCAAAGAATGGGTGATTAATTTGGAATGCAGAGGGAATGTAACAGAGAGTGAATATTAATTTTATAAATAATGAAATGTTCTATTTAAACACAATATTGGTATGAAATTCTTCAGTAATGAAAATTACGAAGTTATTAAAACTAGAATTACAAACGCTCATTTTTTTATAACTGGAAAGTGTGATTGCTTTGATTAAATTTGTGTATCAATTGGTCTTAATTGTGTTTATTAAATAAATGAGTAAATTATAGGAATCAAATACATTTGAGAATAACAAAAAATATAAAATAAAAACAGAGCGTAGTACTTTGATGGCATCACCAAAGAACAAAGAATTCGATAGCTAAGAGGATTTGGTGAGGAGATTGAACGAGAGTTAGAAGAGTTTATAAAAAGAAATAGAAAAACTACATTTACAAGTGGAAAATAAGGAGGACTAAATAAGGAAACTGCATGATTTAGTGAAACTTCAATAGAAGGAGATTGATAGATTGACTCACATTAATGAATATTTGATGCAGGCTAATTAGACGAAATTGAGCATCTTGAGAGATGAGAGACAATCAAATTAAGGAAGTAAATCAAATGTAAAAATTAAGAATCATAAATCATTAATGCCTCTTGAGAAAAAGGTTAATAAATAGCCAGAGGATAACACATAAACTATTAAATTATACAGACGATAGACATTTCGTAATCCAACATTATTGAAGTACCATCAGGAGGAAGGAGACACATTCAAGAGTGAGAGAAATACATCTGGGTCATCTAACTTTTATGATATTCTACAATAGGAGGATTGTTTCAGAACAAATGCTATTTTAAATATTTAACTATGTACTAAAGAATTTGTCATATGATAGCCGATGAAGACGCAACCACTTAATATAATCAAGATGGGACTGTATCATTGATGAAAGTGCTCTTGGACTCTGAAGAGATCTTTAGTGAAATCATCCAATCAATATCTGCTTAGAAATTGTCATTTCTGTTCGATAAATTTAAGAGAGTGATGTCAGATCATCAATAATTGTTTATATTGGTGTTGAGATTGAAGAAGATTGTGACTGGAGCATTGCAAATGAACACATCAGTCCTTCTAGATGATGCACTACAAAACATCATAGATAAATGTGTTGACTGTTTGGAATGTGATAGAGCATCCTGTTTCATTGTGGATCAAGCCAAAAAGGAACTGTGGACTAGAGTAGCCAAAGGAACATCCACTACTATTCGACTGCAAATGGGTCAGGGCTTGGCTGGCTTTGTGGCCTAGAATCATACAATCTTGAATATTGAAGATGCCTACAGAGATTAAAGATTTAATACACAACAAGATGCAAAGAACAACTACAAAACTAAGACTCTTTTGGTCTCTCCCATTTTAGATGGCGACAAGTGTGTTGGAGTACTTTAATGTGTCAATAAGTCTAACGGATTCTTTACTAAAGATGACGAAGCATTACTATAAATAATGGCTGAATTTAGTAAGAGTGTTCTTAAGAATGCTTTGAATCATGATGCTTAGATGTTGATACAGAATAAACTTAGGCATATCATCAGAACAGGCATCATTCTATAGGGTTGTCTGTTCAAAAAGGATAGCATATTAGAACTATTGCTATCTTCTGAAGAGCGTCTTAGATCCTTGATGAATGTCGATCAAGCAAAGGTGGTCTACTGGGAGAATTGCTTATATCATATCAATAAGGATGGTAAGATGACAGAGACCCAGAATCTTATAGGGATTGTGGGAAAATGCATTGAGGATTCTTAATTGGTGGCAGTAAGTAATTGTTATACTAGTCCCATATTCAATCCGAATATTGACATTGAAACAAATATGCCTGTGATTTGTATGCCTTTGAAAACACAAAGTCATTAGATCATTGGGGCCATCCAAGTTGTTAATGTGAAGGGAATTGGGAATATTTCATCGAATAGTGATGCCAAAATTAATTCAATCGACTTAGATATGTTGGAACTCTTTTGTTAGCATTGTGCTCAATCTTTATTGTAGTGTAAATTGCATACCTAATAATTATGATATTAATTAAAATTATTAAATATATATGGGAAATTCACAAAAAAATAATCAGAAATTAATCTCCACAGCTTGGCTAGGTGTGAATGTAACTAGCAAATACTAAGTTAGGATGAATGGTCATCTATAATGAAAGAGAAATTATCTCGTCTTTCTGAAGAGTGGGTTGTTCCCTCAATCAAATGTTTGGATAGATTTTCTTCTAGAGATCAGACTAAATTCAGAAACCAAGTGAAATTGATTTGTATCTTTGATTGTTATTTCATAGTGACAAAGTAAATGAAAGAAGATAAGTATGAGGAGTTGTTCAATAAAAGCTAAGTGTTTTTGTAAATTCATTTCAATTTATTATGATTCTATAGAAACAGCAATGAATATCTTCGCCAGGATTTCTAATTAGGTATACCAATATCAGAACTCACAATTTCCACCAATACTAATTCAAGTAATATGGAATATCATATCATAGTTGGTAAGATCAATGATAATCAATCCATATCTTCTAAGAACCAAGACAGTTTATTTATGGAAGATCAATGTTCCTAAATTTAATAATTCTACGTGTTCATCTATTGTGTTAACGATGCTCTAATAAGTCAAAAACACCCTTTTATACATCTGATGAATCAGTTTAAAGAATGGGCAATAAACAAATTAATAAATATCAAGAATCCTCAACACAAAATATAATAAATGAAATAGAAGCTCTAGAAATTTTAAAGTTCTTCAGATCTGTTTCTGAACTTCCTCATACATTCTTTGAATGAATATTTAGGCGATTTTGGCGATGAGATAAGTGAGGAGGGACCCACTAAGTACATCAAAGACAAACAAAACTATTACAATTTATTTCTATCACATGTATTCATTTCTCTCTATTGATATTTAGATATTCAATGAAACCTTAATTAGTCATCTTATGGATATACTTAAGGTAATCCATTAAAGCAGCTAAAATAATTGCATTAAAAAAATCAAACATATGCAATCCAAAGTTGAATGTTTTGAGATCCCAAAAAAATATCTCACTCATGATAAACCATTCTTATAAGAAATCTCATGTTTGAGTGAAGCACAACAATTAATACGACCTACAGACATTTTTTATTGCTTCATGAAGACTTATTGGATGATCAAGGATCATTTGGCTAGATCTGCATCCAGCTTTCTGATTTTCCAAGTAACCAATTATGTTATTGTGCATTCCAACATTGAATATTTTCATGCCCTTCTCCATTTGCTAGAACTCTTCTATTGTAATTCACCTATTTTACTTAAATATAATTAATCGTTGGAATTCATATAAAATATTTTAATTTCTTGAATCCCCCCCAAGAATAATGATGAATTAAGTAACAAGATTATATATAAAAATTTAATAAATAAATAAAAATGCAATAAAATCCAAAACCTCTACTAATTATCGACTCCAGATACGCTCTCTACGACTCACGACAAAAAAGAACATACAAATATAATACTGTTCTTCAGAAATCCTTCATATTACTTCAACAGCATTTTCAAATATTAGTCATCTTTTGTCACTCTAAACCTAATACTAATGAGTTTTTTTACAATGAATTTCACAAGAATTTTCAGGGAATCGACTCAAAATAACTCTCAATCCAAGAATTAAAAGTCACTTCATTCCCCAATGAAGACATTATCGTAGTAACCCACAATTATGAATAATTCACTCTCCAACAAAAATATCAGTTATACTATTTTTCTAGTGTCTCCTAACACTTGGATAAAAAAAGATAACTAGAACTCAAATACTATGAATCAAATCCCAAACCAAGTTTTCATATTTCCCACATTCAGTAAGTCATGTCATATTTTTCAAAGTCACAAAACCCCTTCACTGTTGGCTACTATTTCTATCCTAAAAAGTTCAATGAACTGATTCAGTTTGATGCATTAATTAGCAACGCCAATTTCAATTACATTCCCATGGACTTTCGATTCTACAATAAATACATACAAATTAATGTTTTGTTCCATAGAGTCATGGATATCTACAAGAAAAAGGAAATCAACATGAAGCAGAATGAGGTTGAATTGTTTCAACAGAACTATGACAAATTTGTAACAGAAAACGCAGAAATACCTGTGATTGACTAAGTTGAATGTTTAAAGACGTTAATTTAGAGAGACGAACTTAATGTCAAATTGCAATCTATCTTCGCCAGTCCCCAATTCCAAAATGCTGTATAGGAACATCACATCAAGATTATGACTCCTGAACAAGTTCTCTATGACAATATTGGTGAACCTCAAGAGTTGTAAAATCTCAAATACCCACTCATTGTGAAAAGTAAATAAGGAGCCTTGACAGCAAATTGCCATATCATGGCTATTGTAGTAAACGAGAAGGGACTCAGGGAATTGTTTAAGCATGAATAATTTAAGTATCAGATTATTAGTAGATTAGAGGCTAATTGATTTTGCAGTAAATTATTAACCATAACAGCATTATCTACAAAATATATCAATTGGGAAGTAAAATGATTGTGCAAAAACGCAAATCCATCCCCAACATAGAAATTCACAATTTCAAATTTGAAGAAGTAATCTTTTTAATACTAATGTAGGGTTTTTACATTTTCGATACTCAAAAAGACTTGTTTAAAAATGTTTCGCAATGTCTGAAAGAGGTGGACGAAGGAGTTCATGAATGCTCAAATGAAGATCAATTGCTTAAACAGATGGAATTATTATCCTCGATAATAGCTAAGGAGTTTAAATTGCATCTCTTTGGCTTTGATATAATTGGTATGAATTGGGAGTTCTATATAATTGATATAAATCATTTTCCAGGATACAAGAATGTAAGATATTGTAGATGTGTTTTAGGTTGAAAATGCTAGGGAACTGTTTGAGTAGTTATTTCTGTAAGTATCAAAAAAGTGAGGATCTGATAGAAGAGATTATAATTTATTATAAACATTTGTAAAATGATATTTGCTAATCAAATTAATTTAGAAAATTCAGGGGCCAAATTTATGATTTCAATTTCCTCTTCTTCATTTTATTAATGCTGAATTCTAGTGTTTCTCTTACTCGGAGTAGTGAGGATATATGAAACCTATTTGCTTTGTCTTTTGGGACTGATCTGTTTTTATGAGGAATTGTAGGAGAGTTTTGAGCTATTTTACTTATTGTTCTCTCTGGGCTTGTATAGGTAGATTTGGTTATAGTAGATGATATGCTATTTTTTGGGGGACTTGGGAGTTTTGGTTGGACTTTTCTTGGAGCTCTTTTTGTTATTGTTCTTTCTTCCCATTATTTGTCTATAGGAATCATTGGGGTTGCAAGCCCATAATTTGAGTCTTGATTATTGTTATTGTTGGGTGTCTTCTGGGTATGAGATTTCAGGCAAATCCTTGATTTCTTATTCAACATCATTGTTTAGTTTCTATTGGAGTTATTATTGGTTCTGATTTAAGATATTGAAGACTTCCTTTGATATGGGTTATTCGTAATACTATTGTAATTACTCGCTCTTATCTGTTTGATCTCCTTGGTTGTTGGACTCCATATAACGGTTTGAACTTGCTTTTGGAAATAGTTACTATTATTCTTATTTCTCCTAGAGCTTGGTCATATCCAGCAGTTTGAATTGAATAGGCACAGGTGATAAATTTTTATGAGATGGCTTTTCTTTGCTCTTACTATTGATGTTGGATTGCTTCTTTTGCTGATAGAACCGTTCTTGGGATTCACTCATAATCTTTTCATGTGTTGAATGCACTTTGGTCAATTTAATCTCATTTAATTCTTTGATTGGAGTTTCCTTGCTTGGAGTATTGTCAGTGCCCCTGAAAGTGAACTTATTTTCTCTTTGAGGAGTAGGATTCATTTTCACAACTGAGTAGGAGAGTGGAGTACAAAGAGTCTTGGAGCGTAACTTGTAGAAGGAAGGAGAAAGGGATCGACAAGCAAATAAAGGTCTGGTCACAACAAATGCAGGGACAGGATGGAATTTGCGATCTATGGAGCTGAAATGTTAACGAATTTATTGAATCTGATATTGCATTGTTTTATATATTAATGCATTCATCAAGAAAAATCAATATTTCTTAACCAACATAAACAGAATCAGCATCTCAGGATAATATAACCATCAAATAATCGAATCCAAAATTTAGCAACTTGTGATAATTGCAATTACCAACGCAATAATATATACTCATATTCATTTCCTACCTAAATGATTTATTTTATGTTTATCTAATCGTAATATCTCTCTCTATGGGTTCTAGCAAATAAATGCTAGATTGCTTATACTTATGTAATTGTCTTGTTACAAATGAATACTATATAGTATGTTAATGTATATTAAAAATTTAAATTTTAAATACTCAAAATATGTTGTGAAGTTCTTTGTATATAAGTGAAATAAGAATTCTATTGATTGATCTTAATTGCATAAATGTTTGAATCGACTGAATTCATAAAAATATTATTGATAATATAATTATAAAATGAAAACTAAGGAACTTTGGACTTACACAATTGATAAGCCAAACGAGCCAAATTCAAATCTCACAAATCAAGTATTTGCTTGTGCATTTTTAAAAGGTAAAAGTGATTTAATATTATGAATAGACGGAGATGTTGTGGTTGCCGCTGTAGGGAATGCCCTCCTCTTATTTGATACTTAAAAATCTGAAATGCTAAGACCACCTCTAAGAGGACAACATAAAGACACAATTACCTGTTTGGCTGCGTCTAAGGATGGAAATAAAATGGTTACAGGTAGTACAGATAAAACAGTTATCGTGTGGGGATTCAATATCACTAGAGGTGAGAAGATGTTGGATGCCGAAAAATGGTTTTCACACAGCGAAGCCATACAGTGTGTTGCCATCAGTCCTTTGATGTATTAGATATTTACAGGCTCAAATCAAGAGTACTCTTTATGGATTCCTGGAATGAGTAACATTGAAAGGTAGAAGTATAAGGAGAAAATAATATGTGCAGCTTGGAGTGCTGATGGCCAGTATGTTTCATTTGGGACGTTGAGTGGTATATTTGAGTGCTTTTCATATTAGGAATGATTGTGATTACTGATAGACAAGCACATTAGTTGAAGGAGATTCAAACTCAGAAGGGGGGACCAGTCTGGTGTATGGAATGGACTCCAATAACTTCAGAATATCAGTAGTCGCAATTGACAGTCGGAGTGTGGATGAATTCATTATATCAATTTGATTGCAATGGCTAATAAATTGGAGCTAGAACAGAATTACCATTCGATCCCTTGCATATCAATTATTAGTACAATGGTGAGTATATGGCAATAGCTGGAAATAATAATAAGATTAACCTCTATACAAGAGAGGGTGGATTCTTAATGGAAGCCTGTTCTCTTAATGACTGGGTCTGGTGCAGTAAGATAAAACCAAAATCCACATTAATTGTATGTGGCACTAATGATGGTGACATCGTAGTGTAAGAATTACTATCAGAGAATGTTACTGCACTATATGATGATAAGTTTGTTTAGAGAGAACAATTAACTGATGCTATCATATTGTCGATGATTTCTAATTAGAAGGCGAGAATCAAATGTAAGGAATTAGTCAAAAGAGTGGCCATATTCAAGGAGAAAGTGGCCATCTTGTGTGGCATCAAGGTTTTGATTTACACTTGTGTTATTAAAGGAGAGGATTTCATGAAATACAAGCAATTCAAGAAATTTTAGAAGAGAGTGGATTGTGAGCACTTCTAATTGGCATCATCAAATGTTTTGATTGGAGCAGGCTAGAAATTAATTGCATTCAATTTTAATGGAGATATGGACAAGACTTGGAGTTTCGAATCTCCTATTACTGTAGTTACTTGTCAAGGTGGTGCTCCAAAGCGAGAACTAGTTTTAGTTGGGTTGGAGAATGGAGGTGTCTACAAAATCTTTTTGGATAATTCATTCCCTATATAAATTCATAAAGTTAATACTCCTATTAAATATTTGACTATGTCTTAAACTAAGAGAAAATTGGCATTGATAGATGGCAATTAGAATTTATAAGTACTAGATACTATAAGTAAAGAAATTTTGTTTGGGGAAATGAGTGTCGAAGGTGTTGCTTTTAATCAAGAATTTGAGGATTTGATTGCTTATTCAGGTAAGGGATTGTTGTTTTTCAAATGCATTACATTCCCAGCTCTAAATTAAAAGATAACTGGTAATGTTATAGGGTTCAAGGGATGCAAGTTATTTCTCCAAAATAATAACTAAGTCTAGACCATTGATATCCAATAAACAGCCAATATGCAAAGATATCTGGAGAAGAAGGATTTCTAGAATGCCTTGAAGATAGCTTGTCTTGGTGTGACAGAGTAGGATATTAGGGCTTTGGGAATAGAGGCTTTGATAGCAGGGGAGTTTGAAATTGCAAGAAGAGTATAAGAGAATTTAATTATTTTAGTGTTTTTTGAGAAATAAGGATTACTAATTCATCGATTTGCTATTGAAATATGAGAAGAAAAATATGGATGCTCAGGCACTGAACGAATTAAACGCAGAGGCTTTGGCATATCAAGGGAGATTCATGGATGCTGGTAATCTCTTAATAAAGGTTGGGTAGGCTGATAGAGCAGTGTAGTTATTTAAAGAATTAAGGAGATGGGATGATGCCATAAGTAAGTAATTATAGTATTGTAGACTTCGCAAAAAAGGGAGATGTTGCTTATAGAGCAGTGACATCTGGAGGAAGAACTGGCACTGGAGTTAGAGCACCAACTTCATAAGGAAGAACAGGGACAGGCAGGGGGTAGGCTGTCATGCCATAACCCTAAGATATAGCACCTCCGAAGATAGAGATGAATATGTTGTTGAGAGAACAAGCTGAATGGACCAAAGAATCGGGAGATTGGAAGGCTGCAGCTGATTTGTTTGTCACTTGTGGAGAATTTAAGAAGGCTATTGAGTTGTACGGATAGAATAAATATTTGGAAGGGTTGATCAATGTTTGCAGAATGTTGGACAGATAAGAGAATTCAGATAATATAGTTTTGTGTGCTAATTATTTCAAGAAACTCAAACATCATGGAGGTGCGAAGGAAGCTTATCTTAAATTAAATGATTTGAAGAACCTTATGACTTTACATGTCGAATTCCAAAAATGGCAAGAAGCCTTTTAGATTGGGAGATCCAATAAGGAACTACTGGAAATTGCCAAAGTACCCTATGCTGACTACTTATTGCTAAATGATCGCTATGAGGATGCTCTCAAGGCTTATAAGAGTGCAGGCAGATTCGATATTACAATGAAGATGACCAAAGATATGGCCAAAAATTGTATAGAAGAACAAAGATATCATGATGCTAGTCAATACTTATGGAATCTAGCCATTGATTGTTTGTCTTAAATTCAAGATTATTAAAATCCATCAGGGGATGATGTGAAAGCCATCACCTAATACAAGGACTACAGCGATTTAGCAGATGTCTATTATGCATATCAAAAGATACACAGCTTCATTTGCGAACCATTTCAACCGTTATCAGGAGAATCTTATTTCTTGTAAATTATGAATTCTGCCAGATTTATCATCTCCAAATGGAAGAGTGTCTATCAGGGTATAAAAATGAGTTATGTCTATTATGCCTTAGCTAAGTGTGCAGTTCAACTTGCATGTTTCAAGACTGCTCGTATATGTTATGAAAAATTGAATGTAATTCATTTACAGTATTCTATTAGCAATTCAAAATACCTGCTGAATGGAGTGAAGAAATAGATCTTCAATCCCTATTAGTTAGATCAAAACCATATACAGACGATGAATCCAAATTGCCACTCTGTATGAGATGCTAAACTTACAATGCCATCATTAATGTTAATGAAAAATTGTAGTTTTGCAATGCTTGTTTACATCCTCTCTTTTGCTCCTTCATCAGCTTCTAGACTCTCCCACTTGTTGAGTTCAAAGTTGATAATACCTTATAGAGAGATGATGTGCAAAGATTGCTTAACAGTGAGAAGGTATTCGTCAATAAGAGACCAGGATAATTATTCTAAGATAAAGTCAATGAAATTATTCAATAATAACAAACATCCCAAGACCAATACTTGGTGGTGGAATTGGATGAGGCTGCAGTTCAATCACTTTCACCAGAAGAAGTTTTGATTGTAGATTATAGACAATATTGCAGTACTATTGATGTCAAATACTATAAAAACATGGTTGGAGAATAACCTATTCATGTTTGTCCTGATTGTGGAAGATTCTTCTATGTTGATGAACATGAATTCGAATATGTCCAAAAACGGTGCTGTCCATTTTGTAGAATTTCAGATAAAAAAATACCACAGAAGGATGTTTTTGATATTTGAAATATAATAAATAATTAAAAATATAAAAAATGAATCAGATCAATCCTAGGCTTCAAAGTGGCATTCAACAAGGATAAACTTTCACTATTTAAGGTTAAACTAAAAATCCAAATTTCCCAGGAATGCCCTAAGTTATACCCTAAGGTATGCCATAAGGTATACAATAAGGTATGCAATAAGGTATGCAATAAGGTATGCCATAAGGTATGCCATAAGGTATGCAATAAGGTATGCAATAAGGTATGCCATAAGGTATGCCTTAAGGTATGCCATAAGGTATGCCATAAGGTTTACCTCCCTAAACTTTCAAATAGCCTTCATAAAATGATGGAATGTTGGAAGTTATTAATTAAGCTAGAAATAGAGAAACATAAAGAAAAGAAGAATGCCTAAAGAAGATGGCATTGATTAATGCGAATTTTGGTGAGAAAAACTACACTTGAAAATTCATATTCCATTTTCTATTAATATTTTTATAATATACTTTTCTAATTACATCTTATTATTTTATGAGTATAAAACTATTTGGTTACCACTAACATATTGAAGAAGACATGAGAAAGAAGCTAAGCAAAGCCTAAATTATCATTGGATAATATAATTCCCTTTGTTCAAGATGCTTAATTAAAAATAATGCAATCATAGTAATATAAATCCTTGAATTACCTTTCTATTTTTCTTCTTCTATTTTATTTAAATTTAGTTTTTTGATCAAATGACAGCAAATTCTATCAGATGTGATAAATCTTTATTATCTAGAACTTATTATTCTATTAGGAAAAATATATAAATAATTTAATTTTTATTATTAAATAAACATTGATATATATAGCCTAAATGAATATAAATACAGTTTTGAATTTAATTTTCTGAATGATTTGTTCTCTAAAAGAAATTACTTTATTTTTTTAAAATCCAATACAGAACTAATATGACAAAAAATCCTATCTCAAAAATTAAATGGAAAAATTATACGCTTAAACCATTAATGTAAATTAATTCAAGATCTAAAAATTTTTAAATGTCTAACAAAACAAATATAAATTACATAAATATAAAAAAGTCACTCTATTCAAGTTAAAAAAAATCAGAAATGTAAAATCAATATTATTTATACGAAGAATTAGAATTACTAAAAAAAAGTTAAGACAATATATTGTTAAAATTATTCTGATTGAAAAAAGGTTAATCAAAATTATTAACTTTAATACTTAAAGCTTTATAATAAATATAATAGAAACTTCCAATAAGGCAATATATCGAAAAAATATATAAATTGTAAATTTATATTTTAAGATATCCATATTGAGACAAGATATCATTATGTCTATATAATCAGTTCCTCATTCTTTATTTGTGTATAAGAACTTCGTTGAAAAAAGTATTGTATTTTATATTTAAATTTAAATGTTAGCTAAAAATGAATAGATTTACAATTATTTCTCCTAATCGTTCTTAAAATAATTATATAAAAAATAGGTAATTTGGGTCATTTTGATATTGAAAAATTAAAATACTTACTATCCATATTTTAGTTTATACCTTCACTTCATAACATTAAATCCTATTTAAATAACTCAAAATTATTTGAGGAGACAATATTATGATAGGCAGGATTCAGTAATAAATGTAACATTATTATCTCACACAGAAACAAATAAATTAATAATGTAATTAAATTATTATGAATTTATATTTCACAAAATCTTATTTGCATAATAATAGTCTATTTCATTATATAACTCTTCTGAAATTGGATCATAAATTTTATCAGTTTTCCTTCTGGAGTAGGATAATATGTCTGCATCATCATCGTTTAAGATATAATTATTTTCATAATCTTTTTCTGACTTCGGAGTGAGAATTATTTCACTATCCTTTTACTAAAGCGTACTTATCTTTATTCCTATTTAATGAGATTTCTGAAATTCATATCTAAATTTTGATGATCTCATTACAAAATACAGTCTAGATATTTCATACAATAAATTCAAATAACTAAACTTTTGTTGCATTTAGCTAGAAACTTTCTCATAAAATTTCGTATAATTATTAATATCTAGTTTTATCTGATTTAAACTTGCTTCGGTCACTCTTCCTCTCCAATTCTTTTTTATTTGTATATTTTTAAATTCTGGGTAATAAAAACTTATGATCTCTTTTAATACTTTTTGATTTAAAAAATATTCATTTAAGAAAATAATGAAGTATTTGATCATAAATAGTATTGATACAATTGATCCAATATTTGCTAATAGATCTCCTAATCGTGGATATTCTAATGTGGTTTTAACTTAGGTTCCTGTCATTCCAAGATAGACTATTCCAATTGCCTCAGTTTCATACGCTTTTTAACAAAATTCTAAAGAATTCGTTTAGGTTTGTAGTAACACATCTACAATATATTCCTTGAATTAAGGGTAGCCAAATAAAAAGTAGTTTTAGAGCTCAAATAAGGTTGTCTTAAAATAAGATTACACAAAAGAGCAATATTTTTCTTCTATTTAAATGGTGAATTCTTGGTATCCACGTTATTTCTTTCCATCTCGGGGATCTATTGATGTCGTGAAAAATTCAAGCTAAACTACATTATTTGATTATGCAAAGAACTTTTGTTTAAGTTCTGGTGATGCACATTTTTCACCAGGTTTTAAATAAATTTCTGAACACATTACTATTTCTATATACATATCACTTGTTGCATATATGTAACCATCGTAATAAGAAAAATCAAATTACATTTTCGGTACATAAACTTCTCCAAATGGTGCAGCGCTATGATTTGAAATTAATTAAGGCTATGTTAATGTATTGTTAACTGTGTATACTATTAATGGCAATAAAATATTATTTGTAAATGGGTCGATTTTGCCTTTCTGATCTTACCAATAGTATACTCTTACTACTTCTTCACTCAAATCTAGCAAAGAATAGTCAGATATGTAATTTTAACGAGATATTTTTGGGCTCATCTAATTAGTTTACCAAAGATAGCCAATCCAAAATACATAAGCTAAACTTGCTGTAAAGATTGTAATTGTTATTATTCCTCCAAGTGTACTTTTGTATTTTGTTTATGAATCATCTATATTTTATACAAATGGAACCCCAAAGCAATCTGCCTATTTTAGAATTTTCATAAATTAAAATCTTAAAAATAATGATAATATAATTGATAGGTCTTAAAAAAGATATTTTGAGGAAATCACATGACCTGAATTCAAAATCTATCGTTTTTATTAAACAGCGATTTAATTAAACTATTATAGTTAGAAAAAAGTTTAAGCAAGAATCTTTCACTTAAAAAAAGAGATCAAAACATTCTGAAGAAAGTGTTTGAGAGAATGTGCAACGTAGTTTGTAACATTATATGAATTCTTTTTGGAAAATTACACCTGATTTCTGATTGTAGCATTATTTTTTATAACTTATCAATTAAAGAGAAACAGATCAATTATTCATATTACATTTAAATTTCAGCTAAATTAGTTATGAAAGGATATCGCCAAAAACTCAATTTTTAAGTATGGAATAAAATAAGAAAAATATTATTTAATTTTATCATTTATACTTCCTAAATGAATAACAAAGAGAGAAGAAGAATTTGCAACTTTTTCAAATTATTTTCTAAATGTTTTCCCAAGATAGACCAAAAATAAAATTATAAAAGGAAGGGAGAGGCTGGCTAATAAAATAAATCAAAATAATGTCTGTTCCTGAATAGAGAGCATTTCAGATTGTAAATTTTATTTATCTTCAATAAGACCATTGGGACTATCTTAAGATTGCTTGAGATAACATAAGGACTTAGAATGATAAAAATGGTTGCATTTCAAAATAAAAAGCAGTATATGTACGAAAATATTTAAACACGAACGAAAACTGTTTTTTTAAGAAAAAGAAGTTAATTTAAAAAGTTCTAAAAATTTTATTAGAAACAGTATTTGGACTTTTTATAATTCGTTAAATAGAAAGGTTTTTCTTAAATTTGGTTATGTCTGTTTTGTCTATTACATTTAAGAACATTTTTGAAAATCTTATTTTTAGTATATACTTAGTATTTTAAGAAAAAGGCTTGCATATCATAATATTTTCATAACATAATTTTTTAATTTCGAAATTATCAAATAGAGGAATTTGATTTTTTGGTTTATAGGTAATGAATCTCATATTTAGGAAATCAACAATAACTTCTAGGTGATTAAAACATGAATATTATTAAAAAGATTTTTCTTTAGAATTGAAATACTATTTCTAATTTATAGTAAATCATAGAATTGATGACTATTTTGATATTTATGATGAATAAAATTTTAGCTAAAAATTTTGAGACTAAGGTAATATTGAAAAATAAAATTTTGGAATGGTTCATTTAACTAAGATAAAAGTATATATTTTATTTAGTAGGATAATATAAATTAGGATTAACTAAAAGTAATTACATAATTAAAAAGATTAGGAATATAAAAATTATATATAGGCTGTTGTTCAAGAAAATAATGAAAGAGTTTCTAGGATTAGTAGGATGAAGAGAGGCAATTTATTTATGCGACCGTTCAAGTTGTCTGAGGATGGCAAAATTTGTAATTTTTATTATATTTGTTGAAAATTAATCTAATATTTATATTAAAGTATTATTAAATATTTAGAAATACTTTTGACATCAAATAAATGAAAATTTATAATGTCATTTATAATATTATTTCTTCTCTAAGGATATCCTTATATGGAAACAAATATTATACAAATAATTGATCATTTCATTTAACAGTTAAGAATTATACGCTCAATCAGAATTGAATATATTTTTTACATAAGCACTCAATAAGTATTTTGTTTAGGAGATATATATATGTATAAAAATAAATTCAAAAAATACACTATTTTGAATTAAATTAATATTGTTAAATTATTTTAATGGGGGTTTGTAGTTCATCCAAAAAGTGTGAAAGCAAGAGCAGCTCCAAGAATAATTTTAATCCAGCTTTGACCAACACTGCTGAAGTTCAACAAACCCTTAGAGAAACCATTCTTACCATAAACGAATAGAGGATAAATTAAAACCAAACCGTCTAGAGAAAATTGAAAAAAGCAGGCACTTTGAGTTATTTTGAATACAAACAAGATCAAATATCCACGGACAAACAATAAAGTAAAATCTACTTATTAAGTCTATAGGAAGTAACAGGAAGATAGTTTAGAAGGTACCTCAACTTAGAATCAAAGTCACTGACGCAATTGCTTCAAAAGACTATTCTGTGTATAAGGGGAAGGTCAAGATAGCCGAAAAATCGACTCTTCGGGTTATGTAACACAACAGTGATGGATAACTAGTAATTATGGAACAATTACCCTATGATTAAGAGGGAAAGGATTATATTGAATGGCTCCAAAAAACCAATTTGGTACTTATTATCTGTGATTTTTATTAGGACTTTTATCATATTGGAAAGATTCATGAAATCTTTATATTTGGAAAACAATTTTAGATAATTAGTGAATTTTGCACAGGAGGTCCTCTATCCTTGTTATTGCACAGCAAGCTATCAGAGCAGGTAGTTAGTAACATTATGGATTAAATATTTGAGATCATCAACTTCCTTCACTCGAATAAGTTGGTTCACAATAAGTTGACAATAGATAGTTTTTCTTTTTATTACGATTTGTAAAATTATTTGATTAAGTTGACTGATATAAGGAGTTTACATAAACCTTTACGAGAACCTTAACTTCAAATCATTTAATATGCCTCTCCTGAAGTTCTATCTGTCTACTCCCAACATCCTCACAAATCAAGCGACATCTGGTCCCTAGGAATTATTGCCTATCAATTAATGACCAGAAATTTCATTTATGAAAGGAATCAAGATTTGACTACTATCCAAGAAGTCAAATCGGCAATTCTTAGGTGGACAGCTAAATAAGACCTAAAGGATGAAGTGTCTTAATGTTTTGAAGATCTAATTTTTAAAATGCTTCATTCTGATAAAAATTAAAGATTTAAAATAGAAGAATGCCAAAAACACGAGTTTATTGTAAAGCATTAGAATAAAAACTTGAATTGCTTTTTTAAACACTAATTTACTGAGGAATTCAATAGTAAATTGTAAAGATGGCTCATGATTTATCTTGTAAATCACTATGAACACTCTCATCATCATGTAGCACATAGGATTTTTGATTTTTTGGATAAGGACAAGGATGGAAAGTTGAATGTAACAGAATTGTAAGAATTCGAACGAAAACTAAAGTAAGCATAAGGATAGGATATGAACATCAAAGTAATATAGAATTTGATTGGAAAAGAAGTGGAATTAGGATTGGAGGATTTCATTCTGATGTTTTCTAATAAATCTCTGTACATTACCCATCACAATATCCATCATAGTTTTAAGAAATTAGCTAATAAAAGCTCAGAAATTACTGTAAAATCTTTGTCAAAAATACTCAATATTTCAGAAGAGGAAATAACAGAGGAATTCAAGAATCATCAACTCTATTATGAGGTATCTTTTCAATATTCTATAATAGTCTTATAGCATTCCTTTGGAATTTGCATAATATGAGACGATTATGAATTAGATTCTGGTAGTTTAAAATGAGTTTTAATGAAATTTAATTGATTATATCATTAATAAAAATGCTAAATTTGTTTAATTCTTTAGAGAATACTCAAAAGGTTCCATTTCAATTAAGAAGATATCGCCCTTCCTTAACAATTCAAAGTGAACCTAAAAATTAAATAACTAGATAACACACAATTTAAGATCTTTTGAACTTCAAATTGGCAGGCAACATTACTCCTGCACAACCTTTAATTCAAAGAAAAATCAGTATGAGGCCATCATTAAAGTTGGCCAAAATTACTCCTTTTGTGACTGAATCAGGAGATAATTGCACTCCTCTTATAAAAAGAACTATCTCTCTGGAGAACACCAAGAAAGTTGACTTTCACCCTTCAGTCTTGGTGATTTACTCAGAGAATGGAATTAAGAAGAGAGAGAAGTTAGTTGATGAATTTAAAGTTAAAAGAAGAGGAACCAGAAAAAACTGTATAATAATTCAAAAAAAATGAGTATCCAAATAAACCGATTTGATGATAATATTGAGTATAGATTAACCAATAAGTATAAAGGCTTTTTTATTTAAATCTTTCACTTTAATAGCTTTTTAATATGTTTAATTTATGATTCATAATTAATTTGATCAAAATTGTATCCATTTTCTAATTAATATTTATAGAGTGTATAGTAACAAACTACTTTATCACATACTTTCACATACCTGTCATCATTCTACTACAATTTCATCCTTTTCTGGATATCTTCATCAATATTCTATAATTAAATCCAAATGATGTCATTGAAAAGTTAAATAAATTTCTATTCATTACGGTACAATCCAGTAGAATAAAAGAAGCTTCGATGAATATCTAAGGGTCTTAATTTCTATAAACACCAACCACACTAATCCATGAAACAGATTGAACTAGTATTATCTTCCCAATTGTACAACTTTTTAACTATTAATTCACTCTCACATAACAAATCTACTTATATTTCATCTTTTAAATCTTTCAGAAAACTACGATTAATTACAATAAAGATTTCGATTAAGAAGTATTAATTATCCCTAATCAATTGAATTGATCAAATCATGTAATCTAACCATAAAAATTTGTATGTTCGACTAGATGATGTCAGCAATTCCGTTAGATGATGTCAGTAATTTTATTGGGATTCCTAATTCTTATTGTTACTTATAACTCAATATGAATGATGCATCCTCATAAAATACAACCTATTTGATAGTTCTATATTTTAGAATTAATTATAGAGCTATTATTAAATTGTTGTGTGTTCATTTGAGTGATTTAGATTAAGATTTAGATTTCTAGAAGTATCAGACTTGTAAAGGTATTTTCTATTTTACAATTCTGTTTTTAGAATATCAATTTATAATGTTGCAATTGGAAGTTACTTTGAATTGTTTAAATTTTGATCAAATCTGATTCATTTACAGTTGACATTAAGTTTTCTTATTTATTCTCATCTGTAGAATGATGGATTGAGCAATTCTCAATGGTCTAAATTTGAAATCAATTGTTCTTTATTTAGTTTCTATTTTTCTTAGGATAGTTTCTGAATAGACAATTAACAATCTTATTGAATTTGGTTTTTCATTTTGTGTCTGATGAGTTATTAATAAAGGATGGTGTAAAATGTTCTGTAATAACAAATTCTTTTATAATAATTTTAATAATATGAAAAGCATCTAAATTTTAAACTGGCTTTTTATATTATGTTTAATAAAATGAAGACTCTTAATTATCAAATCATTGGATTTGGAGTTTCATAGTTAATTATAAATTCTGTGTACTCTTATAGATTTAGCTAGATGAAATATGAATAATATTCTTACACCATCATTGAGATTGAATGATTTAAACTCTTATTGAACTTATAATTCATTGAAATTATCTATGACTCTTAATAATGATTTCAGAGTGATTAGATTCGATTGTCTAGATAGAATTTTGAAACTAGATTTCAGAATGTCTTAAGTTAAGATGATATCTTTGTTGGAAGCAAGAAGTAGAAAATCATCTAAAGTGAGTTCCTATTAGAGATTTAGTTGATCAATCAAATCCTTCCCTTCAATTGAGAATAGCTCTTTTAATTCTTCTAAACTCAAACTACCATCTGAATCAACGTCAGCTGTTTTAAATAACTTAGTCAAAATTTTCAAATGATCATTTGCATAGTTTTGAAGAAGGTACCAAAACACACATCTGTGTAAATAAGTCATATTCTTGCACTTAATCATATTCTTTAAGGGTTGCAACAAATCTTATGGTTGGACCTATTTCATCTTCACGAGGAATGGGTGTTCCAAACATTGCTTTAGAGTGATTCTATCATGCCTATTGAGGTTTAGCATTTCAAGCAAGAGTGTATTCATTTCAGAAGGGTAGTTATTTAAATATTCCTCTGGTTTGAATGATTGAATATCTTAAATAGTATATGGCATATCTTTGTTTCTTAGTTAGAGAATGATGACAGCCAATGCCCACACATCATTGCATTTATTCCTACTCTTAACTTCAATAGGAATGTGATCTATATGTTTATCTGGATGCTTATCAAAATGTTTATGAGAATGTCTGGGATGCTAATGCTTTGAAGATATTGGATCTTCATAATATTGAGCTTCTTTTAGATACATTAATTGATAGATGCTTCGAACATCGGATAACTTGATAAAGGGTGTAGAGGAATCATCAAAGACAGAGAAACTGTGGATTGTCAATTCATCATGACTTAACCCTAGAGAATGTATATATCCTAATGCCTCTATCATCTAATAAAATATGATCCCGATTTATTGGTCATCATACTTGCGATTCTCTACGTAATTAGACAAAGAACCTCCTGGACAACATTCGTACATTACCTAATAAGTCTTTTTCTGGTGATCAACAAGAATGTCAATAATTTTTACAATGTGTATATTATCCTATGTTATAGTTATGCTTACCAATTTGATCTCCTCCAATTTATCGATGTATTATTGATTCTTATGATCAAACTTAAGTACCTCTACCTAAACCTATTGGCCTGTTTCATTATGTTGCATTACCGTTTTGCCTAAATTTTCTGCTATTTAATAAAACTTAATATACCTAGAATTTTGCTTGATACGATTGAATAGTTTTTGGAGGCAGTCACTTGAAGACTCTTAGTTCCTTGTTTTATGTTGTTTCTTTTATTTTGAATACTAAATGGTGATGATCCCTATGCTAATGGTTACTCATATAACTAAGAAGATTAAACGATCATAGTTTTTGTAGTAATAGTGGTAGCATGAGAAGCTCTTCTTATGCTCATTGTACCATTTTTTGTTGAATTAATTTGTACCGGAGTTGTTGTTTGATTAGTAGATAGGTTTTTTTGTGGAATTATGGCCTTGTTCTTCAAATTACGATCTTGCCATTAGATTGTACTTTTATTCGACCTCGGAACCAATGAAATTTATTGATCTGGTTTGGTTTCTGGTTGAGTTTTCATTTATTTCTAATCATTCTTTGCAGATGAAGAAGTACAAACTCCCATTAATTATAAATAATCAAATTAAATTACAAACATTAAGAAGTATATCTAAACATCTGAAACAAAAATATTGCATAAATTTGTTCATTTGACATGAATCTAGCGCAATAGTTTTCACAATACTCAAAGTTATCTGATTAATTCGAATCAGCTATATTATAAGGTAAATGTTCAGATAATATCTAATATTATTTTCCTAAATTAATATTTATTATATGATTGTTTTTATTATAAAATTCTCAAAAATATAGACTATCAGGGACTCGAAATTATATCAATCATTTTCCAAGATGACTGCAATTGACTATATAACTGTATATATAGATAAATTATGCAAATTGAATTCTTTTTCAATTTATATTAATTTAAATAAGAAATAACAATTACTTCTTGTACTTATGTTCAAGAACAGTATTATTGTTATAACGTATGATAAATATATAAATGACTTACATAATATGTTTTTCAAATAAATTTACTTTAAGATTAAAAAAGAAAAACTTCTTAAAGATAATTAATAATATTCGCTTTTGTCATGAATAAAAAGGAGTTAGAACTATATAACAAACAATAATTTGATAATGTTCATTTTAAGTAAGAAATTCTAACCTATTCACTATAGACTAAGATAAAATCACATAGGTGCAGAGAGATTTAAATTTATAATTTAGTTCTTATTTTTAGTTATATTTTAATTTGCCAAAGAAGCGGGAATTGTAATTCTTAAGATAATTTATTTTATAAGAGCATTAATTTAATTGTAAATTGGTATGTACACAGGCACAATTTCAGTCATCTATGGTCCAATGGTAAATCTATTATAATATTTCAGTTTTCTGGTAAAACAAGCGAGCTCATGAGATTGGTCAAGAGATTTACAATTTCCGAAAGGAAGTGTGTAGTGTTAAATTATGCAAACGATAACAGATACTCAGGGGAATAATGTATTTCAAGTCATGACAAGTATGCTGTCTATTTTATAATTAAGACAATTTTTGAGAGCAATAAAAGTATGCAAATTGAATGAAGCTTACGAGAAGTGCAAGGAAAGCGATGTGGTAGCAATTGATGAGGGTTAATTCTTCTAAGATGTATTTGCAATGAATAATTATTTAGATTGTGGAATTTAGTGAGAAGATGGCAAATTTAGGGAAGATTGTAATTGTGGCTGCTTTGGATGGAACCTTTGACAGGAAGCCTTTTCATAACATCTTAAACCTAATTCCTTTGGCTGAGCGCATAACCAAACTCACAGCAGTCTGTTGGTTTTGCAAGAGAGAAAATGCATCATTTACTAAAAGAATAGTATAATCTAAAGAGAGTATTTAAATGAATTGAATTTTAGTTGAATTGATTGGCGGTGAGGATTGCTACAAACCAGCTTGTAGGCTATGTTTCCATCTGGCAGAGAGTCAATTGAAAGGTCAACCCATAGCATAGACTTAATTCGTTAATTAAGAGAATCATTACGACCAAAATAACTTGATTTGCTGAACAAACACTATAATTAATTTATATTTTTTATTATTAAACCATCATGAGTTTTAATGGAAATGCATTACTGACACCTTCACGATATGGTGGTGAGTCTTGGAATGCCCAGACATGTTTCACTGCTTAGGAGGACTATTTTGAATGTTTGGATAGAGAGAATTCAACGAATGGTAATTGAATAATTAATCCAGTCAATCGCAAACTTTGTGGAAGAGAACATCAATTATGGAAGGAAGCATGTCCAGATAGTGACAGAAGAGCCTAAATGATATTCAGAAGACTGGAGAGACAAAATTAAGCATTGTATACATCAGAATAGCTCAGATAATATAATAATCATTAAAACAATAGAAGCTTCAAATGATTAATGAAAATGCACAAAATAAAATATATTATAATAATAATATAAAGAATAAAAATAATTAATAAACTAGTTTCATACATATTGGAAATGTTGATAAATGGCAGGAGAAATTGAATGAAAAAGTTAAATTATAATTTTTGATTAAAGATTTTTATTTGAAAGATTGAATAAAAATTGAATATTTCTATGCAGTTATCAATCTTAGAATTGACTAATCAAATTCCAAGGTATCAGAATGATATGTTCATTTAAAAAAATCTTAAATTAGTTCAAAGCTAATAATTAAAAAGTCAATTATTAATAATGTCGTATACTTCTAGCTGGCCTGTGTTCACAGAGTGCGATCCATGCACCAAGTTTTGGAATAGGAATGAAGGTCTAGTTGACCAGAATATTTTAATGACTGAAGAACTAATGAAAACAGACCAGAAGAACATCATCATAAAAGAACGAATATATATCCTAACCAATAAGGGCTACTTTTACTATTAAAAACAGAATACGTTGAGATGGGTGCAATTGAATACGCAGATGAGTGTTAAACTCATAGAATTAAAGCTACCTCAAAGAGAACATGATGTAGTAAAGGTGATTAGAATAAAGAGAAATCAGAGAGTCTACGCATGTTTTTGGAATTCAGATTTGTAATTCTTTAACTGATTACAGTTAGAAGACATTCTAATATTTTAAGAGAATAGCTGGATTTTGTGTGTGTTAGAATTTCGAACAACTCTACACATTCTAAGATCTACTGGGAAAAGGGGGATATTCTAAAGTGTATCAACTCTGTCCAGTGAATAGACTACCTTATCAGTAGTAGTATTACGCTGGGAAAGTATATAATAAAGTTGAAGTAAATTCGAAAAAGAACCTCATTTAAATATCACATTTAATAAGATAGGAATGCGAAATCCTCAAAAAGTTAAATTCTCCATTCATTATTAACTTATTCGAAATCATTCAATTAGATGAACAACTAAGTAAAGAATTTATGAATCTCTAATAGTTCTGATAACAGAACTACTAAGGAGCGGATCCTTGTATTAATTGCTTAAGGAGAAAGTTCGAATACAGGAAGTCGAAGCCAATGGAATCATATTGAGAATCGCTTTAGGATTGCAATGTCTTCACAGGTAAATAGTGTAATTAATTTAGCTTAGGGTATGTTCATAGAGATATTAAACTTGAGAATGTGTTGCTGGATAAGGATTAGATCAAAATAATTGATTTTGGATTTGCAGAACAAATAAATAGAGAGGTACTCACTTCAGGATAAGGAACCATTGGTTACATGGCTCCAGAAATCTTCTAGGATCAACCATACACTGAAGTAGGAGATGTTTTCAGTTTGGGAGTGGTTTATTACTTATTGCTGACTGGCAAATCTCCATTCAGAGGACACAATCAGGAGAACATTATGAGAGCAAATAAATTATGCGAAATTGATTTTAGTGAGTATTGTTTTGTGAATGTGAGTCAAAAGGTCATCGCTCTAGTCAAGGCAATGCTCTAAAAAAACCCCAAGCATAGGATCAACTTAAATGAAGTCATCCAATCTTTGAGAGCTCTGAATCCTATCATAGATTACGCTTATCGAACAAATTCAGTTGATGGCTCTCAGATGACCAAATAGGCTGGAATCAGATCTCTCTATTTATTAAGTCAGAACTCTTAGGATTCCTTAAGAGGTTAGAAGACTTAGTAGAATAGATTGAATGTTACAGACAAATTCGTTGTGAAGACAAGTACGTTTCGACCTTCACTTGTCAATTTAGATAGCAGTCATAATGAGAATGAAGACTTGGAGGATAACCAGCTACCAGGATTTGTTGTGGAATTCTTGTTTGTTTCTATGAACATTATGAATAACACTAAATTTCCATGATATTAAATTAATAATAATGTAATTCTCTTGCATGTTCTGTGAACATAAAGGGAATCTGCCAGAATTACTAAATATGGTAAACATCAAAAATATTCAAGGCTCTTTCCTCCAAGTATCAAACCGATTTCTGGTAAATCTAATTGAGGAGTCCATCCACTATAAAATTCTAAGATCAAGTCTGCTTTGAAGAATCGGAAGAGTATTTCTAATTGTATAAGCTCTAGTAATTTAGGTATCATGCATACCCTCATCTATAAGATAATCGAAAATAACTTACTGAATATTATCGATATCATAGAGACATCCCACGTATTTTCATTAAGGGCATTACATCTCAACTAGAAAGTTATCACGAAAAACAAAGAGAAATCAAATATAAGAAAATAAAGAAATAATTAGGAATGTAAGTCAAAGATACAACAAGAGATGATATGATCTATCCGTTTAAGGCTCTAAAAGGTCTCAGTGAACTCTAAACTTCAAGGCAGTTACAATAGCTGTTGAAATAAATCAAACCGCTTCGTTACGATAAAAGCGGAATTGCAAATTTGATTTAAAAGTAAAAGTAGTAGATGCTACAATCATAAAACTTAAAGAAATTATTAAAAATAGATAATACTAATACTGCTACAACTTTGGCGACCAAGAGAACTTATCATACTTCTCATACATTATAGGATGTAAAGAAGAAAACTCATAAAAAATAACTTACCTTATGCACTGAGTATTCTCCTGAAGAAAGGAATGATTTTTATAAGAGATGGTCTGATGTTTTAAGTCATAGATAATTATAATATCATAAAAAAAAAATAAAATGCACTCTTCTTAACAAAAAGAAATCACTTAAATGAAATTTATAATTTTGTATTTTAAATATGAATAAAGCTGAATAAGATGGTTTACTTTAGAGTTACCATCAACAGAAATCATGTTATCTAATAATTTCACTGAAATTATAAATTAGAATTTTAATATATCTTAATTTATTCTTGACTCTTATTTTATTTCCTCATGACTACCCATTTTTAAGATTCAAGTAATCAATAAAAAGATTTAGAATTATTTTTTAATTATCCATTATTTATATTAATCTACTTAATTATCCATTATTTATATTAATAATATTTGAAATAAATCATAAAATGAATATCAAACCAATCTATAGAATAATTAGCATTAAAGCATCATTAGATAGATGTCTTGATTTAAAATGTAATTTTAAACCCTTATTATTTATTGAATGAGCAAATCCAATCTGTTTATCTGTTTGATCGAAAACAGTGTAATAGCTATGCAAGAAAGCATCACCTAACAATAGAATGTCATCTATCTCTGATCTTTCGAGTTTCGTATTACATTTTGATTGACTGCCGTCGATTATTGTACAAGCTATTGATATATTGTCAAAATCATACAATAGATGTAATCCTAAGGATTTAATAGTAATTCCAAGGAACTATTGACTCTTATCTTTATAATAGGAAATGCTTCAATAATTTCTTTTTCGCTTGTTGCAGTTACCGAACAATGTACAGTGCAATAAGAGGGGGCATAACTTTCAACTCTGTATGAACAATGAACTCCTTTTTCTTCAAACACATCCAACATGTTATCCATTGCAACTGCGGGAACAGTAAGACAACTAGTTCCACTGTCCACAAGGGCTGTTGGAATATTAAACAATTCATTATCTATGGACATTCCCTCTATTCCAATTAGATATTGAGATGCCGACATGAGGGGTACATAAGATATCTGTTAGCCCTCTTAAGCAAATTGCATATCAATGCCTCCAAATAGAATATAACTACCATATTCACCTTCATCTTTCAAATACAATGAAAAGTATTTTTTAGAGATAAGTTTCTATTGATAAAGAGATTCCAAGATTGATGGATTTGGATTGGCAGCAATAGAATTGAATCCAAGTCCTAGGATGCCTCCACTGGATGCAATATTTCCATTTGCTCTTTCAATCAATAGGAAGGATTAATTAAATTTGATGTTATGGATCCACACTTAATCCCAAGCCAAAGTACCAGAAATGGGGCCATCATCATAGTAAATTGAATAACTGGAATCAGTATTAATGCAAGTCGAACTTGCAGTACAATCATATCGCTTGACTAAAATAAGAGTTTCTTATTAGATATGTACCATAATTATAGAATCCTCTTGCCTCTACTGATGGAACCCATAGATCTGAAGACCCTGTATCTATAATTAGCTCCATCTGTTATTTCATTGATCCGAACTGCATTTCCACTCTGTATTCTACTTGATGTATATCATGAATGGGATCCATGATGGTAGTATGTCTCCGAACTTGATACGTGACGCTCTTGCCTTCGTACAATAAGCCTAGTAACAATGTTAGAAACATAATAAATGAAATAATCAACTATTCAAAGTTAATTAAATCGGAGTAGATAAATGATTACGTTATTTTAGTAGCGTATGCAATCCGAATGGTAAAAAAGGTATGATCAAGTTAGAACAATAACTCCTTCAAAGTAAATTCGAATAAGAACAACTCCAAGTCCTGAGAGACCAATGAAATTGAAATTTGCCTAATCTCCTGTTCAAGCACTTTATACCACTTCCACCAAGGCAACTGTGATTTTGCCTTTACAGAATGAGTAAAAATATACTATGCCAGAAACACGGCAGGGTTGCAGATCAATAGAACTGTCAAATAATTTGGGGATTGTGATGGGAGGGCATTCTCACAGAGAATCTTTGGAATTCAATTTTATAGACTTGCAAAATGGATAATGGTTGTAGAAATAGCAATTTCAAGATTGGGAATTCTTGAAATACAGAATGAAGGAAAGCAATACAAAATTAGGAAGTCACTTTTCAATCAATTATGATGCTGAAGAGCAGACTCTTTATTGTTTTGGAGGCGAAAGGATATAGGGAGTTAGAAGATAAAGTAATACTTTAAGCAAGATACAAAATCATCAATTGCAATAATTTATTATAAACGGGATTCCTCCAAGAAGGAATCATACATCAACTCTGATGGATAATTAGTTGATAGTGATTGGAGGATTTGAAGACATGAATACAAAACCTAATTATTTTGGGGATATTCACAGCATCAATTTGAATACTATGAAATCAACTCCATTATAAAAGTAGTTTATGAAAAATGGATTGGCATACCATCAGGTGATAAGTGTACAGAAAAAGAACCAATATTTTGAGGAAAAGGAGAATGGCATATATTTATTCGGAGGAAAGGATTAGGAAGACATTTTCAATAGTGATTTGATTTAGATTGTGATAGGGAATTAGTTTTAAGTGAATGTCGTATAGACTGCTGGATAATAACCAAAGGCAAGGAGGAACTTTAGTATGAATTACGATCAAAATAGTTAATGCATAATTATTTTTGGTGGAACAAATGACTTTGAGATTTTTGATGATTTGTATACTTTAAATATTCAGAGTAAGATTTGGTGTAATGTTTAATTGAGTGGATACTTAAACTTCTAACCTAGATATGATCATTGTTCATTGTATTAAAATGAAAAGTTGATTATATTTGGAGGATTGAATGAATTTGGATTTATTTTGTTTAATCCGATATTAATAAATTTAAAATTAAAAAGATAAAAATTGAATCACTAGGAATGAATATATGTGTATCCATCAAATTATTACTACACTTCCTTAATCCTCAATTATTTTGTAAATTCCTCAATCAAAGTTTTGTCTGATTCCTAATGTCCTTATTGCAACTTCCTGTTGTACTCTTCGCATTTTGGTTAATAGGGAGCAGCCATCTTTTTGCTATACAGACTCACCCAATCGAAGCCATTAAACCATGGATGATCCTTCAATTAAGATATTCCTCCAATTCCCAACCTCAAAGATTATTTCCTCTGTATCAATTTGTTGGTGAAATCAATAATGGATGCTGAATAATTGGGACATTCCTTTTGACTGAGTAAGACTTGTCTTCCAAGTATTTCATCTCTGACTTCCTTGCGAGATCTTCCTGTATAGGGTCTTTTGCGAGTGATCAATTCATATGTCATCACTCCCAATGCAAAATAATCAACACCATAAGAGTGATTCTACCGTAACAAGACTTCAGGTGCCATGTAACCAGGAGTGCCACTCGTTTCATTGTGATTGTCCAATTTATGCAATCGAGCAATCCCCAAATCTGTGATTCTCAAATAACCCTGTTAATCAAATACAAGATTTTCTGGTTTCAAATCTCTATGGATGATCTAATTAGTATGCATATACTCCAATCCCAATATCAAACAACCTATAAAAAATTCTTGGTTTTTTATATAATATTGGTTACTTATTTGATCCTCCTTAAATTGTTTATTTAATATCAAATGGAATCTGAGATCTCCTCCTGGCAAGTAATCCATGACCAAATATAGTGTTTCTCTATCTTGAAATGCAGCCACGATGTTTACTATAAAAGGATGTTTCAATTTGGAGAGTAGATTCTTTTCATTTAACACAGATTTTACTGAGTTCTTGCCTAAAATTCTAAGTCCTCAATTTTATTTACTTGGCTTTTTATAATTCTTTCATTGCAAAGATTTATCTGGATCTTTTGTGTTCCACTTTCCACACTTTTCCAAATCCTCCCCATCCTATGACAAATTTCAACGTGTAATTGATCTTCCCAACATAAGTATTATACTGATTAGTCGTCAACGTCGTACTCAAATTCGTATTCTTAAACTTAATCCCGAAAATTGCTACCTTAATTGTTATGCTATTGCTGTGCGGCAAAGGTTTCCTCTTTGTCGTCTTCAACTCTCCCAAATAATAAGTCTTCCTCTCTGGACTGTGAATTTGAGCCTGAGAAACATGGACACTGAATTTGGGTTATGCCATCAATTTCGGTGACACACTCACCAGGGGAGGCACTAGGATATCAGAATCTATTCTACTGTCTTGAGATGCTCTTCGCTTCAAGATTATCTGGATTGGTTTCTCACTCTCGGCAAATAGATCACGGATATTTGTTCCCTTCTTAAACATTTATTTTATATTAATAATAACAGTCAATCCAACTATTATTACTCAATGAAATTAGAATAAAATATTATTATATCTAAAATCCCCTATTGATATGCTCTCGTTATTAATGGTCTTTTGTATATATATTAATTAATATGTTATTATTTATATTATTTCCAATAGTATTATCCCAAACTCAAGTGTGCCAAACTTCAGATTTCAACTCCGGTTACAAGAAGGTACAATCAGCCATTTTATTTAGGGGGACCGTATCGTCCTTTGTTTATTCTTCCAAACCGCTGATAACCAACAATACAGATAAGTGTATTAATTAAAAGTTGACTAATATACTGCACTCCTCGTTTCTGGAACTTACCAGACTCTCTCCAGTAAGCAGAGCAATTTATGGGCTAATTCTGGCAGTATTTCCACTCTTTACGGGACCCCATACACATAGTCTGGAGGTGCATACCCAATTTAATCCATTGTTGTTCAAATGATTCAGGGCAGTGTCATTGATGTTTTTTGGGATAACGTGTGTTTTGATGGTAGTTAATGTAAGGAAAATACAATCACAACAACTACAGGATAAAGTGTCTCAGAAAACAATGATTTTGTTACTTCTTGTAGTGGAGGTGTTTGTGATCCCAAGGTATATGTGAGTTTCTTAGGCACTGATGCTAATGGGTAATACTATACTAGCAATGGTATTTATATTGATTATAAAACAAATAGGAATTCGTATGTCAAAGTTCAGATAATATTCAGCTGCATAAATCTTCACAAACACTTAAAATGCATTTAATAGTGTCATAGATGAGTATTCAAATTATACGGTATCAACAAAATGATTATTTATGATTCAATTTAGATATTGACTATTTTGATGCATTATCTAGTTTCTCAATATATTGCAATTTTTATAAAGTTAAAGTTGCTAGGGATATTGTATTATATATATAATATATTGATTTTAAATTTTAATGTCATACTCCTGTACTGAAAAACTATGGAAACCAATCATTCGACCTCCAAGACACTATTATTAATTAAAAGATTTAGGCAATCAAATCACAATGATTGTCGATACGGTTACGAAACGAACAGATTTTGAAATTGTGAATAAAAGAAAACTTACATTATAATGTAGGTACACTCTAAACCAATATAACCAGTCTCTTTGAACCAGTGAGAGTTCAAGATCGGTAACACTCTTGTATGATTTATCTGCATGGAAACTCTAGCAGCCGAGTTGAAGCATTGACAATCTTGGAATACTTGATCCCTTACAACATAGCCGTTTGTGGAATTGATTTATCAGGTAAGCCATCACTCATTAATCCAGGTTCTGGACATTCGGAAGGCGTTTACATTTCTCTTGGTTATTACGAATCTCAAGATGTGCAGAGTCTGATTGATTATCTAAGAGATCATAAAGTAAGATGCAACTTTAATAATAGAGCCTTACATATCTTAAATCGGGTTATGGGGGAGATCAATGGGTTCCGTAACAGCCATCTTCAGTGCCAGTTAGAACGAAGATATTAAGGTCCTGGTTTGTGACAGTCCCTTTTCTAATTTGACTGTCTTGTGTAAAGAAATTGCAACTTCCGGTTATGGAGTACCTGGGTGTTGTTTTGATTGTTTTTTCTGTTTTGTGAAATCCAAAATTAGAAAGGAAGCTAACTTTAATGTGGATGACCTCAATGTCCTCCAAATAGTTGGGAGTAATTATATAAGTTTTTAGAAGTGTTAGATCTTTCATCCTAAGTGTCCATTGCATTTTTGAGTGCCAATCAAGATTAATTGGTCCCCTCAAAACATGCCAAACAATTGCATTGCTTTTTCAAAGGAACCAAATTACTCAAATCATTTGATGGGCATCACAACTCAAAAAGACCAAATGATGTCATGAAAGAAGTGGCAGATTTTGTTATTTCTTAACTGGGCAAATAACAGAGCGATTAACCTCAGAGTTCAAGAGACACCAAATTGTTGTTGCTGCACAACCAGAGAGAAAAGATATCTTTCCAATATGATGAGGTTCATCCAATTATGACTGGAGGTTAAATTTCCAACAATGAATAAAATATTACAAAATGACAAAAAATTTTGATTTTATTTATTTATGAATAATAATTTTGGATCCCACTTCCACCTCAAAACTGATTTACCCATTCTCCCTCAATCAGAAGTTTTTATTAGACAATTTTCACAAGAAGTAAATTCTTTGTCTCTAACCCTAGAATGATGCAATTTGTAATAATCATGCTCGCACTTTCAGTTTAGGAATCGACAAGGTTGGCTCTGATAAATTCAACACCATCTCATAAATTGACACAGGGAAACATGAACCCAACCTAGCCATCCCTCTCATTATCAAATAAGTACACTCTCTCTTATCATACTTAGTAAACGGGATCAGAATTCTAAATTAATGTTGATAATATCATCTAATTCAATCAATAATGTATTCAAAATAACTATCAAATAAGCTCTAACTTTTATGAACTCCAACTATGCAACCAATAATTTTATTAAACTCGCATCAAATAATGAATTAATGCAAATTGAAGACGATAATCGACCATTCACTCCACCACAAGAAGAACATAATTACGAAATTAATAACTTAAATTATGTGATGCAATCCCCACGAAAATCATGCAAATTCAAAGCAGCTGGCAACTTGGTCTTGGGAATACGAAGATTATAGCAAAATGTTGTTGAATAAATTACATCTTCAGTACTATTTATAGGTATTAGGAATAATTTTATGAAAAATTTAATCCAAGCCCTTGTTAAACTACAAAGAACATTCATAAAGTTCATCCAATCTAAGAATCGAAGGAATTTTAAGTGATCGATATGCTCAATCAATTTAAATTAGTTTTCCATTTAACTCAACATTCAATGAGAGGCTCCTATGAGGACATCCAATAAATGATCAAATTATTGTAGAGGGATCCAAAAAGGTATGACTTTCATTATTATTACCTAGAAATCTCACCAATCCTTAAGACCCAAATCACATCGTTAATTAATTTAATCAATATGGATAAAATTCATTATATATAGCTTGCAAAAATGGCAATGATAAAGTTGTTAAATTTTTACTCTCCCTTGATTGCAATGCACATATCAAAAGCAAAGTCTATGATGACCTTTCAGAAAGTCCATTAGATGTATCTGTCAGATGGCATCATTATGAATGTGTCAAATTACTTTTAGAACAAATCAAATATACTGATGCCGAATTGAGATCAGCTCTTAAGATTAGTTAAAATCCAGAAATCACCAACCTGATCAAAAGAAAAATGAGTTCCTCGTTATTCTCCTGCTGTCTCTGAAACATACTTCATTATTTATGCTTATTATAAAATTGTAACTTCATTATTATTACTTCCTATTTATGCTTTAAACTTAATTATATATTATTTGATTAATAATTAATTGTTGATGAATGGAACCCTGCGATTTTATTTTCAAGAGTAAAGAAAACTAGAGCTAATTTTGATATAAAGATTGAACATATTAAAATACTTAATTCTTTTGATATAACTAGATAATTGTAATATAAATTATAATAAATTATTTTGTAAATACATATTTAAAATATCATAAATAATTTGATTTGATTAGACTTACTCTTAAAATTAAATTAAATAATGATTATTTGATTAATGTTTTCAAAATAAATATAAATCAAAATTTTTAAAATATCTACTCCATTTGTATGCCTATTTCAAAATTTTTGTTTAAGCAAATAGGACAATATTATAAAATAGATGTTTTCCTTCTAGAACTTTGATTTGTTTTAATCCAAAAAAAATTACAAAATGAATTTACGCATTTTTCAAAATTATGGTATTTAAAATACTTGACCTATATCTTTTGGCATTGATTCTAAAAATATCGATGAGTTATTAATTGGTTTGTATTATTAAGAACTACTTATTGTGCTATCTTGGCTTTGCAATGGCAATAAATTTGAGGGTATCCTTTTTTTACACACTATTCCAAGTATGATTGAAAGCAATCAGAATGATAATAGTGCAAGCAATTAGTTTGAACTACTTTTCCGTTGCATGATCTCGTACACAATTAGCAACATTCTAAGACTTATTAATTGTAGGAAAGATTATTATGGTCTTTCTAGATTGAGTCAATTAATTTTGATTGATTCAACTTTGTTAGTACTTGTTTTGGAATCTAGTATTTATTTTCCTTAAATTAATCTTGGATAATAAGTTGATAGAGTGATTAAACATCAGCCTGTAATTTCTGATTATGTTTATTAATTTCTTCAGTATTAAGAGTGAATTTAGATTTTTAGTATTTGATATTCTTTGATGATGGGATCAAACCACATAAAAATGTTTATTTGTCATTCTACTACTTTTAACTGTTGCTTGAACTTCTTATCGAGATTTTATTTTTACTTTGATGATAGCGTCCTCTTTCGACTGATAATGAATGATCATACATATAACTTCCTTTAGCTTTCCTATATTGTTATTTATACTTACTCTCTCTCAGGTGGTCTTCTTACTTTTAGATAATAATTGGTAATTATTACTTATACTATTTATTTTTTTTCATTGTTATAATAAATCAAATAAATTTAATTTACACAAATAAATTAAATTCACAACACAATGGACAATATGATATCTTATCCTCCTCGCCAATGATAATGAAGTAGCAATGTTCTTTGATGCACTTTTAAATGCTCTGCTTCTGATTCTAATTATTGGCTAAATAATGGCTCTTTGCTAATAGAAAAAGTTAAAAGTTAGCTATAATTTGGTAAATAATTGAGAACTCCGGTTGATTTAACATTTTAATATAGTTCAAATGAATATTTGCATTGCAATGGCAATGAAGAGTTCCAACTATGTTAAAACTATCCTACTGCTTTGACAGTTACAATCTGATGTGTTCAATGAAACAATTTAAGTGGTATTGATGTTTACATTCTAATCGGACAATGTGCAGGTTCTTAATGGTATCACATTTATCGCATTTGATATATGGGATTTAGTTTTGATTTCCCTTATAAGAATGATAGGAATAATTTTAAATTTGAGACTTATGGTATATTTCTAATAACTTTGTTGTTTCCTATTCCGCACTCTATTAATTATTTAACAATTGTGAAATATTAATATTGTCTCCCTTGTGAAATTATGAAATCGTTCTATTCAAAACAATTGAATCAGTTTTGGAAATATTCACGATCTAGTTACTATCTATACTCTGTCCAAACAAGCCTAACGATTTATAGACTTAGACTCGGCCTGTCGCTGAAACTAACCGCTCTTTCAATTTGTCTTCATTGATAATCTATTTAGTATTTGATTGTAACTCCTTCTTTAATTTATCTATCTCCTGGGTCAATGCCTTAATGGTTTACAGATTCTCATCTTAGGCCTCTTACAAATCTGAAATAGTTTTTAAACACTTATAGTTTTTACATCCCTTGTACTGCTGTGACTGATAGCCGGCAGAACTTAATTACCTTGATTCCTGTTGAGTTGATTGATATCTCGATCTATGGGATTGAAGCGTTGTTGTACCTATTCTAAGTCCATTAAAAATAGAGTCATTGACTGTTTTGGTCTTGATTCTAACAGATTTTTTATTATGATAAGAAGTTTAGAGATATAAATGATCCTAAATGGTAGTATTCTCCCTTGTTGTCTATATCATAGTTTTATAACTGGTTCCGTAAATTCCCAAACCACTATCATTCATATAAAAATTAATAATAATAATCATTTTCCACCTAAACCAGATTGTAGAATAACTTATGTCTAAACGTGACTACCAGAAAGATTCGATACTTATTATACTTTCAAAATCTAAGTAGATATCATAAATGACCAAGTTCTTTGTTCGTTCTTAGATAAAGAAAATTAATTAGATTTCTTTATTAATTAAGATAATTAAGAAGTTAATTTGATCTCTCCTATAAATACCCTTAACATCTCTTTTAATTAATCTATATATTGTTTTCTTAATCTTCAGTTACGTTGTAAAACAATTTCATACCTTTGAGTCCTTATATGTACCAGTTCTTCTCTCAAATAGTCCGTGTGATAAGTATTATTTGAAATTTGATTTTACAAAATTATGCTAAGAATAAATATAACAAATCTTTATGAATTGTTTATAAAAGTAGGTTTATTCCCATTAATATAAAAATTGGTTAATTGATAGAATAGTTAGTTAAAATTAAGAGCTCCAAATGCATCTCTATGAATCAATTATGTAAAAATCTTTTGAACTTGTTAATGAATTTGAAGAAATGATAATTTTTGACTCGCACTTAGAGACTTTTATTGGAGAATAAATACATTTGGATGTGCCCCAATTTAATTTTATAGTCTTTTTTAAAATCGATGTCCCCCAACGATTAAAAAATTGATTGATTATCTATGATATATTTACGAAAGAATAAATTACTCAAGAAACAAGAAACATTAATTAATATAAAATAAAGATAATTTTTCAAATTTTTTTATTAGATTTCTTATAAATATCATGATCATTTTAACAAACCATATTATTTTTGAATTTTTAATCATTGATACAAAAATAATCACAGAAATTGCAGGAAATAATCTTTTTTTAATAATTAGATTTTAAAATTCTTAATTATTTCTTGAAAAGATTTTCTTCTAATTCACCCTTATTTGCACCTAAATCTTTTAATAAAGAAGCACTAATTTATTTGTTACAATAACAATAAACATTTGGACGATTGTTGTTTTGTATAATTTAATTTGATACCAATTCGAGAAAACATTCTTAGTGATAGAAATGTTAACATTACAAGGAATATATATTTTTACTTATACTTGTTTTACATTTGAAACAATTCACCTAAGCAGTCTGAAGCACAGTGTTTGTTAGATTTTGTTCTTCTTCTTAATCAGATTTTTAATATTATTATTATTTTTACTATTATTCACTCTATTATTAGTATTATTATATTAATTACGCTAAAAATTTTTATTATTATTATTATTATTCCTATTACTATTACTATTTTTATGATATTAATTTCTTCTATGATTATTATACTACTTATTAGGTTTATTATTATTATTTCTATTGTTACTTTGATTATTAGTACGATTACTACTAGGATTATTGTTATTATTACGATTATGACTATTATTATTGTTATTATTATGATTATTAATAGTATTATTGTTATTATTACTATAATAAGTATTATTACTAAAAATATTACTAATTTTAGAATTATTCAAGATTAGGGTTTGATTAATTGCTTGGTTCCTGGGCTCTTTTTTGCAAAATTGCATCCATTTGTGGCATATATATTTACCTATGATTTTCTTAATGCTTTTATGAAGATTACTTTAATTGATATTCATTAGGACTCATTAAAATAGCCATTTTTTACTTGTCCTCTTAGTTAATAACTTTAAATTTAATATTCTTTTGAGGATTTGGGCCAGATATAATCCTTATGCTGGCATTTCGTTGGGCAGTATTTTATTAACTTTTATCCATCATTGATGAACTAAGACGATTTGGTTAAATATGCTATGGCGGTTATAATCCAAACTCTTTAGATAAAATTTAATTGTGAGGGCGTAAAGTTAATCGATTTCCTTATTCGTAATTTGAGCTGTTTCTAATTATTTTCTATTATGGAAAGCCTTAGTCATTTTATTTTTGGCTTGATTAAATTTGATATGGATCTTAATTCCGACTAATTGTAGTGACTTCAGAAAGAATTCTTATTTTTTTTTAGGGAAAACTCATAACTAGAAAATTATAAATAAAATATAATAAGTATCTTAAAAATTTAGAATAACTATTTAATAATAACTATTGATTCAATATTCAAAAGATGTCAACATTTTTATTATGAAAATATTAATAAATGTAAAAGGCAAACCTCCAATTAGTATATAAAAAGTAATTTATTATTTTTGTATAAATACTTAAAAATTAGACAAAAAAACTCAATGATAAGTTGATGAATTGATAGCTCTTAATGAGACAATACAAAAAACTAGAAAATCCAATAGAACTTAAAATAAAATTAAATAATTTGGTAATATATAAAAAATATAATTAGACTATAGCATGTCTTAGAATTTCTTTGGGTAGTTAAAGTTAATAGATAATCTTACAATCTAACATATATTATTATCTATTATTAATAATCATTTTAATTTTTGTAAAGCTTCTTCATAAGTTAAATTGCTCTGTCTATCCCTTGAGTCACCTTTAAATATAAAAAGAGTTGATTACTTCGTTTAGGAAGAGTGTTAGTTTATTCAAAGTGGGTCAGATTGGACAAAGTATAGGCAAGAGCTTTCTTAGAAAATAGCATATATAACAGTTACTGATGTTTCTGAGTCTAATTTGCCATAGAGATTTATATCTCTGCCCCTTTAGTCTCTTTGATCACAATAAGCCTCTTTTACTTCGCTTTTGTACCTAATGTCTGCAGGTAAATCAGATCTTGAATTAAAGATTGGGATTATACCCTCTATGATGTTCGTGTGTGCTGGAAAGTAAAGTAATTTTTCCGAAAGTCTTTCCGAATAGGTTTTCTGACTTAATGCCTGGAACAAACCCTGCGTAATCTGGAGAATAAGCATATTGAACATACTTGGGATGTGATTTCTATTGCCTTAAATTTGTAATAAATCTTGATCATAGTCTTGGCTTGGTATGAATCTAAACATTATAAATAAGGATCATTACCCTGTATATCCAGGGATAGCATTAGCACCTTTTTCTGCTTAAAACATTTTATTTTTATTAATGTAAAATCAAGAACTAAGCGAATTTGTTAAGAATAATTGTTTTATTTGAAATATATCCAAAACTCAAGCCAAAATCTTAGAAACTAAAGACTCTTTGGATTATTATTAGAAAACAACTCAAAGGCAAAGATTTTGATAACAAAACTTTTTGCAATCCAATCCAAAATAAATAAGGAACTTGACAAAATCCTTAACTTGATTGATTCTCTATTTGCAAAGAAGAAGATGCATTTGAAATAGAACAAAGCATCAGAAGATGTAATTAAAACTGATAAAATAAAAAATATCCCTAATGAAACTCTTGTGTTCGAAACTACTGATATTAATCTATTATATTAGTTTGTTTATTTGTATCAGAGCATAAAATATTTTAGTCATACACTTACTAAAATAATATGGAAATATAGAACTGATAATAATTGAACTATTATTTCAGAGGAATACAATAATATTAGAAGTCAAAAAGAATTTCATATATATGTAATATCAAGTTATATGCAAAATGATAAATGTGTAATCTAAAAATTATGATACATTATCAATCTTTGGATGTGTTGTTTGATAAGATTTAAGAATAACTCATTTAATGCTAACAATTCTATTTGTAATTACTCTGCTTCCTTTTTGTTGTCCTCACGAGTGAATTTTTAATCTTAACTCTTTTTTATGTGTAATAGTATGCTTCACTTATTCCACTAGAACATGTTGAGTTTACATTCTCTCTAATTACATTTATACATCTCTATATAATTCAGTATAATGGTTTTTTTTGTATAATTTTTCTTATTAGATTTCTCTGGATTCCAGCTCTCTCTCCATTCAAGACCTTACTTCTATTGATTTATTTCTTATCTACTGCTTGATATATGTATCTATTTTTTTTTTATTGATCTAATCGATGCATCCTAATTAACCTAGTAATGATATTTAGTAAAAATATTAATAGCTTAGATATCCAATTCAAGTAAGAACAACTCCTTTACTACAAAATTTGAAATGTGCAAGACTATTTATTTATATATATATAATTATTATGATTATAATATTAGATTAGTTATATATTTGGTATACAATAATAATAAGTATATGTTGGATATCTGTATGAAATATATATTTAGGATGGTAAATTGAGTAGTAATTTTTAATAAAAATATATTATATAATTTAGTACTGCATTTTATTTATGAATATGAAACTTGCTTGACTTACTTTCTATTACATTAGAGAAAGAAATAACATCGGACTGTAATTTGCTATATAAGATTGTCAGCAAGACAAAAATGGATTTCAGTTATACACTGATATGGATTCATTAATTTCTATTATATTTTATCTTGATGTAGTAAGATCAATTATTGTGTGATATGACAGATGTAGTATTATATTATTACTCATTTTCCGGTAAGAAAGTAGCTTTAATTTAAGCGAATAAACCGATTACAAGTAATTTTAATTAGTTTATTATTATCAAATTAATCAGATTTGAAAACAGTTTCAATTTTCTAATGTTGATTTAAACTACGAAAAAGAATTTATTAAATAAAATTGAAACTTCACAATGACATAAGTTTCATCTACTAGATTTTCACTACCAAGGATTACAGAAAATGACCCTAAGTCTAAGTAAGTCCTTACCACAAGAGCAATGAGACCTTCCCTATTTCTAAACTAAATAGACATAGTGCCCAATTCTCTAAAAACTGAGGCAGAAGCAACAGAAAGAGGTGTTTGCAAACCAATTCACACTGAAATTGAAAGTGATCCTCTGATTGAGATCTCTTATCACCTCAAACTACCGATTTTGAGCAATTTAAGAAAATCAAAGTTATAACAATCACTACCTGATTTGCCTCTAGAAAATAGGGAATCGAAAAATGCATCTCCTATTGAATACAAGAGACCTGCCAAGAGAACGAGATTGTTCTTAAGAAGATAAGAATCAAAAATTGATGCTCCAGTAATTAAATTTTAAAGGAAGAGAGTGGAGTTCAAGAAGTCCTTGATTGTGATAGATTTGGAGACTGGTGTCTAGGACCGTTAGGAATTGAATGAAGTCAAAAAACCATTAAGAAGGATTGTCCACTAAAAGACAAGATCTTATTAAAAGAAATTAGAATGAGCGGATTGTTTTGGCTCTGATGTCTCTGGCATAACTTATTTATACGTCTATGATGAGAAATTTTGATTCATTATTTATGTTTTTCAAAGTTTTTCATATCGAGTAAGATATAAGAAATTAGAAATATCAAAAAATAATTTTAATCGAAAAATAAATAATTTTCATCTTTATGAAAGGAAGGCCTTGATCTTCTAAGAGTCAATTGATTGAGATAAGGAAATGTCAACATTCTAATATGAGGAATTATAGCTTTTGGTGACTAATGTTTTTAAATGAGGTAAGGGAGTTATTCTTTTAATTATACTGTCATCAATCGATTTCGCCATTTTCTTTTCCTGTTCCTCATTAATCCTCTCTATAAACTCATATTTTTTCATCACCATATAGGGAGGAGACTTGATTTTCTTAGCATTTAAGTACCTACAAGTAAATCTTAATTAATCTGACTCATTATTATTTAACTTGATCAACTTATCTCTAAGTTAAGTTCCTTTTCTATATTTCATGGCTTCAATTGATCCTGATTTATAAACTTAAGTTGCATCCTTAAGACTACCACTTAAATGAGGTTGGAGATTATCAACAAAATCATTTTCCGATATTTGATATCTTACACTATTGACGTTGGGTATAAATGAAATCTTAGGAGTTTTAGGCTTATTAAAACAGTTTGTTAGATTCACAGGCTAAGATGGTTTTACATCCATTTTTCTGTCTGTTGCATTATTGTTGATTGAGACTTTTCCTAATGAAGTGAGCTTAACTTTTTAATTAGGGCATTGGCAATAACCGAAATATTTATTCTAATGGGGAGTGTATGAAATAGAGTTGCGATATTTCAGATCCAATTTTCTTGGTTTAGAATTACAAATAGCTTATAGCTAAGGAGCCAAAATATCAGAATTTATTCCTCTTGAATTTATTTGCTTGACCTTCTAATGAATAAAATCAGACACGTAAGGGTTACCATTTTCAAGATTATATCTAGTATAATAGTTAATTTAATTACACAAACTCCTTATCCATTTAAAAATTAAAAATAAATCGGATCAGAAACTTTAATGTTATTAAATTGTAGAGAAAGAACGAAAGAATGAGATCGAAATCAAAACTATATAGTGATTTAATTTAAAAAAATGAAATCCTTCATTGCAATTTTAAAATAAGAATATTTTAATATTAAATTTATATATTGGAAATTAGAGTAGTTTTAGTAAAGATTGAATCGAGAAAATTGACTTTCAATTATTCTAAAAATAAATTATAATTAGATTGATTCTAAAGGATTTTTGAATTTTACATATTAGTTATTATTTTTAAAATGTTGAAAAAAAATAGGTCCTAAAAATTAATTTTCGCTGAAGAGCTTTGAATTGGAAATCAGATATTAAGAGATGTTTTTTTGATATTTTTAGTTGTTGTTGTAACGTTCTTTTGTTAACAAGCATTGCTGTCTTTTTACTTGTAATTATAAATGAGAATAATAATGGATGACTAACTTTATTCGTGCAGATTAGTCGATAATTTACTTTTTAATTGCCTTAAAATCCATCATTTAGTACTTTTTCATAAAGTTGATAGCTAAAATATTTGGAATTTGAGTATCAGCATATTATGAAAAGATCATTCAAAGTATGTGAATTACTTCTGATTCTAAACTCATCTAATTTCTGATACTAGCTTCGTAATCGCAAATCTTAGATTATAATGATTATTATATTGATATTTAATATTTCAATTGTCATCATCTTCATTTTCCTACTTTTACTCCTTCAACTCCTTACTTACAACATCCCAAGTCATATAATAGATCAATGACATAACTCCAAATCCAGTTCCTCCTTTTGTGTAAATCCCATCATTCTTATCAGTAACAGCCACATTAGCGATATCCCAATGCATCCATCTCACCTTCTTTTCAACAAAACATTCTAAAAATGCTGCTGCAGCAGATGCTCCTACTCTACCAGAACTTGAATTATTGATATCAGCAACACTTCCTTTGATCAGCTCTCTATGTTGGTCTTCCAGTGGTAAAGGCCAAAAAGATTCTTTTGTTATTTTTTCAACTTTCTATAACAATGAATAACATCCCTTTCTATTTGTAAACACTCCACAATATCTACCCAAGGCATTTTTAATGATGCCAGTGAGTGTTGAAAGTTCAATCATCTCGTAAATAGCAAACTTATCTTATGCATAAGACATAGCATCTGCTAATATTAATCTGCCCTCAGCATCGGTATTTAAAATTTCAACAGTCAATCCCTTATAAGATTAAATCACATCGGAAACTCGATAAGAATCTGGTCCGATTGAGTTTTCAACCCAAGCAGTAGAACACACAACATTAATTGGCAGTCCCAATTAGACGACAGCCCTGAATGTCTCCAATACTGTACAAGCACCACCTTTATCGTCATACATTTATTCCATACTAGATGTATTCTTAATACTCAAACCACCACAATCAAAAACAACTAAGTTTTAATAAATATTTTACCTCCTTTTCCTACTAAAGCATAATACTTATCACTATCTGCATTTCCTTTATAAGACAAACAAGAGTAAAATGGCTTATGTATTGAACCTCTTCCAACTGCATGTATGAGTCTTAAACCGGCACCCAAAAGATCATCTCCTTCAATCAGAGTTGAAGTGATTTTATCACCATACTCTTTTACAATGTCTAAAATGTAATTCTTCATAAATTCAGTATTGGCAATGTTAGGTCTAGTGGGTACAAGTTCTCGCAATCTCAGGATGGGTTTCACTAAATGATGCAAACTAGATTATTAAAAAATAATGTCTACTATTTTAGATTCCATTTCTATTCCACTTGATTTAAATAATCTTCTTAACTGATTGATGTAATCAAATTTAAATAATGGATTGGAAATGAAGAGGATTTACTTCCCTCCTTGATAGATTAATATGTCCATCTATAATTAGCCAATTGAAATCCAAAGGAGAACTCAGCTATATCATGAATTGTGTAATTATGAGGTAAGAGTACACTTATTGAGTTTTCTTCCACTTTTTGAGTAGCTATCTTATTAGATGCTTTGCGAGCCAAATTTGCCCCATCCAATCGAGGACTCGTTGCATTCTAAATAATCACATATTCAAAGGGATCATCATCATTTAAAGCATAAATCTTAGCTGACTTCCCAGAATTAATGTCCTTGATCAACTCCTTTGATTTAAAATAAAATTGTAGCGCCTTGACGATTGGGTCTGCAGATTCATTTATTGATGGGTAATACAAGACATAGACTCCCTTATTTGTAGCTTAAGTGGTATGCTTAATCTCAATATGAGGAGTCGACTCCATTAAGGTGTGTTTCTACATAATTAATAAATATTTTATTAAAAAATATCACATTTTTCCCACTGAAGTAGTATTTAAAATATATTTAATTTATAACTATTGAATTCGATATAAACCATAAGCAAATATAATAATAAAACTAAGGTCGAAATAAATTTAATATTATTACAATAATTCATAAATATATTTTTATGTAACTTGCTAAGAATAAAGTTATTATCTATGCCTATTTATATCATCAATTCATCATTACTCATATTCTCTTCCATATTTAAAATTAAATTTCACACACAAAACACAACCAATTATTTGCGGTCTAGGATAAATAAATTATTTGAAAAAATCATTTGGATAAATTTCTTACAATTTTATTGGAAAATAAAAAAAATCACAATTTTACAATTTATCCTTTCATAAACTTCTAACCTACCTTTTGTTTATTCAAAAGAGAAAGCTTAGAAGTAATTCAATTTGTTTATTTGATTTAATTTATTTTAAGGTTTTAATGCCACATTTCTTTAAATACGAATTTTGAATTTATTAGAAATCCCTTGAAAACTAATTTGATTAACTGATATACAAAGAATGCAAAAAAGAAATAGTTGTCTTTTTAAATAGCTTCTGCTTGTTTATATTTCTAACGCTTGAAATAATACCAATCATAATGGAACTTAGAAAAATAGATGACATTTAAAGTTAAAGAAATTAATTTGATAATCTTTGATCTTAAACAAGACAACCAATGAATGTATTTATTAATCAATCATCCTAATTTTGGCAAAAATTTAGTTTGTTGTCTTTGTTAGGCCTTCCGAATGAGAGGTTTAGCACTTCCATCAATTTTATCTTTCCTCGTGACTTAATTAATGAAATCTATCACCAAGATTGAAGCTCTAAATTCAACTCGTTTCTTCACTAGGTTTCCCTCAGTTAAATTTTTTTTATGCTTAGGATCAGTTTAGGGAGATGAATATTATATTTGGGGCAACTTTAATTATTCTCCAGACTGGATTGTGACCTTCATTGACTATGAATAACCCATAGCATCATTAAAAAGAGTGTTTTCAAGCGATTCTTTATTACTTAGTGATATATTAGATTTTTCTCTTATGAGAGGTAGCTTAGTAACTTGTCTCTTCTTTAATTATTTCAATTGAGTGATAAGGGGAGATTTTTCAAGATCGGAAGGGTTTATTTTTGGTGATAGTAAAACTGTGTTCAAATCTATATCATTCAAAAACATTGATGGCCTTATTTGATTTGTTTTTTTATTGGGTATTTACAAGAGCATAGCAATTTATAAAATAATTATTTTTTTGAGGATTATAAATTTACATATATAGAAGCGATATGCAAGTTTATCAAAAATAAATAATTTTGAGTTTAATTATAATTTGAATACTAGCTAGAAACTGAAGAATATAAATTATATCATGATCTTAGCAATATATAATATATAATCAATATTTACCAAACAGATTTAGAAAAAATGATATTGAAATAATAAATTAGCAGAATTCAAAATTTATAAAAAAATAAAGGTTTTTTTGTGATAATATTTATTTTCTTAAGAAAATAGCAATAATCAATAACAAACAATTATCATAATTATTCAATTACCCAAACTTCGAAATGCTAAATTAAAAATTTTTCATTTTAGGTGAATCTTGGATTTTCAAAAGTTGAACATGGATTATTATAGCCAAAATATAACTTCGAATCAACAAATATCCCAAATGAAGGACCGCAACCAACACAAAATCCATCTGAATCACAATAAACAAAATCATTGTTTGTCTCCTTCCAATAATATGGAATCATTTGCAACTCATCTTACTTGATATCATACACATTATTACTTAGAATAAGAATGTTTCTCCAGTTCCATGGAATCCCTTCTTTGAACCCTACAATTCAGATGAAACATATGCTCCAAACACCTTTCCATCCTTATCCTTGATTGTGAAAAAGAATGGATTCTGATATTACAATGAGAGTAGCAATTGTTCATAACTAGACCCATCGTTATCTATAGTGAATTTGATACTCCAATTGGACAATCGATATATAGCAGGTATCAATTCAATTAATTATTTATAGAGACTTTCATTTAAACATTTCGAATTGGCTTTATATTTGGGAACATATGAAATACTTGCCCATAATCCTAAATGATATCATCATTATTTCATTACTTCCCATTCTCTTTCCAATCACATTATCCAATTCTTACTTTTAGATTAATTGCTAATAGTGATTACTTTCATCAATTAAATCTATATAAGGCAGTTTAGTTAAATTAATAACATCCTATTGATCCTTCAAATTTTAGACTGAATGGTTAATAAACTCAGTGATCGACTTACACATATCTCTCTTTACTTCTTCTGGAATTAGCTGGCCTGACTCATATCTCTCTTAATACTAAACTTAATTATTTTAAGTACTCTGAAAAATATAGTTGCAATGCTCTTTTTTTATTTTTTGAACTTCTGGAGTTTCTTCCTGAATTTCTTCTCAAATTCTACTCTACCAATCCCACTCAATAAAATTTAGATCAAATAATCTTTTTAATCATTTGCATTAGGTAAGATATGAACTATGGCTTCATTGATATCATTAATAGAAATGCATGCATTATTCATTATCCTCTTGCCTGCTTGCTGTTGAACCTGATTGCTATCGAAAAGAATCATATCTTCTCTTACAGTCATTTATCCTTTAACATTCTAATCATCCATACAATAATACATGAGAATATTATTGTATTGCTTGATTTACTGCTTCCATATGTCTTATTCCATTTATTCCACTTCCTCCTCCTCGCTATACTCATCCTCTGCACTATCCTCATGATCTTATTTAAAGACCTTCAACACCATTCCTTGAACAATGAATTCGCTGCTCAAATTATTTATCCTTTTCAATAGCTCCACGCTCATATCAAATTTTAAAGCTATCCCAATCAGTGAATCCTCTTACTATACTTCGTACTCTTCATACTCTTTGTTCTTCTACGTATCAATAGTGCTTTCCTATGTGAATTTTGTTTTAAGCGTCTCATCATATTGGAGAACAGTTGTTTTACGCTTCAATTCAAAATCCTCAGTATTAGAAGCCTTTTATTTTTTAGGTTTTATAAATCTAAACACCTTTTTCACCTTTTTGAACATATGGAAATTAAATTTAATAACAAAAATAACTCAAATCTATATATAAATTTCTAGTTTAAAATGACGACAATTTAATTGAAATATCTTTAAAATTATTAGAAAACCTTCTTTCATAAATTGTGAGATAATTTTATCTAATTACCATATATATACTAAATTTTTAACAATTCGATAATAAAACTCTTAAGAACTTTATATTAAATAGTACTCTTAATTAAAATCATTTATTAAATAATTCAAAAAGAAAAACCCTTTTCCACAAAATTCTTAATACTCTCACTTTTATTAAAATTATTTATGAAACGATTAACTATGGTTTTATTCAATAACTCAATAAATTGAAAATCTGATTTAACCATTATATTAGATACTTTTAAGTTATGGAAGTTCAAGATAGAAGACTAATTCTTATATTTGAACAATCTATTCCCAGTCCAATTTTCTGAATTCTGAATTCTGCATTACATATAGAGATCATTTCAACTAAATCTTAATAATATTCTTAATTCTTTTTTGAATTTTTTTTCTAGAAACAATTTGAACTGAAAGAACAGGACATATCTCACACAAAATCTAATTATCTATGATTTCTCTAATAATTTTTATTATTGAGTAAATTAATTGAATAATTTATAAATCATAGCATATTTTTTGAAACAATTAATATTTTATAAATTTAAATATAAGTCTATACAGATATATCATGGGGAAATGATTAATTAAGGATGATATATTTGCTTTTGATTAGTAGTTGAGCAAGTCTGAAGAGGTATTTGATTTTTGGTATGTCAAGGGAGATTTTGAAATATTTTAGGAATTTGAGTTAATAAATATGGAGATTGAAACATTTATAACTTTTTGATTTCGATCAATTTAATTATTATGAAATCAGAAATTAATGAAAGAAATGAAATGAGATTTTTTTGATATAATATTTAAAATATTAAATGGGTTCTTGTGCAGGATCAGGATAAAATAAATAAAAGCATTCGAGAGATGAAAGAATTAGAACAGAACCAGATAAAGGAAGAGGAAGTGATGCTTTCACTGGTGGGGTCAATGTCTCTAATGCATCCGGAAAAAGTGCAGAATTGAAATGGTTGGATTTGCCAAATTAGAAAAAGAAGACAATGAAAAAGTAAGAAAGTCTCAAAGTCACACTTTCAATCACAAATGGTCCTATATCAAAATACTATATTCGAAAGAACCTTCGTTATTTAGAAGGTGTAAATTTTAAAGATAATATGTTTGTTGTTCAACATATCGTTACTGGAAAAATTCGAGTGGCAGAGAGATTTTCAATGAATACAGTAACGAATGCATTCATCAATAAAATAATCTACTTATAATTAGTAAATATTTGATCTATTCTAGAACCATCCTAATTTGCTTGATATTTATGGAATATTTTTAGAAAATAACTATTACACAATTATAACTGACTATTGCAATGGGGGATCACTTTTATCACTACTTTCTGAGAGAAATACTCATTTTGAAGAAGGAATTGCTGCTTAATGTTGCCGATAAATATATGAATTAATGAGCTATTTACATAAATATGGACTTTATCATGGTTCATTAAGTTTGAGAAGTTTTGAGAAATACAATTAAGGAAAGAAACACTTTAAACTAAAGCTTGTTGATTTTAGTAGTTTATTTTGTAAATCAGATATTAATGAAAGCAACGTGCAATTTTTATCACCTGAATGTTGCAGTGAAAAGTAAAGCTATACGGCTGCTAGAGATTAATGGGCAGTTGGAATAATTACCATGGCTATAGCTTTTGGTAAACTACCCTTTGATGCAAACTCATTGTAAGAATGCTTGGAAAATATTCAATCGTCTTGTAAGAAGGAGGGTTTTTTGCAAAAAGAATTGGAGAAATAAATTGGCAATCCTTTAATTAAAGATTTGGTACTTTAATTTTTGCAGATTGTTCCATCGAAAAGGATAGATTTTATTTAAGCTTTGGATTCTAAATGGATGAAAAACTATGAGCAGGTTTCCAAATAGTAATTCAAGCAATGCTTAGATGAATTAACTAAAAAAGAGGCAAACTTTCTTCAATCTTGCTTTCTTTTAATGATGATTAAATAATTCGATGATTAATACTCTTAAATATAAGAAATATTTAATGGATTGGATATCGACAAGAATGGTAGACTCACTAAACCGGAATTAGTTAAACATTACACCCAATATTTTAATGCCCAATACAAGCCTCATGAGATTCATGACTTTGTTAATGAAATATTTACAGCTTCAGACATAAATAATAGTGGTGACATAGAACTTTCTGAATTTTTGATTGCCCTATCAAATCCTAAAACTATTATAACTAATGAAAACCTAAAGTGCATTTTCAATCAAATCAATCAAGGTCAACCTTTTGGTTTTAATGAATTACAACCATTATTTAGAACCAAGGAAGCAGAAATTCAAAGTTCACTTCAACAAATTCCAAATCAAATTGTAAATCATTTTATTCTACATTTTAGATTAATTTTGAGGAGTTTTAAAAACTTATGTTTGAATTAATAGAAGATAAATGATATGTATAAAATTTGTTTAGAATTTCTAAATAACAACATAATAAACAATCAATTACACCTTTTTTATGTTAAAGTTAGAATATGCAATCTATAATGTTTATTATTTTTGTTTGCATTTACATCTTACGTATTTCATTTTACTCTAGTTTAAGTTGAGAGGTATTTGTAATACCAATTCCATCATTTGATTTTTCTAATTTCAATTAAGTCCTTTATTATACAACCTTTGTTCTTTTATAACTGGAAAATTTAAAGAAGTTTTCATCATAAAGTATTTAAATTTCAGTTTAATTTTTAATTTTATGGTTTTTAGCACGAAAACTTTATCGGGTGGGGATGTAAAATTAGAGGACATGTACATTTTGACATACTCAATAGATTTTTTGGAATATCTTAGCAATCTTATGGTGTTTAAGAAGTAAAATGTAATAAGATACAAAAACTGTGATTTATTTATGTTATAATTAAAACATGTTATAAAGCACTTCAGAAAAATTGCAATAAAAAGTTTCGTCATATAAGGACAAGATAAGGACATAATTGAAGAAAAAGATATCAGTGATTAAAGATCAACAAAAATTGAGACATTCGAATAGCGATTGTAATTGAATAGTTAATATCCCCATAGTGCAAATTGACACACCATTCTAATCGTAATCAAAAATAGATGCTGATTTTTCTGATAATTATGAATTAGGTGTTAAATTAGGAGAAGGTGCTCATGCCATTGTTTACAAGGCAATCAGGAAAAGTGACAATCAGGAATTTGCTGTAAAAGTATTTAGATCTAGCGACCCTGAAATCATTGCTTCAATAAGAAAGACTTATTAGATTGGATCAATGCTTTCTCACCCGAATTTAATTAAAGTGAAAGAATTATACATAAATTAATAAAATGGATACTCATATTAAATAATGGAATTGTGTCAATATCCAAATTTAGAAAATCAGATACCCAAATTGAATCTAAAAGAGATAAAGACGGTTATGCGGTACATTATAATTTGAAGTAACAATAGTGAATTATTGAATGGGTTAGTTTACATGCACCAATAAAAAGTATGTCACAGAGACATAAAACCTGACAACATTCTATTTGATGGTTTAAATGTAAAAATCCTTGACTTTGGAGTCAGTAAGAGATACTACATTAAATAAAAATATATAGATATGTGGACACCCACAGGCACTTAATTTTATTGTGCACCAGAGATATACACCAAAGTTAGTTACACTTACAAAATTGACATGTGGGCTGTTGGTGTATAAATTGATATTTATTTTTAAGGTTATTCTCTATTAACTATTGACAAAACAATTGCCATTCCAGGATGAGACTGCTCATGGAACTATTGAATTAATATGCAAAGCATAGTTCAAAGATCATTCAGCTTTAGATAAAGTTAGCAAAGATTTATTATGCAGATTGTTATAGATAGACCCAAAAAAACGACTTAATGCAGCAGAAGCATTACAACATATTTGGTTTCAGAATAAGGAGATGATTCAGCAATGCATGGATGATATGATTGTACATGATGGCCTAGTTAATGATTCCTCATTGTTTATCTAACTGAGTTAATCATAAAATAGGAATACCTACGCAACTCATCATTAAGATACTAAAGTGGAGGCTTTCAAGCCGACAATACACGTCAAGCAATCTTCATTTAGAGATTCATCATGATATACTGGGTTATTTCATATTAATATTCACAACATCACAAAAGTTATGTAATCATTGTATGTAATTCTTGAATCATTTTTTTATCAAAATCTTACAAAGTCTTGTCCAATTTTAATTTAAATTTTATTATTTAAATTATTCTTAGAAATTAACAATCTTAATATAGAATCTAATAATTATTTTATTAATTCAACTTAACTTGGCTTGAGAAAACTACAAATTATTTGAAGAAATCTTATCTCTTACAACTTTTTGAAACTATTCAATCTCCAGTTGCTTGAATGTTCAAGATGACGCTCATGCAATAACTCTTTTTATCACTTGAAATAATTATGTTTTCAATTTTTTTAAATAATACAGGATGATTGATAATCTTATACACTGCATCACTATTTTTATAACTTAGATTGTCAAAATCAAATAGTTTGATTTATAATATTTAATGGTTTTTTATTCAAATTTTATAATAATTATCTAGTATATTCTCATAAAATAATTTCTACATGCCCCATTAATAAGGAATCTGATTAAGCGAAATTACTTTATTATATCTTAGCTTTTATCCATAATTTTGCATTAATGTGTGACTATTGATTTAAAATATAAGACAACAACAATAAGTCATCAATTAGGAATCTTAAAGACAAGCTAATGAGATTACCTACTCTTCTATATATTTGTTATTCCAAGCCTAATGAACAAGCTTAAGATCTATAAATTGCTAATTTTCATCGAATTTTTAATACTCAATCAGAGATTTTAAAACAATATTATGCTTGTTAAGAATTAATCCTAAGGTATTTATCCAAATTATTATAAATTTGAAAGAAATTCAAGTTATTTAAGTTTATTGTGATTTATGTTCTAAAGAAAACAAAATATGAATTATTATTATTTTCCAGATTCTCTTTGTTCCTACTTTAATACTTAGCTTCAAGTGCTTAATTTTACTTGTTTCTTGTCTAAATTATTCATTTTTAACAACATATTATAAGAATTTTAGAATCCATCAAATAATTATATTTTATTTATATTAAATTAATTCATTCCTATTGATACAATCCAACATGCCAAAACGGAAATAAAGACATTATATAACAGTAGACTAACTCAAAAATAGCCTTAAAAAAGGAACTCACTGTCATCTTCTAATCTAATATATATAAAGATAAAGTATTACTTTATAGTTATTATTTAAGTCTTCGCACTTCTTCTTCTAATTCAGGCTCTTCATCCTATTCTGCATTTGGCTATTTTTCAAATTATATTTCTTAGGTCTTTTCTTTAGCATCTTATTTCTCTTGTTGAACATCCATTTCTCCTTGTCCTTTATTCTACTACTCAATCTTGGGCTCATCTATTTAGTTATCTTTATTTGGTTAAGTATTTTCTATCTTAGGTTATTCTTAAGTATTTTCATGAAATTATTTCTCATCAAATACCAATTCTTCCTCTTCTTTGACTATTTTTTCTTAATTATTCTAAAATTGGTTTTGTTGTTTTTCTTTTTTAATTATGTTGAAACTTTCATTGTCTTATTTGTTTGTTTCCTGCTTATGTTCTGTTATTTCTGTTTTATTTTATTAGAGATCTTTTGATAATTATTAGGCTTGCAATAGTTTAGCATGTCTAATCAAAAAATCCTACAGTTGTTCTTAACTATCCAATTACAAATCTAATTCGTTGTCCTGATCGTTAGATATATCTAAATCATCAAATTTTTCTTATTACTCAAATTATTATTCTAAATTAACATCTGAATATTTATTAGCATCAGGTTGTATTTTAGTAGTATTTTTTTTATTAACATATTATTATTATTATTATTACTATTGTTATTGTTGCTATTATTATTGTTACTATTGTTATTGTTGCTATTATTATTATTATTGTTATTGTTGCTATTATTATTATTGCCGTGCTTCTTAATTTTAGTTGACGTCTCTTTATTGTTGTTGTTATTATTATCTCTATAATTATAACTATTATTCTCTCAATTGTGCCTTAAATTCCTGATATTTGGTCCAATAGAATATTCCAATAATACCCAATAAATAATAGTAATTCTACCCTTTAAAGTATGAGCTAAACAAAGTATAGAATAATCCGATATAACAAATCATTTTAAAATGGAAGAATATCTCTTACTATATAGGGGAGTCTTTGTCATCTAATTTATTAATAAACTATTACCATTTCTCCTTTATTATTATTCTGGTGGTTTTTCAATTTTCTCCTCAGCGTTTTGTTAAAACTTCAATCCCATTATTGGCATTTGTGAAATGATGGGTTAGAAATTGGACACATTTAGTTAATTGAATACTAATGCTCTTTGAATGTTTTTAGTGTATTCTAGATAGAGTAATTATTTATTTGGTTGTGGGTGTTATTTTTTAGCACCAATCACTGTTAAGAATACGATTTGTTCATATTTTTTGGCAATTTCGAGTAACTTTTCATTGCCATACAATTCCACGCCACCATGATATAATTTGATTGCATCTGGATCATAGAAAGATTAGTTTTTGGCAGAGAAATGTCGAATCTAGCATAAAGTTAAGGTGTACTTATTCAGTTGTCCAATAGTCTGGACATTAGAACTCCAAGTAATGCCCATTGGGAAACTTAACTTTTATATTCATTTAATAATGTAATAATGGGATTTAGTAAATGAATCAAGTGATTAGTTACGATTGTTTAGTTATTGTTTTATAGTGTGGAGTGCTTTATTTATACTTTGCTACGATAGAATCAGATTGAATAACCTTAGTTCCAAAAAGCAAATCGATGTTTTCAACCGAGTCGTCTCAATTTTACACGGTCAATTCACTTTTTGGGGATCACTCATAGTTATACTTTCTCAGACCCCTTACCAATTATAGGAAATGAATTCCTCTGAAATGCAATTCGTTATGATCGTCAGCGCAGGTTATTTTGCATACGACGTCATAATTTGCACTTATTTCGATTTGTATGACTATTGGCTGATATTCCATCACATAATTAGTTTGATGGCTTTTGGAGAAAGCATTCTGAACAAAAAATATGGACATATTATTATATGTAAATAGTTATACTGATAAAACTATATAGTCGGTATGTTCATCACTGAAATATCTAATTTGCCTATGCATTTGAGACATATTTTGGGTTGTTTCGGATTAAGACAAACAAAGATATATGAATCAATCGAATTACTCTACTTCTCACTCTTCTTAATATTTAGAGGTATCTTGAGTCCGGTCTTACTAATCAGAACCTATGAGGACCTACATGCACCCTTATTGATTAAAATCTCTGCATCTGGATTGCTATTGTACTCAGTCTATTACATCATAGAGTAATTAAAAATTCTACATCTATTTTTAGAATGATCAAAATTACTTAAAGAAAAGTCAGATCATATAGAGATCGGAAGAGAAGAAATCTCACTATGTATTGGTTTGCTCAGAATCCCCTACTACCAACACACAAATATGTAGACTCCATATTATGATAATATTAATAAGAAACTATATCTATTATTATAAATGTTCTTATAAAAATGGGTGGTCTAAATCTGCTGATTTAACTGAAATTAATAGTTCTTTGCTAGATAAATATTTTTATTTTGTTTGATGAATAAATTTACTTTAAAATTTGATGATAAAATATTAGAAGAATAATATTAAAAAGTTAAACTGTCTAAAATTAGAAAACCCATTTATTTGGGACTGTTGTTACTAAGTTTTTGCATGATGAGTTCAAATGCCATATTAAGTTTGTTTACTTCACAATAACAGACCGTAAAAGCATACATCAATTATTCTTACCTTATATTTATGGTCTTCTAAGCCCTAATTGTATACAAGAGACCTTATCTAATCAGATACTTATTGGTAATATCAAATATTGCCACAGGGTTGTTGCAATTCAATTTTAATGAATCAACACCAGCCTAAATTTACTATGACTAAAGTTCTTCATTTACTTAATTACAAGCAGTTGCATACTTCATTTCTGATTTCAAAGATGGAGTAATTCAAGTTTTAGCCTTGCTCGTTATGCGATTGATAATGACTTCAATGAAAATAGGAAATGTAGATTTGCAGACAATTTTAATAGGAATTGCCTCTACCTCTTTTATTCTTGTCACACTCTATGTAAACGACTAGAATTCAAGAAAGGAATTCTTAGGGAGCATTTAAGAAGATTTGTGGGATCATTCCTTAGCCATCCTCATTAAAAAGCCTCATTTCAGAGTTTAATACAATAAGGAATATATGAAAATAGATTTAATTTCCTCCCACCAATTATGTGATTTCCCAGGCTATGATGAAAATATTTGCGAAGGTTGTAATGGTAGATAGATTTTACATTTATATTAATACAATAAAGTTAATTTATCTGATTTTATTCTAGAATAGGCTTAAACAATCTAAAATTCAATCAAAGTTCAATACAAGCATCACTCACTTTAATTGAGAATAGTTTGTGTAGGAATTAAGAATTTGAATATTGTTGTCATTTATGAAAAAGCAAGAGCAGATGTAAGTGAATAAATAGTGCCTATTAAATTGAAAAATTTAATTTTTCAATATATTTAATCTTAATCTCAAAGAACTATTTATTAAAGGTTATTTAATCAAGGTTTATTATCAATTTTGTTAATTAATAAAATGAAATTAAAAGAAGTGGAAATTACTAAAATGTTTAAAAAATTGAATAAATAGTTTAAATATACTATGAAACCTCTTAAAATACTGCCGAAACATGTTAACTTTAAATTTTATACTTATTCTTCCTAATTGAAAATATTTTTGGTTTAAATCTTTCAAATATTTGATTAAATCTCGAAAAAGAGAGTATCGATATTATTTCAAGATTTAGAGGATTGCAATTTAATGCAGATTAAATTTAAACAAAGTTAAGAAAGAAATCTGAACCTCCTATTTCTTAGCTTTTATAGCAAAAATATTTTTATATAACAGATCAAACCTCTCTTGTTGTTTAATGAGCTGAATTTAGATTTGCAGATACAATTTAAAAAACACATACCATACTAACTAATTTATTGATTTAAAATAAAATATATATATTTCAAAAAATCTTCTAATCTTTTTATAATATTGTATCATCCTCTCCAAAATTTAGAGTATTTATTCTGGTGTCAATATTTGTTTAAACCATCCTAAAAGTGTGAGGCATCAGTAATTTTGAAGCTCGGTTTTAAGGCAGCGATCGAATCTTTAATTCAAGTTGTTGACTCTCCACCAACTTTTCCCTTTAATTTTTATATTGTTGGTATGCTACATAAAAAAGAATTGAGAGGAGAAACACTGCTAAAATGTAAAATAAATAATAAATTGAAATAATAAAGGGTTTTTGGTTGAAGTGCACCATAAATTCCTTTTATTTCCAACCTTAATTTGTTCGATAGGTTAATTTAAACTTTTTTTCTATTTATTTTGAATCAGCTAAAAATTGATATAAAATTATGATACTTTCTATAAAGCACTTAATCTAATAGGGCTAAAGATGTGGTTGAATTTGAAATAAATATTTAGATGTAGTTCCATAGATATAATTATCAGCTAAAACAAATTATTTAACCGAAGTTAACACAAAAGGAATTGCAGTTTCTTTTTCCTAATAATAAATAAGAAAATGAGTATGAAATCCCTGAACTAGTAGAACCTCCTCGTTTACTTCAACATCAACAATCTTATTAGAAATGTTGAATCTGGCAACAGAACCCCACTTCTTATTAAGTAACTCAATGTTGAATTAGATTATATAATGCTGATTTTTGGTTTTGTAGGCAACAAAGACAAAGCTATCACTATTAATAGTTAGAGCAATTCCATCAGTTTTGGGACCAATATTCTTCAAAAGAAGTTTGCTCATAACTTTTTGATTTTTAATAGTCAAATCAATAACCATCACTCCGTTTATTCTACACAGTACATAAAGTATATAATTAGTATCTCTTAACTTTGAAATAGAAAAATCTCTAAAATCAACAGCTGATAAACCTATGGATTATTTATCTAATATGTAAGACTAGTAATCTTGATTTATTAAATAAATTTCTAAGCCTTCTGATCCAATAGCAGAAAATAAATAATAATCAATTATTTCAGAATAATACCTACTTTATCTACTTTACCAATTCCGAATTTCTCCTTAATTTTTTGTGTTTCTAAAATCTAAGTAGTGAGCATAGTCAGGATATGCTAAAATTAGATATTCAGTAGATCCAATAAGTTAAGGCAGTGAAACCTACTCATGTGTGAAATTAAAAGAATAAATTTTTGAGGTTTCATCTATTAAACTAATATGGAAAAGATGATTATTCATTGTTAATCCGTAAATTTCACTTTGTCCTAGGATCACCACATCGATCAAAAGATCAGAGTCTTCGACTATTGAATCATTATTTAATTAGTCAGAGGGTAGTTAAAATGTTTATCCTTCTGTTAATAATGTTCGATTTGAGAGATAACAAAACTAAGAGTTATTGATTAATTAATTATCGTCACTAGGTTAATTTTAATCAATACTCGATCTGAACAAGCTAAGCTTCCAAAGCTTCTCTTACTTCAAATAAGGTCTAAACTTCACCAAACTTAACAAAATAGGATTATATTGCTTTGCTCAGAATAGGAAGGGTTAGAAAAATGAACAATAGCATGATTTTAGTAAAAATTACAAATTTATTTTATATTATTAATATACATTCATATATCAAATTCCTATTTAAATAGTAAAGCATATTTAGCAACATCATCCTATTTGTAGGATAGTAGTTTCTGAATTACACTAACTCCATCCAGTTTCACAAAAATAATGAAGAATTGGTTAGACTTGTTATCTTTAGCCTTGATTTCTCCTTTTCTAATGATTTTAATGAGAATTTCTAGTCCCTTCTTAAGATGAATGGAAGCGATTTCTTTTTCATTTGCTATTTCCAACATGCTAAGAAGATATTAAATAAGTCCATTTCCAACTAGCCTGCCGACATCCTCATTAGTCCCTTATTGAATCGCATTTCCAATCACTTCTAGGGCATCCCCTCTTAGATTTTAATTATCATCACTTAATGATCGAAAAAGAGAGACCAAAAAGTTTTAATTCGACAAAACCTTAAACAACGTTTCCGTTGCTGCAAATGTTTAAATCATATCTCCACTTTTATCTCTGCTTTTAGGATCAACAATCATTCTGATATGAGCAATAAATCCACATTCTAATAAGTATTTAATTTAGTCTTCAGTTCCATAAAATATGCATTCAAAAATTCGTAGGATCGATACGAAATTGCCCATGGGTAATAGATTAATCAATTAAGGCACTACTCCACTATTAATTAAGGCAGCAATTCTATTGGGTTCACCATCGATCATATATCCTAACGCCCAAATGGCATCGTTAATCATTTTTAAATTTTGTTGATTGAACTCTTCCATAATTACTTAGGCAAAAATCTCAAATGCTGATTGTATCTTATCAAACTTAGGACTTGGACGGCCTATACACAAATTAGCCAAACACCATATGTAGATCGATTTGTATTTGGATTCAATTTTGCTTATTATTTTATCCATACTGCAGGCTTACAGTATAGAATCTCGATATTTCACAGATTCACCAGCCAATTTTCCTAATATAGTTATGATTAACATAATCAACTCACTTTAATTACCATCTAGTACACTCATAGACAATTAAAGAATTCCATTTTCCATAATAATTCTTGTTATTTCACTTCTCCCTCCTGCTAGAATTGAAATGATTTCTAAATAATATTAAAAATATAAACAACATGCAGCTTCTAATTTTAATAAATATGTGCTTCCATATTAGATGATGTGAAATAAAATAGGTATGAGCTCATTTTCTTTGGCAATCTCTTACTCAAAATTCTTATGTAATATTGAAAATTTTATACAGCCAACGTTCTCCTTAATTTAATTATTGCTTTGTGGCTTTCAATAAAATCCTCTGACCTCAGTGCATTTATGGAGTCCATGACAGTAATATGATCTGCATCCATTCTTAAGATTTAAATTATTTCATCCTTCAGCTCTTGACATAGTTACTCCTATTGGACTAAGTCTTCATGGTTAGAATTTTGTTACAATTTTTTAATGCCTCCTAGTTTCTGACTATTTTTCATGGTTTTCTTTGTTTAATGTAGGAATAATAGAAGAATTTAATTATTTATCTCCACAGAATAGTTTATTCATAATGAAATATAAATCATATATAATCTTTTAGTTCTTTCATTACGATGCACATATCAAATAATATATAATTTCAATTCAATCCAATTGAATAATTGTATCATTCTTACTGACTACAAAATCGTTTGTTTCTCCCAGATTAAAAAGCATTTTGATTGGCATTTCTGTATTTTATACTACTAGATTCTCAGTAAATGTTATGTTTTCAAAGATGCAACATTTTTTGTTATCATATACATGGAATGATAAAAATAACAATAATATGATATATTATCATTTCAAATCAGGTTCAAGAAAGACTTTCATTAGGACTAATATATTTTTTGCTTTGATTGATATTTTAGGATTGCTTTTCAGGCTATTCAGATTATTCAATTAGAGATTATATTACATTACTCACCCTATATACCTTATCTGTAATCATTGTAGTTCTTTGAATTAAATTTTGAGTTCATCACTTCCAAATTATGATTACTTATTTAATCAATATAATAAAAACTGAAATAATATAATTATCATGGCAATAATAATTTTTTGATTGCAACAGATAATCTCTGGGTATTCTATCTACATTCTTCCTGCAAATTGCATTCTGAGATTTTATATTTCTACTTTATGGAATACATAAACTCAATTAGTTTTGTGAACTCTTCCCCTTGACCCAAGTCTCTTGTTTATTGGGAATTCAATACGCACTAAGATTAAACTTTGTAAATATACTTTAGCAATAAGATCTTAAACGACCTGTAAATCATTCTTTTCAAGGTTGAATCTATCTTGTGGATAACTCATTGGTATAATCTTTTGTAAATGGAACTTTTGAAAGTATGAATCTTTCGCTTTGAATCCTGTGTACAGTGCGAGGTTTTTCATGCAAACTTAAGTTTTATAAAGAACATCATTCCCCAATAGAATATGATCGTCTCTAACCAATAAACGATTTAGGATAGTGATTGCATAATCATAACAAAAGGGTGTGTTTTAAATATTGCTCTCCTACACAGGAAAAGTGAATCCCACGTTGTAGATTTTGATAGAAACTCCTTTCTTGAGAGCAATGTCAGTCTAAATAGCTTTCACATGATCGATCATATATAATAGAGTGTGAGGAACACAATTTCGATCGACGAACAACACAGCCTTTTCATTATTGGAATTGATAATTTCATTAATCTTTTTATGGAATTCTTGCAAAAAAGCATCTTTGATATACATAAACACCTTTTGGAATTAGATTGCCAATGAATCTGTGTTGTCTCCCAACTTATCTTTTATTAATTGAAGTGTGACTTCATCAGCACAAATGTCATAAAAAGGATAATCCTTATAATTCTATTTTAAATAGTCAACCAAGGTAGATTTGCCAGAACCAGGTATCATTAATGGATAGATGATTACTATTTTTTTTTAAGGCTTAACATCCTCATCAGATTCTTCTAAGTCTAGATCGTCTTAATCTTCTATTTATGGCTATTCTGCACATTCAAATTATTTGATTATAGCCTCCAACTTTTGTAAGTCAAATTCTTCCAAAACAAAGGTTCTATTTGGAAAATTCTTCTAGCACTCTTTCAAATATACTTAGCCTTTTTCTAGCCATCTCTCCAAACTCAACTATTATACTTTTGGTTTTGCAGTTGTAAATTGAACACCAAAGGAACTTATAATTGGATTGGAGTCTTAAAATATTTTAGATTATAAATTCTGTAATGATATCTTGAATGCTTCTTAATTCATACCCAAGAAAACAAAGATGATGTTAGAGGGTTCTTAATTTTATAATGTTGAATTAACTAAGTAATCATTTAGTTGTTATTCATTATTAATATTGTATGGTAATTTAGGTATCATATGTAAAATTGAGATCGCTCTTTATGCGAATACCTTTTGATTTCTACACATATATTAGCATTCAACACATTGTATATTAAGATTATCTTTTAAACTTTGCAACACTTTGTCTTCAAACAGCATTGGCAATGTTAATAGAATCACTCTTACATGACGTTAAAAGTTCTTCTATTTGACCTCACCTAACTCATCTATTTCACTCATTTTGTCCTCTTGCATATTTTGAATTTACTCTAGAAAATCTACAAATTTATATCTTATCTTTTCAAAGGGAATTTTATTGTTATAAACTTCTTCAAAAGCCAATTTTGAAATATGAAGATAGTACCTTATAGGTTATGGTGGTGCATATTGTTTGATGATGATTTGCAATTCATTCAGGAATTTCCCTAATTAGACTGATAATTGATAATGCTCATTCAATGTTATCTTTTAGATCAATACTTTCAACATTTCTCTTAATTTTCTATATATTAAATATTCCATTGACTTTAATTTACAAAGACTTATAGTTTAGTGATTTCCGATTTAATCCTCAGCCACAATATAAGTAACTGATCCTTCTCCTTCTAATTCCATAGGCCCTTCTCCTATGAGTTTCGACCATATTGCTAATTGTTTAAGGACAGCTTCATAATTATCAAAGTTTTTGATTGATGAATTTTTTACGAATTGCAAATGAAATTATTCACAAATTTACTTAGTTTGCTCGACTGGTAAACAAATATCTGGGGAATTGTTATTAACAATGGCATAAAAGATGAGTTGAAGGTGTGAGTACTTTGTTATGTGCTGATAATCAGGATTACCACAATACTCTCCTATCAGAGTATTTTCAGTAAGAAAGGATTTTAAATCATCAAAATTTTATTCTTTAATAATTTCCAACCACTATTTTGCAATCAATTTAGCCCACGTATGTCTTAAATCATTATATAAATTTAGATCATCCATTGTTTGAAAGAGAATTGTGCAGTTTTTACTAGCCACCAACCAATATCCATTTGTAAAACTAATTTGACAGTGTTCACCATTTTCTTTGAATAATTTGTACAAATGAATCTTTTTCCCTTCTTGAATGGCTTGTTTGATGGGATGCAAAATATTAAAACATGCTTTCTCATGATACCTCGACAATTTAACATTTTATTATTCCAATTCATAATCAATGTACTTCCTTTCAAGATCGTAGAACTTTCGCATTCCTCTTCTGCAGATGCGGATAGAATCTTCATGTACTAAAATTGAATTGCCTCTTCTAACATTCGCTAGGAAGAAAGGATTTTTGAGGTATAGCTTGTCCTCCATTGGACCTTTCTTATGTAATGAAATATCATAAAGTTGGAAGCCAAAAATATCCTATTTTACTAGTAAAATCTTTTTGTGCTCTTTCATTTTCTATAAGTATTCGGCAGGATCAGAAATGTAAATACCTTGTTACATAATTAAATTAATAATTTATGGAGTAATTTTAAAATGCATATAAAGAGTTGGGAAAGATGGTCAAAATGAGTACCTTTTACCAGGCATAGAAGAAAGAATAAAAAAACAATGGAAAGCAATAAAAGATAAGTCAAAAATCAAAGAAAATTAAAGAAGCTCCATTAGCATCCAGAGAAGAGTTGATGCAAAAACTGAAAAACAAAATAGATTCATTGAAAGCTGACAGAACTACAAAGAAAGATTATGTACCCCTTAGAAAACAAAGATAATAATAAAAAAAATGAATATATATAATTATCTCTAAAGGAAATTATATATTTATTAAATAATATAGTCCTAAGAAGTATGTCGTGAATGTGATCCTCATTTCTTATATCTGATGAACTAAACCACTTCTAGAGTGTGAGAGATTCGATTTTTGGAGAGAGTTCAAAAAAGGGGAAAAATCAATTCTTGAGTGACTCTAGAAATCTGTCCTTCTTAAAGAATTTAGTGACAATAGTGCCTCGAATTGATGTCATCATTCCACATATTATTCTTCAAATCATTCAAAATAATGTGAAAATTATACATTTTTTACATCATATAAAATAGTATATTTCTAAAGTGGCATTTTAAAATAGGAATATTTTTAGTTCTATTAGATTTTTTACAAACTCCCTTAAATGATGCATCAATTGAATTGCTGCGTTAACTCAAACAAGATATATTCTAAAAACACCTTTTCCTCCAAGTTGAAAACTCTAATTGATAAGAAAAAATGAAAACTTTTTTCTGGGCTAGATATTTTTATTTTACTGTTAAAATAATTATTATAAAAATATATTTATAATAATTTATTTAATTGTGATTTTCAGCGTTATTCTTGTATTCAAATTTCAAAAAATTGCTCCATTTGATTCAGATTAATGAGTTTCTAAACCCTCATTTATTAATTTACAATATACACAATAAATAAAATTAATAAATGACGCTATAAGTTATTGCATATTGAATCACTAGATTTTGAAAATAATATATATTAATGATGAATTATCGTAATTCAAATCCGACAATATCTTTATTACTCAAATCAATATTAAATACACAAAAAAAATGTAAAGGAAGCAGTAATACGAAAGTGATTTCAATAATTTTTAAGAAGCCAACAAAGTTTCACTTGATTAAATGTACTATAAACAAGACCTTAATGAAAAACACAAAGAGACATGCCTCAAAAATGCCAAGACTTTTGAATTGTTTGCCACCTGTAAGAATTCTAGATTTATGTAGGTATGGAAAGACATGAGGGCAAAATAGATAATATTGCTAAATACCTCTCGATGAAGATGCTCTTTATTGAAAAATAAGCACTACAATGCTATAAAGTAAACACAAATGACAGAGAATACGAAAGTTGCCATCAAAGAGTTGAACAGCAGCTTCATGATGTCTACAGTGAATACTACCAAGGTTTACTTCACCTTTGACTTCATATATATTTTTTTATTAATAACCGATTACCCAAATCTTATTTTCCATTATTTCACTTTATAAAAATTTTTACATTTTTATATAATTATAATAATTTTCTCTCAATAAACGAAAAATATTCTCTAATAATTTATACAATTTAATTAAATTCATTCATATGATCTAAGCAATTAATAAGGGTTTTATTCATTCATGAATATAGATAATCAAGTATAGGAATAAATATCTTCCATCATTATCTAATGTAAAATAGCCTAAAAATGATATTCTGTAATTTTTCGAAAATAATTGAATGTTCAAGTTTCTTCATCTTCGGATGTATCATTGTAGAATTACTCTTTCTTTAAATAATTTCAAATTATTCTATAGAAATCACTTTTATATTAATTTTGTATCAAATTTAACTAATATTCTTCTAATTTTATTCCTTTGCTTGTTATTTTGTAACTTAAAATTTTCTATCTGTAATTTAAAAAGCCATTCATAACTTAAATTAAATAAATATGTAGTTTTATATCTAACGAGATTTGATTTTTGATGAAATTTTGGATTTATAAGAAGATAAAAGTAACATAATATTGCTGAATTTTCTTTCTATATCTAAGATTTCAAAATGGAAGATTGCCTCTTGAATTACCCAAAAAGTGTTAATTTAAAACAATAGTCTATTTAAATATATTACACATTCTCATACTTTAACATCATTTTATAGAATTGATTATTGTATATATATATATTAAGAAATTTAAGTTTTGAATTAAGAATACCTTTTAGTAATGATTATTCAAGTCCTAATTAATAGAATAATCAAAATATTTCAACTGATCTTTCACTTTAATCCCATTTAGCTATAGTGATGGATGGTTTGCACTCAACTTTGTTCTAATTGTAACTGGGTTATTCAATATTTGATTTTTGTCTTCTACAACGAGGTACAATCTTATAATTGAGCTTAGTTTTCTCTTATGGGTAGCGAATGCTCAAGAAGCATTTCTCGATTTATAAACCTATTGTATCTTTTATTTCAACAGGTTTTTGATGTTTTTTAGACTTTCTCATGATGGGTGTTGCTGATTGAGTCCTTGATGTGTGACTGCGAGATTCAGTTTATTTATATTTCAGATTGGCCAGACTCTTAATTTGAGGGGCTTCTTTGATTTAAACACGAGCACTGAAAATTCTAACTTTCTTCGGTAGATATGTTTCTTCTAAGATTTTTTATTTATTCTCGATGCTTCGCCTTATTTGAGATATTTGGTCTGAGTTTTATTAAATATTTTGGCTTGTTTCTCTTTAACAAGACACAGATTATTCAAATGGTTAAAAATTAAATTGTCTTCCACTTGGAGTCCAAATGTTATGGAAACTATTCCAGAGAGACATACGATTTTATTTGAAATGCTTACGCGTCTAACTAGGTTTGTCTTGAACTTGTAAAGTCAATAATTTAGTAATCTTTAAATCAAATAATTATTACATTTAATGGCATTTTCACATTTGATAAATTGTCTTTTGCTAGCATTTGGACCTTTCTTTGTTGTGTACAAAGCAAGATCACTGTAAGATTGATGTATTAATTCTAGTGCTGAGCAAGGAGCCTACAAGACTGTATTGATTAGCATTTTAGGATGTTTGCTGACATAATTTTGTAAATTGTTTCTGTTGGCCTCTTTGTCGGTGATTACTGAATAATTGATTCACGTAAGGGATGGCACTTAAATTGTAGATTAAATTGCTGTTCGATTTGATCGATTGCTATGGAATCATCTTAGTAGCAAAATAAAAGACTAATATCGATGATAAAATAAGCAGAGTATTTGCAATTGCAATTGGGTGGGCATTGATGGATTGTGTGATGAAACACCTCTTCACTTTCATTCCAAATGCTACAACTGACGAGTTTACATGGACATTCATTTTGAGAGGATTCACAGCCAATTTAGAGTTTGTATATACATTATTTTAAATTAGTTTGAAACCTTGTTCTTGGTGGGACTACTGCAATCAAAAAACAAAATTAGTTATGCTTTGATCTTGTTAAAGGTTCTTGTGCTCCCCAATTTCCAAGATATCATCACCAGAGGAGGATTGTCTTCAGCATACATGCTTGTGTCTAGATTTGTTATATGAGTATTTTTACAATTTACAAATATATTATAAATGCTCCAAGAATGCAAATCGGAGTTGGCCTCATGCAAAGCCAAACTCATTTCCTTGAGTATAAAGGACATGTCTAAACTACTGCCTATGTGTAAGACTAGTACAAGCAAGAACGAGGTTTTCATTTTGAATGACATGATTGAAAAATTTGATTTTGATGAAGAGAAGGAGAGGGTAGTGTGTTAATGTGATTCTTTAAGGACAATACTAAGACCGGTCTGAGGTTGTTAAGAAATGATGTGTAGAGATACATCAAAGAGTTGAAGGGGTTTACTAACAGTCATGAGTATTATTAAAAAATTGAAAGCATGGCAAACAATATTACCAAAGAGTATTAATCTATATCCATATATTCATAGGATAACAGAGTACAAAACAAAAATGTCATATTTATTTGATGATTTAGCACAACAGGAGTAGGCATTTAATGATGAATTGAAAATGATTGAACAGAAAATGGACAATTATGACGTTGTTCAGAAGCAACAGGTTATAAAAAGAAAGCCTATGCAAAATAATGAAGAGACTACAAGTGAATTGGGAATGATCAAATAAAAAGTGGATTTGATAGATGAAAAAATAGATTAAATAAAACTCTTAGAACCAGAAGACCATAGAGAATTCTTGAGAGTAAGGACTAAGCATAAAGGCAAAATCACTCAGAACTTCGTCAATGATTGTCTCAAGGCTATCCCATTTATTACTGAAGATCAATTGATGGAACAAATCGACAATTACAATTTACTACAGTAATTGGAAGATGAAAAGAAGGAACTACTTACAGAATATAAAAGAAAGAAGGAGGAAAACAAGTAAATTCAATTACAACAAGAATAATTATAATAAGAGATTGAAAGGTAGAAATAAGTCAAAAAACCCTTGGTACCATAAGAGGAGAGAGACAAATTGAAAGAAGAAATAAAGCAATGGAAGATTAAGAGGGTTACATAGAAAGCAATAGATGAAATTGAGTATGATACAAAAAAAGACATAGAGAAATAGAAGTCTGAAATGTTAAAGAAGGAAAGAGAAGAAAAGAAATTGCAAGTCTAATATTTTAGGGAATAGAAATTGATTGAAAAGTAGAGAGAATAGGAGTTGAAATAAGTAGAAACAATGTCTAGAAGATATGTTAGTTAAGAAGCAAAGGAAAGGATAAAAATGAAAGAAAATCAATTACTTGAAAAAAAGAAAAGTATTCTTGAATAAAAATAAAAGAAATAATTTGATCAGGAGATGAAACAATAAGCAAGAGAGGAAGATAAAATATATTAAATTTGCTTATGTTGAATCAAAGTTAAATGAGACAACTAAAGCTGCAGAATTATAGAAGAGACAGAAATTTGATCCCAAAATTGATAATGGGAAATATGCAGATACTTTTGGAGGAAATCTACTAGGAGCTGGCAGAAGAGCCATTCCTGGTTGGAGATAGAATTTAGGTTGAATGATCCTATTTATGATATTGATTTTATGTTATCAATTTAGTTATATTTCTGCAATTGATTTTCTTAATTCTTAACTTAAGCCTGAATTGAATATTATGAGTATTTGATTGACTGTTTCCACTTATCCAACTCTATAAGTTTATTTACATTGAATTACCTGCTATCAAATATGGCTCTAAGATTCTTCTCTTCGTCTGAGCAGGTTTTGACCCAATCGTTAAGTTCCTTAGTTTTGATGGCAGCAATTTATTTGTTGGTATTGACATCATTAGTAACTTCAACAATGTCTTATTGTAAATGCAAGACTTAAGCCTTCAATTCTGCAACAGATGCAGCCAAAGTCTGATTGGCCAAGAGTATGATCTCTCTACCTATAAGATAAATGAAGTACCTTTGTCTGATGAATTCCACTTCTCTTGCATCATCAACCAATAATTCTTATTTTTGGAGTTCATAGATAGAATCAACTAATCCCTGAATTGTAGCAACGAGTCTCTCAACTTATTCTGGAGTTTTGGCTTGGGCTGAAGCTTTTAATAACAATTCAACCATGATGCCATAACCTCTGGGTGTTGGATGTGCTTCCTCTAAAAATAATGGATAAAATGTATACTGAATTTGAGATAGTGTTCATTTGAATTGACTTGCAAGAAGCTAACAGAACCTAATCCAGAAACAATTGATTTGGCTTCTCCCAAAGCTGCCACATAGTTAGTTAATTCATTTCTTCTTTCTTAGTATTCTTGTTTTTGTTATTCTCTTGTAGCTGTAATGAGTGCAAGTTTATCATTGTTTCTTTGTTCTTCAGAGTCCTTCACTAATGCTTATTCCTATTTACTAATCAATTCCTCATTGATTAATGGTACTAGGATATGAATGGAAGCATACGTTTTCTCTCATCATCAGCTCTCTTGGCATTTGCTCTATCAATAACACTCTAAGCATCGTCTTGTCTTGTTTGACATTAAGCTTGTCTGTTTCTCAAATTAGCTTGAATAGCTCCTTTTTCTTATTCAGCTGAATTTAATATTTCATTCAATGAGTCAACTACTGAATCTACTGCTGATCCATTTGATAATTCCATTTGGACTGTTTGCAATATTGTTCTTCCGAAATCTGTTTTCGGTAACTAAGTATTACGTTGTTTGTACTGTATTGAAGAGGTCGATGGCTTCGGTGGCTGATGACAAAGCAATCAAAACACAGAGAAATGCAATAATCTTCATTTAATTTATTAATCTGCATAGAAAACGACTTTTTGTATTTTCATCAAAATTTTTATATTATTAAATTGCATTCATTAATTATATCAAGGAGTGCCTTCTTTCACAGCTTATTATTAAATTAACCTTATCGATTTGAATTCCTCCATAAAAGTAGGATTTATTGTACTTGAGTACGATTTGGATTTGGTCGAGTTATGCTGTTCGAATACCTGCTGAAATACCCACTTAAAACTAGCCACCTATTCAATTTGCTAAAAGGAAGTACATCTATAAGAATCAAATTCTTACATTCAATGAAATACAGATTTTAGTAACTGAATCCGACTTCTATTCAGTGATAAACAATTTGATAGCCATAATCATTATTGTTGCCGATGTAGTATGGTCTTTTTATTAGAATACTGGAAATGCTATAGATCTCATTTATCGGGCATTTGCCTAACGTTTATTCAATTGATACCATCTTCAGACAATTCTGAATGGTCTCATATATTAATTGCCTCTCTTCATCCTACTAATCCTAGAAACTCATTTCATTATTTTCTTGAACAACAGCCAATATATAATTTTTTTTGGTCTCTAATCTTTTTAAAGATGTAATTACTTTTGGTTGATCCTACAAAAATGCAATTCCCATTCGCCGGTATAAATGTAGGTTTATCATTCTAAGGAACATTTGAAAATTGCTAATCAGTTGGCCAAACTATACAATCTACTGACTCATTCTCAATGTTCCCCGCCGTTAAAAGCACATCACATCCATTAAATTTCTATTCGCATAATAATTGAGACATCGTCGATTGCATTCCGCTCTTGGAATAACAAAAATTATTTCCCATTATAGTTTTATATATTATTATACTATAATTTATAACAAATTAATTTATATTATCCTACTAAATATAATATATATTTTATATCTTCATTAAACGAAACATTCTAAAACTTATTATTTTGAATGTTAACTCTGTCACTAATTTCTGTGGTAAAAAATTTATTAATAACTCTTTTTATTAAATATAATAGAGATTTGTAAATATTTGATAATTTTATTATTATCATAATTAAATTTCTTCATAAAGATTATATTTGTAAATACAAGTAAAAGATATTATTAATTTAATACCTAATTTCCTATCACCTACTTTTTCTATATTTAATCTAAGGAGTGATAAATATTAAACATTATTAATTATTCATATTATCTTTGTATACTTATTTAATAAAATTGATTGTTAATTTGGGGGTATCAAAATATAACATCAAAAATATATCTAATTTTAAAGAATCCTTTTTATGAATGATTCAATATTGAATGTTATGACTATTATATTGAATTAAATCAATATTAAATATATATATTAAATTTATTGTTTTTTTAAATTCGCCCAAATTTAGAGTTTGAAATTTCAATTAAGAATTGATGACTAAATCTCAATTAATGAGAAAAATTAAAAATGTATAAATAATATTTTAATTCTTAAGGAAAAACCTTAATCATTAAACTTGAATTTTCAACCAAAAATTATTAAGAATTACCAATCCAAGATGAAATTAAAAAACTAATTAAATTCTCCAGATTGATAATTTTACAATTAAAATTATCGAATTCATTATGGAATATTATGATAAGCAAAGCGTTATATTGATAGAGTAAAATTGAAAATAAATTCTTTATTTATCTTTCAAAAATGAAAAAAAATGTTCCAATCGCTTTTTATTCTAGAATATAAACATATTAAGATGAAATTATGGCATTTAAAATTCTTCTTGTTTTTGGTCAAATTGTAAGAAGAAAGAAAAATTGACATTAATGTGAATAACTGATGGATAATGTAAATTATAATGAAAGCAAGGAAAAATTCTTTTAAGACCAAACTATTTTTTTATTAAAAAATTTATTACAAATTTGCAAATCGTAACCTTTATTTATCTTAATAACTAGTCAATATTATATTTATAAACTTTTTTGTCTAATCTATAATTTTTTTTCTAATTTCAATTTGATAACTTTGATAGTTTTGTTTTATAGTCATTTGCTTTACAATTATACTATTTTATATCTAATATTTACAATATAGACAGTTGTAATCAAAATTAATAACTATCAAACATTTTGAGATAGTCTCAATAATTTATGTTCTTTTGAAAATATAAAATTTAATGAATTTTAGTAAAAATGATTGGAAGAGTATATTTTAAGAAAAATACTTTTTTGATCACTGTAATAATCCCTCCCTTTTGTGTATTCTGGCAATCTAATGTATAAAATAAGTATAAGGACAAAAACTAAATAGTATTCATCTTCTACAAAAATCAATATGAAAAATTAGGTTTCATTTATTTCTTATATTGATAAGTTATGAAAATAATAATTTTACAATAAGAGAATTAAATATTGATTTTACAAGAGAAATTCATCCTACTTTACTCTTTATTACTTTCAAATACTTTCATTGGTTTTATTTAATTCTTATCTAATGATAAAGTTATTTTAATTTAACTTTTTATTAAAAATTAATTTTTCTAACTATAAAAATTATGATTAAATCCAAATTAATAGAATGATAGAATTGGAAATCATTGCCTTACTTGTTTTATTTAAAAATAAACTACATTTGGACAAGGCATGTATTAATTTCCTCAAAATATCTTTATTTGACCTATCAAATCAAATATAATCCATAATTAGATATTAATTTATGAAAACTCTAAAAAATGCAGATTTCTTTGGTGTTCCATTTGTATAAAACATAGATCATGGATAAACAAAATACAAAAGTACTTTTGGGGGAATAATAACAATCACAATCTTTTCAGTTAGTTTGGCTTACGTAATTTGGATTGGCTACCTCTGGTAAACTAATTAAATGAGCCCAAAAATTTCACGTCAAAATTACATATCTGACTATTCTTTGCTAGACTTAAGTTAGGATGTAATAAGACTTTACTATTGGAAAGGTACTGAGGACAGAATTGATCCATTTGTAAGTAATATTTTATTGCCACTTGTAATGTACTCTAAAGACACTGAATTGACAGCGCCTCAATTAATAAAAAATCATATCGTCGATTCCAATGTAGATCTGTATGTACCAGATATGAAATTTGGTTTTACTTATTATGAGGGTATTATATACACTTCGAATGAAATGTATGTAGAAGTAGTGTTATGTGATGAGATATATTTACAACCTGGTGAAAAATGTGCATCCCAAGAACTTAGAGACCAATTCTTCGCCTAACGAGGCAATGAAGTGATAATTGAATTTTATTCGACAACAATAGACCCTCGGGATGGAAAAGAATAACGCGGCTACTAAGAATATTATATATAAATAGAGGAGTAGTTTTGCTATTCAGTAGCAGCTTTGTTTAAGACAACATTATTTGAGCTCTAAAATATGTTATTATTTGGTCCCTCTCAATACAAGGAATATATTGTTGATGTTTCAATACAAACCTAAACAAATTCTCGTGAATATTGCTCAAACTTATTTGAGACTGAAGCAATTGGAGTAGTTTATCTTGCAATGAGAGGAACTCAAGAAAAAACAGTATTAGAGTATCCACGTTTAGGAGATCTATTAGCAAATGTGGGATCTATTGTATCAATACTATTTATCATGAAATACTTCATTATGTTTTTAAATGAATATTATTTAAATCAAAAGGTATTAAAAGAGATCATAAGCTTTTATTACCCAGAATTTAAAAGAATATAAATTAAAAAGAATTGGAGGGGGAAAATGGTTGATGTTAGTTTAAATAAGGTAAAAATAGATCCTAAAAATTATAAGAAATTTTATGAGAAAGTTTCTAGCTAAATGCAAAAAAAGTTAAGTTATTTGAATTTATTGTATGAGATATCTAGGATGTATTTCGTTATGAGATCATCAAAATTCAGAAATGAATTTCATAAATCTCATTAAATAGGAATAAAAATAAGCTTGTTTTAGTAAAAAGAGAGTGAAATGATTTTAACTCCTAAGTCAGAAAAATATTTTGAAAATAATCATGTTCTGAATGAGGATGATGCAGAAATATTAAATTACAACAGAACAAACATAGTTAGAAATTATGAGCTAATTTCAGAAGAGATTTACAATGAAATGGATTATTACTATATGAATAAGATTTCATGAAATATAGATTTTAAAAACATAATTACATAATAATTCTACTTAATTAATAAAGCCTATCATTCAAAATATTTTATTTATAATCTGAACCCTCTTTAATAATCTAGGATTTATGGTTATGCAGTGATAAAAATAAAATATATGGATAATATTAATTTTTCAAATTTAAATGACCTAATTTATATTTTTATTTTAAAAATGAATAAGGAAATAATTTTAAATCTATTCATTTAGCTTATATTAAATATAAATACAATACTATACCTTCCGCAAAGAAGTTCTTATAAACAAATAAAGAATGCATAACTGATTATATATGCATCAAGATAAAGCCTAAATATGGAAATCTTAAATTTTAATTTTATATATTTATTATCTACCTATTGTCTTATTAGAAGTTTTTAGTTTATTTATGCATTCTGAAAAAGTTTATAAAGTTCCTAAGAACAATCTTGGTTGAAATTGAAATATTTGGCAAGTAGCCTAATTTCATATCTTAGAGATACAAATCTAAATGACATACTAAAATATGCCTATAAAGGAATCTCCAACTATGTATTTTCATAATTTTTGATATTATAACTCAGCTAGGACAGTTATAAATCCTCCTTCAGTCTTCTTTATCGTATGATCCTGTGTCTCCTAATTTCTCAATTTCCATTCTATATTCCTCTTTATCTTGTTATTTCACAGCCCATACGCAAACCTATATATTAATGAATTAAAAAGCATAATTAATACAGCAATATCAGATATTCGATATTTTTAGATTTGATCCATTTATTATTTAATTAACAATTTTGGATTAATCTTTTTTTCAATTAGAATAATTTTAAAAATATATTGTCTTAACTATGTTTGTAAATCTGATTCTTTGTTTAATAATATTGATAATAAATTTATGAATTTTTTAAACTTGATTAGAGTGACTTTTATATTAATGTAATTTATAAGTGCTTTATTATATCATATTTACATAAAAGGTGCTCTATTTGATTTTTGATATTGAATTTCTTGGCATATTTAGTTCTCTATTGGATTTTTAAAAAGATAAATTATTTTCTTTTAGAGAACAAAACATTTCAGCAAATTAGATTCAAAAAGGTAAAATATTTGATATAAATAATTTAATATACTTTTCTAGATGAAATTCATTATGTTTTCCAACCTAATTGGAACACATTTTGAGTCTCTAGAGTATATGAGGTAACAGGATTATGATTTGGAGGGAACAACTGGAATCGACCTTGAATCTCCATATTGATTAACCTCCTCTTCCATATACCTGATTGCCAACACTCATTCTATTATAATCTCACTTTTTACATTCTATTATTTTTAGGAATGTACAACAGAAGACCTGAAAGCAAAAATTCACAAATTACAATTTTACTCCATAAAGTGGCAACTGGGTATGAAGTACTGGAGGTGCAAACAGAATAGCGAAAGATGATTCCAAAGCCTCAAGCATAGGTGAATCCACCATTTGTTAAAAAAGAAAACACCACAACTAACATTACTTAAGAAGCAACACAAAGCAAGGTAATAATTGGACTTCAACCTTTTTAGAAGGATTGGTTTTTACAAAATTGGGAAGCCATCATCCCAGCTCCTGCTCGGTGGTTTCAGATTGATTCCATCCATCAAATCGAAAAGGATTCCCTCCCAGAATTTTTCCATCAACATTTTCACAATGACCTTTCATACTATAAGGGCAACTACAAGACTCCTCTTACTTACCTCAAAATAAGGAACAACATCCTATAAAAGTGGATAAGCACCCAAACTAAATATCTTAAATTTACTGATTGTCTCAATTTTATAAGTGGAGATGCTTCATCTTTATTGAGAGTCTACACTTTCTTAGAACATTGGGGATTAATCAATTTCTAATACGAATCCCAACAATCTTCCAAATTAGGGACAAGTGTATCAATAAAATGGCACTTTCTTAGAAAGAATCAAACTCAATTTCCAAAGCAATCAAATCAATTTCCATAGTGAACCTCATTATGAGTAAGCATTATGTTCATTACATAGATGTCACATATGTGATATGAAAGCCTATCCATTCCACTAATAGAAGAAGGAAAATTTGGCATCTTTTCAATTACAACCATTATTGTTGTGTAATAATTGTTTCCTTGACAAAAAATATCCGAAATTTTTGAAAAACGAAGATTTCTGTAAGTATCTTTCTTACTATCCTTAGAATAATTCCAATAAACCTAGAAATATGCACCTTGGACTCAAGAAGAGATATATCGATTGCTTGAATTAGTATACAAACACAAAGAAAAATGGAATGAAATTGCAAAGTACTTTACGAAAAGATCTCTGACTGAAATTGTTAAAATGTATCTGTAACTTCCATATTCAAACTTATTTCCATCTTTGGATAAGGAACCTTCAATCCCAAAAAAACCATAAAAAGTAAAATATCTTCAGTAACTCTCTTAGGAACACATCACATTCCATAATGATGCGAGTAATCCTATTCAATTGGGAGTTGCTTGTTTCAAGTCACAATTGGATAAGCTCAAACTGCCTAATATTGAAGTCATTTAAAGTTAGGAACCAGATAAAATGGATGAAAATTTAAAGCAAATGATCTCGGTGTAAATGGAAAAGATTGAGGAACAATTATTATATCTTGAAACTTATGAGCAATTAGTCAACCAAGAAAAATAATGTGTTTAAACTATTCAAAAAAAGAATTTATAAATGTAAGTTTAAGTCTAGACTAATGATATTGTAAGTGATAATATGATGTTTTTATGAAACCCATCAATTATAATAACTATAATCCATTAAACAATATTTATATTACATATCCATTTCCAAATCATTTAGAATTCAATAAAAAATGCCAGAATTTAAAATTAATAATAAATCATAATTTCTAAACATTCTCATATTTCATATGATAATTGAAATCATCAAAAAGATTGTTAATCCTCTTGATGCATGCTTGCTCTTCCTTCTCTTATAAACAATACTCGAATTTTAATTCACAAAATTTAATGAATATTTCAGATTTCATCTATAATTTCTTAAATCTCTTCTCTTTAATTAGCATGCAATCAGCAAATGCATCCATATTCTTTGAATGTTGGTAACATAATTCTTCTTTTTGTTTTATGAGTTAGTTGGCTAAATTAACGTGATTGTTTATTAATTCTCCTATAATTGGTTATGAATGAAACATTATAATTATTACTATTTAAATCAATTCAAAAATAAACTTGTATACTATACATTTCTATTCAACATTATATTTTAAATTCTCTAAATGGTGCTCCTAACTTTTCTAAGCAGATTCTTAATGGTTTTGACTTTCTAGCACTTAATGATAAACGCTAAATCTTTCTATATATCGTAATCTTTTGCTTGATGTTGTTGGTCATAATAAAGATGTAGAAAATTTACAGAGACTACTTTCAACGTCTTAAAGTAGATAAATCTATGGATAAACCAGATAATCCATCTCGTTGTTGCTGTAGTTGCTTTACTATGGCAAGTGTCATTTGCTTATTTAAAAATTCAATTCTAGATTTTGTGATCGTAATACGGATGTTATTTAATTTTAGAGTATAATTTAAATGAATAGATAATCCATAGTATAAATTAAATTTCTCAGTTGTAAGGTCAATTTTATTTGATGAGTCAATTATTATATACAATATTATTATAATACGAATGAAAATTAATAATATCAAATTTTATTTAATATTAATGTAATATATTTATCATAATTTGCATTATTAATTACTTTTTAACATAATTTCAATATCTAAAAAGAAAATTATTTTAAAATAGAACTTTATGATTATAATCCCCCTCCTCATAGTGATTAGCCATGCCTGTACTAACTCAGCAAACACAGGATGGATCAACAATTACTCCAAGATGTTGATTACAACAGTCAATTCCATAACAAATGTGGATCTCACAACGGTCTGTCCTAAAATTGATCCAGCTAAGGTTCCAGGTTTACCACCCTATCAATACCTGAGTTCTAGCAGCTGTCTTGGATATTTAGGACCATTGGGCCCTTATGGACCATTATCTTCACTGGGACCTCTCTCCAATCCTTTTTGGTACCCCTCCAGCTTTTTTGGACAAATCTAATTGCCTACTAATCTATAGTAGATAATCCAATGGAGTCAAATTTAGTTTGGAGCTCCAATGTCAAAGGATGGCCCATTGGGATATAAAGGTCCTTTGGCCACAACTCAATATTATGGATAATAAGATCCAGGGAAAACCTTATTTGAATCCAATGACTTTGCTGTACAATTAAGAGCCTTTGGTTTATGGTCAGCACTTGGCCCAATTGGACCATTAGGACCTTTAGGACCCTTGGGACCCTTAGGACCCATAGGAGATCATGGATACAGTGTAGACCTTAATGGAAACTATCTTAATGGTACTAAAATAGTGAAGACGGTTACCATAGATTACGATGGTAGTAGTACTAGAACATATCCTTTGTATGAGTTTTATTAGAGCAGTTATGCTAAGACTGTTCAATTGGATACATCATTTTTAGTAGAGAGTGATGTTTGTTAAGGGGATGATGCCTATCAAATCGGTGGTCTTCCGTTTAATTAAATCGTCACATTTGTTTTGACTCCTCTTTTGGCTTTGGATTCCTACTCTTTGATTTTACAGGATCAATTTGGTAGAGTGCTTGCTTAATCAAATGCTGACAATTACATTCAGACAATTTAATTGAATGTTAAGATGAATACTAAACTAAGTGTGACTGTCCATCCAATATTCCTCTCTACAACAATTGGATCTTATAGACTATTCGTCACAGGATCAACATAATACATTACTTAGTACAATATATCTGGAAATCAAATTTTATCCAATTGATTTTATTAAATGTTATATAATTCATTAGTCCTCAAACTATTTTTTATGCATGGCATCTCTAATTAAATTCTTCTCATTATAGTGTTATTTTCTTTTCTTGACAAACTCATCATGCTTTTTTCTTTTTTCCTCTTCTTCTGCCGAATCATCATCATCCATGTTTTTTCTTTCTCTCTCCAAATCCTCTTTCAATCTCTTATTCAATTCTTCGATATCCAATTTCTTTTGATGTTGCTACATTTAAGGGATCTTACTTTACTTGTTGCAATTTTTGTTTATTCAATTAAGCCTCTACCAAATCTTGCTCGATTTCATCTTCTACTTCAATTTTATCTTCCTGCTGATTTTATTGTATGATTTCATCTTCATAAGGTGTTTTAGGTTCATCAATTTTCGTCTTGTTTCCTCTCTCCAAGTCTTGCTATCTAATAAATTTGGAATATTCCTTACTGTATTGTATGCTCATCCCAATGCAATTCTTTCTTCCTACAATAAAATTCATTTCAATACATATCTATATCGTGTTGGGACTACTTCTTCAAAATCCCCTTTGATGATGATTTCATTTTCAAGATATTTATATAAATTACGAAAATTATTTGATTCAAACTTTTAAGAATTATATAATGAGTAAAATCCCATTTATAAATAAATTAATAAATTAGAGAATTTAATAAAGATTACAGATTATTTTTATTTTATAAAGCCAATAAATTTTTATGATAATTTTATTAAAAATTTAAAACAATATGGAAGTCACTAGTACATACTTTGAGCTCATCTTGTAAACTATTTGATAATAGAATCGTTCTTTCCTATTTGTCTGTTTTTCTCATATATTTTTATTTGTTGCAATATGGGTCCAATGTAGCTATGCTTCAATTGTTTCTTGGGAGAGAATTACGCCTTCTTTATAAAGTTTCCTTGCAAGTAATGCTGTTTCTAGGACAATACATAGGCATTGTCTATGACCACTGAGTTCTTAACGTAGCATTGAAAAATTCGACGCTTTTTGGGAGGAAGTGATTGGTGGGATTTAGGGTTATTCTGTGCGGGTGCTGTGTTTACGCAGTAGAGCGATTCACTCAAAAACCTGAGCTGATTGGTGGGAGTGTTGGATGTGGAGTATTCTTCCCATCCCTATAAATGTGAGTATTTTTTGTTCATAATTCTTTTAATTAAATAATGCAACCGGTCTAACCTATTGCAGAGGGATAGCGAACAAAAATCATATATACGCTGATTAAGGATCAAAAGTACAGGGAGGCTATAAATTATTTGAACTACGAGTTGCAATTTTGTCCTAAGAGCAGGGCACTCTCTTTGCTTGCATATTGTCACTACATGAATTAGGATTTCACTTCTGCGGTTGGGATGTAAGAGATAGTTTAAATAACATAGTTATGAGTAATTGGTGAAATATTATCCTGAGATCGATGATTATAAGATTTATTTGGCCTAGTCGTATTACAAGGATAGTAAGAAAACAATTTGAAAAATAGGTCTTTACGATGAGGCTTTGAAAGTGTGTGCTTCAATTGAGAATCCACAATATTAGGGCAAGATGGTGCAATTGCAAGCTCTGATTCGATACGAGAAGAGTGAATTTCAACACGCGAAGACATTGTTAAAATAAAATAACATGGACGATCCAGACTCAGTCATTAATGAAGGGTGCATTTTATTCAAGGAGAATAAGTTCGACGAGGCAAGACAACGATTTCAGGATGGAATGAATTTGACTGGTTACTCTTGTGAATTGGCCTACAACATAGCTCTGTGTTATTACAAGTAAAAGTAATTGGCTCAATCTCTCAAATACATAGCTGAGATCATTGAGAGGGGAGTAAGAGAAAGACCAGATTTGGGAGTAGGCTCAAATGCAGAAGGAATCGAAGTCAAGAGTGTTGGTAATTCCTAAGCATTGAAGGAGTCTGCTCTGATTGAAGCCTTCAATTTAAAGGCAGCCATCGAATACTCTATCAAAAACTATGATGCAGCAAAAGAAGCCTTGGTTGACATGCCTCCAAGAGAAGAGGATGAATTGGATCCCTGTTACTTTGATGAATCAAGCCTTGATGAACGTAGAGGAGAAAACAGCAGAGGGATTTAAAAAGTTGAATCACTTATTACAAAATCCACCATTCCCTCCTGAGACATTTCCAAATTTATTACTTTTGTATTGCAAATATGGGTTATTTTGATATGGCAGCAGACATTCTAGCTGAAAATGCAGATCTCACCTTCAAGACAATTAGTTCCGGATGACTTTGAATTTGTGGATGCTTTGATTCTCAGTGCAGCCAGTCCAGAAGAATCCTTTAAGAAGTTCTAGATCTTGGCAAACAAACACATTGACACTCTGAGAAGGATAACGAAATCAATTCAAGATGCAAGATTGAATAGAGATAACGAGGGAATTAAGAAATCTCTTAAGGAATTCGATGATTGTTTGGAGAAGTTCATCCCTGTATTGATGGCATAGGCCAAAATATATTGGGATAAGGATAATTATTCATAAGTGGAGAAACTATTCAGACAATCAGCAGAATTTTGTGCTGATCATGATGTATGGAAATTAAATGTGGCTCATGTGTTTTATGTGCAAGACAACAAATATCGAGAGGCCATTCGCTATTATGAACCCATTGTTAAGAAGAATAGTGATAATTTATTGTCGTTGACTGCAATAGTGGTTGCAAATTTGTGCGTTAGTTACATCATGGTCAATCAGAATGAAGATGCTGAAGAGTTGATGCGTAAATTGGAAAAGGAAGAAGAGAAATCACAGTATCAAGATCCTGAGAAATCAGTGTATCATCTATGCATTGTCAATTTAGTTATAGGAACACTCTATTGTTCAAAGAATAATTACGAATTTGGTATCTCTAGAGTTATCAAATCACTTGAACCATATAACAAGAAAGTAAATTAATAAAATTTATTTTATAGATTAACACAGATACATGGTATTATGCCAAGAGATGCTTCCTTGCTTTGATTGAAGTCTTGGCTAAACATATGATTATTCTAAAAGATACCTCCTATAGTGAAATCCTGGATTTCCTAGATGCAACTGATTAATGTGGCAAATCTATTCCTTCTGTATTTCTTAATCATCTATTCTTTAGGTTATTAACCCATTGGAACAACTTGATGAGAAACATACAGTTTCATACGAATCCAGAATGATTAAGAGGATGTTTCTAAAATTAAGAACATGAAATTATATATATATATATAATATGTTTCCGAATATATCAAAAATAAGAACTAAGTTGTAACAATGAGAATGAATGAATATTAGTTCTGATTGATGAAAGTAGAGAGAATGCTTGAGATATAATTTTGAGTCAAAATTGGATATTCAAGAATTCTCATCATGGTTATACAATCCTAATTAACCTGAATTATAGGAATATAAGAACAGAAAGTTTATAAGGATGTATAATTAAGAGGAAATGATATATTTAGAATGAGATGTTATATTTTGGAGTTAAATTGTAAAAAATTGCCTACATTAATTAGGATGATAAATTATGTCATTTTTTTTAATTTAAGAAATTGGAATTTGGGATTTTTGAATTAGAGATTACAATTTAAATTTAAAAGTAAATTATTATGCAGCACCTGCAATAATTGATGTAGGGAAGAAAAATGGGATAAAATTAGATGCATATAATTATTTTAAATCTGATTAAGTACTCTTAGCAATAACTAAATTATTTTGGAAAAGTCTTATGTTACTTTATTATATTAAATATTAATTATTTTATTCATAGAATTTTAAAATGCATTGAATGATGCAGGATCAAAGTAGTCGATATATATTGTAAATTAATTCTTGACATTAACAATACATAATGACATTTATTTATGCTAAAATCAATGAGTTTGGTATCTTAAAACAAATATTAAATTATTTATTTTAAGTTGAAAAACAGATGTAGGTCTTATGCTAATATGCTCTACCTTAATTCTACGGTGTATCAAACGTTGTTTCTTTTGTTTATCTTATGACCAAAATCTCAAGGTACATATAAATATATAGCTTAGTTTAAAATCTGACTGGCCTAACTTACTTATGGGAATCTTGCAATTGCTCTTGAGTCTAACACTTCTAATAATGATTGCCTTCAAAAACAGATTAAAAATACGAAAACCCCATCTTCTCGGAGTAGCAAGCTGTTTTTCTGCTTTGTCGATTATTTTGGCCATACAAGAGTTTGACCACTATTATCTGCTGTTGATTATCCTTCAGCAATTGGTCTGTTGCTTACTAGTATCCTTATTGGTTTTGAATAAGAACAGAATCGGAATTGGCATGGTATCACAGTTATATTTGATTGGAATTTTCATTGATGCCTTCTGCATTGAGATTTGGTATTAATAGTCGCTATGGTGATAGGCTATTTGAGGACTAATTCAGTTTGAGTAGGGCAATTGCTATTTTTGGATCTGGTGGATTTGGATTACTAACCCTATTTCTGATTCTGTTATGTCATTTTAATCCCAAGGGGAAAGTCTAAAATGAATTGCACATCATAATAGGATTTTATCTTTTTTGTGGATTGTTCACCTGTTGCAGTATAACGGCTGAACTGGTTAATGTAAGAGTGAATGCTATATTTAGGGTGTTTAGAGCATCTACTTGGTGGATTTGGTGGTTCTCAAAATCTCGAATGTGTTTTTGGATGTGCTCATATACCCTTTTGTGAAATTTGGCGAGGTTAAATTGGAGAACAAAATGGAACACTTCTAGAATTGCAACGAGAGACAGGTTGAGAGCGGTGGAATTCAGACGAAGGAAAGTTAGAGTGAATTGGATAGTGCTCTGAAGATTAGGGGAGAGAAGCGAAATGTGGCTAGGAAGGAGGAGGAACCGGTTACTAACAGGTGGATTCGATGTCTCTTGGAAATTTATTGATTAATTTAAATCTCATCTATATTATGATTCGATTTGGTTGGAGAGCGTGTTGGTGTCTGGTTGGAATAATTTTGTGTTTTATAGGGAGGAAAAGAAAGGCGCAAAAAATTAAAAGAATTTTTAAATCTTGATAAATAAATCCAGAACAAAGTAGCGTGTTTTAGTTTATTGATTTAGTGTTTAAGTTACCAGGCTATTAGGATCAAAATAGATAACCCCAAAATGGACTTCATATTGCAGATTTGGAGGACGGAATCACAGAGGAACAATTGTATGTGGAGTTTCGAAAGTTTGGATAGATCAGCTTTGTTAAATTGCACAGGTATGTGATGCAACTATGTGTAGATTCCCATTCATCGGGAAGTCCAAGCATTATGCCTTCATCTATTTCTCTTCGTAAGAGGAGGCAAGGAAGGCGAAAGAAGCCATGAATTACAAATAGCTTCTGAGAGAGCCTATGCGTATCACCTACATTCAGGATTATGATAAAGATGCAAACTTATTCTTCGCAGGATTCGAGTTGACAGTAACACTCAAATAGCTCGAGGAATTCTTCGTCAAATGGGGACAAGTAGTCAGTGTCAAATTATCAGTGGATGAGAACAAGAAGAGCAGAGGTACTTGAATTGTGCTAATTGAAATAGGTTACGGATGGGTTCAATTTGAAAAGAAGGAGTAAGCCAATGATTTGTTGACTGAGAGTTAACAAAATGAAGGCAAGGTGCAATACAACGAGAAGACATCAATTATCGTGAAGAGATTTGTAAAGAAAGGCACAACTGAACGTGAGGACAATGAGACAGTAACTTATACATCAAGAACTTCTGGACTTCATTGGACACTTTCGATTTGGAAAACAATCAAGTACGAGAATAGTTGGTATTAATACTTAATTTATATCTGAACAGGAGGCTGAAATGCGTACCAAATTGAATGAATGGTTTATCACTTATGGTCCAATAATCAGTGTCTTGGTCAAAATTGATATCGAACGTAAGGCTCCCTTTGCTTTTGTGAGTTTCAGTAGACATTAAGATGCCAAAGAAGCCTAAAAAACATTAGGTACTACCTTAGGAACCAATGCATAGAAGGATCCATTGAATACTGGCAGAAAGATGTATGTTGGATGGGCACAAACAAAAACAGATAGAAAATAACTCAGAGATAATAATGTCTATTCAAAATATATTTATGCTGATCACTTGAACAGAAATGTCACTGAGGAAATGATTAGACAAACCTTAAAAGAGGCTGGCTATGGCGATATCTCCATGGTATTTAGTGAATCCTATTGTATTATAGATTAGATTGGAAAAGATGCAACAAGGATTCTAACAGATCATCAGAATTGGATACATTGTATTCGATCAAGCCTCAGATGCAAACAAGTTGATCAAATCATTCAAGGAGAATGAAAAGTTCGATGAAATCAAAAAACTCTTTGATCAAAATGTAGAGTAAGTTGGTGGCAAGTACTTCCAACATCTTTTCCCTCAACAATCCCAATAGAGAGGACAGAGAAGAACCAACTAAAGACAATCTCCAACCAGAAGAATGTACCAAATGCCTCCAGGCCCAGCTTAATTTGCTGCCAGAATGCCATTCCCATTCCCCATGCAATAGTAGAGAGTCCCAGGCGGTGGAATGAGAAGACCCTATTAACAACAATTCCCAAATCCCATGAGACAAACTCCCTTACCTCCCCCTGTACAATAGATAGCTGATTTGGCTCCAGTTCAAGCTGTTGCCTTCGACAAGAGATAAGATTTAGTCGATTTATTGGCTAATATCGAAGCTTTCAAGGCCAAACCTGAAGACGAACAAGTCAAATAATTATAGTAATCTCTTGTATTTATTATTTTTCTAGAATGATGTTGTATTATAGAATCAAAGCTAAACTAAGTTAAGACATAGAACCTCATTGGAAGAAAGTGAGTGAAGTGCTTTCAGATCCTTCCAATTACACAATAGATGAAATCCTCGATATGATTAAGAATGAAGATCAATTTAATGAATTAGTAGATGATGCAGTTGCTCAATTAAAAGAAGAAGCACATTGGTGATAAATTTAATGTTTGTTCAAATATAAATATATTTTAACCAAATCTATTGTATAGTGATCTCAATTTAGAAACACTCCATAGTCATTAATAATAGAGTGAACGATATTTCCATATCCTTTTGTGTGATAATATTAATCCTCAATTACTAACTATATGTAAATTAATGATAAAATGTAAAATGTAAAATTTAACAAAATCAATTGGCACTTAATATAATATTGTTTATTGGAATGAAAACCAACTTAATAAAGTATCCGACTGCTCCCATAACTGCAAAGCCAATAGCACATGATGTTGCGATTTTAATGTACTCTATTTGTTATTGTGCATTCATTTACCTCTTTTATCTGGTTTGGTGCATTTTCTAATAAATCTGTAACTCTCCTAGCCAAAACCTTGGACATCTTATAATATTCCATTGATTCCATTCAAGGTTTCTTGACTCATTTTAAATTTATTATTGAATTCTCACTTGATCATTTTGCAATTTTATAATCACACTATACGTGTTAAATTAATTTATATAATTAATATGCAATTATATAATCATTTTGGAAATATGCCATTGTCAATCATATTTCTATTAACAAATTTCTGCTCTCTATATTGGGTTTGGACTGGTTCAATCGGATTCTTGTAAAACTAACCTAAAAAATAAGATCACTTCAACTATCATACCATATCCCTTGTATTGAGTATCATCCATCTCCTTTCTTTTATTTAAGAGCCTGCTATTTTGTCTATTATTGTTGATGTTCTCAGTCTCCTGCATATCGGTGTTAAAGATATTTGAAGTTTTGTTCTTCATCGAAGTCACTTTGTGTTATTGCACTAATGGATATAAACATTTTCAATACATTAACTAAATTAACTAAGGGCATCATCCTACTACTGCTATTATTGCTATGGTTCATGAGCTCGTTGATTAGCATAAGCATTTTCATAAGCGATACCTGTGATGGGATTATATTAGGCCATTGGTGGTTTACCAGTGTACTATTATTTACTACCACTATTTCCTTGTTTATACTACAAATATTTATATTATAAAAAGATACTTTCGAATAGAGTTCCTCATCATCATTTGGTTATTGATAATGATCGTATTTGTTGGATTATTTTAGCATTTGAGGTTGTTCATAATTGTTAGGGTTATTGTTATTTGAATATGGCATTCCATTATTGTAATTATCCAAAGCATCCTGGTAATATTAGTCGGGTTGCTTGTACAATGCAGCCAACTCTTGTTTTTTGTTCATTTCTTGAATGTATAACTACTTCATGTAATCCTCGTCTTGATTTTACTGATTATGTAATAGAATACTTCAACAACTGGCATGTATGTTTGAGCTTGATAAGAGGGGATATACGAGTTTCTTTGATCTTGACCGACTTTTCCTGCAATTTTGGAGTCGCCCTTTCTGGTTTGATCGATGTCCCATCCAATTTAGAATCCTTGTCTGGTGTTTGAATTGTCTGAGAATATTAATGTGCAGATACCATTGTATGTCCTGATCGAGTTTTTTTGACCTCCATCATAATGTACTTAATTTTTTGGTGCTCCTCTTGACTAATAAAGACTTATATATTTTTAAAACCATTGCAATATCTTCTTAGTTTTTAAATTTAATTAATTAACCATCCAATGTTCACATTAAAAATTCAAATATATGTCGTTAATTATAAATAAATAATATATAGATTCAAATATCCCCAAGATCATCGATCACTTTATTTATTAATTTATAGTTTTTAATTCAATATTAATTTTAGCAGTGGATTAGATTTCTGACAATCGGTTTCTCAAGTTGATATCGTCAGCCCCATCCGTATCGTTTCTAAGATTAGTGAGAATGCCTTACTTTAAGAAATTGACATGCAGCTCCTTTAAGTCAGGCCAAGACCTGATTGAGGACAACATCACAGTCACCGAATTCCCAGAGCCTTGGACGCTTTCAAGACTCAGGAACAATCTCTGTAACTCCTTCAATTTGCACAAACCCTTAAACAAAGTTTGGACTCCTTCATCTCCTAAAGGATTGCTAATTGTTTATCAAACAATTACTGATCAAGAATCAAGTTCACGATCTCTAACTGGGTGGCCTAACCGAAACCGTTGTAGAGCAATTCCATCCCATCCAACCCAATTTGATTCGACCTGAAATTCAAATTGATATTCTTGAGTTTCTTTTGAGTTGTCAAAAAACGATTAACATATCTCAATCCGAAAGAAGTGCAAGATACACTAGGTTTTTCATAAGTGTGATACGTTACTTCTCAATCCAGAACTTCAATTCTCTCAACATTTACGGCATCTCGTGAAAAGCCTTAGCCAAAAACCTTACTCCGTCATCCTCTATTCGATTTTTGGACAAATCAATTGCTAAAGTACTCAACTTCTGCAATTTCGGCAACACAGATCCAAGCGATTCGCATCCCTTCTTTGTAATTTGATTGCTCCACAGAGTCAAATTCAAGTGTTTCAACTTATCGCATTTTGACAAGCCCTTAGCGAATTCCTCAACTCCCAAATCCTTGATTTACGAACCCCAAAGAACCAACTCACAATTCTCCAATTCCGATATGCTTTCTCCAAGATCATAAAAGCCCTCATTGTGCATTGGATTGCTTAGGTAAGTAGGACTCACAATAAATACTTCGAAAAATTGATGGCCAAATGAGTCAGGAGTGGTAATCTTTTCAAAGACTGATTCAACAATTTAGAAAGCACTTAATTCATGTAATTGCTTTCGAGATTTAAATCAACCTTCTTTAGTTTGGGCATGGCACTAAGAACCGTAAAAAAGGCCTCGCAACACTCCATTGGTAAATGGTTTCTTGATTAATTTAGAACTTATACAATCCGAAATCCAATCTCAATTCCTCCATCTGCACCAGTCCTTCCAAAAGTGGTAAGGCATTATTGATCCCTTCATCTGACAGCTGATTGTTCGATATTTCCAAAGTCAATCGTTTCAAATCGCTCATTCTCATTATTGCCTTGGTTAGGAACAACAATCCCAAATTCCCCAATTTATTGCTATTGTAAATATAGAGTTTAAACGGTACTTCCACAATTGTAATTTTAACTCCTTCAATTTTTGAGCTCTGCTCAGTATCTTTTCGATGGGAGCAATAGTTCTCACATTTAAACAACTCATCTCCAATTTTATTTGTAATGTAATCATTTAAAAATTTTTGACTTGCTAAGCAATGGTCTCCAAGAATTTAAGCAATTCATCTTGCGACTTGTTTTGCATCCCATTGAGATCCAATTGCACATCCTCCTTGTTCTTAATATCCAATTGAAAATCCTCCAAATTAGTGATGGATTGCAGATGTTTGTGGTTTATTTTGGCAGGCTATTTTAAATGATTATCGGTTACAGATTTCACTTCCAAATAGGATCTCTCCTCGATAATTTGACTTAGTTGCGAGAAGTCGAATCGTTGATCAGGAGAGATATCCAACATCAACTTCAAAATTTTGGAAACTCCTTTGATTCGAGGATAGAGTTCTTTGACTTTCTTACGCTGTTCTTTCAAGTAAGTATACAGTTTTGTGTCATCGTCAAACAGTTCTTCTTTTTGCTAATACGAAAGTTGTTAAGGGTACATGTTTTGTAATGTTCTGAGAGGTAGCAAACAACAGGAAGACCAATCCAAGAGAGAAAACGTCACTTTTGTATGGGTTGTATTTGGCCTGAGGCTTCCTCTTCTTGAAGGCTCTGAAGACCTCTGGGGATTGGTAGGTGACTGTGCCACCGATGGTTCTGGATCTCGTCTCCTCATCTATGATTTCAGTGCCGAAACCAACCTACGTAGAAAGAGAGGGTCTTACATCGCAAACCTTAAACAGCAGATTCTCGTCGTTGATGAGTATAATGTTCTCCGGCTTGATATCTCTATGGGCTATTTTAATTTCCTAGAGATGCGAATGTGCTCGGATCATTGTCACGAAGAAATCCGCCACCTCGTACTCTTGAAATCTGAACTCCGGATCCGATTGCTTTTTGGATTAGATGTATTGCTGTAAGTTGGTGATGCCCAATTCCATGACAATACAGCCGAAGGTGAATGGACTGCATTTAAGAGATAAATGAGTACTTTATCCTGCGTGGTCACCTTCTCATAATAGAAGCTTTCCTCGAAGGATATGATATTTGGATGCGGATTAGCTTTTATTTTTTGCAGGATCTAAATCTCTTATTAAAACTTCTCTCTCAATAACGCATCAATCAGCACTTGTTTAATACAACATTTTTGTTTGGTCAATAGATTTTCAGCCAAATAAACCTCATTCCAAGTCTTGGCAATTATGCTTATATATCGATATTCTGGGTTTATATTACCAGTCATCATATTTTTTTAATTATTAAAATATTATAATTTACAACATTGTTCATAAATGTTTCCTGGTCAAATCTGACCTACATCCCCCCTCTCATATTCGATGATTCTATCACAATCCTCCCTCCAAAAAATACAACCAAATTCTGCTATTTCCATCTCAATATCCTTTCCAAACCCACTTAATTTCTTTTAAACCTTCTACCCACCAAATGCGATGAATTTCTAATTTTAGATATATTTAAACGTACTATTGGATTATCCAAATCCAATTAATCAAATTTTCTTGAACCAAATAGTATAGTCTGATATCTTGCAGCAATTTATATATACGGTTCAGTTTTTAAAAAAAACTCTAAATTATATTTAACCATTTAGAATTTTATAGTACAATATTTTAAACAATCAGGGAGATCATTGAATTTCATTTGTTAACTTATATTTTTATTATTGTATTGTCTATACTAGATTAATTTCTTTTAAAACCAAAAAATCTCTTTTCAATCAAGCAAAAAAAATACATAATCTCACTTAGTAATGTAACATTATTACTGATTAAAATTGTTTTAATTAAAAGTACATATAATTTTAATGGACGTATTAATTTAAATAATAGGGTTTAAACAGAGAAATATAATATAACATAATGATTATTGTATATTAATTGATAGAATTCAGAATTCATAAAAAATAATCTGGATTCTGATTCCAAATCTTGGTTTAAGCATTTTTCATCTGATTTTCACTTGCTTAAAATATTTTAGCTCTCATCTCCAATTTATCACTGACTTCACATACAGCACCCTGAATTACCACACCTATAACAATAATTAGGAGCAGAGAAGATTGTCTTTAATTAATCTTTGTATATACTACGATACCCTTCCATGATCACTTGATGTGCTCTAAGAACACAACTCAAATTGTTGGTTTACAAGAATTAAGCAAAGACATCCTAACCGAATTCCTTACCCACTCCTCGTTTGCTTTCACCAAACCCTTTTAACTCCTATTCATTTGGGTCATTCCAAAGTAATTCACACATCTCTCCATTATCAGGGATCTCTGACAATCTGTTTAGTGCTCTTACCTAATATATTTTAAAGCAACACAGTCATACATCATCTAATAACTTAGCATCTTAGGCTATTCCACCATGTACACACCACACTTTCTCATCAATCAATGCTGATAATGGCATGTAATCAAATGATTCAGTTAAATATCGCCAAATGTTTAAGGAACCATATTTCCTCATGGCTTCATCGTACAATCCAAATGTTTGAGTAAGAATTCGAGATTCGTGATTACCTCTGAGTAGTGTAATTTTGTCTGGATTCTTGATTTTCAATGCATACAGCAGACAAATCGATTCTATACTGTGGAATCCTCTGTTAACGTAATCCCCCAAGAACAGGTAATTTTGGTCTCCGACTTCTCCTGATTGTTTGAAAATCTCAAAGAGATCATATAATTATCCGTGAATATCTCCTACCACAATAACTGGAGGATCAATTCTTTGGACATTTCCTTCCTCGATGAAGATTTCCCTTATTTTGGCACACAATTGCTTAACGTCCTTCTCCTTCAACAGCTCTCCGTTCTTTAATTTCTCAATCGACTTGTCCAAATCGGTTTGCATTATTTTTATATATATTTATTTATATATATATGAAATTCTGTAAACAGACAATCAATTAGTTGGTTTGTCCTCGATGGCTTTTTGTTGACTTGACTCCCATGTTAATCTTTTAATTAATAGTCTTCCCTACAGAGTTGCATTAAACAGATGCATGCAGAACAGAATGTAGCTTTGTGGAGATATCCTTAATGCCCATCTCATGAACAAGGATGAATAGCCTAATTTTTGAGAGATTCTTACAAACTAACACACATTGCATCTCCTTGCTGATTTTTGCAGGATCTCTATTCCAATCGTATAATGCTTGAATTGGGAAAAACCAATTGCAAACTGGAGCCCAAAAGTGTGTAGTTTTAGGGCCTGTTGAAGAGTGTACCCAAGTCCAAAACATTCCTGATAGGCCTTGCTAGCCATTCGATTAATATTATTATTATTATTAAATTCAAATCCAACCTCCTTATTAACCATCATAATATCTATATTAGACAAATTTCATAAGATCTTAGACGCACTATTAGATCGAAAGGTCTCAAGAAGCATTACTTAATTGTTATAGTGTAATTGGTATCCTTCAGAAGATGTGTGTATCTTCTTACAGAGATGTATTTATAATAATTAACAAATAAATTATTATAAATATAAGATACTAACTTATATTATAATATAACACATTTTATAATAAATAAATTATTTATACCATCTTATTTGATAATTTGTAATTGCAATTGAATCTAATTAAATACAATTCTTTTAATTCCTCAGTAATGGATAGGGTGTGAATTCCACCAAATTTGTGAGTCTCCATCTATCCACTAAGAAATCAATCGATTCCCATATGTTGGTCTTCACTTAGTCAAAAACCTAGCAAATCTGCAAACCAATTGAGTATTTTGCTTGAAAGGAGGAGTTCTACATAATTTTTCCCTTTTTATGTGTTCAGAAACTGAATAATTTAAATTATAATTCAATGAATTAAGGAGAGCATTTAAACAAGTATGAGGATGATCAAAAATTCACAGACGGGGATCAAACATTCATTAATGAATAGACTGATGATGATAAGCGATTCTCCAATACCGTGGTGGATAACAAGGAACAGAGTGGATTGGAAGCCTTGTTAGTAAGTTTGAATATAAATGGAATTAGGAATTGGATAACAGAAATAAGCAGGAGTTTTTGGGTTCTGAGGAGAAGAGTGTGTTCCAGGAGTTCATTGTGATCTGTTAGATCAGGAAAGACAAATATATAAGTGAGCAAGATCCACATCTTTAGTTTTTGATGGAGAAAGCAGTGTACAAAGGTGTGCAAAAGATTCTGAAAGCTCAGAAGATTCAAGACAAGGAACAATGGCAAGTATTAATGAATCACGATATTAGAAAGAACAATAACGATTGATGAGACTATTCTATTCAGACATGAACATTGGTTTCATTACGTCAACAGGGCAACTGAAATCCACAGTATTCATCTATGTCCATCAAACCATTGCAAATTACTTGGATAATCGATAGATCAATTTGAATTTCAACAAGGAAGATCTAAAAATCATAGCCAATTATTTCTCAATCGATGAACGCAATAAATCAAGCAAATCCAGTCCTGAATTCACATCACCTATATTGACTAAGGAGAAATCGGAAAAAGAGTAATTTAAACAAAATAGTGCAGGTTCAAAGACTCTATCTCAAAATGAGGGAGAAGTGGAAAATCAATTGAAAAGAAGTCTGCCTCTATGTCATCAAAGCAATTGGCTCAAATAAGAATTCATCAAGAAGGATTACTTCAAAAAACAATTCCTCATCCTTCAAAAAACAAATGAAAATGAACTCAAATCTGGAGTTCAAATCTTCTTTGTTTATAGAATCAAAGATGATCAAATTTATGCAGTCAAAAAAGTATTATCATCCATCTCTATGTAGTCCCAATTAGCTTCGAATGTCATTTCCTTTTTCGATGTATTCTCAACAGTCAACCTATCAGAAATCACCAATGATCAAAGAAAAATAAGAGAAGCCAAAATATTGTCCAAACTCAACCACCCCAATGTTCTAACTCTCTATGATTGGTGGATCGAAGAAGAAGAATCTGGCTACTCCCTCTACTTGATGTCTGAATACTGCTCCTATCCAGGACTCAAACACCAAACCAACGATCTGCTCAACTACGCCTATTATTATCTGAATCCAATGAACTGCAAGGAAAAGATAGAGCAAATCAAAACAATCATGCTCTAAATCATGGATGGACTAGAATACATACACAAACGAGGCATCGTTCATAGAGATTTAAAACCTGAGAACATCTTTGTCACCTACGGCATCGATTGCCAACTCCAAGTCATGTTGGCTGATTTCGATTAAGGAAAAGATGTTAGGGAATCCAAACTCTCCATTATCACAGATGAGAAACTCAATGACCAAGATCTCAACTCCATCAAGTCAAGGAACACTATCAATTCTGGCACCAGTGGCTATGCTACTGCCAATTCTTAGATCAACAAGGAGTATGACAAAATGGATGAGTTCTATGCTTTGGGTGTCACTCTACTTCATCTGATATTGGCCTTCCCTGGAGAACCTAAGAATCGCAATCTTTACACAAATACATTTGCCATCAGTGATATTTCAGACGTCCTCCTCCTATTCGACAGTTGGGCTGTTAAACTAGTTCAAAACAGACATCCTGAATTCAACTTCTAATAGTATTTTCATCTTATGGAACTTGCAAAGGCACTCCTTGATAAAAAAGTCAAGGAACATGATCACATAAGAAAAATCATACAAAGCTGGTGAATTGTTGTGTATTATAATTCATCTTTAGATTTTTATAAGTATGTTTATATATATAAATCAAAATTATTAATCATTCTTCTAATATTATATATAATAATTTAAAAGATTTAATTACATTAGTATTTGATAAATTCCAGACTTTATATAAAAATAGTTAGAAATTATTTTGTTTAATAAAATGAATTATTGTTTTTTTATGATCCATTTTTAAAGTATATTCAAATTGTCATTTCTAAATAGTATCTATTAATGTTCTAATAAAATGATACAATATTTTCAAGAATCCAAAAATCAATTGATTGAATTCCCAAATTTCTCCTCTAGAATATTCATTAATTTCCACTATTTTATTACAGATATTCTGATTCAAAATGGATACATTATGTTAAATCATTAATTGATAGAAGGATATTAATAGGCCTGTAATATTATTTTTTATTTTTAAATCTTGAAATTGAGAATAAAAATTATAAATTTTAATATTTGAAAATTAATCCCAATTCTCAAACATTCTGGAAATGGGTTCTAGTGATAATAAGTTGAGGGGCGAAATAGTTTTCTCATATCAAAACCCATTAATTCCTATAAATACAAGATTAGTGTCCATAAATTTTATATTTATTAAATTATATGACACCAAACCAATTAAAAATGATGGTGTGCTTATTATTAGTTGCTTTCATTTCCTGTGGGCTTTACTTCTACATATTCTGGAAGAAATTAGATCATGTAAAGATTACTTTCCTAAATTTCAGAAACCTTATTATGAATAGCTGGCATTTGCATATGGGTTGCTTTTAGGATTCACGGAATTATTGGTGGCCATAATTTTATACATCCTTATTAAAACCAGGGCGTAAATCACATCCCTGGGGGAGATTGGCCGTTATATCAGGCAGAACTGCTACAAAGAGTATTATGCATTAATCATAATAAATTTGGTATAGAACGTGATAATTAGGTATTTCTGGTAACCTTCAACATAATAACCATTTTGGATCCAGAATCAGTGAGTTTTAAGGATATTCAATCACTCCACTTCATAGCTGCATATTATGTCCAATCAGTTCTTTTCGCAATATTCTCGAATGACCTATTGAAGAGACGATCCTTGATTCCGAACGAGTACATGTTCGAAAGAGAGGGGATATTTCGATGTGCCTACGAGGTTCTGTATTACGTGGTGTGTTTATTCATAGTATTAAGTAAATTTATAAATATGAAAAGGCTACTTTTTGGTCACCCACTTTGAGAAGATGCCAGAACCCAATCAAACATTATGCCAACTGATCATTTTCACATTGCTCTACCAATTCTATTCGATAACCAAATTGGGTATCTTGATAAAAATATTTCTGATAATAACCACTACCAGATTGCTCTACTCTGCAGCGAATTCAATTTAGGACTTGAAGGAGACCTCGCAAAAGGGTTCTCAGATCACATTGGTTGTGATCACAGTCCTATTTCTGATTAGAATGGTTCAGCAGAGCATATTGGGCATTTTAAGAGCAAGAGAACAGTATTTGAATTAGATACAACATCAAACACCTGATATATTGAGTGCATTGAATTTAATGCCCCCCAGAGACCCATACATAAGAGGATCAACTTAGATAATAAGTGAAGAATAGATATAAATGATGCCTCAATAGAAGTTCAAGTTGGAGAATGAATTTGTCTGCTCAATATGTGATATGAATCTATTAAAGAATGAAATGGTGATGAAGTTAAGTTGTTCCCATATCTTCCATTCGGAATGTCTCAAACCATGGATCAGAATAAAGAACTCTTGTCCTAATTGCAGATAGCAAGTGCTGAGATAGGGCAATCATGAAAATCATATCCAACAACCAGTCTATGAGCATCCCTAGGAATAGCAACACTAGGTTTTACATGTTTAAATTGAAGCCCCCCCATCCAATGAAAACAATTAAGCAGTGTAAGAATTTCATGACAGGTAGTTGGAAATACAAGAATGAGTTTCCTTACATTAATTAATTTGTTATTATATAAACTTAAATATCTATATCTTTTTGACAATATATGGTTATCATCTATATCATAGCAGTGATTGCATCGAAATTTCGTATTAAGTGGCAATTTATAAATTATGACACTAAATATTGATGTCTATTTTTAACAGATGTGTATGATATTTCACATTTTAATTAACTCTAATAAGATATTAAGGAGTTATTAGCAATATTTAAAAAAAATTTATTTATTAATTATACCCATCAAGATGATTTGTGTGAGGCATCACACTTTTTTAAACTAAAAATATGGAATCTTTTATGTAGACAATCTCCTAATGATTGGAAAAGTATCAAACCATTTAAATCATAGTCGCAAAGGAATCCAAAATATCGTATCCCCTGTCAAATTGAAAAAGTTATTTCTTGGTGTATCAGTGACAATCAATAATTGCAAGGATTCGAGATAGTTGTAAATGGAAAGAAGAAATGGTTCGATATGTCTCACCATCAAACGAAGTAGCTGATGCAAGTGTTGAATGGAAGGTTTCTGTACAAAAACATACATGCCTTCTATCAATTTTAACACATTATTGGGGTTGGAAGCTTTAGTAAAGTAAAATTGTAAAATGTAACTTAGGTAATCAAACTGTTCAACATCTTAGAGAAGGAGTTCTATGCTTGCAAAGTGCTTAAGATGGCTTAATTCGATGTATCCAATATTTTAACATAAATTCATAGGATTTTAAAAACGAACTTTCTATACTTCAGTCTTTAGATCATCCGAATATCATCAAAGTGAAAGAAGTGTACCTTGAAGACAAGCAAATCTGGTTTGTCACAGATTTAGTCGATGGAGGAACTCTGAAAGAATATCTAGACAATTTAACTGAAATAACTCAATTCGAAGTTTATATAATTATGAAAGTACTTGATTTGATAAATTAATTTTAGTAAATCTTAAATGTCGTTTAATATTTGCACTCCAAAGGATACATCCATAGAGAC